TAAAATCACACAATGTCATTACACAAACTGTGAACTTAAAAACACGTCTGTTTTGGGACAGTGTGATCTTTATTTGATGATAATCAGAATCTGCATTTACTTCTAAGATGTCATCCTTGCTGTAATCAAAAGATCTTGATGCCTGTTCAGATGCCTTTCTTCCTGTAACTGTGTGAGTGGACAAATATCATTGTGCTTGTCATCAATATTACAAACTAATGGTTATGTACTCAAGCCTTGATCTCACAAACTACGGGTCAGTTGTGCTTGTATAAGTCCATGCTTGGAAAGAGTGGACTGTACCCCACTAGTGCTCATTCCACCCAATTTCATAGCAGCTGTTTCTGTTTATTGATAAAGTGTGTTAGAAACTACTTGTCATTTCAAAATTTAACTAGCCCGGATGCAGTTGCACAAAATAACCTTGGTGCTACGACTGTCGTAAGTCTGTTTTAAGGTACAGGAGTTATGCTCACCTTAGCGTTAAGCTCACTTAGCCACTATACATGGGCACCCAGGCTAAAAAATGTAGTTTCTAACAAAATGTATGGCTAGAATTCTGGGTTTGAATTGGTCCACAGCAACCTATGCTTGTAAGAGACAACCTTATGTACCAGGGCCCCATTTCATAAAGCTATCGCTATGACTGTCGTTCCTCCTGTACTGTAACATATACTTACGACAGTCATAGTGCTACAATATCTTTGTGAAGCGGGCCCAGGCTTTCAGACTCATTGACTTAACTTTCTGCATATCACTGCACCCTGATGTGAGACATCAATCATTTCAATCACTGGTTTGATTATTTCCAAGCCACAGATGGAATACTGGAGTGTTCAGCATTTAACAACAATTGTAAACCAAAAGTCACCGTGTTCTTTAATCTGATTGGTTGAAAAACGTGACCGAATGGTATTCGATTCCCGGAAATTGCAAGAATATTCGCTGTGTATTAATACCTACAAACATCGCACACACCATTGTATTGTTGCGTCGTCAACAGTGGTGACGTCATTCAAATCATATTGTGACGTAAAGTCAGAATGACGTCAGAAATGAGCAGATCCAGATGCTACCATGGGAACTAGCTGAAACGGCCAGCTGATGACACTTCACTGCTGTACCCGTACTCGATGTCAATGAGTGCAGAGAGTAAAACCCATGTGGGCTTTTTGGTTTACTTTTGTGTTTACAATGTCGATAAACATCATGTGTTGGCCAATTTCTGGGTGTTATTGAGTATTTGAAGCACTGGAATATTTCATTTGAAACCTCCAGCTCTTGCCGTCGGTTCCAAACGAATTCCCGTACTTCAAATCCTCAATAACAACCGGAAATTGGCCAACACATGATGTTTATCTCCTAAACAAGAAATGTAGCTGTGGTGAACATATGCAGGGGCGTAGCTACCATTATAAGAAAAAGCTCGGGCTTACACATGAAAAAGGTTGGGAAGTCCTCAATATTATCTAAATAAAAAGCTTTCCAACCTATCGGGCTTACACGAAAAGTATGGCTTTCTACGCGCCTGATATGAGCACTAAGGATATGATAACATATAGTGATAACACGTTCCTAAGTTGAAAGTCCTCACTGGAATCAATACATTCAAGTTCTAATAAACTTAGCAGCCATCATAACCAACCAATCTCTACCCTTTGTAGATGTGGTACTGCAGACATGTTTTGTCCTGAAATCTAATGTCATGGAAGCATAATAATAGAAATGCTATTTTGTAACACAGAAATTATTACAAGCCTACTGGTTAAACCATCATCCACGATTGATAAATATCCATCAACTCATTTCACCAACAATAAATATCAGTAAAGTCCTATGTTCACATATATAAATCACAAACAACTACTGGTAATAATCAGGGCCTCCTTTCACAAAACACTAAGGTGATCGTAAGTCACTAAGGTAGCCTTAGTGCAGTGTTAAAGAATGGGAATTAAGGTTAACCTTAGTAAAGGTTGCTTCGTGAAAGGAGCCCCAGGACCCCAATGCAAGTGTAGTATTACAACAGTCTGAAGTCTGAACTATACAAGCCTATACAGTCATAAGTCAGTGTTACACCATCGAGTTATACCAGTCTTCTTGAAATTGATAGGGTCTGAGCCTCAGATGAAAAGAACTGCGTAATAGTGAAATCTTTGTAGACATTACATGATACCATGTATCCACCAAACTTGAGCCAATTGAGCAATTTTTTCACTGTGAAAAGTTAGGGAAAAAAGAAGGGGTCTGTGACCTTTTGAAAATGGATATATAATTCACAGCTTAGCTTTATAACTAAACATTTGCAAGTGCATGGATGGCTGAAGACAAAATCTAAACTGGATCTTAACACATAATTCAAACACTAACACACATGATGATGAAAACAATCAGTCAATCATATGTTAATAATTTAAACTTTCATATTACATTAGTAGCATTACTAAGGCAATGATGATGAGCAGGTGCTAGTCACATACCTCTATTCTAACTCTAACTATAAAATTAAGACTATTGTAGGAAGAACATGAAAACACAATGTTTCCTTTTCTGTAACTTACATTCAGACATATATGAAAGGTTGGGATGGGGTTCATATTTCAAATTCTACACTTCAGTGGGGAAGGTGGTGGAGCACCTTTAGAATACAGCACCACAACTTCTCGTGAGGACGTTCTCTGCCGTAGGGTTGCGTCACTGAGACAGGCAACCAGTTTGTGAGAATCCGTCGGATGCGAACCCGCAAACCCTGTCGACTGAGCTACATCCACACTGTTGCACAATGGTCAAATTTATCGAGTCATTCCTGTGACATGACGGAAATCACTGGAAACCTACGAAGGTTCGTATCAGGCAATCAGACAAGGTGGGGGAATACTGGTGGATATGTCTGTACAAAAATAATATTCTCTTGTTCCAAAGATGGCATTACCTAAATCTAAGGTTTGAACCAGTATGGTATTCTAGCAGCTTTGGAACATTGCACCGCAGACAAAGATGTAACTATGGTAAAACTATCAAGCTATCCCTGAAAGCCATATGCCCATGAAAACTGATGTGCTTACCATAATTAAGTAGCATTGTGGCCCAGAGTGTTTCAAGGGTAGGAACCACTTTGTGACAACCATTACACAGATCATGGATGTAGAAGTGGGCACTATGGTACAATATCACTTTGTGTCCATTACAAATAATCGGAAAATATTGACAGGCAGACAAAGTCTGTCAATAATATCACACAAACTTGAATAATATTGATATGTATTGCTAATCCCCAATAATCCAGTGTACCATAGCTTCATTGGTTATCACAGTTCATGATAGCATGCTGAAGCCATTCACTACCATAGCTTTCCAGGGCAAGTGTCTTCATTGCCTAACGGTCTTATCTGTAACATTACAAGGATTTTAAGGATATTCTCTCATGTCTGTTGAATCAGACTCAACATGATGCTTTATTATGCAAGCATATTTTTCCGGCTACCTGATTGGTCTAGAGGCGGTCACGTGACCGTCGACAGAAAAGCATATTGACTCCAACCCAGGTCCGACCAAAAGTCATATTGACCTGAGTTACTATGACATCAAGCTATGACTTCATTCTATTGTTTACATGTCACAGTATTGTTGACATAACGTTATTGGTTTGTAGTGAAAATAAAATTACTTTTCTTGACTAAATGGACATGTTTTGGATTTTAGAAGCTTTTTTTCGGTAATTCAAATAAAACAATTATAGACTGGCGAATTCGGTTTCCTCATCGCCAGTCTATAATTGTATAATATTCCAGGGAATATCAGACATCAATATTTCACAGTTTTCAATTCATTAGTAGCAATGAATGTTGCTGATGAAAGGTGCCTTTTGATAACTGAGTCATACTCCATATGTGAGTGAGTGAGTTTAGTTTTACGCCACTTTTAGCAATATTCCAGCAATATCACCATACTCATTCACTCACTCTGCTACACAAACATATGTATTCCTCCACCACAGATCAATGTGCTATGAACATTAAATTCTTGACAAGGGATACAAAGTTCCCGAAATAAAGTAATTATTCATTCTTAAAAATACAGTTCACTACAAATTTCATTTCTTCTTATTTTGAAGTTAGCAATGAGGGGTCCTCTGACCCCTAGTCTTGTTGGTAAAGACAAAACCCTGAATATGCTTTCTTTGGTTCGTTTTGAGTCAAGTTTGACACACACATGCATGCACTCACGCACACACAGCCATTTCATTAAATTATATAATATAAATCACCAAATATTACCAAAATGAAATATTACTAGTATTCAACCCAACAGTTATGGTGAACTCACCAGAGTTCAGAAAAGGCTTTTGATTGGTTGTTGCTTTCAAGCAAGAAAATTCGAAATTGGGCACTCTGTGCTGAGTTAGTGACCAGAACTAAAGTAACATGAAATCACAAATAAGAGTCATCAGAAGATGACACCCCATCCCCAACCCCTCATAAATTTGAAAGAATAAATTATCTGACAGTCCAACTTGATGAGAGAATTTCACTCTCTAATCTGTCCTTCTGTATACAAGAGTAATTGGGATTCGTAACTTTGTACTTCTATGTCAGGTACACATCTATTTCAAAGTCACAGGACAAAAATACAAATTACACATTACAATATATTGTTACATTTGAGACTAAGTCAAAATCGTTTCCATGGAAATTGAGAAAAATATAAATGCCAAAACTTTCTAAATAGCAAAATGCATCACTTTGGGTTCTGTTTTATATATCCACCAATTTTTGTGGAAAAACAAGTTTTTAGTTATGTTGGGGAAACGAAATGATTACGGACGGACAGACAGACAGACAGAGGAGGTGTTGACTATATCTCCCAGCATTATATTCCAGGGGATAATAAAGCTTTGGTGGCAAATGGGTACAAAGTGTATATCATAACAGAATGTAGAAATAATCAGAGGCCATACAATAAATTATTACATGGGTTCTGATACAATACAACAGATAATCGAGAATGTTAACCTTCCATAGACAGAAGTAATGGCATCATACAGCATTACCAACAGTTTCATGACTTGCAAAATGGATGCTTGCATAACCTATGGTTTCAACTGTATTAACTTTGAACACAAGATCATATGATATTCAGTTTTGAGCTTTTTACTAAACAGTCCCTTATGTTATCATCAGAAATACTTAACACATTGATACTAAACATGAGATTTAAGAGGAAGAATTAATTCATACACACATGAAGAAATCAACTGATTTTCTCTCAACAAACATCACAATCACACTGAGTACCAGGGTACCCTAGTACAATACTAACAATAATGCACATGTACATATAACTAGGAATAAAGTTGCTACAGCAAGTTCTCCCTTGGCTTATGGTTTAACTAACCTAATATATTGGAATCCTTTACCATAACAAAATAATGAGATAAAGAGATCATCACAGATGAACTTGCACACTAGTTACTTCTTAGAAACAATAATGTATTGTAAACTATACATTTACAAAACAAACTAAATAAAATATTGGTTAATAATACATTATTATTTTCCCCTTTAACCATGTTAACAATTTAAAAAATGTCAGTTTCCTTCTCTTTAAAATCCAACACTGTACAGTATCGAAATGAGTATGACTTTACACTAAGAAGTGATAAAGTGCCTGCTTACACCAAGTATCAATCTCATTAATATCTGATATTTTAGTCTGATACGATACCTTTCTACCGCAGTAGCTGAGGACATTTTTATAGAAGGTTATCTCAGGAGAGCCCTGTAACAACCTTCCTCTCAATTTTTTGAATGAAAGATGCATGGGTTCTTGAGCCATTCAAATGTTACCTTTTTTTATTCAATCATTTTCAGTTTAACACCTCAATTTAAAGTTTTCACTATTTACAGTAATAGTGTAAAGGGTTTAGCCTGTCATAATTTGAATTCTTTTACATAAACTTACAATTGTCTTAGGTGTAAAAGCACTAAGGGCTATGACTGTTGTAGCACCCATTCTTTCACACAGACTAACAATCGTCTTAGTGCCAAGATTGAACAGAACTCTGATTTTTAATAAAATGGAGGTCAGATATAATTTCAGCGTATCTCTCATGGTTGTGGTGTATGATCATCATACAGAAGGTACACCTTTCAATATTGCAAGGCCATGTTGTAAAAACACTTACATTCTTACTGTGGACTTAAGAATACCCCAATATCCCAGCACTTACATTAAAAAGTCAACCATAAATCTCAAAACCAAATGATGAAGGGGAAAAAAAAGAAGATTTTCTGAATCTGTTAAGAATGTTTTTGCCTGTCAGTAAATCACCATCAACAAATAAACACTGGTGAATGGATGAACATATATTGTTTTGAGCGACTTCTCATATATCATCCTCTATCCAATATACAATCGACACTGTCAGTCATCATGATGTACAATTCTTTTAAAATGTGTGGACCACATTCAAATCAATGTAATAATTTAGATCAACATGGTAAAACCAATCCCAATCATACAAATGATTCATCAGTAAAATCCAATACAGTCTCATCAACGGCTAAGTAAAATATAATCACGCAGTTGAAGGGGCAAGGGAAGTGTAGGAACTTTGTTTGGTAAGTAGTGGTAACCTAGGCAACGTCGTATACAATGACGACAGAGGTCTTGGAGCTTCTTTGTATTTTTGCACAGAGGAAGCAGCAGTTCAGTCATCTTATTATCCTGACCTATATTCCCGATTAACTCTCCTTTGTTATTGCGCAGGTCAAACTGACCAGATGCTTTAATCAGCAACTCCAATACTGCATCATCAAGATCAGTGTTGAGACCGCTTGCTTGGATGGATGCTGCTCGAATAAGAGGTGTGTCACCCATAAGATTCTTCCTGTCAACGTTGGCATTATATTCTAGAAGAATTTTTATAATTTCCAAATGACCCTTCCTTGCTGCCCAGGCTAATGGAGTGTCTTCGTTATAATCTCGTCCATCTACATCAGCACCATTTTGCAATAAGAGTTTGACACAGGCGACATTGTTTTTGTAGGCGGCCCAGTGTAAAGGAGTATCCTGGTTACCATCCCCAGCATTGAGGTCGCGCCATACTGCATCAGCACCTCAACACAGAAGATGTCCCTCTCAGCAGCATAGTGGAGAGCTGTACGACCATAACCATCAACTTCATTTACCTGTACAGTGAACATAAAGAGTAATGTTATATCTTTCAAGTCTGAAACTGGGTGCTCGTGGATTGATCAAATGGTCCCTTGTGAATTTAAGCAAGAATTGTATTTCACCTTGGCATGATGATATACAGCTGTACGATGTAATGTTTTATTGAGTTTGATAATACCCTTTTCAAAAAAGTTCAATTTCTGAAAGACAAGGTTTACTTCACGAATTATACTCTGCATTTAGCATATTTTCATAATTTTCCTGTGTTTGTTCACATAGTGTAGATCCAGAATAAGTCAAAATGTTATACTGACTGAGTGAGTTTGGTTTTACGCCGCTTTTAGCAATATTCCAGCAACATCACGGCGGGGCACACCAGAAATGGGTTTCCAAAATGTTATAACAAGTGGCTAACAATTGCCTCTGGAAAGTTTTGTGACACCCTGTTGATGAGATTATTGAATATGAAAGCTACTTGTGCTGATCTTTTCAGTTTGCTGAAAGGGTTAACCTTTCATGTGAACAGGGCATCCAACCATAGATCATAAGATCAGAGGTGTGAATCGCATCACAGCTTGGAAATTTACAGCCACTACATCAAAGTTATTTACCCTAGCTCCTTTCTGAAGGAGGAGTCGGAGACAGTTGCTGTCACTGACCATACATGCACAATGCAGGGGCAGCAAAGTGCCATGGATTCCATTCACATCGGCACCAAGGTCAATCAGGTGCTCCACGTCATCATTTGCACCAGCGAAGGTCCTCCAGTTGCTGATGGCTCTAATAAGTCGTTCCGATAAGTGATAGTTTTGCTGTGCACTCTCCATCACATACCACATAACTTTCTGAAATATGATGGTACAGTTGTTTAATGTACATCTTGCATAAGAATAATCATGCTAATACACCTACTGACATTTTGGTGTGTATTAGAGGTCTTATTATTTGGAAACGTTTTGAGACTATTTCTATTAACATGTTTAAGCTGGTGAGCATCCACTTTGCTGGGAATGTTATACTTGTGACCTTGGCAAGTTCTCATTTTAATTGCAAGGTTATGCAGTTGCTGGTCATGACAATGGTGAAGTTGGATACCATGTCTTGCAGCAAAGTATCGACCAGCTCAAAGCACAGACAAAATAGACAGAGACACCTCATGAAATCTTATGACAAATCTTAACATATTTTGGAGAATAACATAGTAAATGATATCACAAAAGTGGTACAATATGTTATTATATAAGTGGATAGTGTTACCTATCTATAAAGTTAACTAAACACATTCAGTGAAACACCAATGACCACAACAATATGCAGCTTTCTTTATTCTGTTATGCCAATTTTCCACTTGTGTAAATAGATAATAAGCTGGGTTGACATTAATCAAAAGTCAAGAAATACCTGCACAGCTGTGCAGCGAAACCCTGCTAATTCTGACATAATCATTCAAGGTGATTCAATGATTAACTTCTCATCCTAGGCAAACAGGGTTCAAGTGTTACTATAAATGAATTCAAAAAGTAAGAACTGATTTTTGTTTGTGTTATGGTTATTTACATCTGTTTACAATCAAACAAATAATAGTAGGAGACGGACCTATACAACAATACGTATGCTAAAAATACCAAAATAAGTTACCAACGCCAATCGTGACTACGACATTTCAGATGGCATTTGGCTCAGACACGATCTTGACAAGAAATGATATGACAAAAACTGTGTGCCAGCTGAGCAGAGTGAATGTCAGGTCAAGTAAGTTCATTCCGATAAGTCCGAAAGGGATTTCCCCATATGACGGTAAATGGTCTTCTTAACACATGTACACGTATGAAACACAGTTGCAAATTTGATTAAGCCTTTACAACCTTTCGTACAAAAACAAAACCGGGCTTTTCGGGTTCCTTATGTTCGCATCGTTTTTGTATTTGCAACGAAAATAAAGAATATGGGTGAAGTGACAACTTAGCACTTTCTGACAGGTGATTAACTTCCGATTGACCCGGAAGCAAAACAATTGCAGTTACGGTGCTATTGCACTGGCGTATTGATAATATGCAATAGGAAATAGATAACAGCATTGCCGTATAGTAAATTCTCTTATTTATTTGCATCAAATATATTGGAAATTAATTTGAGTTTTGGTTGGGATGATATTTACCGCGAATCTACGATATGGCCGCTCCCATGTGAAACATGTCTTAACTTCGGAGGAAGACGGGTGTATTGCATAAGCCGTTTCATTTGAGTACTGTTTATTGAAGAAAGCACGTTGTTTCAACACTTAGGACAATGCGACTACTTACACGTAGTCGAAGAGTACTTGGGACTTATTGGTTAGTGTTGTACTATCTTGGATGTATATTAATTATGTAAAAAGAAAAGTTGATCTGACAGAATTGCGTAGAACGATGCCCATGCTGTTGATCACTGGATTGTCTGGCCCTGACTCAAATATTTACAGACAGCTGTCATATATCTGGAATATTGCTTACTGCAGCGATAAAGAACAATCAATCAATCTGTCAATCAAATTTAAAGCGCCCCTTCACAATCCTTAGATTTAGGCAATCATTGTCATCCTTAGTGTTAGTTTTGAAGTGGTATATTGGTTAGCTATCTAGCTCAACGAATTGAAGGTTTTGAAATAAGTTCACTCTGTATGATTGTTATCAAGAATGTCCCAAACATTTTAGATATTTTAATGTTTTAAAAGAATGTCCTATCAGAAATTATCATAATCTTGATTTCCTTTGGCCTCAAGCAATATTATATGTTCAGAAATTATAACCCCGGCTACCACCCCTGCATGGCAGTGACAGCATCTGAGCATGTGTAGTATTCCTAAGAGCATTTCAGGACCATAAGTATAATTAATACTTCTTTGTAAGTTTTCTTTTTATCACACTTTTAAAAAACAAAATTAGAGCTAGTACATCAGCGTGATCAGTGTAAAATATTTTCCTAGCATTGAAACTTGGTTGGTGGAGAGTTTATTAACTTCATTTTTAACCCCCAGGAAGTCAAGACTGTATGGCACTGCAGCAAAGGATGTCAGTAAAGTTCTAAAGGAGGGTGACAAGCTACATGGATATACTGTCAAGAAAGTAAGCACCTCACTGATTTGCTTTGTGATAAAACAGTGCATCTGTTTTATCATTCTTATAGATTATTTCATACATGTTTTTTTAATCTATATTTTAAAAGCATTTTAGGGTTGGAAGCATTGGTAAAACAATCTGCCTGTCTTCATTTAATAAATCTGTTCAATAAAATATCACCAACCTTAGTGTAATACTTCTTCCAACATTCCTTAAGCTTCTGTTTGTGTGTTTCACCACTGTGGTATGCTTGTTTGGCCTGCCTGTTTAGTGTTAAATTGATATAACTGAAGTGCTGTACAAGAGTGGTATTAAAGACCCACAAACTCACTCATATTTTCTTGTGTGTAATAAGCCGGATAAGTGGGCAGTACTATTGAAGCTTGAGTGTTTTCTATTTTGTATCCTGTGTTTCAGGTATCTGAGGTGCCTGAGTTATATCTGACTGCTGTTGCCTTGGAGCATGACATCACTGGGGCTCAACATCTTCACACAGCCCGAGATGATGACAACAACACTTTCGGGTGAGCAGTGATCAGCCCAGGGTGAACGATGTTTGGATAGCATCACTGAATAATTGTTAGTCTTGGTTCACTACCTCAGTTAACTCTATCTCATATGTAAGGAGGAGAGTTCCTTTTGGGGTGATCATCAGAAGTCAAAACCAGAAATCTGATCATGAAACTGTCTCTAATTTGTATGTACTGCAAACAATTTGTGAGTTCAAATATGAGACATCACAACTATTCAAGAGTTTTACAAAACATGAATTCAAGGTTGTTTTCATATTTCAGTGTTGCTTTTCGCACAACGCCCTTGGACAACACTGGTGTACCTCACATCCTGGAACACACCACGCTCTGCGGTTCAGACAAGTTTCCTGTACGGGATCCATTCTTTAAGATGCTCAGTCGATCCCTTGCCACCTTTATGAATGCCTTTACTGGTATGTGCTTCCCTCAAATGTTTCATGGAGGTCATTAGGCCTCTTCTATATGTGTCAGTATATAATAGCTGATTGATATCCTCTGTCAGGATATATATAGAAAATAAAATGACTTATCCCAGTGTATCACAGGTATTTCTTTTAACTCTGAAAACAATGCTATATTGATTTCTTACATTGGCAAAACTGCACTATCGTGGTTCAAGGGAGGTTCTCTTTCACACTACATTGTACATGTTAATGTGAGACCATGGCCACATTTGAAGATATACAACATTCAAAATGTTGTCAATATGAATGTCATTAATATTCCACATCCGACATCATCTAACAACTAGCTAGTAAGTGATCCACAAGTCAGTAATATTGACAAACACATCTTACAATCGTAAAGCAAAATGTTGCGATTCATATAGATGGCAATGATTTGCTAAAATGTATAGTTTTAATGATAAGTCGAGCAATGGATGACATAGTTTATCACTTTTTCAGCACCATACTTGTTCTCGGATACGAAACTAATCAGCATACCTCCAGTCTGTATCTAGAGTTAGCTCTTTTTGAAACTCCAACCACTGATAATGCGGTTTCACCCTTAATTTCAAACCCCAAAATTTAAGGAATATTTGTTTGCAGCCTATGACTGGACGATGTATCCATTTTCAAGCCAGAACCCACAAGACTTTCAGAACCTACTGAGTGTGTATCTTGATGCTGTGTTCCGCCCCACGCTCAGGGAGCTGGACTTCAAGTGAGAACACCATGTCCAGTAACCTGCTGTTAAATTAGTCACAGCTTGATTGTGCTCTATGTTTGGGTAGCCTAGTGGTTAATGTGTTTGCTTGTCCAGCTGAAGACCCAGGTTCGATTCCCCCATGGGTACAATGTGTGAAGCCCATTTCTGGTGTCCCCCACCATGATATTGCTGTAATACTGCCAAAAGCGGCGTTAAACCATAGTAACTCACTAACTCAAGGGAGATCACCTTGTCCAATAAGCCATTGTTAGAATAGTCACAGCATGATTGCACTATTCATTGTGGTAACTTGCTGCTTATCTGCTTGTTGTAGTAATTAATTAACATCATGGGTACACTGTGTGATGTACATAATTTTCTTTCAATAATCTACCTCTTTATTGTCAAAGTCATAGCTGCTCCAATTTGGCTAACATCACAGTAAATAAATAAATATATTTTCATCAGACCACTTCTCCACTGTCAGCCATGCCAGCCAGTTGTTAGGTAAACTGTACCTTGTGCAAAACCTTGGGGAAACGTCTTTCCATTCGTCACATGCACTAGATGCTTTCATATTGGGGAGGTGGGAGGGATTACTTCCTGTTGTAATTGATTTAAATGTAACAGAGCTAGTATTCTTAGAATTATACAGAATGATAATATTATTTGATTGCTGGTGTCCCCCACCTTGAAAAGACAGAAATAGAGTTCAAGTGGTTCAAACAATGTAAGCTGTAATGGAGAGCTATTCATGCACAAACAAGATAGTCATACTGATAACTGATGCATGGTTTATTATAAGCATGATGTTCTGCAGTAGTATATTATTCTTGCCACTGATTAGAGTGCTTATGGGAGGTAATATGGTATGTACATTCTATGTTGAAGGCAGGAGGGATGGCGTCTGGAGCCTGAGGACCCAAGCAACCCCTCCTCCCCACTCACTTTCAAGGGGGTGGTTTACAATGAGATGAAGGGAGTTTTTGTAAGAATATCTGTTATTGAACCATTGAGTTAGGTTCTGAAGCACTTAGCCATGGAAAATCAATATATGGCACTATTTCAGTTATACTTTAAAACAAAATATGAAAGTTCTGACACCTGAGAAGAAGATCAATTCTGCTTGACTCCGAACTCTAAAAATGTATGCCTGTAAACTGCTTCAATCTACTTGTTGGTTGTATACATTTTTCATGGTCATGGTCTCTGGCTTGTAAGGTCATTGTGACTTTGTAATGACTCAGAGTTCATATAATATATATGTATGCTATGACATGCATGTCTTTCATAATACATTGGTAAATCCAGCCAGTTGTGTATCACATGTAGCACAGATAAATATACATGGAAGCAGTAATGAAACTGCAATGTTTCCTTTCAACCAGTCCAGCTCACAGTCTATCTTCCATCAAGTGGCTCACAACAAGCTTCAGCCCAGCCATACGTATGGAGTGGTGTCAGGTGGAGATCCTGCCTACATACCTGACCTCACATGGCAACAACTGAAGGATTTCCATGCCACACACTATCATCCCAGCAACTCACGGTCAGTGTCCTTCCATGCCACATACTATCATCCCAGCAACTAGTTCAGCATAATTTCTGTATTAATCAATATGCTATTGTGTACAATGTCTGAATGACATGATATTGGTGAATATACCCCCTTGTTAATGTAGGTGGATTATTATCTGAGTTGTGTTGCAGGTTTTTCACGTATGGCAGCTTTCCCTTGGAGGATCACCTTGAGTACATCAACACCAACTATCTGCAGCATTTCTCACAGATCCCTGTCAACACTTCCGTCCCAGCGGAACCCCGATGGAAACAACCGGTATGTGCTACCTTCCTGTATCACAATGAATGTCTGAATGTCAATATAGGGTGTATCTTACATAAATTTATCAATTTTTAAACTTATCCTATCTCACGATTTGCACTTCTCTCTCTTGCTTCGACGCTGAGTGGAACGAATGAGAACTTTTCCTGTAGGCCTCTCTTGTCCATACACCCGTTTTCCCCAGGCTGCTCACTTTATAGGACAGGTCCCTAGTCCCTGGCTAAGCGTGCAGCACATTCCCCTGTCTACCCACGTGACTACCTTAGAGTGATCATTCTTCTTCTTGTCGCACCACTGTGTGGAGGTATTGTGAGAGTTCTCAGTTTTCCTTACAAGTTAACATGAGAAATACATCATTGGTAGTATGGTACGCCCAAAGTAGCGTAATTTTGCGGACACTGTAACAATATTTTCTTCCTCGGATCCCCACTCGTCATGTGTGGGTTGTATTGACCTGTGTTCCTGAAGCAAGCCTTGTCGGGAATGTGCTCCCTTATCAAGGACGTTTTTAGAGCATATAGACATGCTTGCTCCCGTTGGCTGGCAGACAGAGCTTGTTACACTTCAACAGTTGATCACCCGACAAAACCCCCGCTTTCAACGACCAGTATTAACTGCTCGTCATTTGGAGATTCCCATGTCGGAAGGTGATGATTTTATTGGCGCATCATCAGATGTCTACTCGCCGTTCCACCTCATCGAACCGCTCTGTGTTGTCAGCCGACTCACACAGCCGATGTACATCGTCAAATCGAATGGATTCACCAGGCCGAACCGTTTCGCCAAGGCGCATTGGATCACGACATCGACTCAATTCACCATATATAAGATTGTTTCTTATCGCCGAAACGGTTCACATCATCGATTTGATTCATCGCACCGAAACGCTTCGCCTCACCATAACGGCTTTCTTCACCGAGACGATTCACCTCATTGAACCAATTCACCTTGGCCGGAACATTTCACCTCACCGGTTCATCTGATCGTTCTAGATCTCTCCATCAGTGGAGATCATTTAAACGTTTCGGATTACCAAACTGATCCAGATCACAGTCACGATCCAGATCACAACGCCGATCCAGATCACATCAATGTTTTCGGCTCACCATTCTGAATCAGATCACTAAGCTGAACCGATTTACTAGCCCGACTCGTCCCGTTTCAGCAGGCCGAACCGTCTGACGGTCCCAGTTCTCGAGATTCCTCCGTGACCTGGACTCATCTCATTCCAGATTTAATCTACCATCCGAGCTTCACCTTTGATGAATAATTCGGTTCAAAGAATCTATCTTCGGCGTAGATATCAGCACTATGACCACCTGATAGGGCATTACAAGATAAGCTTGCTAGCCAGGAATACTTTACGACACTTCACTGAGTCTTGTTACTACAGACTACTCATAACAGAGTTTCTGTGTATCGCTGGGTGCTATCATTGCAGATGGTTCGTCATCTTCAGCACCCTGCGTTTTACATCATCAGCAAGTTTCTGAACAGATGACAGATGGGTCAAGTTTTTGTGCATGGTACCAGCAGCGATGTCTTGTCAAATAGTCAGCATAGTGCAGCCTGGAATTTATGGGTATTGACACTCCCGGTTAAAGGTCACATGCAACGTAAAACACAACTTTGCAGATTCTGATACCTTTCGGTATGGCCTTACCGAAACAAATCGTCAAAAAATGCAAATTCAACTTATAAAGTTGAAAAATAACGAGATGAAAAAAAACGCGCGAAATCGGAGTTCAAACGTTTCACTAATTTTCCCCCGACTTTTCTGGGGAAAACAGGTTTCAACAGCTGGGCTGCGCTTATAGCACGTGCGCAGTGAAGTAGGTTCGCGCAGCTTGGAAGCGGTTGTCCGGTGAATACTCGGTGAAGGCTTTGGTGTGAGCTTTTTTTCTAATGTTTTGTTGATGTCTCACAGGCGCGAGCTTTTTATATGTTATGACAGTAAATTAACTGTTTATATAATTTCATTTGTCTATTTCAACACAAGTTCTTCTTACCGAGTCACTTTCTCAGTTCGATACTTAAAAGCAATGCCATTATTTAGTGTTGACAGAATTTCCAACTCTGATATAGATATGTCAGACTAAACTCAATGTCTTGTTTTATTGACACCTGTGTGTCTGCCTGCCTGTCTGCTAATGACAATATTCAATACACAGCTGCTATCACTGACCACATGCAATTTGAACTTAACACCAATCAGGCTATACACCATAAACAAAATGCATTGATTTATGGCCCAAGTTCGGTCTCTGTCACATTATATAATTACACAGACAGGCAGGTGTGATACTTGAACACATGACATGTTATGATGTCTGTTGATTGCAAAATGTTATACACAAAAAATAAGCATGTATTTACAAAACCCAACATCTCTATATACACACACACAATGACCCGTGAGGGCATGTGCAAATGAACCAGCCGTTACACTTGAGTGCACACCCACCCGCTCTGACTGGGTTCGGTATCCCGGCTGCTTCGTTTCTTGGGAAGTAAACCGAAGTACACAATATTGCACTTTTGATTTGCGATTGTACGCTTATAATTTTGTTTGTATGTTTTTTCATAACCAGCAATGTATATTATATGTCATGAATAAGTGATAATTGTGTTTTAATTATGTTTGATTTTTTGGTTGCATGTGACCTTTAACCAAAGACTGTGTTGTCCGGATTTTTGTTGCATCATGGGTAACGTTTGCAAATAGCGGAATTTTGATGATTAGAGTGACTATGAAGTGCCCTGGCAGACTTGTCTTGGTCCCACGAGTCGGATATCAAGTCCAGCCTTCAAAGGATAGTAACAATGAATGCCATTCCCGGTAAGAATGATTGTGTCGGGATTTCGTCAGCCAGTCGAGAGAGACTGCTTATCGAGGGTACAGACAGAAACACCCATGAACGGTTTGACTTTGGCTGGGACAAGATTCAGTGCAACATACCACTAGTACTGGTCCAACCCACAACTTTTCGCCAGTGGCAGAAGTTACTGGGTGGTTAACGTCGGCACAAGAGCTGACTTACAGGGGCCAGCTGCAGCTTCGCCCTCTTCAGATGTTTCTGTGCCCATACATCCGGGACGACAACCCCAGGGAGTTCATTCGTCTTCCAGCACAACTACATTCAGTCTTTCGTTGCTGGCTCAACAAGTGGAATGTTTGTGTTGGAGTCTCTATGGTGCCCTTCATACCGACTCAACACCTGTTCGTCGACGCATCTCTCAAGCTGGGGCGCTCACTTTCTCCATCAAGTGGCCTAGCAGTGGTCATCAGGAGAAAGGGCCCTTCATATCAACGAATTGGAATTCAGCACTGTCATTTTCGCCGTTCGGCATTGGGCAGTTGAACTACGGGCCTCTCATAAACTGATTCATTTCGATGGTAGTTTGATACATAAACCATCAGGGGTCGACAGGATCAGCAGTTCTGCTTCAGTTGATGTTTCAAATTTATCATCTGATCGATTCACTCAACACAGTGGCCAGAGCCTGACACATTCCCGGGATGAGCAATGTCATTGCCGATGCCCTGTCATGTCCCAAACACCCATCACTCACAGAGTGGAAACAACTGCCTCTGATACTCCAATCGAAGATCTACCTGTTATCACAACCAGATGTAGACCTGTTCGCCACTCGGGACAACCATGTGCTTCAGCGCAGACGATCACCAGTTGCGATTGTTTCTGCTTTGTGTACAATTTGAATAAAATTCTGAATTTTATTTCTGATTTGTGTCTTCGATTCATCCGGGACTTCGATTTCTTGTCTCAATTTAATTTGAGACTCTGGAGAGTCGCCACCACACTTACTGTCGTCTGCTCTGTGGAGTAATTACATCAGTGAAGTGAGTCATTCCCGAAGTGTTACACTTTGTAGCGTTCATGCTCCTAAGTACCTATACACATCTATGTGATCTTACTGTGGTAAGTAGTGGAAGTCATAAGATGATGTTGTGGTACTGAACGTTAATATTGTGAGTTTTCCGATTCAAGTACCCTTTCACCCTCCTCGGGGCAGTGTCTGTCGGGGTTGTTTCGAAGCAGGGGCTGGCCCGATACTAGTCATTAGACTTTTATTACGGGGGTACCTTGGAAATCGTGTGCGACTGATTACACTCGTTAAGCTGCATCCTTTCACTTTCGTGAAGGTAGTGACGGAATACTACATTGCTTGGGAGTTCCGGTCCCTGGGAGCAATTGTGCTTAGTAAGTCAATGGGTTTGAACTAACCATCGCACATAGTGACCTTGGTAGTTATGGACCTACCTTGTCGTTGCTCCCTGCGGATGTAGAAGTGTTCGACAATCTCGCTTGCTGTCCTCTACTCCACGAAGCAATCACGTGTAGTGAGTCCTTCCCAATTTCCTTATGGATTTTGTAGCGTTCTAACTCCTAAGTACCTTAGCACACCGTTGTGACCTAACTGTGGTAAGTAGTGGAAGTCATATGGTGTTGTTTTGGTACTGAACGTTAAACTTGTGAGTTTTCCGATTCAGTTTCCTTTTCCCCTCTTCGTGATGGGGTCTTGGGGGCTGTCTCGAAGCAGGTGCAGGCCCGATTACTAGTCGTAATTATGGGGGTACTCTGATAAATCGTGGAGAAGCAAGATGACTTGCCTATTTGCGTTTTCTTGCATATGCGAGGGTTGCTGCTGAACACCACATTGCTCAGGAGCACCCACTCCATGGGAGCGAAGGTCGCCTAGTAAACCAAGGGGTTCAGGAGAACCCATCACTAGTATAGGTACTATGCTTGTTGGATCCTGCAGCCGAAAACCACATCGCTCAGGAGCACCCACTCGTGGGAGCGATGATGCCTAGTACGCCAAGAAGTTCAGGAGAACCCGTCACTAGTATAGGTACTATGCTAGTCGGATCCTGTGGCCTAATAACGCCGATCATGATGCCTAGTAAGCCAGGGGGTTCAGGAGAACGTCACTAGTATAAGTATTATGCTAGTCAGACCCGGCCTCCCTTGTTCATTGCTATCTACGGTTGTCATTAGCCTATACAGTATATACTGTCAGTGCCTTTTGACTTATGGTAATCTGCAACACGTTGTCCAACCGTGGGATAAGTGCAAATTATGAGATAGGATAAGTTTAAACATTTGGAAATTTTAATATAAATTGTATATTTATATACTTATCCTATCTCACGCAATGGATGCCCACCAATCCTCCCCTCTACTCAGATTACGACGGTTACGTATAACTGTCATTGGCTGCAAGAAGAAATAATCACTCTGAGGTAGTCACTTGGGTAGACAGGGGAACGTGCTGCACGCTTAGCCAGGGACTAGGGACAAAGAGAGCAGCCTGGGGAACACGGGCATATGGACAAGAGAGGCCTACAGGAAAAGTTCTCATTAGTTCCACTCAGCGTCGAAGCAAGAGAGAGAAGTGCAAATTGTGAGATAGGATAAGTATATACAGTGAAGCCCCGTTAGTCCGGACCCCGATAATCCGGATGTCTCGCCTCCCGGACGATTTCAGCTTGTTACCAATCTATGCCTATATAATTTGCCTCGATAATCCGGAAATTCGGTTTCCGGAACCGGACGGTAAGTAGCTGTCACCAATCAGTGAAATAAACAGTAAATTGCTTCACAGGCCGGATGCTGTAAGTCTTGTTCACGAACCGTAACAACACCTCCCAGCGATGTTTACTTAACTGGCCGCAAACAATAAGCACTCGGTGTCATGAAGTTGACAAGATGAACTGCGGCCCTGTCTCGAGCAAGAAACGCCTAACATCAGAAAATGGAGGAGGCGCTCTTTTTATGGATGAATGACATGACCAGTAAGAATGCAGCTGTTAATGACGAGATGTTGATTCTGAAAGCGAAAGACTTCGGTGACAAGTTGTCAATTAAGGATTTTGCGTATTCTCATGGATGGCTGGCCAGATTCAAATCTCGACTCCCTATATTGAAGCAAGTGCTCCAGGGTGAAGCAGCCAGTGACGACAAGACTGCAGTCATCGCGGGGAGAGAGGAACTGAAGAAAGTTTTAAGCGAGTACAACGCCAAAGCCATTTTCAACATTGATGAAACAGGACTTTTTTACAGATTAGGACCAAATTACACCCTAGCAACTAAAGCCACGTCTGGTGTGAAACGTTCAAAGGACAGAATAACTGTGGCATTGTGTGCAAATGCAAGCGGAACTGTGAAAGTAAAGCCATTTGTGATCGGTAAGGCAAGAAGACCAAGGTGTTTTGGACGTGATTTCAACCCAGAAGTCTATGTGAGATATCGACACAATACAAAGGGGTGGATGACAAGTGAGCTGTTTTGTGATTGGTTTTTGTACTTTGACAGACAGATGCGGTCACATGGACTTAAAGTGATTTTGCTTCTCGACAACGCTGCAAGTCACAAGTGTGCTTCACTAACTTTGCGAAATGTGACCTTGCATTTTTTGCCACCAAACACCACGTCACATATTCAACCGATGGATGCAGGAATAATTCGGACATTCAAAGCATACTACAAGAGATCGCTTGTTAGACATTACCTCACCTGTGCTGAGGAAGGGCGTGATCAGACTCTGAGACAGGCACTTCTCTTTGTGAAAACTAGTTGGGAGGAAGTTAGAGCGAAAACAGACATGTGGATATTATTTCTCATGAAGGTGATTCAGATTCTGTGGATGAAGATGACATTGCGTTGTCCGAATTGAGACTACTCCTTAATGAGTATCCTTCATCGGATGTTGTGAGCGCTGAAGAATATGTCGACGAAAAAGACAGTGAATCAACATGCGAGCCGCTCACGGACAGCGTAATCATTGACATTGTTCAGCCAACTGATGATTGTGAAGAAGAAGAGGAGGAAAGTGATCCAGCCCCCGTTCCACCAAGTTCGACTGAGGCAGAGAAATACCTGGAAAGTCTGGTGACATATTTTGAGACAATCGGCGATGAGATGTCACTCGGTAAAATTATTGATGTGAAGAATTCAATGAAGAAGGTTAAACGAACACAAACAACTATGAAAGAGTTTTTGCTATGAGGAAGGTTAAACGAACACAAACAACTATGAAAGACTTTTTGCTGTGAGGAAGGTTAAACAAACACAAACAACTATGAAAGACTTTTTGCTATGAGGAAGGTTAAACGAACACAAACAACTATGAAAGACTTTTTGCTATGAGGAAGGTTAAACGAATACAAACAACTATGAAAGACTTTTTGCTGTAACTATAATTTATTGTTGTGCATGCTATTCATCGTTTTATAAGCTTTACATTAAATGCTTATTTGTTTTATCCAGAGTCGTGTCGTTTTTGTAATAGTACGGGAAGCAACTCTTGCTTGAACTTGGGTCTTGATTCAGTAGTCCGGACGATTCTAAATCCGGACGAATTTGCTGAGAAACGCAATCGTCTGGATTAACGAGGCTTCACTGTAAATATACAATTTATATTTAAATTTCAGAAAATACTTGTCATGTTTCAAGTATTCTGAATTCTGATTATATGTGGCAAGGTGAAACTTTATTTCATGTTGTATTCAAGATTATTGCAATCGACCACACCCCCGTTTTGTGTTGACATACGTCATCCATTTGTGTCAAGATCGTTTAGTTGAGGGTCAAAATCGGGTTTCAAGCGACTTGCATAATTAACAGTAAAGAATCAGTAGGTGTCATGGGTGGTGATTGATAGGTCAACCATCCATGATTATGTTTACATTAAGTTTTAATCGACTACATGCGATGGTAGCGTAGCGATCGGCAAAGCAGGCTGGTAGGGTACACCATAGTGTCCGGCCTTGCTAGAATGTATTGTACTGTGTAGCAATTCAAGTCGGAGATCATCTAAAAAAAAAAGTTTTTTAATCTTTAATCTTCGCAAAGACACGAGGGCCTGAGGTGTATCCTGGGTATTTGAACCTATTGTTCTGAGGTATAGATGTATATTTCTGATGATGCATCTGCGTATCAGACGTTTGTCATCTAAATATTGGGTTTGTTATTCTGATTCCTTGTCTATGAAACAGCAAGAAACAAGCATCACCTGTGCCCCAGATCCAATGGCTGCTGATCCAGACAAGCAGACGAGTGTTTGTGTCAGTTATTTATTGAATGAGTGAGTAGTTTTGTGATCATTTTTACGGACAAAAATATGTATGTTTTAGAATCAATGTCCCACCCTGATAGAATTTCGGGTTAGAATAAGCCCCAAGCAACCTATGTGTTTAAGATGAAGCAACCAGGTGTTGCTCATGCTATCAACCTGTGTATTTTCTGTTCCTGACTTGATTGTTTACAAATTGATGTCATATAAGCTTTAATATTGCTGAGTGTGTCTTAAAAAAGTAAAAACAAAAGAAACAATATCTGCATCAAATGGCCTGTTTTGTTTTTTATAAAATAATTTGCTTTGAATGTTATTTCATGATTATTTGCCACAAAATATAACAAGCTAACAATAATTGATAGTTCATTGGTTGTAACAGACTGTTATTTTTCCTTATCCTGACTCATGCTCTTTTGCTTGTCCCCTTCCTCTCTTGCTAACATAGTGGAACACTTGTATCTCCTTAATTGAAGCCCCTTCAATGTAAAATCACTAATTGGTACTCACCCACGAGTTACCTCCCCGTCAGTAGCTGAACAGGTGTCGCCACCCTCTGGCCCTCATGCTTCACTCTCCTTCTTCGCCCAGTGAGCAGGATGTGAGAGCCTGTGTCTCCTTACACACTATATCCTTTGGTTTTCTTAGTTAGTTACCTTTATAGTTTACTATAAAGGTATAGCTAGTATCCTTCAGTTATTTGCATTAATAATTAATCGTGATTTCTACTGTTTATTCAATGGAGTTCGTGATTGTTCAGCTAGTTTTACATTGATGAAAAACTGTACTATTTGTAGATTACGCTTCCGCCGCCATGATCCGCATGTGGTATGCCCTAGTTGTACTACGCCTTCAGCGCTTGACTCCACGCTGCAGTTACTGCATAAATTTAACCAATTCTGCCTTTGATAAATACCATCTTTGCGCCTTTGAGACGTGTTGCAGATAGGTCACGCAAACTAGGTGTAGACATGGCCGATACGCCGGATTGCCCATCCAGTCAACTGTTGTCGAAGTGATCCCCTCCCCGCCTGGTGTTCTGTTTTGAGACCCCATCGGAAGAGGGACGTGGGATGCAGTCCGTCACCTCTAAGAAGCTTAATCGCCTCTCCAGACATCCAGTCATCGCGAGACAAAGTCCAAGAGGGCCTCAACGTCTTCTCAACGCAGAGACTTCGCACCCCAGGGCAGCTGCTCTTCCTCCAAAGGGAAATCTAATAAGTCATCGAGAACTTTCAGCCGAGATCGCTCCAGCAGCAGAATTGGGCCTCCACGATGACCAGCCTATCATCATACCCGACATATGCCTACAAGAAGCTTACCAGTGACAGCGACAGTGACGCCAGCAGAGATCACCAAGCAGCCTGATGCCTCTACACTGATGTCAGACGAGATCGCTGAGGGCCCCACCGCTAACAACACAGCAGAGAGGGCACCATCTACTACGCCGCAGAGATCATCCCTAACGATCTTATGAAACAGATCATGATTATGATGGAAGGCCACTATAGACTGGAGAAGCAGCCATCCCAGGGTCCGAGTTTCGCTGAAGGCTCCAACGTGACAGCACCCCAGGGCACCATCTGTCAACGAGCAGCCACGACAATGCAGCCTTCGCCGGCGAAGTCACAGACCACCTCGACGGCGACCCAGATGTACAGCCTTCGCTGAAGGCCTTCGCTGGCTATGGAAGAATCATCACCTTCTTCGGGCGCCATACTCAGATAACGGAATCTGATCATCAGACCACACGCAAGCCTTCGCTTAAGGTCATATCATCGCTCCCCAGGACCGACGAACGGCTTCGCTGGCATGCTCGCTGGGACACCTGAACCCAGATCGCCTTCATCTAAAAGATCAGCAAGGGACTACACAAGAGCTTCGCGGGTTATCAGTCCCCTCATAGGTCGCCAAGAAGGTCAACCTATCGATATAGATCACCAAGACGATCACCTCGCCATCACCACGCCGATCACCTCACAGGTCTGCACATAAGCCTACAACTAGATCTCCACAAGCCAAACGATATAGAGATAGAGCCACACAGCCCTACATCAGAAGAGCAACAACCTCTTATCTATGATGATGGAATGGAAGATGATGGAGGAATTATTTTCTCAGATGCAGAGATAAGATATTGGATGGTCAATAATCTAGATCTCTCATCACCTTCCAAGAGTGGCAATAAGGCTTAGACTTATCTGATGAAAGAAGATGACGCAGAGATGCTATTACACTACCCCCAATCAACCCGATGGCGGGCGGTACCTCAGAACCTAGATACAGCATTTAACAAAGCCACAAAGGTTCAGACGCCACATTCTGTTAAATTTCAGCCAAGAAGTTCTCCACGATAATATGGAACCCTTCTTCAAAGCGCAAGACATCGATGAGAACTATAAGCTGATCTCCCATGCCAAGAACAAGTACTACAAGATTGATGATCGGAAATTGGTTCAGATAGAAACCATGACGAGGCGTGATGTTCTTTGGTCTAAATAGATCTAGAACAATAAATGAGACACTTATCTCCAGATTTCGAACACTAATCTCTGAAGATGACAGAATGATTTACTCGGCCCTACTGATGCAAAAGAAGGACCAGCAGTTTTTAACAGATCATCTGACGCCTGTCTCAGCAGCACTGACCTTAGCTCGTCAGTCAAGGCCTCCTAGCTTCCTGCAACTGGGGTGAGAACTTTACAGCTCCACTATATACAGCCCCGTGGGTCTTCCCCATCCATATTTGACGGAGGAATAGACACAGTCTCCAAAGAAGTCACCAAGGATTCTAGAGAAGTCCTGATGATTAAATCGATGGACACGCTTAGCCAGTGTCATTCGACAGACTTCACAAAGATACTCAGGAGATCTAAATTCACGGGCCTACAAAGAGCTAGAGACAGGAAGATTGCCAGTTCCAGGGGAAGAGATTCTTTCGTCACCATATGGCAACTATAGAGGAGGGTCAGGACGAGGCAGGACACCCAGAGGTTCCCCGCAACTATAAACGCTGAAAGACAGGTTCGAATCCACTGGAGTCTTCCACCCCAGCCGCTCCAGTACAACCGCCACAAGTGGGTGGACGCCTTCAACTACACTGGGAAAAACTGGGGAATACTTCAAGACACCTATGTCTCCAACATTCTTCAACGCTGATTTCAGATCCCACTACAGGCCAAGCCTCCACTAACAGTCAACCCTCACAAGTTCGAGGTAGAGGCACAACAACTACTAAAGTTAAGAGAGGCGGTTACATTACTCCTAACCAAGCAGGCCATAGAAGTAATAGAGCAAGGAAACATCGAACCAGGTTTCTACTCCCCAGTTTTCCTAGTACCCAAGAAGAACTCCAAGGAGAAATACAGACTCATTTACAACATGAGCTTCTTCAACAAGACTTACTTAAGCAGACCACCCAGGTTCACTATGATACATCTACCGCAGCTACGGCAGATGATTCGCCCCATGGACTACATGGGCAGTATAGATCTACAAGATGCTTATCTGCACATCCCAATACATCCCGAATCCAGGAAATACCTTCGGTTTACGCTTAGACGGGTTACATTACCAGTGGAAAGTACTCCCATTCGAATAGCATCAGCCCCATGGTTATTCACGAGGATAACGAAACCGATTGTTACTTCTATCTACATCGCTAAGGGCTACGAGTGCTCTTCCTCGACGACGGGATACAAGTAGATCAAGATCCACAGCATCTCAAACTACAGTTAAACTACATCATAAAGCTACTAACACAGCTGGGATGGTTAGTAAACTTTACACAAGTCGGACCTAGTACCATCGCAAGATCTGCAATTCCTAGAACTGATTTATCACCAATCTCAACCGTGATAGTCGTACCAGAAGACCGCTGGCTCAAGATCCAACAGATCATTCCACCAGCTCTACTTTCACCGCTACCACTTCGACAATGGCAGAGCTTTACTAGGTCTTCTAACATCAGCCCAAGACTTGACAGTCATAGGCAGATTACAGTTATGGCCCACTACAGGTCTTCGCCAATACACATCTCGACGCACCTACAACCATTCAGTCTACCGATACATCTCAGACCTCATCTATTATGGTGGACAAAGAAATCGAATGTCTGCGAAGGGATTTGTTTAGCAGAGCAGGAATTCAAGACCCATCTATATGTAGACGCTACGCCCAAGGTTGGGGAGCTCATCTCTCCAACCGACGGCATCAGGGTTATGGACTCAGCTAGAAAGCAAACCCACATAAACGCATTAGAGATGAAAGCTGTAATCAACGCCATAAGACATTGGAGCAACATTCTACAGAATGCGACTCTGATGATACATACCGACAACTCGACAGTGGCGCTTTTATGTGAACAGACAAGGCTCAACGAGATCGCTACGAACCTTTTGAATTTAACCTTTCAACTGTTCGAATTAATCCAAGATCTAAATCTACATGTCAAAGCATGCCACATTCCCGAGCCAGGAATATACTAGCAGACGACTCTCTCTCGCCACATCTACCGTCGCCGACAGAATGGATGCTCAATACAGAGATATTTGCACAGATAATCAAGCAAATAGAGAGCCGCTTAGTAGATCTATTCGCCACAAGGTTCAACAATCAACTACCGACATTCGCGGTCACCAGTGCCAGACCCACAAGCATGGGCAACAGATTTAAGCATTTCATGGAAGGCCTCAATGCGCACGCTCGCTTTCCTCACCCCAGCAATAATACCTCTAGTATTACAGAAAATCAACCAAACGCAGAGCCTACAACTCACTTTGGTCGCCTCTATTGGTCAGCCAGAACGCGGGTTTCACTCTAATACAAGATATCGGTCAACCGCACTAGAACTACCCTGCAAGCAAACCTGTTAATACATCCTCACACCAAACAGGTGCACAGAAACCCAGAAGTATTCAAACTTCAACATTATGGACTGTATTAAAATGTGTTTAAACAAGAGAGGATATTCTACCAGGGCGCAAAAGCGTCACGCTTTGCCTTTACGATACTCAACGCTTAACTTGTAATGATGACAAGTGGCAAAGTTTCAAAATTATGCAACAAACAAGGGTTTTACATGCAGAGATGCTACGCATCCTCAAGTGGCAGACTATTTGTGTTACTTACGCAAAACAAACATTTAAAAGGCTCGACATTGTCAACATATCTTGCCGCGCTTTAGTTCTGTGATTTCTATGAGAACGGGTGTTAAATTAACAAGAACACCAGAGTTACTGGCCTTACTTACGTAAGCTTTTCGATTGAGGACCAAAAGCGGAAATTCCACTTCCAGCTTGGGATCTGAATGTAGTTTTAATGACACCTCATAAGTGAGGATTATGAACCATTGAATCGACAACGCTTGAATTTCTCTCACAGAAAACAGTCTTCCTGTTATCGCTAGCCACGGCAGCCAGAATATCTGAAATTCATGCTCTAGATTATGAGAGGATACAGTTTGATGAAAATCAAAGACAGCACCTGGGATTAAGATGGATTTCATCGCCAAAAATCAACTACCAGGTCAACCAGACAGGTTATTTCACATCCCGCGCTTATCCCTCAATTCTTGGATCTCAAGATACATTGGACTTATCTCTATGCCCAGTAATGAGCTCTCATAATCTATTTGAGTCGTTTCCAAAACAAGGCTTAAGATCGCCAGAAGATTATTCATCCCAAGCTATCGCCTACAAATCAGACAGAAGTCTCTCGCACTCACCATATCTATATGGATAAGAACTGTCATTTTACGCCTATAAGGCAGCAGGACTGGACCCTCCAACAGCATCAAATCCCCATGAAATCAGGGCATTGGCATCCACCCTCGCCCCTTCATGGTAACTGTTCATTGAATACAATTATGGAAGGATGCTTTTGGAAATCTAACATGGTGTTTGCTAATCACTATCTCAGAGATATCACCACCGAGGACGCCTCTGGCATTCATCATTTCGGGTCCTTTGGTCCCTGGCCAGCAATTGACAGTCCCTCAGTGAGCGTTAATATTCACCCCCACGAGATTATTAGATATATGATAAAGCATATATTCACTAGCTTATAACTCCATGGAGTTCTAGGGCTATGTACATATTTAGCTTAGGTTATTCAACCTTAAGCTCATACTGAGTTATATTCAGTGTACAGCCACGCTAGAGTAGCAGTTTATATATATATATTGATATATCAGTATATTAGTAAGGTAATAACCCCACTTATAGTGTATATATCTATGGCTTATTATAAAGGAAATATCCTAAGTCTCAATGCCTTATGAAGTTCCCGCATGGGGTTATTACTATATCACTTACTTAAATCACTAATTAATCCAAAGTATTCTGTTTACCCACCACCTCTCCGTGGATTCTACAAGCAAAGAGCATGAGTCAGGATAAGGAAAAATATGTAATTTTTTGAGTAAAATTGATATTTTATACTTATCCTGACTCATGAGGTTAGCCCCTCCCATCCTCCCCACATAACACTTTGGATTTCCTGTAAATTCAAGTGTTGGGCCGCAAAATCAGGAGAGAGTGAAGCATGAGGCCAGAGGGTGGCGACACCTGTTCCCCGCCACGGCAGGGGAGGTAACTCGTGGGTGAGTACCAATTAGTGATTTTACATTGAAGGGAGCTTCAATTAAGGAGATACAAGTGTTCCACTATGTTCGCAAGAGGAAGGGACAAGCAAAAGAGCATGAGTCAGGATAAGTATAAAATATCAATTTTACTCAAAAATTACATATTTACAACTGATGATTGATGATGAAATCCTAACAGAACTGAATTATTGACCAAGAAATGCCTGAAAAATATACAGCAAGCATGATTTTGCTTTCAATCATCAGTATAACAGACAATGAGGAATCTTTTACAATGTCTGTCATCTGCACACTTCTGGTTGATGGAGAGACGGCGCCATTCTACAAGTCCCTCCTGGAGGCAAACATTGGCAGTGACTATTCACCAGCCATTGGGTAGGTAGATGAACAACACCTGTAGAGAGTAATGAAAGGTCAGAAACAGGTCAAGGTCATATCAGTAGGTATACAGTTGGCAGACATGATACAATATAAGCAAGATCTAATTTATTTATTGGTAATGAATTACCAAAAGAGACAAAAACTTGTTAATCAACTTAAATACTTGTTGTGTTTGACAAAATGTAAATCAAGTTAAATACTTGTTGTGTTTTACAAAATATAAGTCAAGTTAAATACTTGTTGTGTTTGACAAAATGTAAATCAAGTTAAATACTTGTTGTGTTTCACAAAATATAAGTCAAGTTAAATACTTGTTGTGTTTTCACAAAATGTAAATCAAGTTAAATACTTGTTGTGTTTCACAAAATGTAAATCAAGTTAAATACTTGTTGTGTTTTACAAAACCCGGACTGCCTACAGGTACGACGGACATACAAGAGAAGCTACCTTCTCTGTGGGTTTGCAGGGAATTCATGAAAAGGACACAAACAGGGTTCGACAGATTATTGCTGACACCTTTGACAAAGTGATACAGTGAGTTCACGAAGCATCCTTGTTCTTCTCTTGACTCATGTCAATGTTATTATGAGTATTTTTGTATACCGTTTTTAGCAACATCACAGCAAGGGACACCAGAAATGGGCTTCACACATTGTACCCATGTGGGGAATCGAACCCAGGTCTTCAGCGTGATCGCTTTAACCACATCACACGCTTTTAACCACAAGGCTACCCCAACGCCCCCGAAGTTTTTATGAGATCTATATATGAGGTTTGAATGTTTATGGTCAGCTTGAAAACTAAAGGTGATACATGCAGAGTTGCCTCCCTTGTATGTTCCATTGAAAAATCCTTATAGTTTTACCATAAGAGTGAGGTGATAGTGGTATGGGTTTATCAAAGAAATAGACTTAGAGGAATATCAGACTGACTGCAGCTCTAAGTAAGATCTAGGGTGGTATAAATACTTCAGGTAACAGGGGAGAGTACATTCTTTGTAAAATATCAATTTAAAAAACCCCACATCAGGTAACATTCAATCATGTTTGTTTCAGGGAAGGGTTTGATCAGAAGAGAATTGATGCGCTCCTTCACAGCATAGAACTAGCCCTCAAACACCAGAGCAGCAACTTTGGTCTGGGACTTGGAGTGGTGTGTCTATTTCTTTTTATGTGATGTTTGGTTTTGCTAATAACATGATTTGTATCTGAACTTGTCGTTGGACAGTTCCATTAGTATTCTTAGGTTCGAATATTTAATATTTTGTTTAATGCTGCTCTCAAGAATATTCTAACTGTATATGATCAGTGGTCTGTAAATAACTAATTCTGGACCAGACAGTTCAGTGACTGATATCATGAGCATCTGATCCATGTTATGATGACATGCAATCCACCATGTCACCAAGGCTGGCCACCTGACCAGTTAACATGAGACCATCTACATGTTCAACATTCAGTATCTCACAAGTAGTGGTTGACTTGCAAAGATACACCTTATGGCTACACTACACCTGTAAGGGACCGTTCATAAGTTATGGCTAGAGGAGAGTGATAATGAATTTTATGGAGAAGCATGTACAGTGTGAATGCAAAATAATGATAATAGTTTACTGTACTACTGAGTCAATCCCTTTACTGTAACAAATACCATATTAGTTAGTGCAAGTATTCCCTTGGTCTGTGGACCGCCTCCGTGGTGTAGTGGTAAGAGCGTCCGCCCGGAGAGCGGAAGGTCGCGGGTTCGATCCCTGACCGCGTCATACCAAAAGACGTTAAAATATGGTACTTGTTGGTCCCTGCCTGGCGCTCGGCATTATTGGGTACAACAAGGACTGGTCGGCTCGGAGTCAGTATAATGTGTCTGAGTCGGGTATTCATGCTTCACTGCGGCGTGGTATCTCAGTGGGCTAGCACTATAAAACCAGCTTAAGTCTGGGCTAGTACAAGCAGCCGAACATACACATACACACGCATGCACGTCGTCATATGAGCGAAATATTCTCAAGCACGATGTTAAACCCAATTTCACCTCACCTCACCCCCTTGGTCTGTACTGCCATACAGCTGGAATATTGCTGAGTGCGGCATAAAACTAAACTAAACCCTGATGTGTTAGTTACCCTTTCAACTCATTGCATAAATTTACATCCTTGTTTAACTGCTGTGTCCTTCAGTCAGTGATTTCCCACTGGATCCATGACAGCGACCCGAGCAGCCACCTACAGGTCAACCAGAGAGTCGAACAATTTAAACAGAAGCTGAAAGATAATCCCCGCTTTCTCCAGGAGAAAGTGAAGCAGTATTTCAAGGCAAGTGGAGCAACTGTTTGAATATTTAGGAATATAGGTTTGGGTCCCACCTGTCTGAATACAAGAATGACATTTTTGATACTTCATTAAGAGATAAATATGTTGATCAGTTTTGAAAACCGGCATTGGCTTTATACTTTAGACAGAGTTATGGCCCTTGTTTCATCATTTGGACATGGTGCACAGGACAAACAGTGGGAACAGGTTTTCTTGAGTACATATATGGATATAAGGGCATTTTTCATGCATCATTAAGGGATATATGTACATCAAGTTCCCTCAAGTGGGACACACTTTAACTGAAACAATTTTAGATACCTGGATTACATTTTGAAAACTCCAAATGGAGTTTGAAAATGAGCATCAAGAAGTAAGAGTTATGGTTCTTGTTTGATCTTTTGCACTTGGTGCACAGTTATACCACAGGGGACAGGTCTCCCTGGTAACCACTACAGAACAAATACAAATGAAAAATATGCATCTGGTGAGGATAGGGTTCTTTTCAAGAACATATACTGTTTAATATATATACCTGAACTATTCTTACATTTCATTACATGCTTAATATGTAACATTTGTTTAATTTTGGATTTCACTTTCTTATCAAAGTACAAATTCTAATACTTTTTTTAGTCGACTCAAACCCACACTGTCAGAATGAGGCACTAAATTGCCAGTCAGCAATCTGATGCTTCCACAAAGATGGATGTATTTTTGTACCAACTTTGTGTACCCTTCTGACAAGATTTAAGTGGCATGGCTCCATTTGCTGAAAGTTATGAGTACGCAATACCTTTCAGTATTCTGGAACCTTTTATTACAGTGAATAGGGTACTTTTCCTTTCATAGTGCCATTACATTCCTTGCAGAACACGGTGCTGGGGTAGCTAGCCTAGTGGTTAAGGTGTTCACTCCTCACATCAAAAACCTGAGTTCGATTCACCACATTGGCACAATGTGTGAAGCCCATTTCTAGTGTGCCCGCCGTGATAATGCTGGAATATTGCTAAAAGCCGCGTAAAACTAAACTCACTCACTCACTCCTTGCAGAACAATCCCCACAACTTGACCTTGAGCATGACCCCAGAGAGCAGCTTTGAGGTCAAGAGGCAGGAAGCTGAGAAAGCCAAACTGAACTCTCTGGTATCAGCACTGACAGACCAGGATAGACAAGTCATCATTAAACAGAGTAGGTAGTTCAAGTATAACCCTTTGGGTTTCTAAATATGAATAGGTTATTATAAGAGTAAACTCTGTTGGTCTTCAGAAACCCATGCTTGTCATAAGACGTGGCTAATAGGATTGGGTGGTCAGGCTCGCTGACTTGGTTGACACATGTCATTGTATCCTAATAGATTGATGCTTATGATGTTGATCACTGGATTGCCTGCTCCAGACTTGATTATTTATATACTGCTGTCTTATAGCTGGAATATTGCTACGTGCAACAAACAAACAAACAAACAAACAAACATTCATCATTTTAACTTTGAAATACCTGTCAAAGCTTTAAGTAATAACAACTGACTCATTCCTGGCTAACAAAAAGAAATTGAGAAACCCCTGTTATATAAAACTGTACCCACACTATCGGACTGTATATAATCTCCGGTTCTGTGTTGTTCAGCTGAAGAGCTTCTTAACAAACAGAATGCAGCTGAAGACCTGTCCTGCCTACCTACACTAAGGGTGTCTGATCTCAACAAGAACATCAAACGAGAGAAAGTGGAGACAACAAGTTTAGGTGAGCATGTAACTAAGTTGAGCATGAAATCTTTTATTATGACCTCGGGGCCTTGTCAAATCTGTTTTAATTCTTGGATTACACTGAAGTACTGTGTATCAACTTCATTGTCAAGGTGGACTTTACACCAAGGTGGACTACACCAGGGTTTGATGTCCATGATCTCGATGTTTAGTACCTTGTATGAAGTGTCTCATGTGTCTGTATTATTACAAAACTCGGACATAGCTCAGCATCAATAGAGTTGAGTTCGCCATCAGATGGATAGTGCAGTCTTGTTGGGTCTGTCAACTTGCCTAAGCCTCTTAAGTTCCTTTAACAGCTGGTTCCCGAGAAGATCTGGGTTAGAATTGACCTTCAGTAACCCATGCTTGTCGTAAGAGGCAACTAACGGGATTGGGTGGTCAGATTCACTGACTTAGTTGACCATTTTGTCGTATCCCAATGTTGGCCTATACTAATATCATGTATAGAAATTAATAAACTCCAGGATGTAGAGCTGCAAAAATAAACTGCACACTGACTAAATACATTGTCATCTGATTGTATTATGGGCCGACAGCCTCTTTACTGAATAAACACTGTCTGTTGGATCCCAATTGCGTAGATCGGTGCTCATGCCATTGATTATTGGATTGTCAGGTCCAGACTCGATTATTTACAGACTGCTGCCATATAGCTGGAGTATTCCTGAGTGCGGCGTAAAACTAAACTCACCCACCCCAGTGACTGTTGTGTTTCAGGAAATGTCCCCATCTGGTACAGCAAGCAGCCAACCAATGAGGTGGTGTACATGACACTTCTATCCAACATGGCCGACCTGCCATCACATCTGTACCCCTACGTCCCTCTCTTCTGTAATGTCATTACAAAGTGAGTGAAACAGTCCATGGCTTTATGGACATTTCTTCAAGCAATAAGGGGAGATAAACCATGTATTGTGGTGGTATAGTTTAAGGGCATATTTGATCAGAAATAGGGTCTAATAGCACCCAAACCCCATGTTTGTAGTATTGATAGGGTTATCTCCCTTGGTACTGCATTTGATAAGTACCGGTAGTATCAATAATGTGTCGATTGGATGTCACACATCCGAAACAATGTAATATACAATAAGGCTGACATTGGTACATGTCGTCAGTTTATAAATTTGTTTGCAGGGGGGATGGGTGTGTGTGTGTACCTCTCTTCTATTAATACCCGTGAAGGTCCGGGTTAGAATATTGATCTTTAGTAACCCATGCTTGTCGTAAGAGGCGACTAACGGGATCGGGTGGTCAGGCTCGCTGACTTGGTTGACACATGTCATCGGTTCCCAATTGCACAGATCAATGCTCATGCTGTTGATCACTGGATTGTCTGGTCTGGTAAGGATGTACATCTCAGTTGCCTGTACTTGTCATTATAGACTAATTATATGGATACACTGACTTGGTTCATTGCATGTTATTGTATCCAATTTACATGGATTGAAGTTTGTGATGACAATCACTGTATTGTCTGGTCCAGATTCAGTTATTTACAGGCCACTGTAGTTGGAATATTACTGGGTGAGGCATTAAACTGTAAACACATGCAGCCACAGGTGTCTCCTCCTTATGTTTTGTCCAGAATGGGTGCTGGTCCGTATGACTACAAGTCTCTGTCGGAAGAGATGCAGCTGTATACCGGTGGATTGTCCTCAGGGCTGACGGTAGACAGTCATCACACGGAGCCCCACGCCTTCCAGCAGGTCAGTGTTGTAACTCATTATGTATCATAATACCTGTACTATACACAGAGACACTAAGGGGAAAACATAAAGAAGAGTTTGGTCATGTTTGTTTGAACCTGCTGTTATTGTTACGAGGCAATAAAAAATAATTTGTTCAGACAAACAAGAGACATGAGAAACAGGTGAAAAACATTAATGGCAGCTCAATGTTCAATGACGTTACAAAAATGATATGTCACAAGTAATAGTAATAGTAATAGTCCGCTTATATGGCGCTCATATCCAGGCACATTGCCTGCTCACGGCGCTACGTACATTACTATGACACTATCGTACTTTCCGATACTTTTTCAACTCCCTGGGGATCATACAGCCATGCTGCCTGTTAGGCGCAATGAACTTAACACTCACATTTCCAGCACATCCCCACGGGTACCCATTTTACAGCTGGGTGAACTGAAATAGGGTCTAACTGAAATGTGGATCTAAGTATCTTGTCCAAGGATACTACGCAAATGTGCCCACCTCGGGACCCGAAGCTAGGTGCCTCCACCGGGGATCGAACCCAGGCCTTCAGCATGATAGGCAGACGCCTTACCACTGCGCTCCATGTCACAAGTCAGTACAGAGTGTGGTCCCCATGAGATTGTTTGACGGCATGACACCTGTGTTTGCATTAAACTAACTACATGTCTCATTATAGTCCTGTGAAAAGGCATTCAAGATCAACACGTGTGTTAATGCAAATTCCACAGTGTATCTGGTGCATGTGGTCATTTTTCAAAGATGTAGGGCACCATGTTAACATGATTCTACAGTTTTTGGTGTACAAATTGTGGCACATGAGGTAGGGGTGAAACGGTGTACTGCGGTATTTTGCCTTGGTACAGTAATGCAATCCAAACATTCAGTATTTTGGGTTTCCATACTGTCATTTATTATCCTTTTTAAACCTTTTCCAAAATGTCTAGAAATTGAATCATTTTGTCAAAATCTATCTAGGTTTTGCTCTTGTAGGTTTTCTGCATTATGATCATATCTCATATAACGAATCGAAATGGACCGAACCGAAGGCCTTGTATCGCAATACGCACCGTACCATGGTAAGAGCATACTGTTTCACCCCTAACATGAGGTCTGGCATTGTCTCACAAAAGTCAGGATTTTCTCATCTCCGTAAATCTCTGATGATGATGATGATGATGATGATGATTGTTTCTCCTACAGGGTATCATGTTCTCCTCCCACTGTCTGGAAAGAAACCTGGACAAGATGGCCGAACTCTGGACACACATCTTTACCAGGTCAGGTGGACAGCATATTAGGGGTTACTTTGGGATATCTCTTGTACAGAGTTTTGTTGACATTAGTTGACTTACAATCTGTTCAATACAGAGTTTCTCCACTTCAAATTTAAATATTTTTGTAGGTCAAAAGTGTATCTGATACTCTCCATCACTGAATACCATAACCTTGCCCAAGGTCAGTTACAAGAAAGCCTACAAATGTAAAGTCCAGGGTGCCGTTGTACAAAACAACCTTAGCACTACGACTACCTTAAGTCTATGTTAAGGTGTGGGAGTTATGGCCACCTTAGCACTAATATCGCTTTTGTACCTTAACGGCACCCAGAGCCTTAGTTTTTACTCAGCAATATTCCAGCAACCTCTACTAAGGTTAGTCCGACCAGACAAACTCCCATTCTTTAACATTGCACTAAGGCTACCTTAGTGACTTACACCTTAGTGCAATGTTAAGAATGGGAGTTAAGGTTAACCTTAGTTAAGGTTGCTTCGTGAAAGGAGCCCCTGGTGTACACTATAACATAGGTTTTCCACAACCTGGCACAGTTCCAGTGGCAATCTCATGTATCGGTACCCAAGGATGGGTCTCATACTTTTATTCTTGTTAGGTATTGATTCACTCTCTTCACTGAATGGCCTGGCACTCGCATTAATGGGTACAACAAGGACTGGTTGGCTCAGAGTCAGTATAATGTGTCTGAGTAAGGTATTCATGCTTCACTGCGGCATGGTATCTCAGTGGGCTAGCACTATAAAACCAGCTTAAGTCTGGGCTAGTACAAGCAGCCGCACATACACATACACGTCGTCATATGAGCGAAATATTCTCAAGCACGACGTTAAACCCAATTTCACCTCACCTCTTCACTGAATGAAAGGTTTTAGTGGAGTTTATACTGCTATTGCTGTAGAGATTGTTACTGTTAAGCAGAAATTATTCCATGTGTAAGTCATAAGTGTTTTTATATATTTCCTCTGTTTTATTCAGCCCAGACTTGAAAGATCTGAACCGACTGACTACATTGATCAACATGGCTGCCAGTGACATGGCTTCAAGTCTGTCCAACTCAGGCCACAGTTACGCCGTGAAACATTCAGCAGCAGGCCTTTCACCAGCCGCACAGCTCAGTGAGACTTTCAGCGGCGTCACACAGGTCTGGAATTTTATATGTATATGTATATACATTCTATATTGAAATAGTTGTCTAAAGGTGCCAATGCCAGTATTGGCTGTGCAGAGTTATGTCCCTTAGGCAAACCAGGAACCTATGATTGTGGGTTCAGTTTGCCCTGTTTATGTTTCTACGTTTGTCAGCACCTAAACTGGGTCGTCACTCAGGGTATTCCTCCGTCAGTCTGGCACATCATTATATATATTGACTTTACACCAGACTCTTTCACTCAAAATATAGCAAAAGAGCGATTTTAGTAGTCTTGTGGTTTTACACTGAAGTCCTGGATTAGATTCATTATTTATTGAAAATACAACAATCAGTGACTTTTAAGGATCACAATTGTGATAGATGTTTTACATTTGATTCCTAAATTTAAGTTTGAAATTTGGTCCAATCAGTTTCCTGATTTTTAAGTTCATCTTGTTTCCAGGTGACAACAATGAAGAAGATTGCAGAGTCAGGTGATCACACAGAACTTGTACAACACCTGCAGGAAATAGGGAAACACATCCTGTCCAAACAGAACATCAGGTAGGTGGCGTCTGCTAAGGACTAATATGATGGTGCTTACAATGTGTGAAGCCCATTTCTGGTGCCCCCTGCTGTGATATTGCTGGAATTATGCTAAAAGTGGCATAAAACTAAACTCACTCACTAATGTGATGGTTTACCAGATGAGGAAGTTAGGGAGCATTGTTGTGAAGGCCTTGGCTTTGCACACTGAAGACTCCAAATGTGGAAATGTGGACGCATAGAGAAAAAATAGTTGTCCACTATGTCATTTCCATTTTGTTGTCTTTCAACATCTTCTTTCTTGGACAAATGTGTAAACAATAGGAGGTACAGTAGATAGATCCTGTATGCAATATTTCTCTTTGCAGGGTAATGGTGAATGCAACTCCAAAGTTTATGGACACTGTTCTTGGCAAAATGGAGCACTTCCTGTCAGACATCTACGGGTCACCAGAAGGGGGCGCCACCAAACTGGTGAAGAACCCTTCCTTCGCAGTCAGTTCGTCACACACACAGTTTGAGCTGCCATTCTCGGTCAACTACATGAGCAAGAGTGTACCAGGTGTCATTTACACACATCCTGACTACGCAAGGTAACAGTAGCATCTTGATCAGGGTACTGTTGCACAAAGCTATTATCACCCGTGAAGATCCAAGTCTTCAGCAACCCATGCTTGTCAAAAGAGGCAACTAACGGGATCACTGACTTGGTTTGACACATCATTGTATCCCAATTGTGTAGGTCGATGCTCATTATTGCAATCATTGGATTGTCTAGACTGGATTATTTACTGTAGCTGAACCCGTGAAGATCCAGGTAAGAATTGGTCTTCAGCTGCTTGTCTTAAGAGGCGACTAATGGGATTGGGTGGTAAGGCTCGTTGACTAGGTTGACACATGTCAATATATCTCAAATGCATAGATCATTGCTCATACTGTTGATCACAGGATTGTCTGGTCCAGACTTGATTATTTACAAAATATTGCCAAGTGTGTTGTTAAACAACAAACAAACCAACCTATGGTATGGCTATGACTGCCATAAGTCTGTAGAGGAGTTAAATAGTCGTAGCACTTCAGTAGCTTTTTGAATCAGGACCCAGACCCTGTTCCAGAAAGTGCTTCTGACGCTGTTATTGGTGTAAGACTATAATTACTTTGTGGAATTGTGACCCGCAGAATTTATACCATGGCCTGCATCATATATCACACACAGTTCCAAGCAAAAGCTCATCATATTTGGGATAATCATATCTCCACACACAATGTTCATAATTTATTATTTTGCTGAAGGAGAGATGCAGTGATGGAAACAATATTTTACACTGACAGAATTAGATGCTTCTGTTATTGTGAAGCACTGCCCTGTTGGGTGGAATCTGCTTGGCTCCTTATGGCCTAATGTTGACAATATCTAGTTTGCATTTGACAGTGAAATCAGACAAGGGAGATAAGCGTGTATCTAATAACTTCCAATGTCTTCCAGGTTGAGAATTTTGTCAAATTTACTGTCAAGGAAGTTCCTCCATAGAGAAATCAGGTGAGATAATTAACTCTTGCAACAACAGGTTCTAAATAAATAATTCTTAATTCATGTTAATAATTGCAAGTACCAAATAATTTGATTTGGATTATCATAATAATCAGATCTTTTTGTGAAACATTGAATATGAAACACATCATGGACCCCAAGTGAACATTGCTCTCAAAATCTTCAGCCGATCTGACTTCTGCTTTCTGACAACAAATGGGTTCATTTCATTATGTTGATAAAAATTTTGATTTGTACAATAACTGACAACACTATATTCATTCAATGTTGTAGATGCCAAAGAATCCACAACAATAATATACCGATGATTTATCTACAGTTCTTGTTTTCACAATACAGAAATCCGATAAGGTGGACTGAATGCTTTGCTCACTTGTACTGAGAATTTAGAAACCTTGATGCCGATTGGTCGGTTAGAAAGTACTGAAACATCAGAGTAAAAGACGAGATTGTCTAATGAGTGGAATGTTTTCAGAGAAAAAGGGGGAGCCTATGGTAGTGGAGCCACATGCAGCAGTGGTGTGTTCAGCTTCTTCTCATACAGGTAGGTCCATGTGACTCGTACAACCTCTTGCTGATAAATAAAGTGAGTGAGTGAGTATGGTTTTACGCCGCTTTTAGCAATATTCCAGCAATATCACGACGGGGGACACCAGAAATCGGCTTCACACATTGTACCCATGTGGGGAATCGAACCTGAGTCTTTGGCGTGACGAGCGAACGCTTTAATCACTAGGCTACCCCACCACCCCGATAAATAAAGTCGTATATGGCAGTGATATTCATTGTATAATGATGTTTCAAAATACTAGTATGTGACATTCAGTCAGGGGCAGTGGTGTACTACATTTAGAGGATTTTCTGGTCCAGCCTTGATAATTACAGACCGCCACCATATAGCTGGAATACTGCTGAGTGCGACTTAAAACTAAACTCACTCACTACATTTAGACCTGTGCTATATTTAGACATAAATATCTGGGTTGACTGCCTGTAACAATTTCTAGACTTTTCTTGTGTATATTGCCTCTCCTCTCACATTACATCTTAGTTCTTCGTGCTGGTTCCTGGTTAACACTTAAGTGTTGATTCCCAAGTTGAAACTAAACAAAGTGATAGTCCACCTCAGCCAAAGAGTATAACAATAACATATCCGACTGCTGGCAAGAACAACTTATCATTGGTGCATAAAACATTTCATCCATTTACAGGGACCCTCATTCCCTCCAGACTTTAGATGTGTTCGAGGCTGCAGGGCAATGGGCAGCAGACGGCAAGTTTACAGACCAGGACATTGATGAAGCCAAACTTGGAATCTTCCAACAGGTGAGCATCCTGAATGTAGAAAGGACTCTTAAGAATCCTGGGAATGAAAGTCAAAGTGACTTTGTGCTGTCTTGTCGCATCCAAACTGCTTGAAACGATGAGCCTGAAACCTTCAGAAAGAACTACAATATGGTGTGTATACTGGTTGGTAAATATCTTAGTGGTCAAGCTGACAACTTGAAACAAAAATAAACTCAGAAATTGTTGTGATAATGTGAAATGTTGATAATGTGAAATGTTGAGGCAGGATGTTCAATTTACATGGCGTAATGTATGATGTACCAGGTGGACAAGCCAGTGGCGCCGGGAGACCGAGGATCACTTGTATTCATCAACAGCATCACGGATGACATGAGACAAGCCATGAGAGATGAGCTGTTTGCTGTGTCCAGGAATGACATAACAACAGTGGCAAACAAGTAAGGTGGAATCTGTGAAAGTAGACAAAATTAACATGAGCACAGCTAGTTATGACCCTCATATCAGTCTAATCTCATTGCTTAGAGTATGAGGTGAGGTGAGGTGAAATTGGTTTTTACGTCGTACTTGAGAATATTTCGCTCATATGACGACGACATGCATGTGTATGTGTATGTGCGGCTGCTTGTACTAGCCCAGACTTAAGCTGGTTTTATAGTGCTAGCTCACTGAGATACCATGCTGCAGTGAAGCATGAATACCCCACTCAGACACATTATACTGACTCCGAGCCGACCAGTCCTTGTGGTACCCATTAATGCCGAGCGCCAGGCAGGGACCAACAAGTACCATATTTTAACGTCTTTTTGGTATGACGCGGTCGGGGATCGAACCCGCAACCTTCCGCTCTCCGGGCGGACGCTCTAACCACTACACCACAGAGGCGGTCTTAGAGTATGATGACCTTAGGGGTGAAATAGTAAATGTTGAGCACCAAGTATTTTCATTAACCATTTAAGTGGGAGAGTGAGTACGGTTTAGCAATATGCCAACAATATTTCAGCAATATTACAGCTGGGAACACCAGAAATATGCTTCACAAAGTATACCCATGTGGGGAATTAAACCCAGGTCTACAGCATGACAAGTGAACACTTGAACCCCAGGGCTACCCCAGTGTCCAACAACAATTTCAGTGATCAGACATCAGGGTCCAAGTCCTCCAACCTATTTTGACCATGGCCAGTTTATACAGAGTGTCGGATGATTGCAGTAAATAGCTGAAATATACTATTTTTGAGAATATTGGTAGTGTTACCATTCTAATGAAGACAATAATGTCATTGCCTGGACAAAGGAGCCATGAATATGATAACATGATATAGCATGCTTTTCAATTTACATCACCTGTGAAATCAGAATTAACCAGGGAATATGTGTTACTGAGAAATACAGCGATTAAGTACATACAGTTGTATGCTTCATTATAGATTTCAGAGGGATTCATTATGTCAGTAACACTGAGGTTAAATTTATAAAATTATAATAGAAAGGAGTAGTATACACAATTAGTTATAGTACCCACTGATACAGTATTACCACCCTAGACTGACAAAGTTAGCGGGACATCATATGACCTTTCACTGAATTTTGTGGGGGCGGAATTGGGGTGAAAAGACTTGATAATGGGGTTGCGGCCGTTCTGTCATTGTGTACACTACTAGAGGAAATTGGAAAAATAATTATGACAAAATAATTTTTGTCAAGTTATTACATGTTCATTCCAGGTACTTGCTGAACAAATCTGGAGCACAGGGAGTGTCCTTCCTGGGCCCAGCCAATGAAACAGTCCAGGCAGACAAGACATGGACGATCATCAAGGAGTGAGATGTCCAGCATCTCAGAGCTTGACACTGTCATCTGCAGAAAGTGCTATGTTACTGGCCTTCTATAAACACTGGGTGTATAACAAGTCATATTCCCTTCATTTTTGGTAGAGGCTGTGGAATATATAATTCAGGTTAATCAGATTTCTGTGATGTGGCCATATTGCTAGTGACAACAACCAACACCCTTTTAGTAAGTAATTATTGAATATAGGTAGTAGTGAAAGTACCCGTAACAAGGAAAGGAAGAGATAAGACCACATGTGTGAAATTCTTCTCTATTTCCCATCCATATTTCCACAACTTGATAAATTCTTCTATCCTTGGCATTTCCTGTGTAAACTTTAAGCTGAAGTAGTCGTGCGTGTGCTGGCCATATTGACAAGAGTGATAGTTGTGCACGTGAAAATATGTGTGTGTGTGTGTTAAATTGTAAAAAATGAAAATGTGAATAAACCTACCGAATCATTCTCGTGGGCATGTTTTTAGTGAAGTGGCGATACAAAAGGGAGATAACTCTTGACACTTTAACAGCATTATCCTGAGGAGGCTGTAAAACTGAGGTCAATGTTTGTTCCACATTTCAGGTATTCCTTTTATTAAAGTAACACATTTCCACCTCCATGTGTTCAACTTTAAAACACTAAAATGCAGTTTTGTATTTTTTCTAAGATGAAATTATGTGAAACCGTTCCCTGCACTCCAGTTAATTCTCATACTTGCACAAGTCTACATGGGCGGATCAAGGAATTTTGAAAAGAAGGGGTTTGCCAATGCAAAAAAAATATCTTCAATGTGATCTTAAGTCATTTTTGATGGGGGCTAACCCCCCTCTGGATCCGCCACTGAGTCTAGCAGGAAAGGAATAGGCATACGATGATGTGTCAAACATGTAAGCGAGTCTGACCACCCGATAGTCGCCTCTTACAACAAGCATGTGATGCTGAAAAACACGAATCTTCACGGTTATAACTCAAAAAGTGTCTAGCCATGGCCATAACAAAAGTGACTAACTTCATGAGTACAGACTTGCAGCAAGGCTATCTAATTATCTACACTATATTGAGGAAGAAGAATTAACTGTTTTCGTACTATAACAAATTACTGCAGGTAGCTTTTATAGCAACAGTTCTCCTGCAACATGTGTATCGCGTTAGCCCTGAATCCTACGCAAAGACGCTATCTTTGTGTGCAGGGCGATCGAGTCATGTTGATCCTGGGCCCAACGCTCGCGTGTTAGGTATTCCTTCAATCAAGGACAAACTCTCACCTCGGACCATAGTCACTCTTCTTAAACATGGCGTGCGACTGACACGGTGTATCATGCAAACCAGTTGACTTGAGATCAGACGTAAGGCGTCCACAGACAAGCGTGGTGTCAGTTCAAACAGTGTCAGTAGACCGATTAGAGGGGGATATAGCTTGAATTAAGTTAAAGTCACGTTCGAAGGAGTTGCCGTTCATCCCCTCACACCGATGTAGCTTCATGAATAGACATGGCTTTATTTGTTGACGGAATTAGATTCAAATCATTCTTTTCAGTAACTGTTCGCTGCCGGTCAGTATTTCAGAATTGGGACGACAGCTAAATTGGGGGCAAACGGAATATAGGAATGCACAATGACACTTAGAAAGTGGTCAGATGTTTAATGTTATATTTAGGATTACACTTAAAGAACACAGTAAAGAACATATTCTAGTACTTTTGTTGGGTTGAGTCCCATCCCGGATTCGAACCGACACTCTTAGTGAGTTAGTGAGTGAGTGAGTGAGTGTCGTTTTACGTCGCACTCAGCAATATTCCAGCTATATGACGGCGGTCTGTAAATAACCGAGTCTGGACCAGACCATCCAGTGATCAACAGCATGAGCATCGATCTACGCAATTGGAATACGATGACGTGTGAACCGAGCCAGCGAGCCTGACCACCCGATCCCGTTAGTCGCCTCTTACGACAAGCAAGGGTTGCTGAAGATCAATTCTAACCCGGATCTTCACGTGTTAAATTCGACACTCTCAGAGCCAGGCACCTAATCGCCAGCTCACAAGTACTAGAAACCAAAACCAAAATACTAGAGTCTGTTCTTTACTGAGAAAGCGTTGTCCCAAATATAACGTGCTAAACGGAATATGTTTTATATTTTGATGAGTGAACATTGTGTTGAACGTCTCGAAACAAGTTAAATCGTTGTTTCTGGGGTCAACTAAACCGTGATGCAGTTTTTTTACTGTCATGATTGAATGTTTCGCCCTGTAAAGATTTTCAGCTACCGTATTACCTCTGACAGTGCATTCTCTTCCCACAGAGGTTACTCCTGTCATATCTTCCTACGTTACGTAGGAAGATATGACAGGAGTAACCTCTGTGGGAAGAGAATGCTGACAGTGGGGCATCTATAATTTTTGTGCCAGCGGTTGACACGGCGTCTGTTCTTTTTAATGCTGGCACAGATGCAACTGATGCTCTTACGGAATCCGAAGTTCTGGAGTCATACAAGGAGTAAAACGGTCATTATCACCAACACATAGTATTAGAGATATGTGGTGATATTCATTAAGATTAAGTCAGAAATTGCCAAAACTTACGCTAAAGCTGCTTAATGAGGGTGGGTGAGTGAGTAAGTATGGTTTTACGCCGCTTATAGCAATATTCCAGATGCATCTCGACACCAGAAATTGGCTTCACACATTGTACCCATGTGGGGAATCGAACCCGGGCCTTCAGCATGACGAGTGAACGCTTTAACCATTAGGCTACTCCACCGCCCCAGCTGATTTCTGAATGTCACTGAAGCAAAATCTCCAAATTTAAGTCAGAAAAAAATAAAGAAATTTTGTCAAAGACTTAAAGTTTATATCATACAGAGCGTATTATCTGGCGTCAGTTAGAGGCTTGCCTTGCTCCAAGGCTGTACTGAGTGCTAAGCCTATGGATGTTTAGTAATCTATCCTTTAATGAGGCACTAGCGGACAGTACAGAGAAGGCAGTCTGTTATTTATATTTTTTCAGAACTTTTCATTAAAACTATCAATATTACATTAGAGACTTGTGCAAGTCTAGTTTGAGGCCAGCGGTTCCTGGCCTAAGTAAATATGGAGTATTCAGATTTGAAAACAAATCCGTGACCCGCAGGTCAAATGTTGACGATACATTGCAATAATCTATGAGAATTTCACTGCACAAACTGCACATAACCCGAAAACGTGTTCTTTTGTGTTTAACAAAACATAAAAAGTTATCACCCATTAATCTCGCTCTAATATAATGATTTTCTGTAGAAATGTTGGGAGATAACATCAGAAAAACACTCTCACAGTCTGGGTCAGCACCAGCTGACACCAATGATAATAACCCTCAACAACAAATACCATTCACGCGTACCATACAATTTGAAAAACAATTCTATAAAAATAAACAAACGCTCTATTCTATTTTCAATCACCATGGAAACATAATACTTTAAAGCCTCTCATCCCGCTCCCCAGGCTATAGATTCCGGGTTTGGTCGGTTATTGCCGAGTTTGTCAGCCGTATCAAGTTATTCGCCTCATTGCAAAGGTTGACAATTTTCACAGCGTGTTTATGTATTCATAAATCAGCTATATAGCTATTTCTGATTAATGCACGGTATTTGAATAAGATAACAGGGTTGGCATAATGATTATACCCGTTTTGATTTATGTGGAAACGTAGAATAGGCAACATCAATTTTAAGTTACTGAAGTGTTTTGAAATACACAGGGGCAGGAGCAACGGGTTGTAGGTCAGGGCCGGTCAGGGCCGGTGTCGTGGGGTCACATCACAAATGACAATTACTGGAAATATTGTTATTGTTAAAACTATAATTGAAAAATAATATTGGGTTGATAACACTTTACAGCCACTCGTTATTGGAAACATGAATTACAAAAAAATGGATACCAACGCCCTTGGAATTAAATAGTTTTGTGTGTGTGTTATTGACAACATTTCTCCCGAACATACATGCGCAGACATGCCGTTAGGTGTATATATGACTATTTATTAAGGTAACACACAAATCGTACATTGTTTATGTTTAGGTGAAGATTCAACACAAAAAGTCAAATTTCTTACTTTACAGTAGACATAACAGTAAAACAGACAGACTTATCCAAATAGCGTTGTATTTGTCAAGTAACATCAAATCACAGATCTGCTAGCTATTACTTAGCATGTAGAATTATTTCAAACTTTATGTAACCATTTTCTCATGGCATCCATGAGAACTGATCCTGCACTTGTTGGAATATATAACATTATGCACCTGGATAACAAAATTAATCATCACCCATGCTTTATTTTCAATTTCCAAAACTTCTATGCACACTTATAAATGTCTAAATATGAAAATGATTTTGATAAATATCTAAGGTATAATATACGAGGGACGACGGAACATTCCGAGCCTAATTATTAAATACACCCTCCTGCTTGCATGTATTAGTGAGTGTGTGCGTGAGTAAGTATGGTTTTATGCCGCTTTTAGCAATATTCCAGCAATATCACGGCGGGGGACACCAGAATGGGCTTGCATGTATGAAGTATACAATACATATCGTGTTTCCAGGTCGTATTTAAACCAAATACAGAATCAAGGAGCATATTTCAGCATGCATCAAAGGGACTAGTTATTCTCTGCCGAAGTCCTCACATGGGTACAATGTGTGAAGCCTATTTCTGGTGTCCCCTGCTGTGATATTACTGGAATATTGCTAAAGGCGGGGTAAAACCTAACTTAATCACTCAGCCATTCTGCTGACGAAACTATTAATGGTTATATAACGTTCTGTCACCAAGTATCTCCAACTGAAAGGGCCCACTCCAGCATCCACCCATACGGATGTGGCGTCAACTTTAGGGGATGATGCTCCTTGTTTGACGTTAAGAGGTCAGCATCAGAGTTCAAGAGGGGAAGCGAACCTACGAGGTAACCCAAGAGCGGAAGCCATGATGCCACCACTTAGGAATATGTTGATGAAATACATGATAAAGGTGTTATCACAATGTGTTCCAAGGCTTTTGATCTGAAACAACCCAGGTTCATCAACTCTGGTTATACTCAACGTGTTTCAGGCCCAGTCGATTTTGTTATGCAGTGTAAAACCATGGGCCAGTTCATAGGGGGATCCAGGAATTTTCAGTGTGCGTGCGTGCGTGTGAAAGCCCTGACTGAACAGCCCCTTGGTTCCGCCAATGCAAAACATTTACTGCAATGTGGCTTTTAGTCATTTTCAAAAATGGGGTGGGGGGTCGAAATCCCTGATGACGATGACCCCTCTTCATGCATACTGTTAGTAGAGCATTTACCATTATCACTATCATATTGCATAAAGTCGCGTTCTTTATGTACAAACAACTTTTATATGTTTTCACCCGATCCTTAGTGGGTGTATATAGGACAATAAGTATGACATGCAGACTAGACAATATCAATATTTATTTTTTTATAGAGTTTAGTTCAAGTATGTTTTACAAATACAATTCGCTAAGCGAGTACAATTAATGAATTTAAGTTTCGTTTCACCGAAAAATCGTCCGGAAGGCGGGGTTTCTGGATACCGGGGTTCGAGTAAACGGGCTTCGACTGTACACAATCGACAAAGCAGTACATATAATGTCGTAACAATGTTAAATATAAAATGTATGCATGGTATGACCAATCATATCGCCGTATATATCCTTGAGTTCGAAGCTTACTCGAGAACCTCAAGCATCCTCCAAATAACACTGTATCAGATTACTTGTATGTAACTATAAAGAGATCGTTTTTGAACGGGAGCAATGTAGCTTGCTGCCCTCACATTATATTGGTAACATTAGCTGATAATCATCATCCTTCAGGCTGCTGCCTTTTCTCTGCTGTCGACGTTTTTTTACGCCACAAATGTCGGATCATTGTGTGTGCGATACACCATCGCGTTACACGACCCATAAACACCGAGTTCTGTCATTTTGTTTCAGCTTTGGGACGTTTTCTTCAGCACGAGTGACACATGTGAGAGCCCCGAGCTTCATTCAGTTAACATGGCTAATGCCTATCAAATAGTTTCGTTTCGGTGTTGTTTTAATATCAAGAAAACATACATTTCAAGAGAACTGTTTCATTTGCAGAAATCGTTTGTGCACTGTAATAGTTAGTGCTATTAGTATCAGTGTTACTTAGTCTTTTTTTTAAATAAAAATTAAATTTATACTGTTATTTAGTTGGTGTTAGCTCTGGTGAATACAAACGACTGCCACAGTATACCACCGACAATGTTGTGTAAAACCATACTCACGTAATTATAACAGTGAGTGAGTGAGTGAGTAAATGAGTGATGGAGGGAGGGGGGAAGCGAGCGAGCGAGCGAGTGGTTTTACGCTGCTGTTTTGGCGGGGACATCAGAAATGGGCTTCAGACATTCAGAAAATCGAAGCCGGACCTCTGACGAGACGAGTGAACGATGTACCCACCAGGCTACTACCCTCACGGATAAACAATGTAGCACTGTATTGCATGACAAGGGGTTCAGGTGACACGTCCCAACGACTTGAATATTAACGGTGACATTTATTTACAAAGTACGCTAATAAAACGTACAGCGGTTAGGTGGTTAAGCATCTCCCCAAACACTAACAATAACAAAGTTGTCTATATCTGTAGATGTTCTAAAAACACTTTTGTGTGTGCAGTTTGGGGCAGAGGGAAAGCATGATGAACATTTGAAAGTTAACTTCACACAACAGCTATTTCAATATGTTCGTGTATGTTTATCTCAGCGTGTATGTCAGAAAGGTACACTGATGTGAGTTTACTGCTTCGATACAATATATTACGACAAATGTCACAATGATCTCATGGGCACGTGTTAATAGCGATATATATGCGTGATTCTTCACATAGGTTGTTATGAACAATAATAAGGATATGATTTCATCTAGTAGTCTAGACGAACATTGCATAAATTCCTTATATTTATAACATGGCAAGACCTTCTTTGTGTCTTTTGGTGGTCTTTCTTTGTTTGTTAGCAGGTATACTATTAATAGCACATCAAGGTGATGACATAGGTGATGTACATACGTCCTTGACAGACAGACAAACACACATGGCATTCGAGAATCAATATTTCGCGGGAAAGTTGAGAAGTAGTGCTATGCGCATGCGCATTGCACGCTATATTTCCCGCGTTATTTGTCACGTGGTACATGGGAGGTCGTAACTGAGCGTTGTGATTGGTTATAATGCGAGGTCACGTCAAGCGCATGGCATCTGTATGTATACAATCCCAGGAACATAACAGTAAACGAACGACACTGGATATTCTATGAAACACGAAATTCAGAGCAGCAACAATGATGTCAACTAGATTGAGTGGAGAAGAGCACTTTGATTTTTGTACAAGACCAAAACGGCAACGCCTGGAAGCCCCCAAGCATTATGACGTGAATGGAAGTGGTCCGAAGTGCCTCGAGTTAGAAGGGGTCATTTCTGTACTGAAGGAATACGACGATTACGACGGCGGGATTAACTGCAGCATGTGCGGTAAGTTGGCTATTTACGATTACGATGATGCAGATTTTCTCGAAGTTTCTCTCAAAAGTTTTCACCCGTCCTGTTCGCCTTGTAGGCCAATTGAAAGTTTTTTCCTGGTTGTCAAACATTTGATCGATCGCATTATGTTTGCCAAGTAGATTCTAGAACGTATCCAAAACGTTAGTGCGATAGAGCCGTGTACTGATTTCACTAAATGCGGCCCCACAGTAAAAATTATGAAAGACAAAACTCGTTCTGTTAATCATGGGTTTTTCTGATTATCTAGATCCTGAGTCAAAATGGCACTTCATTTTGTTTGTTGACAAAACTTTCTTTCAAATTGACCAAATTATTTTTCAAATAAGTTAAAGACTCCCGTGTGCTACTGTGGCATTGTTAAAAGCCACTTGCCGCTGTTACTATATACGATATTCTATTCACAATATTACTTGTTGTTGAACGCATAATGTGATTGTGGTCGGTCTCGTCGGATCGGCTCGAGTTCTAAAAATAAAACTAGGTCATAAGCGGCGCTCATTCATAAAACAACCACGTGACATTCACAATCCGTGACGCTTGTACACATTGGCACGTGGTTATGTTATGATCATGATGCAGTAACAGACAACTGAAACTGTTCTTAATAATTGTATTGTTACACAACTGAAACTGTTCTTAATAATTGTATTGTTAATGTTGAACTCCATTTTGATAACAAGTTGTATACCAAATAGTCTAAAAAGCAATGTTTTTATATTAAAGAATAGGTTAGTTCATAGCAACATTTCATAGTTATATTTAGTGTCAGCCAAGGTTCTAACAAGTGTGTTAAACCAGTTGTGAATAGACTTCTTTAGCTCTTTTTATGTAAAAAACAATTACTAGCTGAATATGATGAAATGTATAATTCTCTTGCTAGCATTAATTATAATACCAGTTTCATGTCTTTTACAGGGAAGCTGTACAAGAGCAAGGTATGCTTCATCAAACATATCTGGGAGCACAGCATCTACTGGGATGTTTTGCAGACCGAAAGAATCATGAGAGGGTTCTGTCCATCCAAGCAGCTTTAATCTTATATAGTGGTTACCATGGCGTTGCCATGGATGACGACAACATGCTGACCCATCTCCTTGTCACCTCCCCAGGAAGCCATGGAACTGGGGAAAAGAAATCCATCCCTGAGTCCCAGATACTTGAAAATGGAATCACAGCTGAAAGGAAAATTTTGGCGCAGCACCGGAATAAAGTCAAGGCTTCGAGATTCTCGGAAACTTCTCCATTGAAGAGAAAACGTGAAGACTGATTGTCTCGTTTGAACTGTAAATAAACTGACTGTGATTGGACAATTATACTGTGTTGGACTGATTGAAGATGGATGCTTGCAGAATGAAGAAGTGGTTTACAGAAATGTGTCCACAAGTTGACTTTACAGTGATGATTTTTTAGACAATTAGTTCATAATTGTTGTTTTTTTAATATGAGACTCTGACTGTTAACTAATCTTTGTAGTCTTTAGGGGCCGTTCATAATATATATATATTTTATTTTTATTTTTATATTTTTTTGGGGGGTCACCTATCTTCAGGGGAGGTAGGGGGTCATCAATTTGCATGCAAGAATTAGTGAGAGGTCAGCAATTTTGTACATGGCATGCAGTGTGGTCACTTACTTTGTACACAAATTTTAGGAGAGACATTCACATTGCTCATGCTAGCCATAAGTTATGAACGGTCCCTGAAGCAGATATGGTATTTCCATGTGATTAATTTAAAGTTACTATTTGAGTTTGATAACATGCAATTTATGACAGTATGTCTAGGATATATTATTTCAGAATAGACCATAGCACTGTATATAATTACAAATTAATTTCATTATCAGAAAACCTTTCTGTAAGATACATACCTGTTTCTGATGTAGATAGGCTTTTGATACAAGTTTATTTTGGAATCTATAAGAACAATTTGGGTACAACCTTCTACATGAAGAAATCTATTTCCTACCTTTTATTGCTGTACATAAATCACAATTTCTTGATTATACAATCACTTGTACCTTTTTTTTAAACGAACACCAATTTTGTCTATATCATTTGTGGAATGTTACTGAATCTCAAGACTGCCTCTTTGTAAAGTGATGATAGTGGAATGAACACATTATACCAGAATTTCTTTAGCAAGAAACCTTCTGCATCTATGAAATTTAATCGTTTTCTTTTTATAGTTTTTGTGCACCAAATCTGAGTTTGTGTTTTGAGCAGATATTCATGAATATCTGGTATACTGTTTTTATCATTGTTTTCAGTAGAAACTTGTTGAGTAGTGTATACTTTGTACATATAAAGATGTTTAGACTAGGTCTTTCATTGGTTGCCACGGTTATATTTTGTTGCTAAATGATTATGTGATATTTGTTGGTTGTTTTGTTAAATGATTTTAAAGCAAACACTTGTATACAACGTTTTCTGCAAAAAAGTGCTGGTGTAGTTAGGAAATTAAGAATTTATTGTTTAAATGAACACTTATTTACTCAGATTTTAAATTATCTTAATGATTTACACATTCTTTTCATAACTCTGACAAATGTTAAATTAGGTAATTGTTACTTTTGTTTTTTATAAAAATAAATATAGGTACATATTTTACATGAAAATGCAAGAAGAGGAATCTTTGCATGTAAGGATTTTAAAACATATTTCGAAGAGTGATTTCGCTGTCCTCATGTTATTGGTGCCGTGGTCCAAACAAGTTTTATAGTGCCATTATAATTCAAGTATACATATTTTATCTGAATCTGGAATGTGATATGTGACTGTTTGGAGTGACTTCTATTAGTACTTAGTCATTTTTTTTATATGCAGCTTTATGGAGCCCAAACTCACACAATGCTGATTCTGCCAATCACTGCCATTTCCACCAGTCTTGATGTTGTCATTCTCAGAGTGATATCCGAAATAATTTGGTTATATGGAAAGTATGTTTACCAGAGCAGTTTTCAATATTATTAAAGTAACAGTGGTTGATGGCAACATTTGACACACAAGTGTTGACCAGAAAGAAAGGCATTTTGTTTGTTTGACTGTCAATTTTTAGCATCTGAAGCTAAAGGTTTTCCAGATTAAGCTTTAATTTTCAGTTTGTAGGGGACTTGCTGAAGTAGACAATACTGCTTTGTCATAAGAACTGAAATATTTTGGGGATGTTTGCGGGGAAGAAAACTTTCAAGTCATGTGTACTGAAGTTGTTTTTGGTGCTATTGTATGTAATAAACATTTGATATGAATATGTCTTGTGTTCTCTTTTAACAGGGACTAGTCATATTTGACTTGGGGCGGATCAGTTTTTGGGTCAAGTTGCACAAAGCCTTGTTGGGACAAGGTGTGTAAAACATATGTTATACATGTATTAGGGATTACTCTTTCTCAGTAAAGTACAGATTCTAGTACTTTTGTTGGGTTGAGTCACATCCGGGATTACAAAGTCATGGTGGGTTAGGTGGTTTAGGTGGTTGAGTGGGTTAGATGGCTGACTTTGTGTGCTGGTGATTAGGTGTCTGACTCTGAGAGAGTGGGTTCGAATTCGGATGGGACTTAACCCAACAAAAGTACTAGATTCTGTGTTTTACAGAGTGAGTGAGTGAGTATGGTTGTAGGCAGCTTTTAGCAATATTCCAGCAATATCACAGAGGGGTACACCAGAAATGGGCTTCACACATTGTACCCATGTTGGGAATCGAACCTGGGTCTTCAGCGTGACAACGCTTTTACCATTAGGCTACCCCACTGCCCCCTGCTTTAGAGAGACAACCACCTGTTTTATGTAACATTTGGTCATTTATACAGCTGGAATATTGCTGACTGCCGAGTTAGACAACATTCACTCACTCACGCTTTCACTGACCCATGAACATCCGGGGTAGAAAAGGTATTCAGTAACCCATGCTTGTCGTAAGAGGCGACTAACGGATCGGGTGGTCAGGCTCGCTGCTAACTTGGTTGACACATGTTATTGGTTCCGATATCGCAGATCGATGCTCATGCTGTTGATCACTGGATTGTCTGGTCCAGCCTCGATTATTACAGACTGCTGCCATATAGCTGGAATATTGCTGAGTGCGGTGTAAAACCAAACTCACTCACTCATTCACTTTACTCTGCTCTTGTATTTGTGTGACAGTATCCATATGCCCATCACTGATGAGTGAGTATGGATTTTAGCAATATTCCAGCAATATCAAGGACACCAGCAATCAGCTTCACACATTGAGTGAGTGAGTTTAGTTTTCCTGCAGCACTCAGCAATATTCCAGCTATATGGCCGCGGGTTGTAACTAAGTCTTGACCAGACAATCCAGTGATCATCAGCATGAGCATTGATCAAAACAATTGGGATACATGACATGTGTCAACCAAGTCAGTGAGTCTGACAACCTGATCCCCTTAGCTGCCTCTTACGACAAGCATGGGTTACTGAAGATCAATTGTAACTGGAACTTCACACATTGTACCATGAGGGAAATCAAACTTTGGCTAGGGAAGGCTTTAGCCACAAGGCTACCCCAACCATCCCCATCACACTGATGGTACCTGGGGCAGTTGTCAGGGCGAAGGATAATAACCTCAAATCATACAGTCAGCATGATACAGGTGATCAAGTTTGCAGGTGCCAGACAGTTGTATGTCACAACAGGGGGTGCATGTCACAAAGTCTTTTGGTTGACAAGTCCTAGAAGGGATTGGGTAATAGTGAAAACACGAATTCATGAACAACAAATATGGAAGTTTTGCATTGATTCCGCAGATGCACCAACCGAATATGGTTGTCTTAATGATGCTGTCTCAACAGCCCATTGCAAGTCATGAATGTTGCCCTGCTGTAGTTCATGTCTCCACAAAGATAGAATGTGTCGATGGACTATAAAATGCTTCGAGAGGCACGTTTTGTGTCATTAGAGAGTGAGTTTAGTTTAACGCTGCTTTTAACAATATTCCAGCAATATCACGGCGGGGAACACCAGAAATGGGCTTCACACATTGTGTCCATGTGGGGAATCAAACCCGGGTCTTCAGCGTGACGAGCGAACTTTAACCATTAGACTACTCCACAGCCCTTTTTGTGTCACTAGTGCGTGCAGCATTTCAACAGCGGCGCGTATATCGCGATCAGACCAAGCTTACACTATCCATCGTTTCGAAAAAAAACCCACATTTATTGCGATATTGATTCAGGTTAATTTTACAGCATAGCCTATGTGCGAGTTTTGACTACATTTATATTTTCACGGGGAATCATACTGAATATGATCCTTTATACATTAAATAACCCACAGCAAGCAAGCCGTTGCATTGCGTAATCGTTATTTACGTCGAACCACGTGTATTGTCCAAGATTTGTGTGAGTACCGTGTAATAAAATATTTCAAAGAATACTAGCGTACATGCATGACATGTTAGTTTATGACAGATGGATCTGGCACCTAAAACTCTGAGGCTGGTTATTTACAATAAACGTATAACAAAATTCGCAACTTGCTTTAAGCCAGTTAGGGGTTTCGACTCTAACAAGATTTTAAAGGGCGCCGTTCGTACCCCGTGCATAAACTTTAGACGACTGTCCGTATTTAATCCGCCGCAGTTGTTCCTGTGGTCTCAGGTCAAATACGGTCGATATCATTAAGTTGTTAGCGGAAATCACGTTTTGCACGTGTATTACATGAACACGCGCAGTGCAGAACTAATCAGTCTCACCTTTGACAACTCGTATCTCGTGACCGTGTGCTTGCTACGAACTGAATGGCAGTTGGTCACATGACTTACAATGACAATCAAAACATTGTGTTTGTTGTTACCGGACGAAGAGTGAGTGAGTTTATTTTTACGCCGCTTTTTCCAGAAATATAGGCTTCACACATTGTACCCATATGGGGAATCAAACCCGGGTCTTGGGCATGACGAGCGAACGCTTTAACCACTAGGCTAACACCCCCACCCACCTACCCTACAGGACAATGAATTCATTCTGCACAGATATTTGGAAGGGAAACTGTTATATTTCCCGAAGAATTCAGACTGAGTGCACTGCATATAGTGTTCTTGTTTCGTTTGTTGTTTAACTTTTTCAAGAATTATTCAGTTATATGACAGTGGTCTGCAAAATATTTGACCAGATTGACAGTAATTGACATCATGAGAATCGATCTTCACATATACGATACGGTTACATGGATCAGCCAAGTTAGCGGGCATGACCACCCTATACCGTTATAGTGGCTTCTTACAAGTATGGGTTGGGGAAGAACCAATCCTTATACCCGGGTATTATTTCATGAATCGTTTCATTGTTAACTTCAGTGTGTGTCTTAGTTCCCGTCGACGTCGAACTTTGCTCACAGTGTCGATCACTGGATTGCCTGACCCAGACTGGACTGTAATATTGTTGGGTGTTTATCGTCGACAACAGGTACGCAAACAACTGCAGCAAAACACGAGCAGTGCAACGACACATATTCTAGTACTTTTATTAGTTTGAGTCCCATCCTGGATTCAAACCCTCACTCTCAGAATCAGGCACCTGGTTAGATGGCCGACTTTGTGTGCTGTCTGACTCTGAGAGTGAGGATTCCAATATCGGATTAGACCCAAAGCAAATAAATAGTAGAATTTGTGCTTTATTGAGAAAATGTAATCCGAAATAAAACATATGCTACATTTGACCACTTTCATAATTATTACCTACGAGGGCGAACATATCGGGGTTCATATTTTTCATACGATGCCCTAGGGCAAAATATCAGTTTGTCATGGTGACGTGACGTCATGAACAAGGCAATGACGTCACGTTTCTTCTGTGACGTTGCGTTCTACATACAGCGACGGCGGGTAGCCAGCCTGTGTTTGAAAGTAGATTTGGGTATATATTCCTCAATTTGACGACTTCGGTAATAAACAGAATATTATATTCGTGCCCATACCATACTATGTTTACGACACCCGTGCCTAAATATCGGTATATCCCTCGCTCTCGCTCGGGAAATACCAACATTGAGGCACTCATATAATATCCTCTATATGTCTTATTGTCACTGGAGCAAGGGATCTGTCCAGTATGAAGGTGTAAACACACTCAATAACATCCTCATCTGGTGTGTGAGACACCTAATTGACTTTGAGAGCACAGGGAAGATTATAAATACAAACACTTGACAATAAGTGTCTGACGTGGTTGATATGCTACAGGCTCGACATCGGACACCCAATAACTCAGCGGATAGTGATATTATCAGTGACCTAGGGTCAATAAATTACTTCCAGACATACGGAGAGGTACCGTCATCAGGCTCTCGTGAGAAGATTTTGGATAGAGCAATCTCTTTACAGCGTCGAGGAGTCCCAAATAGGTTAACGGGTAAAGAGATATGGCACTGACACTGCTGCCAAGTTTATCTGGTCAAAGAAAATGGAATGTTTGGAATTATTTCCGGGTTGTAAACGCACGTACAAGAAAGATATCTTTAAATTTGTCAACATTCATCACAGTAATAGTGTTTTGCACTGAATACTAAAGACAGCGGCTTCTTGCAAAGCGTATACATGTGAAGTTTAATGAGATTTTTTCTCCGCACATACGATCTGGAACGAGGATATGACAACGCTTGAATGAACATATTTTACAGCAATGGCTTTAGAGGATGGACATTTGGCGATATCTTGGACTAACAACTAGTCTCTGAAATGAATGAATTTTACAGAAAAAAGTTCATAGTAAAAACAATAAGATATAATGAAAAAGAGCCCTGAGACTTTCTTCATTTTCAGAGACCCTGAAGCTGTGGAAATCTAAACTTGCCACAATTTCTAGACTTGCGCTTTCTTGGATACATTTGCTTCAGAGTCTGTATGACAGACTAGCGATTTATCTACTTTTGTAGATCGGAGATTAGCCTTGCTTCAATGCTGTACTGAATGCTATGCCCATGGATGTAAAGTAATTCTATGCTTTAGCAAGCCTGGATAAACGGACAGTCTAAAGACGACAGTTTCTTATTTATATTTTTAGAATGTTTCATTTAAACTATTAATTATTACCTTAGAGACTCGTGCAAGTCTAATCGGAGGTGAGAGAAATAGAGACTTGTGCAAGTGTAATCGTAGGTGAGAGAAATATAGAAGTGTGTTATTGTCATGCATTTTATCAGCGTATGGATCATTTTGTTATGCGTTGGAGTTCCGGGTTAAAATGGACCCCAGCAATCTCAGCTTCTTAATGAATCGGACGAGCAGGTGCGTGTCTTTGTTGACTGCGTGTCGTTGTACTCCAACGGCGTGGATCGATGCTCATCATAACAATCACTTGATCCAGGCGCGATCGTTTGCAGATCACTGTATTACAGCAGTAATTTTGCTGAGTGCGTGCAGGTAATCAAGCAACACATATTGAGATACACGAGAGCTTAAAAATCCATGCACTATTTTTATTATACCCATTGGCATTGGGGGCTAGTCTGTCTCACAGTCCCTGAACCATATTATTTTCCCTACAGCCTAACAACAAACACACTGGCAACACATACTGGACAAAATAAGTTAGGGATATTTGTTTTGCTTTTATGGTTGATATCAGTGTGTCAATGAATAAATAGATCATTATTCATAATCTCAAAATTTACATATATCCCTAAATATATTTGTCCAGTATACTTACTCACTCACTCATACTGCTTGGAAAACATTCACGTCAACAGCGCTGAAATCAACACCATTCTGGACCCCGTATCTCCCTTTCGGGCATAACACCCTCTCCCCTCTCCCGACTGCCATGCGTAACGCCGTGTTAGGCCTGCTAGTGCCCTGGCTTTTGATGATAAGGAGTCAGGTTAACAACCACTTGTAGTGATTGTGTGCGTTTAGGAAAGATAACCCCGAGACCATGTTGTAGATGTTTGGAACAATCGGAAAATCTTAAAACAGGTTGCTAAACTGCCACCAGGACTGCTCTGTGTTTTAAGCAAGCATCTGGCTTTATAAGAAGTTCTCCAATGTAGATATAGATGATTGCGGACAAACATAAATATGCTGTTAACTGTGATAATAAACCGAAATAAAGAATCTGTGATCCAAAGACTGAGCAAATAAATAGTAGTATAGCGTTGCTGGGATCATTATCATTGCACGATTATCAGGTAAAATAAATGAGTAATCAATGGAAGATCTAGTGAAATATGAAACATAACAAACAAAGTAGTCTGTCTCACAGTCCATGAACCACATTATTTTTCCGACTGGCTTCATTTAGGGTTTAGCATTGCAGGGAGGGCTAGCCTGTTCATGTGGCCGAGAGCAGCGATGATGTCATGCCAACCCACAGGTTCTGAATTTCCAATCTCACTGGGGCTCCTGTTCTGTTTAAATGGGTTTATTTGTTTCTATCAAAATTATATACATTCAGAGACTAAGCGTTAGTCTACAGACAAACCTGTGTCGATAAACAGTAACCGATAGCCGCGATGCGGTCCTACACAGCAAGACATGACTTAACAGTATGAGACATCATCGCTGCTCTCGGCCACATGAACAGGTACCAGGAAGTGTTAATTAACAACCTAAGAATCTATTAAGTAGCATCATGACAGGAAACTTTGACCATTGACCTCGTAAGTGCACTCTCTGATTACCTTAGACAAAGAGGTCGTTCTATTTCTCATTGAGAGCAAGCAAAGGATTTGAAAGTGTTCGCACGACTTTCCTCTCAGGCGTGCCTCACCTCAGTAGCGGTTGAGTGTATCGTAGACGAGTGAGCCACCGTCAGTGTTATACAATACACCGGAAATGGGTCTCTCAACGCACGATTAGAGCGCCACCCCTGACCCGAGGCTGATAAGAAAAAGGGGGAAGGAAAGGGGTGGGACGAAAGATTACGATATATGTCGATGAACGGTGACATTGCCTAGGTAACGCTCGTCAAGTTGTATGCTACGTTGACCTGGCGTGTAACTGATATTTTATGTGCGATTTAAGTATATGCTCCGCTCTAACCTCACAATGCGTGTAATACTAAGAGACACGTTTTGAAACCAATTGATATGCTGTAACTCAGAGCAAGTATAAATGCCTTGTAAAGAGTAGATTTGTAGATTCCTGCAAACTGAAACATTCTCTGGGTTCCTTTCTATCATATATGACAAGGGCAATTTACGAAAGTAAATAAACACATTTCAGAGACTGAATGTTAGCCGAGTATGAGTTTATAACAAGTACAGGAATATGCCGTCAACCTTGTTAAACAGGTTGTTATACCATTAAACATGACAAGATGCCTTTCCGTGCTGCTCAGTATGTTACACCATACTATAAAGTGAATGGCTACCATGTACTGGACGGGCACTTAGTCTAACAAATAAAAATTAAATTAAAAATATTGTGAATGTTTTTCTTTTCATCATAAAAAACAGATTTACGTTTGTTTCATGCCTTTGCTTTGAGTGATAAATATAATAAAACAACATAAAATAACAAAATTATGTTTAACAAAATTGCCTAGGATGAACAAGGTGCAGGTCGTGTCCGTTACTGTTCCCATCAGCAATATAAAGCTTTATGTAACGGAAATAATCCACCAGTAAATCCACTGGTCGAGCAACGATCAATACTACTGGGGCTACAAGGGGCTTGTAGGTCTCACATGTAACAGCCCCTTTCTCTTTTAGTGGGGTCTGTCCACAAATATGGTGTGCCTATGTGAACTGCTCACATTTATGGCTATCATATATATTGTTGAAATTTCTAACATTTTTTACACAGATCATTAAAACAGGTTTGGCATTCATATTTTCATCGTTGGCCTCGTTCCAAATTTATCACTTACACAATAATGCTGAGTAACAGTTTGCCGGGGTCATTGTGCGGTGATTGACTGAGTGCTTCTTTCACTTCCTCCAAACGGTCTGAGATTTATATAGTGCCAACGCATTGAGTGGATCTGTCTGTTGAGACAGCAAATATTAAATTCTTACATAAAATAATAAATATTATTTCAAATGCTTTTTTTCACTGTTTTCTATATCAGTGTTATCCTGTGCCACTGAAAACATGTGTACACTCTTTTTATAAAAATTCCTTTTTTGCTTCATTTTGGAGAAGTAAATGATTTTCTATACTTTCGGCATGTTTTCTTTATGTCGATCAGTCTATAAAGAGATAAATTCATGAAAGTGATGTCCTAGTAACAAAGTAATAACATAGCAACAATTTTGCATTAAGAAATAGACTTTATTTCAAATGTATCAAAACATTTCATTTTGTCAATATGAGCACTGTCATAACCTCAACCATTCACTTATACAAAACTATATATTTAGGACATACATCTTGTAGAAAACTGGCACTTATCAACAAGGAATTCTTTGGAAATATACATAATGCTGAAAACCCCAGCAATCACAGATGTGCTTCGTGGACACTGACTCATAAACAGGGGAGAGAATTTCGTAAAAGGGAGATAACCGGGACTAAACCATTCCTTTTTATGAAATTCATCCCATAACATCTTAGAAAATTAATATGGAAAAATAATGCTTTTAAACAATGGAATAATATGACTTCATCTGATTGTATAAAAGGTCTTGTATTGATCGACAGTGTCTGGACATATCACTCGTATTACATACTTGGACGGAAAGAAATATATAATATTTAAAAACAAGTCAAAGAAGACAAAAACATAAATCCCTTATCCACTGAAGTAATATAATTAAATTGGCTAAATATCACATTTGGGATTATTACTAAGGAAATGCAAATGTATCAGTTGTTTTCTCCACGAGAAAACATGTAAGGCAACTCACATATTTACAACTCAACTCATTTTACAATGACAAAAATAAAAACAGTGTTAAACGTCCAATAAAGTTTTGTTATTGCATGGCTTTGTCAACAGTTCTTTTTAACATATTGTCATTTCATATTCGGACGGAACTGTGGGGTGTCATTAAAGACAAAGTATATAAAAATATGACATTCAAAGACATGGCATACATGTAAATAAATAATAACAAAGGGTAATAAATCTTAAAAACAAGACAGAAATCACATTTAACCTCAAAGAGATCTTGTCGTTGGATAAACTGATAGAAGACTTCATCTACAAAACATTTTCATTGTAATGCTCAGTTGTCAATAAACATTCTTAAACATAATGCTGCAAATATGTACAGAAAAAATCTTTAACTCAAAACTCATTGTTAAAGAAACCACTCTAATGCTGATCTATTGAGTATTTCAGAGATAATACATGTTGGACAATTTTAGCATTTGATCATAGAACTGACTTATTTACAATGTATCAAACAAACAAAAAATCTGTTTTTCTCTTTACTTATAACAATTTTGATTTACAGTTTTGATGATTATATTTCTAAATAAAGCATGACTTCACTGTTGAATGCTTCTCAATGTCTATTTCTTCTTCTTCACTGCTTTCTCTTTCTGAGCAATGTCTGCTTCTATGTAAGAGATCTTCTTCACAAGGGTCTCCTTCTTCATCAGTACTTGGGTCAGCTGTTCACGTGATGCCGTTAGTTGTTCATTATCTCCTGCAGACTCCAGTTTCTGGATTCCAGCACGGATCTCAGCTTCTGTTTTCATTGTCTGCAATAACAAAAATGTCATGTGACTCTTCTAGACTGACTGAGTTTGGTTACGCCGCTTTTAGCAATATTCCAGCAACATCACGGCGAGGGACACCAGAAATGGGCTTCACACATTGTACCCATGTGGGGATTCGAACCCGGGGTCTTCGGCGTGACGAGCGAACGCTTTAACCACTAGGCATACAGATGAAAGGGATTGGTTTCAGACATATCATGATGTACCTGCCTAACATGGAATGAAAACACAAACTGAAGCAAGGTACAATCACATCTTTGGTAATACCATCACAGGTATGGTGACAAATCACACTCAGATATATTATCAAAATATCCTGGCATGTGTAAGGGAGGTAATTCAGGTAAAATCAGTCAGCATGTGATCTATTTTTCTTTGAATCCTCACAGGGCTCTTTACAGTTAGTGAGTGAATTTAATTGGGTTTAACACCATTTTGAAATACATTTGATCACTCCACAGCAATCTGAGGCAGAAGGAAAACTGGAAACCATGCAAGTCTGAGACGTATACCACAAGGGTAAGGAAATGTAATCCTTGAAATTCTAATACAGCATTACAAGTTTCTGAATTTTTTTATTTGTCAGCATATACTAGCCACTACAAACTGGGTTGCTTGTGTGGCTATGGAAACCCAGATGCTTGGCACCTGTTGGTGATGAGCCCCTTACCTGCATAAGTTCAGCATTGAGGGAGTCGTTGTTGGTTTGCAGTTCCACCAGCTGGGAGTCCAGGACATCCTTCACCGAAGACAGAGCTGGGATGCCACGTCGCTTCAAGGGGCTACAAGATATGGTGCAAATACATGAGTATTTCTCTATACTCACAATGCTATGCATTTAAAACAGACATACATAGGCATGCATGCAGGCACACAAGCATAATGAGATGTAAATGCACTATCTAGTTTCACTTAGACTGTCAGTGAGAACAAATATAGGAACAGTGATGTTCCCTAATTTGTTTCCCTCAGTATGTTTAGTGAGTGAGTGAGTTTAGTTTTACGCCACACTCAGCAATATTCCAGCTATATGGCGGCAGTCTGTAAATAATCGAGTCTGGAGCAGACACTCCAGTGATCAACAGCATGAGCATCAATATGCGCAATCGGGAACCGATCACATGTGTGAACCAAGTCAGCCAGTCTGACCACCCAATCCCCGTTAGTCGCCTCTTATGACAAGCATAGTCGCCTTTTGTGGCAAGCATGGGTTGCTGAAGACCTATTCGACCCCGGATCTTCACACTTCTATGTACACTTCTATGTCTCTCTCTCTCTTTTCCCTATCGTCTCTTTTTGATGCTTATTACCCCTTATTAATACATATTAAGCACCATAAATTAGTTATGAAGCACAATAATCAAAAGGTCATGATATCTTATCTCCTTACTGTCCTACCTTCGTGGGGTATGTGATGGACTTGGAATGCCTCCCCGCAACTCCGACATCCGGCTGCTGATGATGTCGCTTGATGTCATGAAACCACCCTTGGAAGCGAGGTACTGTCTCAGTCTGGCATTGTTTGCCATGGCCTGGTAGCCATACATTCGCTGTGTGATTGTCTGAAGGAGTGAATACAATGGTATTTACACTTTTATAACAAGATCAATCAAGAAATGAGATCCGCACCACCTATTATGAGTAGTATATCAACTAACTGCTTCATACACTGTGTGAATTGAACCCAGGCATCAGTGAGACAGGTGAGTACCTGGACCACAAGGCCATCTCCACCATGTCTCGCCTCACCTACTAGGTTGTAGCTTGGAGTTAGACGATTAGATAGTCACCCAGTACATGTTATTTTCTATTTGCCAACAAGAATGTTAACAAGAAAAATATGTAAAGATACAACTTCAAAAAAGCATACCTCATTAAAGGTATGAATGGAATATAAATGTACTTGATTGAATTCATTATTTTCTGGCTAATGCCAGCCTCTTATGAATCCCTAAAAACACTGTTACCTTGCACGTTGAACATTACATTCACATTAAATGTTATAAGCATTCACTGTTTCCTACTTAAGGAAATTAACAAAACACTTACCGTAATATTATGATTATTTTTTATAAAACAAGCATTGTCACTAAGGTGACATAATCCCCCGCCGCAAATTATCAAATCAAACTCATAAAGTAATGAAAGTTTAAGATGAAGGTAAATGTCAACAAAAACTTGACCAGTCAACCTCTCTTGATATCTTGCTCTTCAGTTGTTCAAACACACACATATTTTCAAGACTGACTTTGACCTTGACATGAATGTCATAGTGTATGAAATATGCAAAAATAGTACTAAAGAAATTGCTTATTGAAAAACATTCAAGGGAAGTCTTGAAAGTCTATGAAGAAAATCCAGTGAACCGTTCTTGAAATATCTTGCTGACAATTCAGGTTTACATGCTGAAATCTTCAGTGTCACCATGACCTTGAAAATTATGTGAAGGTCACCAAAATCGACTGGGCCCTGCGCCTTCCCTAGATATAGCTTGGTATTGAATATGAAGAAAATCCAGTGAACAGTTCTTGAGATAGCTCAACATGCAGGTAAAACGTTAAAGTCCCCTTGTGACCTTGAAATGACCTTCTTATACTGTGATGAAGCTAGGTACCAAATATGAAAAGAATCCAGTTAACGGTTCTTAAGATATTCCAATTCGTACGTACAGATGGATGGACGGACGGAGCCTAATACTATATCCCCTGCTTCGCGTTAAACACGCGGCGGGGGATAATTAAATATCAGCATTTATTCATTAACTTAATCTCAATTTGACTGAGACAAGCTAGTGAGCATAAAATCTGTAGACAAAATATAATAAAAGAGGTAAGCGTGGTCTTCTTATATGCTTGTTAGAACTTGTGACCTTTTGTCCTCAAAATCCATAAGAGATCAAAGTATGAACGGGACTACAGCACACTACAGAATATATCAAACTGTCTTACCTGGGTTGAGAAGTCAGTTCGGGTTGGACTGTCGACCTTCATGTCAATCATCTCCCCGATGACGTTCATCCTCTCATCAGGGTTCTTGGCGCCAGTCAGCGCCACCTCCAGAGCTGGTCTGGGAGTGGATGAACCAATCAGAGACTGAGCTCGGTTTGTGTTCTGTGTTCTTGAGAAGAACATGTCTTGACACATGATCTTCATTGCCTGTGGAAGAAACAGCAAGGACTGACTGACTGAGTTTGGTTTTAGCAATATTCCAGCAATATCACGGCGGGAAACAGCAAGGAGAAATTGATACACTGTTTTTCAGTTAGTTACCAAAACGAGGAGACATGATAAATTTGATTTTATTCAACATCTGTTGCTTTCAAACTACAAACATTTCAATCCTCTTAATGCAGCATATTTATGACTGATGGAATATCAGTGGTGAGCCATTACTGAATAACATGTTTTAAGTATTTTCTTGTCTGGGAGAAGAATTTTACTTGCTGTCAATATATAAGTGAAGACAATTATTACAAAGGGACATTATTTTGGAGTCTGATAATTTCACAAAAACATCTTCCTGATTTTCTTCCTACCTTGTAGAACTCTCTCATAAAGAGGACATTTCCGTCATCTGTCATATCTCCAACCTTGATGTGAGCAAGGGAGTGGAGAATCACTACAACAAAGTCACCAATGGATTCCATTCTTTCCTTCCTCACAAACAAAATCTTCCGAGAATGCTCATAGAATATGGAGTTCCTGAAAGCATTCCTCTCGTAATTGTTCTTTGGAAGACTTGATGCAAGGAGCAGAGTGACCTCGGGTGTTCCGATTGTCTGCTTCAACAGCCTGATGACGAACACGCCAAACCTGTAGATGACGAACTGACTTGGGCTGATGGTGTTGACATCTGTAGGCTTGAGGTCTCCATTGCAGGACCACTGGGCATCCTTCACGTCAATGTAGGGCTTGCTATAGTCACCACCTAGAAGCAAAAGTGAATGAGTGAGTGAGTTTGGTTTGGTATTATGTTGTTTAGAGTGAGTGACTCTACCCCACCTACCCCCTACAATCAACTGTTCATATATCTATTTCATTATTTGTTATTCCGATTTTGAAAGAAATATAATTGTCTTCCAAAATTTCCCTTCTGACTAAATATAGGATGAACAACTGAATAATCCCTTGATTAATTATGTAAGAACATAACCTACCCAGTATCTTGTCTGATGTAGCTGGACCAGACTCTCTGTTGCTGGTCTTGTCCAACATTGCCTCAAGGTCATTGATCTGCTTGAAAAGAGGCGACGCCATCAATAGATTCACCCAGTCCTGTTCCATGTTACCTGTACTCTCAAACCCACTGTCCGGCACAGGATCTTTACGGTGCTGCTTGGCAGAGAGGTGAATCCAGACTGCAAGGTCATCTCCTGCTGCTTCTGCGCCATCTCGTTCCTCATCTCCTCATCAGCTTCAAGCTGGGACTGTTTGTCCAGTTTGGCAACCTCTGCGCCCATACGCTGTTTCTTCCTGGCTTCCAGCTTGGCCTGTAAGGCAGCCCTGTGACGTTCCCGCTCACTCAGGGCATTAGATTCCAGTTTCTCGATGTTCTTATTGTGTTCACTCAGCAGTCTGGCCTTCTCCTGCTCGCTAGCATTGGACTGCTCAATCTCTTGCCTCTGTCTCTTGGCATTCTCTTCCATCTGCTGCTGGCGGAGTCTTGCTTGCTCTGCTTCACGTTCTTTTAAGCGTTCCACCTCAACGTTGATGTTCATCTTCCAAGTCCTTCTCAAGTTTTCTGCAAATATGCCATAGTATTAAAAGTGATGATGGAAAGCTGCTAATAACCATAAAGAACTGATTTCACACATCTGCAAGGTCCAGCTGCCCCCATATAAAGAGGGTGACCCAACAAGCTGAGTACAAGTCCCTCACCTTGTTGAACCCAAACCAATCAGTCATTTCTGTCTGACCAGTCTATAGGTGCTCACTACAACCACAGGTTGATGAGGCCCTAAGATGTTTCTTTTAATCAAGACTGTTACTGAACTTTAAATTTCATCTGCAGAAAAAAGAGAAGTTTTGAAATAAAATAATGACAAGTGTTTGCCACTAATATGCTGACTGAGTTTGGTTTTACGCCACTTTTAGCAATATTCCAGCAACATCACGGTGGGGACACCAGAAATGGGCTTCAAACATTGTACCCATGTGAGGATTGAACCCGGGTCTTCAGCGTGATGAGCCAATGCTTTAACCACTAGGCTACCTCACCGCCCCACCACTAATATGACAATATCCCCAGCGGCTAAAGAAGAATGGAATATTTATAACATATTTACTACTTTTTACGTTTTGGTCACATACAAGTTGCCTGAAATGACTGGTGTTTGCACAATCACCCAATGTAGGCTGTTGACATATACTCCTCACAAAAAGTTAAGCAACACAAATATTTCAGGGTGCATGAGTGAAGAGTGGAGCACATTCATGCCACACATTTTGCATGTTGTTTCTGAGGGTGGTTGTGTTCAAGTGATGTTGTCAATGTTATCAGATAAATCAATTTGACAGTCACTAAAGGTTATGTATTCTTTGAATATTTACCTTTCAGTAGGATGCCGGCAAAAATAGCTATCGAGATTGATAAAGATATTACACTGAAAATACTTGTTGCTTCATTTTTGGTGAGGAGTATAACTGAAGACATTGGGTCCAATGTTTTATGAGATATCACGTTTACATAAGTTTGAAAAGTGTCGTGGTGACCTTGACCATATTTTCAAGGTCACCACGACAAATCAACTGGTGTCTGTGTAATCCCAAAATGTAGCCTATCACCAAATTTGAAGACATTCGGTACAACAGTGCATGAGATTTCACGCTAACGAGAGTTTGAAAAGTGGTAAAAGTGTCGTGGTAACCTTGAAAATAAGGTCAAGGTCACCCAAATCGACTGGTGTCTGCGTAGTCTCCCAATGTAGGCTGTCACCAAATTTGAAGACATTGGGTACAACAGTGCATGAGATATCACTTAACGAGAGTTTGAAAAGTGGTCAAAGTGTCGTGGTGACCTTGAAGATAAGGTCAAGGTCACCCAAATCATCTGTGGTCTGCGTAATCCCCCCAATGTATGCTGTCACCAAATTTGAAAACATTGGGTACAAGAGTTCATGAGATATCGCGTTAACAAGAATCAGGACATATGTACATACATACGGACACTGCTGAATACATAGTCCTCCGTTCCGCGTTGCGGCGGGGGACAATTACACGCAGAAGAAACAATTAAGAACTATATAAACAAAAATCAATAACCAAAAACACACATTAAGCATCTCAACTTACTGGAGCTGACTGAGAATCTTCCTCTTGCGTTCTTCCTCACGCTCCTTCTGCTCTTTCTTCCTCTTCTCCAACTCTGCTTGCATCTTCTTCAGCACCTCATCCTTGTACTTTCTGGATTCCTCTGCTGCCTTACGTGCCTCTGCCTCATACTGCTTAGTGAGGGCTTCAACAGGGGAGTACTTCCTCATGGCGTCGGCCAGGTCGCCGAGCTGCTTCTCCTTCAGGGAAAGTCGGGCATGGGTCTGCTGTACCTCCAGCTGGGGTGTCATCTGCTTCTCTGCCTGACTTGACAGTTTCGCCGTCAGCTGGTCAAACTCCTCAAGTTGTTTCTGAAAATATTTTAAATAGTGATTTCAAAAGGATGATCGTAGTGTCGTACTCATCAGGTGTGAGTGAGTAGTAGTAGTACTTGCATGTTCTTCAGGTGTGTGTGAATGAGTAAGGTTTTATGGTGACTTTAGCAATATTCCAGTAATATTACAGTGGGGTAAACCAGAAATACACGCCACACATTGTACCCAATCAAACCTGGGTCTTTGGCTATTTCTTTAACCACTAGGCTACCTGTCCATCTCAGGTGTGAGTAGTAGTAGTAGTAGTAGTAGTTGCTTATTCCTCAGGTGTTAGGTGAGGTGAGGTGAAATTGGGTTTAACATCATACTTGAGAATATTTCACTCATATGACGACGTGCATGCGTGTGTATGTGTATGTGCGGCTGCTTGTACTAGCCCAGATTTAAGCTGGTTTTATAGTGCTAGCCCACTAAGATACTATGCCGCAGTGAAGCATGAATACCCCACTCAGACACATTATACTCTGAGCCGACCAGTCCTTGTTGTACCCATTAATGCCGAGAGCCAGGCAGGGACCAACAAGTACCATATTTTAACGTCTTTTTGGTATGACGCGGTCGGGGATTGAACTCGCGACCTTCCACTCTCCAGGCGGATGCTCTACCCACTGCACCACAGAGGCAGTCTCCGGTGTTAGGAAGGAATTTAGGGAGTGTCAAGTGAGGAGTAGCAGTACTGCAGCTGTCTGGAGGAGCAGGTATATTTCCCCAGGTATGATCAGCCGTATATACACCAGATAATTAGGAAGAGTAATTGTTTCATCCAGACATCGAAAAACCACAGGTGCAAATTTCATTTGTGTGTATGTCACAGCTGAGTTGAAAGAATATTTTCCTATATTCTGTAGAGATTGACAGCATTTGAAACTAGATTGGGGTGTATTGTTTGGGTTGGAGTTTGCCTGAACTGAGAGTGAGTGAGTATGGTTTTACGCCGCTTTTAGCAATATTCCAGCAATTTCACGGCGGGGGACACCAGAAATGGGCTTCACACATTGTACCCATGTGGGGAATAGAACCCGGGTCTTCGGCGTGACGAGCGAACGCTTTAACCACTAGGCTACCCCACCTCCCCTCCTGAACTGAGAAGAGCAGACACTTTAGAACATGTATTCACACAAGATGGACATGGGTTTAGTTGGAGATCCTACCCTGGCCCAACATCTCTCACCTCCTCTTGTTTCTGGAGCTGCTGCTTCTTCTGGGCCAGGTCAGCGTGGGACATGGACCCAGCATTGGCCACAAGGTCCATCAGCTCCTGAAGCAACAACTTACTATAATCAACACACCAGATGTCAAGGATATATACCCAAAATGGACAAAGTCACACTTCCACTTGTATACTACCTGTAGTATTTCATTTAGACCAAAGAAAATATATTTCATAAATGAACACTTCCATCCCATTTCCGTACTCAGTTGTATCAACAATACTCATCCCATTCTAAGCTCCTGAAATTAAGAAAATTTGAGACTTATTCAATACTCTCTGTTCCCTTATAGAATTCCCTAATACATAATTGTATTTCAGGGGAATGTGTTCATCTACTCTACCTGTTCAAATGCTGATGTGAGTTTGTCTCTTTCGGCTTGTCTAGTTTCCTGGACTTCCACCAGAGCTCGTTTCAGTGCCGCATCACGCTCCCGGGCCAGCTGTTCCTCCAGATGGATGGCCTCCTTCATGTGCCTCTGTCTCAGTACTGTGTAGATCATATTTTCTGCCGCCTGACCGTCCTTGCCCTAAACACGACAACATCCTCATTTCATGGAAAAGCAATCGCCGATTATCTTGTCACTGTATTGATGTGTAATAATGTGTGAATTACTCTTAACAGTATTTCTGTTATATAAAATTCCAAAGAACACATGATTTTGTTTTGCTTGTTTGTTGTTTAATGCCACACTCCGCAAACTTCCAGCTATATGGCAGTGGTCTGTCTGGACCAGACAATCCAGTGATCAACAGTGAGCATCAATCTGCACAATTGGGATACAATGACATGTGTCAACCAACTCAGCAAGCCTGACCACCTGACCCATTAGTCGCCTTTTACAACAAGCATGAGCATCGATTTAGGCAACTGGGATACGATCATGTGTCAACCTAAGTCAGCGAGCCTGACCACCAGATCCCGTTAGTCGCCTCTTACAAGAAGCATTGGTTGTGGTGGGATGAGAACACACAATTCTTCCATAAAACTATACTTAATCTGTCATGATATTACAGTTAATTATAGAAATCTGAAAGGATCAGATGTCCTTTAACTTCCTTTTGAGAAGCACATAATGGTGCTTCATCTAAATGTGAGCTGAATTTAGTGAAAACATGCAAACACAGTCATAGCACTGAAAAACCAAATATCATAACCAAGGATTTGAACCGATGATCACATGATCTGGCATGTTTGAGAGAAGCAGCTCGACACAGCAACTAGGGACTTAAATGTGGAAAGTGGTAGAAACGATTTCAGACTGTGTGGTCAGATGTACATCCCATCAGTTTGAGTTCACAAGCATTGGTTCTGAAGCTCACCTATACCAAATTATTTCTTGCTTATGTTCTTTTGTTCATGTTCTTTGTTCATGTTTGTTTGCACATTAAGAATGTTACCTTTACGGAGTCCTTAAGGGCACGTCCCTCAACATCCTTGGCGATGATCTCGTTGAGTTTGTCTCTGTCCTGTTGCTGATGAACAAGTTCCTCCGACATCTCCAGGTCATGCTTCTGCTTCAGTTGTTGCATCTTCTGCTGGCGACGCTGGGCAATCTGGGAACAAACAAACCATGAACATTTCTCAAGGGCATGGCCTGACTACAAAAACATGCAATAAGAATATAAGAAAGGGACAGACATTAATTAGAAACATGATCTCAATGTAATTAAGCTACCCATCAACCAAAAATAGAGAAACTTAAATACAACAATGATGTCCATTACACTTGATAAAACTAGCAATTATTTTGGATGTAGTCCCCCAGCAACCAATGGTTAACTGAAGACTACGTGAAAGTCACCATCATTTGTCAGCATTGTTGTCATGTTATGATGTCAAGCCAAATTTTGAAGGTTAAAGGTACATGGTGCAAGTGATACAAATGGAAATGGAGAATATTCCCGTCTTAGGTTCTTACTCCAACCTAATAGTGTGAAGTACCAACCTTGTCCATTAGTGCCTTCTTCTGTCTGTTCCTCTCAGACTCAAGGTTGCGCTCGATGGCTTCCTGCTCCTTGCGGTGTTTGCCCAGTAGTTTTTGCATCTCAGCCTCGGAGAGACTGCCACCTTTGAGAGCCAGCTCCCTCTCATGCTTCTCCTTCAAGGCATCCAGTGCCTGCAACACAATATGCAGTGGAGGAGTGAGTGAATGTGGGTTTTAATGAGTGTATGAAGGGGTGGGGCAGGGCAGGGCAGGGCAGAACAACAATCAGTACCATAAAGTATAGTGTTTACTCATCCCATTGTCTGTCAATTCTACCAATCACCAGCAAGCACAACAGTATGCCCAAATAAGTAGTTCGGGTTTCATATATACCACATGTGCACACACCCAAACCCTAAACCCCTTTTGCTGTTTACTAGCAAATAAGTTGAAACACATGAAAAGGATTTATTTTTGCTGAAAGTTGATTGACAACTCACCAGTTTCTTCTGCTCATCAATCTGATGACCCATGTTCTTTGAGTTGTTGTACATCTCGTCATCAAGGGCGTTGTTCATCTTGCGGTCCTCTTCTCGCTGGAGAGTCTCCAGCACCGCCTGTTTCTCCATCTGAGCATCAATCAGACTCTGCTGCTCTGATGTCATCTGGTCCCCGTTCAATTTATCACTGACAGCTGTAATCACCTCAGCAGCTTCAGCATTGCCACTTGACACCTGGACAGCAAGGAAATGTTTTTTCAGCAAAATTGCGTAAATGGATAAAAAATACTTCAGCAGGTGTACAGCAGACCAAGAGACATTATTTTCACATATTTCAGCCATTTGGGGAATGAAATGTGACAATGTCTTCATATGACAAGCTAACACTTAAATCACAGGGTTACCATGCTTCCACCTTCTCAGATTGAAGGTAATTTGTCATATTATTCATCAATCCTAGCAAGCAACACACAGGACATGTTAGTCCATTCAACCAGAGCTGACTGGTGGGGCTACTACAACATGATTCACATATACGAAAGTTATCGAGGTAAGAATACATGACTTCTGGAGACGAATATTTCACACATCATTTCTTAACAAATGCGACATCTACAATTAGATCATAACAAAAACAGAATCCTTATAATCAGTAATAGATTGCCATGATGTATTCCCAACAAGCATTGTAAAGCCATACATGAGCCTTAGTGATCCTGTCTAGTTCAGAGGCCACTGCCTTGGTCCTTAGTGAGTTGCTCTTTCATGCGCTTCCGTGCAGCAATCTTGGCCATCAACTTGTCATTGGCACCACTGCGCTGATCTTGGTGCCTGGCCTCCATGCGATGGACTTCATCATGGAACTGGGTCATTATTCTGTCACGCTCAGTGGCAGTTGTGTTCTTTAGCATCTCTCGAAGAGCCTGCTCTTGGGCTTTCTGTTGCTGTTCCTAAAATGCAAAGATCAACCTCACAATAATATTTTAGAAAAGATATCAAACACTATTCTTAATTTATGTGATGACATATCTTCTAAATAAATCAAATTTATTTAGAAGGCAGCTGATTATCTAAGTATATTTTAAAATGAATGCATTCCAAACAATTCAAGTTCATCTTAACATTGGACCTGAAATTTTACAATAAAAACCCATGAAAAAGTCTTTCCAACAATTCTTCCTCTATTCATGTATTACTTTGCAATGTACAAACCTTTTCATATTTTTTCCAAGCCTTTAGTAGACTGGATTCTTCTCTAAGTCTGTCCGCTTCGTTCTGAGATTCCATTGCTTGCAGAAGATGCTTCTTGTCCTCCTCTGACAGATCTTTGAGCTCCTCATCGCTTGGCTGCTGCATCTGTTCCCGACCCTTTCTGTGATGCAGCTTGTCAAACAGTGACTTGGCTGCAAGGTTTAGATTTGTCTTCCTCTCCCTAAATGACTTCAACATGGCATCCTTCTGTTCCTGGGTCAAGTCAAGTGAGTTCACCCACTTTTCAAACTCATCATCCATGAGAGGTTCCTCCTCAGCTGTTGCAACTGTTGCCTTCTGTAGCTCAGTCCTCAGTTGTTCCTGTTCCCGCTGAGTCTTCATCATTTCCTTCACCATGTCCTCAAAAGACTTGACATGCTGGGCTGGGACACCCTCAGAAGGAATTCCTTGGTTCTTAGCTTCCATCATGTGTTGTCTGTAGAGATCTTTCTTCCGCTGTCGTCTAAGATCTGCCAGTTTTTTTCTCAGGTTGGCCAGCTCCTGCTGCTTGGATTTGTCAAATGAATCACTGAGCTTCTGTGTGTTGCCAGCATGGTCAATTATAAGTCTTTCTTTGTCGTGTTCAGATTTAACTTGTGACATCTTCTTCTTGAGGTTCTCTGATACCTCATCCAGCATCTCCTGTTTCTTTGCGTCATATTCATCAAGAAGTTGGTTCAGTTTGTCAATTTCCTCTGTTTTGAGTTTGTTTTCCAGCTGAGCTGCCTCATAAGCTTGTTTCTCAAACAGATATTTTTCCTGCTGTCTCTTCTCCTCCTCGCTAAGTTTTCCAGTGTTCTTCAGTTTGCTGGGGTCACCAATGACAGCCACAACTGATGAATCAGTCTGAGTGTCTCCACTGGAGGTTCCAGCAGAACTCTTTACAAGCTGTGACTCAACACGACCTGGATGTGGAGGTTGTCCTTGTCCACCTTGACGTTGTCCACCTTGACCTTGAGCTTGACCATGACCACCAGTGCCTGCTGCTCCATGATTAACGTTGAGGTTTGTAATGTTGGTATTTGATCCACCAGCTCCAACCTTAATCAAATTGAGGAGTTCTGGGGACAGGTAGAAAGGACCTCCAGATTCCAACATGGCTATAAGCTGCCTGATGAGAGGGATCAGTTCTGAGTCGCTAGATGTCTCATCGGAGTCTCCATACACGCCGCTCAGCTGAGAGTCATAGTCCCCGGCCAGCAGGGCACTCCTTGTGATCACAACCTTCGCCTCCTCACAGCAGAGCTCTGACCTCTGTCTGGCATATTCCAGAGAGGAGTGCTCCTCATCCAGGCTTTCTAGCTTGTTGGTGATCTGGTCCCGCAGTTCACCCTGGAGTCGGGCCTTCCCTTGGTGGTAGCGTTGCAGAGCTGTGGTCTCTGCCTCAGGGTTCATGGCACCATCCAGATCATCCATCCTGTCTCTGTATCTCTTCTCCTCCTGCTGCAGTTTCGTGAAGAACTTTCTAACTGTATCTGTGTATTTGACATGGGCCATAACATGAGCCTCTTCGTGTTCTCGTTCCAAATTGTCTGCCTCTGTCAAGATGTTGATGATTTCAGATGGGATAACTGTGGAGTAGTCTTGCTGTGATGCTCCACGACGCTGAACTTCACGTTTGGCATTTTCATTGAGTTGATGTGAAAGAGCATCAACATCTTCTAGGACTCGTTGTAGGTTTTTAGTGGACACCGTGTTCAATTCAAACAAGAGTTGCTGAGTCAGCGTATGTTCCTTCTGGGTGAGTTCATGTTCCTTCTGTCGCTGCCTTCTCCAGTAGCCACGTCTTGCAATGATCTCCTCCTCTAACAGAGCAAGAGCACCGGGTGGTGGTTTCTTCTTCCTGTGGCCTCCTGTTGCCAAGGTAACAGGAATGACCATCTTGTTTTCAGGGTTTACTCTTACGCTGATGACAGGACTCAGGTCCCCTGTGACAGGATCTACTGCTTTCCGTCCGATGTTGATTGGTACAAGACCTACAAGACCATTGAGAAGGAATGTCATATATAACTGACTGGCATGAATAAAATATATTGTAAAAATCTCATTATTTATAATGGCTCACCACAAAAGAATTGCTTTTCTTTAAAAACCTCGTGGTTAATTAAAATGAAGAAGTCATATCATCTTTAACACAAATATCGGACAAAGCTGTTTTCAATGCTCTGCCAACTACCAACAAGGTTGATATATATGGAAATATCTCACCTCCACCCTCAGGGTCCTCCATTGTGCCTCCAAGGGGAATAACTCTGCCTGTGTGTTGTTGTTTTGAGGCACCAAGTATTGGAACTCGATGATTAGAGCCTGCAGGGTCCATCATTGTTGTACCAATCAGGATCGGCAGTAGCTGCCCTGTCTTGGAGAACTCATACATACCTGCAGTGGTGGAAATGCAACAATCAACCAGTTTAAATTCTTGATATAAAGGGCCCTGGTAGGCACACTGGGGCTGAAATTACTGGTGCATAGTATGGTCTGAGGTGTCTCTCTGCTTCATTACAATTTTCCCCCAGATTTTATGTTCCATCAAACTGATCAAAGATCTGTGTCAATATGGGTGCTCTTCTACCAATAAATATTAACCCTGTGATGTAACTGAAGTATTGTTTAAATCATCCAGAGCCAATTTATTCACAGCATGTGTGAGTAAACAATATCAAACATTTTGGAACTAAATTGTGAAATAATTCTATCAGCAGAGATGCCAACCCTATTTGGGGCCTAAGTGTAATACTAGAGGTCAAAAAGTGTAATTTGGAGCTAAAAAGTGTAATACTTATCAGCCGATCGCTTCAACATGGTACACGTTTTCACGAAAGGAAGATTCTAGACAGAAACACATGTGACCAATCATTATGAATCTCCATACATCGAAAATTGTTGGTCATGTGACTCAACATACTTTAATTCCTTGCAAGTTAATTGGAATGAGTGCGATGCTAAGAGTAAGGGTTAAGAAACACTTCCCTGTGAAAATTTATCCACTTAACTGATTTTGTAAAAAACGAATAGCAAAACGTAATTTTCGCAGATTAAGTGTAATGGCGTAATTTAAAGGTCAAAATCATAATAATTACGCCTAAAGCGTAAAGGTTGGCATCTCTGTATCAGTCAAAGCTTTGCAGTTTTGCTTACCAGGACATCCCCCGGTAGCTGCCAAGATGGTAGCCTTTTCCATGCGGCGTGCAACATCATGTTGAGTTCTCAGCAGATGAGACTTCATTCTGTTTCTGGCTCTCTCCAGTTCCTTCACAGCAGCCTCCAGAGCTGCTTCTTCATGCCGGACACTAACATTGCTGTTCTCCTGACCTGAAACAGCACAGATGACTGAATTCACAATGTGGAATATACATGATTCCTAATTCTAATTCCTTCTTTGTTATCTCAGGAATATAAAATGACATTGTCCTACCAGAAGACTTCTTCAGTAACCCTGGTATATATTACAATATTGGCCTATCATCAAACTGTGTCATTATCCCTGGAATACAATGTGATATTGACCTACCATAAATCCCCTTCATCATTCAAGAATACAATGTAATGTTGTCAAACAATCAGAATCCTTCATCATGTCATTAACAGAATGTAATACAATGAAGTACTGCCCTACCTGCAGCATACACAGCATCCTTGTATTCTCGTAATGCATCCTGCACACGAGCCTCAATGGCCAAAACACTTGAGTCCAGCAGTGACTGATAGCCACCAGCAGAGGGCAGCACCACCACATCACGCCAAGTAGCCGCTATGGATCCGCACAAGCTTCCCACTGAGGGAATCCACAAATGAGTCCCCAGATATGATTGGAATTTCTCCGTGGTCCCCTGCCTTTGTTCCTCCGACAGGTACAACCACTCCTGTTGTGACAATGATTATTAAAGTGAGTGAGTGAGTGAGTTCAGATTTAAAGTCACATCGGCAATATTTCGGCCATATCGTGACTAAAACTAGTTCTAAAGTAAAGCTAGTCAGAACTGAGCCATATTTGCTTCATAGTGACAGAATCTGTCCTTGTGTGTTATTACAACCTTGAATTACCTCTGATACTGTATCTGTTAAACATATTACATTTTCAGTGAAACTATTTTAAGAGCAAAATTCAGCATGATACCAAATATGTTTAGTCATTATTGAAGATATTCTTTTAAAGTGAGGATTTGAAGTGAGACAAATCCACACTCAAGGATTATTATGAGAGACAGTCAGTCAAGTCTTATTTTGCACTTAAGAGGCCACAGGCCTATAGTACATGCATACTGACTATATTGTTATTAGGCAGTAGAGAGTACATTTCTCCAGTGTATAAAGGCATGGTATAGGACTGACTGACTGAGTTTGGCAATATTCCAGTAATATCTCGGCGGGGGACACCAGAAACGGGCTTCACTCATTGTACCCATGTGGGGATTCGAACCCGGGTCTTCGGGGTAACACATGGTATAGAAACATTGACAGAGACAGTCAGTCATATTACACAGTGTTACCAACCAATCCTTGTTCAAGTTAGCTCTGTAAGGAGTACTGGGGACCTGGGCCTAGATTTTCGAAGCTCTCTTAGCGCTAAGATAGTCATAAGTGCCATACATTAACATTAACTTACGACTATCTTAGCGCTAAGAGAGCTTCGAAAATCTAGGCCCTGGACCTGGAGTATATTCCAGAACAAAAACCTACCTGTTTCTTGGTCAATAGCAACAGAGAGGATAGGTACAGGCTGTCCTCCATTAGGGTCCACCATGATGGACCCGATTTCTATGGGTATTGGCAGACCCGTGACTGGATCAGTGTGGATTCCACCTATAGGGAGCACCAGCCCAGTCTTGGGGTGAATGGTCATTCCTAGTATGGGCACCTTGAGGCCACAGGCTGGGTCTGAGATGGCTGCTCCATGTCGAAGGTCACTCTTGTTCTCGAGTGACTGCAGTTTGGTCTTGACAGGTTCACCGGTGTGAGGGTTGGTTGGGTAGGGCACGTATGGGATGTACGGCTCCTCTGATCGGGCAGATTCACCTGGAGGTCAGGATTAGTGGATGAATTGTTAGAACACAAGCATCATACTGCTTTCTTATGATATCTTAACACTCTTTTCTACTGCATTTACTTTGTCTTTCCTTTGTCATATGCATATTTGTACTGAATTTGTTACTTCAGACAAATTATTTGGCTGTGAAATAGACAGCAAAATGATTTCATAGTTTTCAAGTTTTGGGAGAATCAGCTATCTTGTTTTTGTTACAAGGATCACTTACCAGTAGCTGAATCAACCACAAAGACCAGTCTTGTTGTGATTGGGTCATATGCAACATTGCCTTGTATGGGCAGGACTCGGCCGGTTTGAGGATGCAAGAAATAGTCTGGTGGTATCTCCATCACAGTACCATCTGCCAACAGCATACGAGTACCAGGCTTGGGACGGATCAAACCAGTCTTCGAGTCAAACTGAAGAAGGTTTGATGCCTTGATGGACTGGTTAGAACCTAGAATAAGATAAAAAATAAATAAAAAATATGAACCATTTCAACGGCCTCATTTATTGGGCCTCAAGAGATGAGACAATTTTGTAAATCGTACATTAACTCATCACAGCTCAGAATTTCATATCTAAGACATGAATATTTATTCCTTTAATGAAATTGTTTTAACACAATAATTTCAACTGACCAATAAGAGCATTCCTATTCATGGGTTCCTGTGATCCTGACTGTACGATCTGTCCTCCAGTTCCCTGTCCCAGAATGCCCCAGGCTCCGATTCTCTGACACTCTGCTTGGACCTCAGCTGACATCTTCTGCAGCAGCAGAGTTACTCTCTTGTCCACTGCATTGTGCAGCTCTTCCATTGCCTCCCCCTCACCCTGCAGGTGCCCTCTCTGTATCCTGCTGGCGTGATCCATCAGGACACGTGTACCTTCTCTCAGACATGCTTGGTAATTCACCTATGGAAAAGTTGTGTGGCATTAGCTGATGAGATATGGAAAATAATGAAATTAACAAAACCAGGAAATTAATAAAAACAATGCAAAAGTTGGACCACACATGAGGTAAGTACTTGTTAAAATGGCCATGTAATAGTGTGAGTGAGTGAGTCTAGTTTTACACCGCTTTTAGCAATATTCCAGCAATATCAAGGCAGGGGAAATGGGCTTCACACATTGTACTTATGTAGGGAACTGAACCCGGGTCTTTGGCGTGACAAGCGAAGAATGGAAGACTGTAACCTCTTTTGGTTACCCCACCACCCCTCCATGTAATAGTGACATAAGACTGGCAATAATAGGTGGCAATAACATCACTGGCATCCTTAAAAGTTTTTTACCTGGTGGTTTTCCCGCCCTTTCTCATCATCTGTCATGAGTGTTGTCTGTTGTTCCAAGATGGCAGCAAAACGTCTGCCCACTTCCTTCCTCCTTTCAAGCTCAATCTCCAAGTCTTCCAACTTGGTCTCATAGCTGGCCAGATCTTCCTGTGTCGCCAGACTACTCTTGCCCGACAGGTTCATCTTAGCAGCCCACAAGCCTTTGAGAGATTCGCTCTGATTGGCCATTCTTTGGTAGGACTGTTTCATCTCATCCTTGTGTTTGCCAATTGTCTGAGTGACACTCCTTGACTGTTTTGAAAGGGTGTCATAGAGCGTTTTCACATTGAATGATTCCAGGTCAACTTGTCTGTCGTAGTCCCAGAATTCATCATTCTTCACTTCAACTGCTGAAGCTGGAATGAGGTTATTAAATAGTTTACTAGTAATCATGCTTTCATCACCTCTAACGATACAATAGAAGAATCACAGCATAAGAGCCAGTCATTTATTACAGCGGTGGGTGGGACTCACTAATATACAGAAAATATTGACCCTCCTCTAATGCTTGTCCTGAAATGAAAAGCAGTTTTGTGTTTTGTAATGAAATATAATTTGTTTCATTCCCTCCCAGAATATGTGGGTTCTGTTCTATCACAAGTGACAGAACATTGCCTTGTTTGTCCTGAAATTTGTAAAAATTATATCTGGTATTTAAATTGATATTTTAACAGAATTAATCAGAAGTGGCAGTCTGCTCCTACCATCCAAGATGGCTGCATGTGAGCCCATGTCTGGCTGAGCAGACGTCAGAGCCTGGAAGTTTCTGTGGTACTTCTTCACTGGGTGAACAGTGGAGCCCTTGCTGGCATAGTCGTCGAAGTTGAAGCGCTGAGCCAGATGTCGATAGAAGGGGAAGAGATAGGATGTCTTTGTCCAACCGTATTTCCTGAAGAGAACCTGCAGAGGACAACGACGTGATTTGAACAAAGGGGGCAGTTACCTGCAGAACTACCAACAGTGAGAAATACAACGTCAGACTCAAGTCAGTGGTAAACATTGTTGTAAATATATTTGTACTGATAGTCAGTGTCAGCCATGGATTGAAATGATAGCAGAAGGTAAAATGTGTTGGTGCCCAGATTTTAGTGACGGAAATTACTTTAGAGTGATCCACATCTCTCATATTTACACTAACCCTTTTTAATTAGTGGTATTTCACATCCAGACTAATTTTCTTACCAGTAGTATGACCATGAGCACCATGACCAGGAATGCCGCTCCGAGCAAAATGAAGATAATTGTCCAATCAGGGGCCTTGAGGATGTCTTGTGACACTGAGATTCCGTTCTGGATGATGTATCGGGATGTGGTCGGGAAGTAGGGACCATCCTCAGTGCACTGTGCATCCCTGGCCATCACACGAATGTACTGGAAGGGAAAGTGAGTGAGTGATTATGGTTTTACGACACTTTAAGCAATATTCCAGCAATACCATGGTACCCAGGTGGGGCATCAAACCGGGTCTTCAGCATGACGAGAAGATGCTTAATCATTGGGGAAAGGGAAAGAAATGCATAGAGACTAAAGTTGCAAGTACACTTATTGGTCCAGAAAGAAGAATAGTTTGCTCACCTGCCTGTTTATGTCAAGGTTGACTATAGTGAGTGAGTGAGTGAGTTAATACTTAATGTCACACAAGGTCGAAGATAGTACAATCATTAAGCAATAAGTTAAATAAATAAATGATCAGATTTGAAATATGTGCAATGTCACTGTCAGCAATAGGTTGGGAGATAGGATGAGAGCTGATGAGCCATGAGTGAGTGAGGGAGTGGATCAGTGCGAGTGAGTGGGCTGGTGGGGTTTGGGAGGTTAATGAATGTCGGATGGATGGACATGGTTGTACACAGCCTTTGGCCCAAATCACGGCAGAATGGGTGGCCATGGTTGTACACAGCCTTTGGCCATATCGCGGCAGGATGGATGGACGTGGTTGTACACAGCCTTTGGCCATATCACGGCAGGATGGATGGCAGGATGGATGGGACATGGTTGTACACAGCCTTTTATGGCAAGAATGGATGGACATATCACGGCAGGATGGATGGACATGGTTGTACACAGCCTTTGGCCATATAGTGGCAGGATGGATGGACATGGTTGTACACAGCCTGTGGCCATATCGTGGCAGGATGGATGGACATGGTTGTACACAGCCTTTGGCCATATCGTGGCAGGATGGATGGACATGGTTGTATGGACATGGCAGAATTAAATCACAAAACCACAAGCTGGAGAACTAGAAGAGAAAGTGCACTTTTGCTGTATTTACTGTACTCACCATTTTCTTGTCCGTGTTGGAGTTGAGGTAGAAGACGTATACACCAGGCTCAGTAAATTTGTATGCAAAAAGGGTCGTTGCCGTCGAAAGTTGAGCTTGGGCTTCACTCAATGCTCGGAAACCTCCATAGTCAAAGTCAGAGTTGGTATTGTAGAGGTTATTCCTGCAATGAGTGAGTGAGGATGATTTAGTACCACTTTTAATGGTATTTAAGTTATACACCCATGATTACATGACCCCGCTGTCCTAATGGCTGCATCTAAGCACAGTGAATTCCAGTGCTTTGGATATTCTGTCAGTAAAGAGTGAGTGAGTGAGTATGGTCTTAGGCCGCTTTTAGCAATATTCCAGCAATATCACAGCGAGTGACAGCAGAAATGGGCTTCACACATTATACCCATGTGGCGAATTGAACCATGGTCTTCGTCGTAATGAGCGAACACATTAACCACTACGTTACCCTACCACCCCTAGTGGGTAAGGTACTGACAAACCTACTAATATGATCTGGGCAAATAATGGCAACAATATATTGGTATTTAAAGCAGGTTCCTACAGGGAGGAAGCCAATACCTATTTCTCAATAGCTCATAAATCACCATTCATTCTCACAATATTATAAGACATTTCTCAGCTATAAAAATAGGTCAGGAAAACTTGTGAAAAAAAGACTTACAAATTTTCTTTCAGTTTATCATGGTAGCAAAACAGACATAAGCTACAATAATCAAAGGAATGTAACTCTTTTTCCTTGTTCTTTTTCTTACAAGGTTTAGGGTGTCAAAGTGAGTGAGTGAGTATTGTTTTATACTGCTTTTAGCAATATTGCAGTGGGGACAGCAGAAATGGGCTTCACACATTGTAACCATGTGGGCAATCGAACCCTGGTCTTCAGTATGACGAGCGAACACTTTTACTACTAGGCTACCCCACCACCCCTCAGGGTATCAAAGAAGTAAAGATAAATGAAAAACACCCCAACCTGTCATAAACTGGGTAGTGGTCATTTGTCACATAGAAGAACATGATCTCTCCAAAGGTCAGACAGACAGTTGGGTTGGAAACACCAGTGAACAGTGAGCTGTTGACAGATGAGGTCGCGAGCAGACGTCGACGTCCAAGTATGGCTGTGTTGTAATCGGTGTCCTGTGTGATGTTACCGGTGTAGTCTCCCTTGGTGTGGCTGTTAACCCAGTCGTAGAGCTGCAGAGGGTCGGGTTCGTAAATACCGAGGAAACCAGTTTCACTCATTTCACAGATGTGAATGGGGATTTCGCTACCATCAAGGTTCTCACACTGGTCTTCTGTGATAGCGCTACGAGTGTTGATAGCTGTTAGCAGGTTCTTGGATGGAATCTGGCTCTGGAAAATAGAATAGAATATGCACATAGATTCCCAAACACAGTGTGATAATAAAGCGTTAAGTCGCTAACATTAACAACGCGATTCATACTCACAGTCACTAATATATTTTTCATCAAACTGATAAGCCACCATGTACAAAAAGGATGGGATGACAAAAGTTTTGCCCGTGCCCCATGAAGATCCGGGTTAGAATTAATCTTAAGCAACCCATACTTGTCGTAGGAGGCAACTAACAAGATCGGGTGGTCAGACTCGCTGACTTCGTTGTCACATGTCATTGCATCCCAATTGCCTAGATCGCTGCTCATGCTGTTGATCCCTGGATTGTGTGTCTGGTCCAGACTCGATTATTTACAGACCGGCGCCATATAGCTGGAATATTGCTGAATGTGGCGTTAAACAACAAACCAACCAACTCAATCAACTGTGATGCAATGTCTGTAAATACTGTGAGCTTCTTACAATTAAAGATCCATTTGCGAGCCTTAGCTCTATGTGGGTCTCCAGTGGTTTTTCTGCACAAATGAACTTGATCCTTTTTCGCTGAGCTCGACGACACTCCAGATTGCACAGGACCTCCAGATCATCAGACCGACACAGGCACAGTCCTAGGTTCCTGTCGAAGCCACGGTAGCTGGTCACACCATCACACACCTACAACACAACAATTTATTGAGTGTTCAAATACATCAAAGTTTAAACTTGTTAAATGTTTTCTATCCTACACAAAACTATCAAGGGTACCACATGAGTGATTTTACGTTTTATGCTGCTTTTATCGATATTCCCAAACAAACTGAGCACTATGACTATCATAAGTGTATGTGTTTTGTGGAACACAGACCTAGACCATTTAAGCCTTGTTCACATGCACCCCTTTTGCCCCATGGGTATTTTGTCCCTGGGGGTAAATTTACCCACAGGGGGAAAGGGCAAAATTGTGTCTGCGTGTACATTACAAGTATGGGGTGTGCATTGTCGGAGATTGCATTATCCATTGTCTCATACTCATACTCACCTTTTCACTGCAGTATGTCTGCCATTGGGTCTCTGTGAGGCACTGACCGGTCTGTGTTCTGTAAGTCCCCTCGACACAAAGGTCGTACACCTGCTTGGTGCAGTCCTGAAGGCCATCTACTTGGAGGTATCCAGCTTTACAGGGGCATGTGCGGTCACTTGGCTGCAGTAGCAAGTACATGTTTATTATAGCACCCCATTTCCATTCATTGATGTACTACTGTATCACCACTTCTAGAAGCTCCTTGAAGACTTTTCAATCAGTTATCATAACTGTCATTTTTGGGAAAAACGCTCAACGCAAGTTGCATCTAAATAACATGATAAAAGCTCAAATGATATAACTTTGGAAAACCTCGTGAAGATGCGGGTTAGAATTGGTCTTCAGTAACCCATGCTTGTCAAAAAAGGCGACTAATGGGATCAGGTGGTCAGGCTCACTGACTTGGTTGACACGTGTCATCGTATCTGAATTATGTAGATGCTTATGCTGTTGTTCACTGGATGTTCTGGTCCAGATTTGATTATTTACAGACAATAACAATAAACAATACACACAAACACAGATGTCCTTTCAACAGCTAGCAGTTCAACTTTAAAGAGTTTTAGGTAATTCATCTGAGGAATGTCATGTTTGTCTCACCTGGAAATCTCGTCCAGATCCAGTACAGTCACAGTATGTAGCGCCTACGTTCACCTGGGATGCCTCGCCTCCACACGTGAAGCAGCCGGTCTGCGCCTCCAGGTTGTTGAAGTGATTCACTGGGCATGCTCGGCAGTCATACACACTTCCTGCCTCTTGATCAGGTTGGAAAGTTCCAGGGCGGCAAGGCGATGGTGCGAAGCTGCCGGCAGGACAATAGTAACCTGTGGACATGGACAAACAAATACTGAGTGAGGGAGTGAGTGAATGAGATGAGTGGGAGACTGAGAGAGTGAGTGAGTGAGTGAGTGAGTGAGTGAGTGAGAGTGAGTGAGTGAGTGAGTGAGTGAGTGAGTAGAACATATTTAGTTACTAGAACATATTTCATTATACAGATATACACAATGGTTCTTCCTGTTGTGATTGCATGTTAATTACTCTATGCAAATTTCAACAGTCATGTTATACAAAATGGTTACTCTACCTGGTGGACAGGGATAAGAGTTGGTTGCTGGGAAACCGATGGCGACTGCTAGTGCGCTGTCATTGTACACAGGTCTGTCTGTTGTGGCTTCAGCAAGGCAGACAACTCCTGCCCGACAAATATCACATACAGCACGATGTTCATGAGCTCCAAACGTGCCAGGTTTGCAAGGCTCGCATGTGTCTTCAAAGGTCTGACGTGGTGATCCATCAAATTCCTTGAATCCCAGAGGGCACTTCTTTGGCTCAATAGCACCTAAAGGAAAATGGTCCCATTAGCTCATAGCAATGTAAAAGTGAGGTGAGATGAGGTGAAATGTTACTTGTTAAATACTTGAAGTTTATTGGTCAATGACATTTTAATATATTCCTATGTATCCATCCTGAACGATTCACAACTGCAAAAATATATACCCACTTTAATGGGAAAAGACATATTGCTGATCTCTGAGAAATAGATGTCTTGAACTCAACTAACTTCGCATCTCAACATCCATTTTCTGGTAAATGATAAGCATTACGAAGAAATATCTGTTGTTCATATATTCATTGGGGAATATGTCAGGAAGCACCTTGAACACTGAGATATTAACCTCTATTGTAATACACGTTGATTTATAAGTTGCGTTTATAGTGTATGTTTTTATTGCTAGGTTTTTGTGGATTTATTTGTCGTTTAATGCTGCACTTAGCAATATTTCAACTATACTGCGGCAGTCTGTAAATAATCAACTCTGGACCAGACAATCCAGTGATCAACATCATGAGCATTGGTCTACAGAATTGGGATATGATGACATGTCAACCAAGTCAGCGAGCCTGACCACCCGATCCCTGTCCTGTGTCTCCTACGACAAGCATGGGTTACTGAAGACCAATCCTAACCAGGATCATCACAGGTCCAAAACCATTACACAAAAAATCTGTTGTAGATATGTTCATTTGGGAATAAGGTATGAAGAACATTGAACACCCTGAGATATTAACCCATATTGTAATACATGTTGTATAATGACTTTACAGTGTATTTTAGGAGCATTAAGGATAATTGCATAGCCGTCACTTCTCACCAGCATCTGTCATGTTGCAATCATCCTGCGAGCCACAGTAATGTCCCTGGGGGCAGGGCAGGGGGAGCTGGAGCCGTTGGGACAGTAGTACCCAGGGGGGCATGGCTTCATGGTCATAGACATGTTGCAGTAATACCCTGGAAAAATGTCATTAGTTAAAACATTTCCTTGACCAAACAATTTATTTGGAATCCTTGGAATCTAAAATGATTTAAAATGGAAACAATTAAACCCTTATAATGGTATTTTGAATTTAAGGTGTAAATCTAATTAACATTAAATACTAAACTATAAACATAACATTTGTTTGGTTCCCGAATAACAGATCTATTGGATTGGATTTCATACCATTTTCAACAATTATTATTTTATTATTATTATAGGATATTTATATAGCGCACATATCCAGGCAACTAGTGCATGCTCAAGGCGCTGGTATTTTTTCCCTCAATCATTGGATGTCAATCTCAACAGCATATCGTATTATCAATCTCAACTCCCTGGGGAGTATACAACTCTTGCAGCCACTAGGCGCACCGAGTTATTGTGGCTTTCTCATCCTAACGAGGTACCCATTCACAGCTGGGTGGACTGGGACACATAGTCACAGTACTTTGTCCAAGTACACTGCATGTTGCTGTTCCCGCAACTAGGTGTTTGCACGTATTCATGTGGCCACCATCTGGTCATATACCAACGGATTCGTGGGTTCTTTTAAGTCCACAAGGTTGTGACACTAGGGGTTGTGACAACACTGAAAGAGTCTGCACACAAAGTTGACTCCAAGGTATTAACACCCGGTCACAGGTGGGCTCGATCCCGACACCTCAACCTCGCTGGATCACTAGCCTGGTGCCATTGTTTATATTCTAATATTTTTATTTATAGTAATCTTTAAACAAAATAGTTACAGAATATCAACTGGATATCACAACCAACCTGTCTGGCTTGTCACAATAGCATCTGGTATTGTTTAATGCAAAAGTCTACAACCTAGTGCTCTCTAGTCTGAGATAATCATGTTAAAAGAAGCACGTTTCTATAGTAACAGTATCTTAAGAAAAATTCTGACCTCCATGACACAAGGTTTGGTTCTGAGCTCCGAAGTCACAGAAGTAGCCCTGGTCACACTGTATTCCGGAGTACGTCATGTTTTCCTCTGGACAGTAGAAGCCTGCGGGGCACAGGGTACAGTCATCCACAGACCCTGCAGCAATTTCGTCTCTGGAACATATTAATATTCATCTCAAACTAATCCCTTACTTAACAAACAAATTTTTTACAAATAATCTCTATGACTGACTGACTGAGTTTGGTTTTACGCCGCTTTTAGCAATATTCCAGCAATATCACGGCAGGGGACACCACAAATGGGCTTCACTCATTGTACCCATATGGGGATTCGAACCCGGGTCTTCGGCGTGATGAGCCAACGCTTTAACCACTAGACTACCCCACCGCCCCTAATCTCTATGAAATTCAATTAACATTTTCATGTTGATTGACCCTTCCCATGACAGTTGTGAAAGCTTGTGTTTAGAGAGTGAGAATATTCAACCAATATTCACATTATATAATATAGGCCTGGAACAAGAACAGGTTTCACCATGTGGGGATTCAAACCCAGGTCTTGAACTAACACTGAACGAACACTTCCCCACCACCCTGTGTTGAAGCCTACCTGTATGTTCCCCGGGGACAGGCGACAGGTCCTGTAGTAGCGTTGATACAGTAGTATCCAGGGGGACAAGGGCTCACAGTGTAGTCAGCCATCCCAGACTCATTGCAGAAGTACCCTGGGGGACATGCTTTACACCAGCTGATATCCTTACCCCCCTCCTCATCGTTGTACGTTGTTGGAGGACAGGCCTGAAAACAAAATGAATGTTGCAATTAAAATTAATTAAATTGCAGGATCCACAGAGGAGGCCCCGTGAAGATCCAGGCTAGAATTGATCTTCAGTAACCCACGTTAGTCGCTCGCTGACTTGGTTGACACATGTTTTATCGTATCCCAATTGTGCAGATTGATGCACATGGTGTTGATCACTGGATTGTCTGGTCTAGACTCACTTATTTACAGACTGCCACCATATAGCTGGAATATTGCTGAGTGCAGCATAAAACTTAAATCACTCACTCACAGAGGGGTATCTAAAAATTATGATGAATAGTGAAGCCCTGTTTCCTGTGAACTGTTAATTCAGAGAGCCTAGCTTCCTACCGTACAATGACTGCAAGGAAGATTGATTCATATATATGAAGGGACAATACCCTGGGAATAAGCATAAAGACAAGTGTGATGAGGGCTTTTTCATATTTAATAATAATAATAATAATAAGTCATCTTCTATAGCGCACAGTCTCCAAACATCAAGTGATTGTTCGCGACGCTTTATCAGAATCTGAGTATTATTTTCCCAGATAACCCAAGCTGCTGTTAGGCGCTAGAAGGTTATAGTCACGTAACTTTTTCCGACCAGATATTTTCAAAATATCAGCAGACATCTCAGCGTTTTTCAAATTTCTTCTCTAATCAGTAATTAAAAACTGTTTCTCAGAATTGGTGAAATGTGTTTACCTTCATAGGAAGACCAACAGGACAGTAGTGGCCAGCAAGGCAGGGCTCGGAGATGGTCGAGTTCTGGGGACATATTCGACCTCCAGGGCATGCATCACACTCAGACACATCCTTGGCTCCTTCCTTGTCAATGAATCGGGATTCAGGACACTTCATTGGCATTTTCGTACCTAAGGAAATAAACAAACTTCAGTATGCATTCTAAAACTTCAGTATGCATTGTAAAAACTTCAGTGTGCATTGTAAAAACTTCAGTGTGCATTGTAAAAACTTCAGTGTGCATTGTAACAACAGATTCTGTAATTTGTGTGTACATTGTAATGACTTCTTCACTTACAATAATAAGTTCAGTATGCACTTGAAGAAAGATCAGTATCATGGCACTAATGTTTGTACACATGGCAAACACTTCTGTGTTAATAATTTTCGTACACACCCTAATATTATGTGCACCAGATAATTACTTTTACTTTTCTTAACTGGACATGGATCCAAAACCCAGAACACACTGTCTGATTGGTTGATTGAGTGCGATCTTCATATATACTAACAGTGTGTTGAGAGGAATGTTTTATCATTTTGGGGATAACCAGTCTCAAACCTATGTCTGTTGTCATAGAGTGAGTGAGTGAGTGAGTTTAGTTTTATGCCGCTTTTAGCAATAGTCCAGCAATATCACGGCGGGGTGACACCAGAAATGAGCTTCACACATTGTACCCACATGGGGAATTGAAACCGGGTCTTCGGCATGATGAGAGAACGCTTTAACCACTAGGCTACCCCACAGCCCCTTTTGCCATAGAACAGTTACAACATGATATAAGAATCTCAATTTAGTTTTCTGTATTTCAATATGTGCACATAGCTGTCAAAAAAATGTAATTTTTAGAGTAAAATTGATATTTTATACTTATCCTGACTCATGCTCTTTTGCTTGTCTTCTTCTTCTTGCGAACATAGTGGAACACTTGTATCTCCTTATTTGAAGCTCCCTTCAAAATAAAATCACTAATTGGTACTCACCACGAGTTGCTCCCCTTTGTTTCCCCTGGCGGGAAAGGTGTCGCCACCCTCTGGCCATGTGCTCCACTCTCTCCTGATTTAGCGAGCCCAACACTTGAACTTACAGGGAAATCCAAAGTGTTATGTGGGGAGGATGGGAGGGCTAACCTCATGAGTCAGGATAAGTATAAAATATCAATTTTACTCTAAAATTACATATTTTTCCTTATCCTGACTCATGCTCTTTTGCTTGTAGCATCCCTCCCGGAACGGAGGTGGGTAACAGAATACTTTGGATTTATAATTAGTGATTTTGTATAGATATGCTATCGTATCCTCTGGGAACTTCAATGAAGGCTTAGATTTAGGATGTTTCCTGTATAAAGAAAACCATAGGTTATATAAAGCCATTAAAGGGGAATTACATTATGAATATATTGAACAATACATATAAATTATATATATATATATAGGTGACTCTGATAGAGGCACTGAAATTGACTATACCAAAGTATATGCTTAAGGTTGAATACTTAAGCTGAACATATATACATAGCCCTAAAACTCAAGTGAGTTATAAGCTAGATGAGTTGATAATGGCGTGATAAAAGTGCTTTACCGGCTCCAAATAGCTGCAGAGCAGATCTCTTCAATGGGGAGTGCCAGCTGCAAAGCTTTTGATGCTGCTACTGCCCTGACCGAAAGTGAGCCTTCAACCCTCAGGGGAGGCTTGCCCTTAGCCTGATAAGCCGCACAAATATTGTCGAAACAAGCCAGCGAGAGACAAAGTTTGCTTGCTCGCTGGCAGACCAGCCTTCTTCCGCCACCGTGAACAACAGAACAGCTTGGTACCCGCATCGATCCCCCGCGCTCGCTTGATATAGACTTTGAGCCGCTTTACGGACATCCAACGGGTGAGTGCTCAGAGGAGTGGTCCCCGGCGTGGAAGGCTGGGTAAGAGTAGGAAGTTCGATAGGAGCTGTCACATGGAAAGCGTGATCGACCTTCGGTCGGGTAAGCATCTGGGAGGCTTAATGCTGACACGATCCGTGTGAAACACAGTCAGCCGGGTCGGACGACATAGCATGTATATCGCCGACTCTTCGACCAGATGTTACCGCCACCAGAAACACAGCTTTCCAGGTCAACAACTGAATGGAAATAGCCGAGTAGGTGTGAGAAAGTGGGACCGACAGCCAATCGAAAGCACGATCGACAAATCCCAAGGTGGACTGGTTCGCCTGAGAGCAGGTCTAATCCGCTCCGCCAGCTAGAAAGCGCCAAATGAGAGGGTGCTGCCCCAGAAGAGCACCATCGACAGGGTGTGAAAAGTGGAAATAGCGGTGGAGTAGCCCATTAATGGTCGGGTAAGCCGCCAGGCCTTCTTCCAAACGAAGCTTGCAAAAACTCCAATACTGGACTAAATCCGCGAGAAAAGGGATCTGCAATGCCCTATCTGAACACCAGCCAGCATAGCGGACCACCTATCCTCATACTGAACGCTTGTCGAATCCCGCCGAAGCCAGAATTGTGTCTGCAACTGCTGCAGGAATTCGCGCGCCTCGAGGTTAGACCTGACAGAGGCCAAGCCACCCACTGAATCCGCGGATTTGGGTGGGGCGCTCCGCTCTGAGTGAGAATGTCCGGTCGCAAAGGTAATAGAACAGGAGGCTGAGCCAGAAACCTGAGAATTACCGGAAACCAGCTCTGTGGACGCCAAAGCGGTGCCAGTAGCACAAGTAGCCGAGCTGGCTGGGTGGACAGCTGTGAAAGGACACGGGAATGAGTGGTAACGGGCGGAACGCCCAGAGCACTTTTGCCCGTCCAATCCAGCAGGAAGCGCCGGCAGCCAACGCCCTCTGGTCCGTATCCGAGAGCAGAACATCGGTGTTCGATGCGCCCCGCCGGACGCAAACAGATCCACCTCGAACGCACCCGCATACAACTGGGGAGATTACTGTGAATATCTGCCTGTCGAAGCATCCACTGCGGGGCCAGGATCCGGGCGAGAGAGCCGCGATCTGCTCGCGACGTTCTCCAGCCCCGGAGATAAACAGGGAGTACCTGACAATCGTGATTGGTCGCTTCCAGAGGAGAAAGTCCCACGCTTCCCCGAGGAGCTGGGGACACCGTGCCTCCCCTGCTTCAGGATGTATGCGACATGGCCGCCTGGTTGTCTAACTGAAGACGGACTACCTGGCCACGGACATGCTCTCTGAAGCCGAATACCAACGCGACAGCTCTCAGCTCCAACACGTTGATGTGAAGGTGAGCTTCGGCTTCGACCAGAGTCCGAAGCCGACAGACTGCCCAGAACGCCCCAGCCCGTGAGGGACGATCTGTCTGAACTGTGAGAGCTGGCCGGGATTTCCAAGGGGAACCCTGGTGAGATTCCCCGACATTTGTCCACCACTGAAGGTGAGGTGTCAACCACTCGGGGACTGTGAGACTGCGCCCAGATCCTCCGCGGTGAGTCCACAGCCCAGCCAAAGCTTGCTGTATGGGACGCATCTCAACCGCTACCGCCACACTACAGAGATCGTCGCCGCCATATGGCCCAGTAGACGGAGCCAAGTCCGTGCTGGTGCCTGGGGCTGGAGAGGAATGAAGATACCATCTCCGAACTCTGGTGACCCGGTCGGGCGACAAGGAAACGAGATCCTTGTTCGCTTGAATCGGCTCCAAGAAAAACCAAGTCCTGGGTGGGTACCAGGTCGGATTTCTTGAGGTTGATGATCCACCCCAGTCGAAGTTAGAATGTCTATCACTGTGTGAGTAGCATCTTGACTCGCTGGCTGTGTTAGTGCTCCGAGCAACCAGTCGTCTAGGTAAGGGTAACAACGCCTTCCTTGCGAGCGAAGCTAGGGTAGCTGGGACTAACATGAGCTTGGTGAACACCCCTTGGGGCAGTCGATATGCCGAAGGGGAGCACCCTGAATTGGTAATACATCCCGCCGTAAGAGAACCGGAGGTACTGCTTGAACGAGGGATGTATGGGTACATGCAGATATCGCGATTCTTTAGGTCGATTGACGGAGCCAATCGCCGGGCTGAACAGATGAGATCACCGAGCCGCAGTGTCTCCATCTTGAAGGATGGTACTTCGAAAGCATCGCGATTCAACCCCTGAGGTTGAGAATCGGATCGGAACCCGCCTTTCTTTCTTCGAAGCACGGGAGTAAAATCCCCGCCTGTTCCTCTCCGGTGGAATGCGCCGATTGGCGGACTTGTCCAGCAGAGCCTGAACTTCGTCCGCGCTAATATGTCCGCCCTGGCTAGGCATGACGGCACCGAGGCGCCGTCGTATGCCGGTGAAGTCGGGCGGACCTCGCCTTCACAGTGGGAGATGGCCTATGCTGACCGTGGCCAGCACCCAAAGCTGTTGTTGGTAGCCTTCTCCCATTCCGCAGGAATAGAGAGAGGCGCCTCCCACTGGGATATGGGGTAGGAGCGCTGCGGCGTGGACCCTAGTAGCGGAGCTGACTGGTGTGACACACGCGCTTGAGCGGCAGCCTGTTGGGTTAACGGGAGGTCGGGCAGACCTCCCGCTACCGCCGGGAAAGGCTGGGAGCTAGTCGAGGACTGCTCCTTGCCCCTACCCTTGGCGGACCTACTCCTCCGCCACCTACCAGCGGCGGCCAGCCGGCAGACTCGGGTGTAGGCTGCACCCCGGCGGAGGAAGGTGGCACGGAGCTGGGGCAGACACCCGCTGGTGCTCCAACAAGGCCTTAGAATCCTTGAAGGAGGTAGCTGCAGCGGCAGCCTCCCGCATGACCTGCTGTGCCCCCGGAAAGAGGGTCGCCCCAGACGGAAAGGGAGAGCCAGCAAGGTCTGCTGTGTTGCTGCGAAGTACCTAGACGCCGACAGCCACAGCCTGCGCATCCCCATGACTGCGCATTTCATCACCGCCGACGCAGCAGACCGCAAAGAGTCGCCAGCCGGTGAGCCTGAACTTCCGACAGCTGACGGAGTAGCATTTATTACGCGGGCGACATCGCCGCCAGCATGCCCCTCCCCTCCAGGGCCGACCTCTGTATCGGCGGGAGAGGTAGGCCTCATGGACCACCACCCGCACCTGCTGCATCGCTGCCCGTAGACCTCCTCGTAGGGTCCGTACGCCGCGTCGCAGGGGATGCTCCCGCGAGGCAAAAGGTGGAGTGAGGCGCCTTGCCGAAAGCAGCGGAGCTGCTTCGAGGAAGCCGAGCCTCCCCAGGGCGACGGAAGTGAAAACACACTCGCCCACGATCGGTACGACGAACAGGGAATCCTCCCAAGCTGGAAGCGCCGCGACGAAGTTCAGGTAAGTCAAACCTGACTCGGGTACCAGACAAGAGGGGATCGACCACGTCCCCGCGATCAACGATGGCAGAATGCGGAGCTGCGTCTGTGAGGGTTGCCTAGGGCAAACGCCTCACCAGGCAAGCGGAACTCAGTCAGTCCACGCGCAACCAGCAGGCACCGCGCCTGGGGTAGGCCCTCGGCAATTCTCTGCCGGACCTCCCCGCAAGCGTCGAAGCAAAACGGAAGCTGCCGCCATGCTCCTCGACCTCCCGAAGCTCCATTGCCTGGCGTCCGAGCCCGAAGTCAGAGGCTGGGTCTCCTCCGTGAAGAGGACCCTAACCTCGGACCCGGTGGACTGCCTAGCTGGGCACCACAGGAAGGGAGGAACAGACCGACTGCTCCACGCCAGCGCCAGCCGGCGGCGGTGGACCCGTGTCGGTGACGCTGGAGGCAGGCCAGGCAGAACTGGTGCCTCCGCCTCATCATCGGGCGGTGCGCAGGGACCGGAATACCAGGAATACTCAACGCCCAAGCGCCAAGCTCCCGAGGGGACTGGGAGCACCTCCCTCTCCGGAGCAGCCGAGGCGTCCGGACCCGAAGCCAGAGGCAACGGATCGACAGACGCCTCAAGGCTGAGGGATCTAGCCGAGGCCGGCGATCCCACCCCCGGACTCTCCGCCCCCCGTCCGGAGTGGGCGAGGAACTCCTGGCGGAGACCTCCAACCGACTCCCGAACGAAGGACTTCATTGAGTCCATCTGCTTCTGAAACATCGACTCCATTAGAGACATGTCAAAACCACTCGAAGTGGTAGGAGAGGGGGAAGGGCCACGGGATTTTTTCCTTTTGGACGCCGCTTAGATTTTGACGGGGAACCTTAGGCCAGGTCCCTCCGCCTCACGCATCTCGCCGGTAAAACAGGGTGTCGGCCGCCCGCCTCTTCTGTGCCCGGGAAAAGGCCAGACAAATTGAACATGTATCAGCCACATGGCCCGCCTTCTCCAGACAGGCCACGATTGGGAGTGACTGTCAGCCCGGGAATACTTCCCCACAGACCCAACAACAGGTAAAAGCCTGAAACAAACCGTAAACATGTTAGTTAACTTGTGGCCAGCAGCAGAGAAACACGTGAAAACATTGAAAAATACGCGTGAAGGTTACCACGGAAAGTAATAGTTGGTTTTAAAACGCAATATTACGACCACGCCGCACGCTTAAACTTCCCTCGGCCATGGCAGAGCAAACTTAAGTAAACCACGGAAAGTTTATGCGATTTTGATAGTACTTATACAAAGTCACAATTATGAAACAACCACTGTAAGGCTTTACTGTTATTGTTTTAGACAAATAAAACCAAACATACAGGTGGTGTCTCAGACATCTTAAAATACAGCGCGACGGCTCATGAAAGGTAATCACAAAGCTAACGTCTGTTCAGGGCCGTGACAGCAGAAGGAATGATGATACGGGTCTAGGAGCCTACCCAGTTGGTGCGCATGCGTTAAGGGAGGTAACTCCGTGAGGTAGGGTCCGTATAATAAGTAAAAGAGTTTATTTATTGTACAATCTTTTTATTCAAAAAACATTGATACAACTGTCACAGGACATTTTACAGCCGGAAAATGCATAATATGTACCCCAAGGACGATCTCTCTGAAAAAGAATTCAGTGTGCATTGTAAAAACTTCAGTGTGCATTGTAACAACAGATTCTGTAATTTGTGTGTACATTGTAATGACTTCTTCACTTACAATAATAAGTTCAGTATGCACTTGAAGAAAGATCAGTATCATGGCACTAATGTTTGTACACATGGCAAACACTTCTGTGTTAATAATTTTCGTACACACCCTAATATTATGTGCACCAGATAATTACTTTTACTTTTCTTAACTGGACATGGATCCAAAACCCAGAACACACTGTCTGATTGGTTGATTGAGTGCGATCTTCATATATACTAACAGTGTGTTGAGAGGAATGTTTTATCATTTTGGGGATAACCAGTCTCAAACCTATGTCTGTTGTCATAGAGTGAGTGAGTGAGTGAGTTTAGTTTTATGCCGCTTTTAGCAATAGTCCAGCAATATCACGGCGGGGTGACACCAGAAATGAGCTTCACACATTGTACCCACATGGGGAATTGAAACCGGGTCTTCGGCATGATGAGAGAACGCTTTAACCACTAGGCTACCCCACAGCCCCTTTTGCCATAGAACAGTTACAACATGATATAAGAATCTCAATTTAGTTTTCTGTATTTCAATATGTGCACATAGCTGTCAACAAAAATACAAATGTTTCATCAGAAATTAATACAGGATACAGTCATAATTTAATTCCCAGTAGGTGGTTCTTAACTTGTTTCCACTCATACTTCACAGCTTACCTTGAGGACAGTAGTAGCCATACGGACACAGAGTGCCATTGGGATAGAGCGTCCCATTGGGAGTGGGAGAACCGACTCCAGATAGACAGAAGTAGCCTGCAGCACAATCTGCTGTGATTCGTCCATTTATACAGTACTTCCCTGGATAAATAAATGGATAAATGGATAAACACCTCTGCTTGAAGCACCCTTATGTCTACAAACATTACATATAAAACAGTACAAAATAATTATTATTTTATTACTTTTCACTTGATAAATCTGAATTAAATACTGACAAAATGGATCCTTTAACTTTTGACTCACCAGTGACACATGGCTCACACTGACTAGGATCAGACAATCCTGTGACATTTGTGTATGTCCCATTGGGACACAAGGTCGGTACCACACTTCCATTGGGACAGTAAGAGAAGACCTCACAGGGCTCAGGAATGCTGGTGTTGAGCATACAGAACGTCCCCGCTGGACACGGCTCACAGCTGGAGGCTCCTTCTTGAGGCTGGTAGGTACCTGGAGTCAAGAGTGAGTGAGTGAGTGAGTTTGGCAGGGTTTAGAACAGTTGTGAACAGTAATTAATTTCAGAGCATTTCAGGTTCATGTGAAGGAAAGCTCAATTCAATCCTCTTGAAAGACACGCTCAGACGGAAATGATAAATGAAAATAACAAATAATTTTAAAATAAATAAACAAACAAAAAAACCCAGATAAATAAATATAATAAATATTAAAACAAATAATTATTTGTAAGTGTACAAGGCATGCTGTGACATTGTCTAGAGTGTCTGAGTGGGAGATACGTACCAGGGGGGCATCCAATGGGAACTCCAGTCCTCTCAGGACAGTAGTATCCAGCTGGACACTTGAAGGCCGACGGAGCGGATGAGTTGATGCGGGCGTAGTCAGGGCAGTAGTAGGTCTCCTCACAGACCCCTGATGGGCCCAGTCCTGCCTCTATATCACAGAAGTAGCCCGGTGGGCAAGGCCAACAGTCACTGTCACCTGCTGCTCCGGTTTGATTCCTGGCAGTGCCTTGAGGACACGCTTGTTCCTTCACAGTCCCTGGCAACAGCGAATGATCAAGGAACTAGTGAGTGAGTTGGGTTTTATGCCGCTTTTACCAATATTTAATCAATATCATGGCAGGGGACACCAGAAATGGGCTTCACACAATGTACCCATGTGGGGAATCGAACCCGGGCCTTTGGTGTGACAAGCCAAAGCTTTAACCACTATGCTAACCCACCACCCCATCAAGGAACTAGACTTCAGTCACTTTTGGAAATATAGTAATAAATTAATGATAAGGGAAAGAACTGGTTTCACAAATTGTACCAAAGTGAGTAAACACATTCAGGCCTAGGACATAATGAGTGCTCCTGTTTATCCCAAATCTACTCTAGCCTAACAACAGACATGAGTTTCTATTATTCCTCTCACATATTAGCATAATGATGACTGAATGACTGAAAAACAAACTTGCTATCCAATGGATTTAGAAAGTCAGATATTTTCATGATGATATGCCTAATTGCTCACAATTTATAGATTAGCATTAAGTTTGTCTAATTGTAATGCCAAGGAAACAAAACAGCACCACTAGGTCTGTAATCTGACTTAAACAAATAACAAGACATGGTGTTGAAAAACAGATTTGCCTAAGCAAACGTTTATTTTTTTCTTTCAAATAAAGTTCAGGTTTGGTGGATATGAAAAAAAACCTGTCTATTATCCAGGATTATATTGTGGTTTAGTAATGTATTTTCACATTTAACTAGTAACTGTTTTGGTTTTTATGAAGTTACAAGTTTTCAAGTCACTGTGTCTCACCTTCTTCACAGTAATATCCAGGCGGACAGGGTCCATTAACACCATCGTCAGGGGCGGGATGTGCTGCACCAGCCACACAGAGGTATCCACCCATGCAGGGACCACTTGAACTACTCAAACCGGTGTCATTACAGAACTGGCCACTGGGACAGGGCTGGCACTGATCCACTGAGCTAAGGTCATCGTGTGAGTTGAAGGTACCTATTGGGCATGGTGTGCCTTCGTTGGCAGTACCGTTGGGGCAGTAGTAACCAGGTGTACATGGAACAGAGGAGTTCATGCCCAGTTGAGGGCAGGACTGGCCTGCAGGACAGGGCAAGCACTCACCTGGAGGAATCAGATCAAACGTTTCAGATGGACATTGTTTCAGTCGTCTAGCATGTCATGTAGCTGTTAGATGATTGAATTTCACCTTTAGGCCAGACCAATTTAATTTCTTGTTTTATGGATATTTGTCCCCAGAAAACCTAAAGGCAGGAGGGAATTTTTTTTTTTTAAATCACCAGTCAAAGTAATATTTCTTTTTAAGTATTTCACTTTTGGCATTTTATGAAATGTATATGGGGCAATAAACAATCTAAAAAGAAATTTCTTGTAAGTTTACATTTTTGGCCAATAAAAACATTTTAAACAATTTTGAGCGGGGAAAATTATTATTATTATTTTTTTCATATTCTTGAAAAAATATGACCAGTGGATCAGTAAAACAAGAAATAAAATTGGTCTGGCCTTATACAACAGAAAAATATGTTTTGATGTTATTATGAAGAAACCAGCAAAGATCCGGGATGAAAGTGGTCTTCAGCAACCCATGCTTTTCGTAACAGGCGACATGTGGGTGGTCAGGCTTGCAGACTTGGTTGACACATGACATCAGAGCACCTAAGATCAGAGCAGTTTACTGCCTTGTCTTACAGACTTACATGGGGATCAATGCTTCAACTATCAGGGCATTAGACCTTTCAGTCAGAAAATAGAACAATTCAAGAGGTGATATGTCACGTACCCAAGCCTTCTGTTGGTGCATAGGTGCCCTTATCACACAGTGACTCCTTGACGGCCCCAGAGGGGCAGTAGTGTCCTATAGGGCAGATATATCCCCGGGAGCCATTTATCGGGTTGGCGATGTCAGATCCCACCAGACAGATGAAACCAGCATCACATGGATCACTGTGACCTGAAAAAATAATTTGAGGATTAAATCTTCGACTCTTGTGAGATGCAAGAAAGAGACACCCAACGAGCATATGACTGCTTTCCTCTTTGATAATTTCTTTTATCGGCATGTCAGAATTATTATTTCATACTAGTCCTTATATGGATGACCTAATGAGGCTTCCTGCTACAGGAAGTTCCCAGCATGTAATTATGTTAATCAGTTTTCTTTGTTCCCTGTTAACAGTTACACCATATTTTGGAGTATCTTTTCACTGCATCTTTTTCACAATGCTTGATTTAAAACTAGTAACCACTGATGTACAATGAACAGTATACACATACCCAAAACAAGTCTGAATTTCTATTAGATTTTGTTCTTATAGCTGTTTGTCTCTTGCTATATTTGAACTAAGCAATATTCCAGCCATATTGTATATTTTTGTAAATATAACTGAAATAGAGTCTGGATTAAATGAACCAATGGCTGATATAATCAGTTATGTCCCTTGCCATTCCATCATGAAGATATGTAACTGAACAAGTCAATGAATCAGACCATCAGCCTTATGCGATAAAGCATGTTTTAGTATGGATGTATTTGAACACAGAATCCCTACAAAGTACAAAACTGTTTTATTTTGGAGAAGAAACATTCTCACCTGCCGCTGAGCTGTCAGGTGTACAGTACTGGCCCGGTTTACACAGTTCACAGTCGGTGTAGTTGGTGTTGCCGGTGCTGGTGGCAATAGTTCCTGCAGGGCAGGGGATGGGCTTGTAGCTCCCTTCTGGGCAGTAGTTTCCAATAGGACAGACAGTGGCAGCAGGGTTTGGCTCAACTGTCCCACTCTCGCAGTAGTAGCTAGGGGATATTGCAATCACAACTAGTTGATGTCCAGAGTTCACATGCACACTGACATTATATACAGGGTATGTGTAGTGCATTTGCTATAAGTAGTTGTAACACCAACCCTATGTATATCATATCAGGATTACTCCATTTCTGATTACTTCATCTACATGTCATCTGCACAAGGATGATGACGTCATGAAAGTATGAGTTAGTCATCTAAACATGAAGGTTGTCTCCAATTTACTTGTTGTGTCTTAGTGTAAGGAACACCCCTACACTGAGTACATTACAGTATGATATATGGTAGATGGGATGGAATTTAATGCACCTTACAGCAATATCACGGCTTTGCAGATTGTACCCATGTATTGAATAGAACAAACATCTTCAACTAGTGATTGAATGCGCCCACACCAACCCTCCTATCACATTCTCCATTGTAGCACAGACTCTGGTTCAGGCAGTCCTGGGGGCGGTGGGGGAGCCTAGTGGTTAAAGCGTTGGCTCGTCACGCCGAAGACCCGGGTTCGAATCCCCACATGGGTACAATGTGTGAAGCCCATTTCTGGTGTTCCCCCGCCGTGATGTAGCTTGAATATTGCTAAAAGCGGCGTAAAACCAAACTCAGTCAGTCAGTCAGTCAGGCAGTCCTTAGAGATATTGGTTCTGAATCTCAGGGGTGGAAATAACCCATTGCCCGACGTCCGAGTCTAGTGTTTTTTTCTGTCGGGCAAGCAAATTTGTATATCACACTGTAACGGTGTCCAGTTGACTTTCCAATGTTAATTATGTTGTTTACTTATAAAATCAACAAGAAAACGGCCGGTATAGTGAAAAAATTATCAGGGCAAGGGATTTTACATGTGCCACTGTACCGGAGTACACTAGCAATTTTAAAGTTATTTCCACCCCTGAATCTGCTTAGTAATCTTTCAGTGTGACACTGTCCTTTGGGGTCAAGAATACTGTTGCTCTAAGTACAAGATCTGGACAGGTACATCACTCTCAGTAAACCTGATTCAGACAGACCCATGCTCCTGAACAAACAGCATATAAACCTAAATATATTCTCTCACCATGTATGGTTCAGCCTCCCTGGTTCTTGCAGAACGGTGAGCTTACACCAGGATCAGAACCTCTGATAACTCAAAAGCAAAGTACTGACTGACTGACTGAGTTTGGTTTTACGCCGCTTTTAGCAATATTCCAGCAACATCACGGTGGGGGACACCAGAAATGGGCTTCACACAATGTACCCATGTGGGGATTCGAACCCGGGTCTTTGGCATGACGAGCCAATGCTTTAACCACTAGGCTACCCAACCGCCCCCAAAGCAAAGTAAAGCATAACCCAAGAAGCAAGAAGATGCACTCACCCAGCATAGCACAGACCCTCCGGTTCAGGCAGACCAGTGCTCTTGCAGTAGAATCCTGGTGAGCAGTCCTGACACTGGCTGGCGTTTACCCTGTGAGTCTTGTTGTTGAATGTTCCACTGGGACAGGGGTACTGGTTGGATCGCTTGGTCTCAGGGGGACAGTAATACCCTGCTGGACACTCATGGTCAGTCAGGTTGCCCACTGGCGCCAGGTTGTTGTCACAGAAGTAACCTGTGTACATACAATTCCTTATAAATCATCTCTACATCGACAGTCATATACTGTATAACTTATCTTTAAGTGTGTATAATTTGTTTCTTAACCCTTTCCATTATAGATGTGTTCATCAACTGTTCCTGAATTACAGTCTGGAAATATGAGTGGTTTGGTTGTTGTTTAACACCACACTCAGCAATATGCTAGCTATATGCCAGGGTCTATAAGTATTTGAGTATGGACTAGACAATCCAGTGATCAACAGCATGAACATCGAGCATCAACCCATGAACACATGGGTCTGTAGGGAGAGAGAAGTAACCCTCTGAGTTGTCATTCATAAAGGAGTAATCTTTTATTTAGTTCTTGCTAAAAGTCATTAATGAGCCCCAGTCAATTCTTTCTGTATACTTCATTGTCAGTAATCCATTGTACTGTATTTCTAATATGATCAGATTCCCTTGGTGCAATGGAACAACACTAAAATATCCTTCAATCAATTTTCTCACACTGCTGAAATGGATTTGTAAAGAGATAAGAGACAAGAGACTGGGATGGTGAAAATTGCTGAGAGCAGTGTTAACAACAAACAAAAACAAATATGGGAACACACTGGTATGAAGAAGTAATACTGTGCTCAATCAAGGAATCAAGACTCCACGATTCTAACCTTGAGGGCAGGGGTTGCAGTGGTCTTTCCCCTTCTCGTCCTGGTAGAAGCCGGATCACAGCGTGTGGGGGTGGCGGTCTTCTGCAGACAGTAGTGACCCTCAGGACAGAGATACTCATATGGCCTGGGGATGGTCTGAGCCCCGGGACAGTAGAACCCTGGGGAGGAGCACATGCATGCGTCAGCAGAATGATCAGGTATATTTGTGTCCTACACAGCTGGTTTGAGGAGTTAAATACCTGTTAATAGGTCACTGTGTGGTAAATTGTGCAACATGCTCAAACATCAGTGAGGTGAACATGGTGAAACCGGGTTCAAGCATTGCACTTAAACCATGCCACAGTTATAAAACGAGTATCCTACTAAAAAAACACAGAATACAAAGGCTATGGGACAGGCAAGATAGCATCGTTAACATCTTCGACCTAACTGAACCACTGACCTGCAATTCTCATGACACTCTGTCAAACAAACCACAGCAGCAATCATTACATGTATGGATATCGAAAATGTCTTGCCATATGAATTAGGAGTGAGTGAGTTTGGTTTTACGCCGCTTTTAGCAATATTCCAGCAATATCATGGCGGGGGACACCAGAAATGGGCTTCACACATTGTACCCATGTTGGGAATCAAACCTGAGTCCTTGGTAGTCTAGTTTAACCACTATATATATAACCAGATATTATGTGAATCACAAAAGTCTCAAAAAGGGATAAGTGTCTTAAACCCTAACACAGATACCAGATTCCAATGTCAATCTGCTGCAGAATCAACAATATGTACATATTTTCTTATGTTCATCTAAATCAAAATATAATCATAAAACCGCACGGCTTCTTTTCTGTCAGCAACTTAAGTCAGAGAAGTGACAAGGTGGGTTATCTCCCCTATGCAGAACTCAAATCAAGGCAAAAACCAAGCCATGCAATAAACCTGAGCACTGATCATTATATATGATCATATTTAAAGCTCAATTCAATTGAAAACAATCTAATTTTTAATATTTTACACTTGCATAATACCTATCTTCATGATGATTGAGTTATCTCCCCCTACCTGCATCACACTCCCCAGTGACGGCGCTGAGTCCTGTGCCATTACAGAAGTAGCCTCCATCACATGCCTCACATTCTCCTTCCGATCGCAATCTCTCCACTGGGCCATATGTTCCGTTACGACACGCCACAGGTTCTGGGGATCCGATTGGGCAGTAGTGACCGACTGGGCATGTTTCCTGTGAGAACTCTGTTGAGCCAAGAGGGCAGTAGTAGCCTTCATTACAGTCCCCTGTGGGGTCAGCCAGACCGGCAGTCTTGCAGTATTTGCCAGGAGTACATTGTGTCATTTCGTACGACCCAACGGGGCAGAAGTATCCTGGCTGACAACGACCACCGTTTGATGATGGCTGGAAGATCAGAGGAGGACAGATGAAATACATTCTCTGTCTATTCTAACCTTTCAAAAGAAAAGATGCTAGTGTTTGGTTTATCATATATTGAGCAGAAGTGATTTTACGTCTTTCAGATCACTTGGTACATCCTCAGTAATGATTCAGTGGCCATTCCAAACTGACATCTCAGTCTTTATTATCACTAAGCACAGAAGTGCTATAACTCTTGAATGCAATCTGAATGGAGTAAGTGAGTACTTATTGCTCATAACCGTATCAGCAATTTTAAAGCTATTTTCGTGGCAATAATCTGAATGGAATATTTTTCTGATCATGTAATCTGAATCAAGCTCTGAATACAGTTATTGTAGTGAGTGAGTCCAGTATATCTGTCCTAACAAATGGAGATTGAGTAAATAATGGCGATTGAATAAACAAGGGTAACAGGGATATTAAGATTCAACTTCACACTCCTAGCCACCAATGTTGGGAATCAAACCTGTGTTTTTCATGTACCAGGCCAGGGCTTCCAGTAGAGCTCATTTCACACTTGGGATATGTCAGTATATGTGTTGTTTGAATGGGTGTTACTTACGACTGACTGAGTTTGGTTTTACACTGCTTTTAGCAATATTCCAGCAACATCACGGCGGGCAAACCAGAAATGGGCTTCACACATTGTACCCATGTGGGGATTCGAACCCGGGTCTTCGGCATGACGAGCCAACGCTTTAACCACTAGGCTACCCCACCGCCCGACATGTGTTACTTACGGGTTTGTGATTCAGAAAAGCTTAAAATCAATATAATTCTAGATTTGACCTACCTGTGCCTCAAAGGAGCCATTTATACAGTACCATCCTCCATTACAGTCATTGGTAGGATAGGCGTTGCCGTCTCCAGCACAGTACTTGCCCGGAGTGCAGGGAACACATGACGCAATGGTCTGCTGTGTGGTGAGGTTGTTCATTGAGCCGGGGGGACATGGGTACTGCTTCGGGTCAGTCGTGTTCCTCTCACAGTAGTATCCAGATGGACAGACAAACGGCAGGTAGTCTGTAGTGTTAGCCAAGCAGTAGTACCCTGCAGGACAGATCTTACAGTCCATCTGATTGGTCTAAATCATTGTAGGATCCTGGTGGGCAGCCAATGGGATACTCTGTACCTAATGGGCAGTAGTGTCCTGTTGGACAGATGTGTCCGATGATTGGATGGACAGTTGCAGTAGGACACTGGTTCTCATCGAGCATGACAGGGTCAGCCTTGTCCACACCGGACACGCAGTAGTAGCCAGGGTCACACTGCCCAGAGGGAGTAGTCAGGTTGGAACCTGTAAGACGAGGAAATAACAGTCAGTCATTAACACTGGTATTTTCCTTATCCTGAATCATACTTATCTCCCCTTTCTCTCAAGGTACAGTGGAAACCTCTGTCCAATGTTCCTAATAATTGCCAAAAATAGCTCACCCCAAATGGGCCTCTCCACAGGTATGCGCACCAGCAACCCATGTGACAAGTGGAAGCTCATTCCCCTCTCCATTTTCACCCTACAGGACCCCAGACAAGCCAAATTTTGAGGAAGAAAAAAACAAAAACAATCTGGAATGGGGTTGGCTTCTGTAAAGGTTACATAAATTTTTTCGTATTGCTTCGTCTGAACAGTGAGTTTGGTTTTACGCCCCTTTTAGCAATATTCCAGCAATATCATGGTGGGGGACACCAGAAATGGGCTTCACACATTGTACCCATGTGGGGAATTGAAGCTGGGCCTTCGGAGTGTTGAGTGAACGCTTTAACAACTAGGCTACCTTACCACCTCTTGTCTGAACAGATTTTATGGGTCAAGTCAGGACCTTGGCTTATCTATGAGATCGGCTTATCTACAGTCATATACGGTATACATCTGTTCATTGATCTGATGTGTAAGCATGCAGTGATGCAGTTCTTGTATGTCAGCACTTTGCTGAATCACATGACTATAGGAGGGTGCTCATGCTCATAGAAATATAATCTCAGAAAAACAGGATTCAAACCCATGATTTCATGACCCCGCTGTCCTAATGGCTGCAATTAAGCACAGACAATTCACCTGCTTTGGATAACTAGACTAGCCATGCTCCCGATCTGTCAGTAAAGAGAGACATGAAGTGACGACAAACTGAACTTAATCATAATGGTAAGATGTCATGCAAATAACATAAGAGACACTCCAAGTTATTTTGTAGGCGATGGAATCAGACCGTGGATTATTCTCTATTTGATAAAAGAACAGTGAAGTAACCTGTGGCAGTGTATGAAATAAGCCCAAACCCCAGTCTGACATCTGGGCTGGTAACTTCAAAAACTTACCAGCCCAGAAGAGATTTAACCAGTCCTTCTTAAATCCTAAAAAGGCAGTGCCAGTGGACACGTTATTTGAATATTTTTTCAACGGGTTGGATAGCTGTAAAATTAGACCATCCGGCAGAAATCTAGCCCGTCTCGGGCTGTCGGACGGGCCTTATTTCATACACTACCTGTGTGTGAAAGTGAGTACTTTCCTTATTTCTTAGGACGTATGTGGGCAAGAATAAGAAAATAGCAAGAACAGTTCTAAACGACTTTAAGCAATATTCCAGCAATATAACACCAGGGGAACATGAAAACTAACGTGGAGAATAAAACACGAGTCCTCCCACGGAAAGCTTATTATTCACAAGGCTCTCAAATCAATGTTAACACTGCAGACTGAGGTCCTACCTTGACAGTACTGGCCACCGGTACATGGGGTACACTCGTCATCCTTCTTCAGTCCAGTCATGCTGCTGTAAGTGCCAGCTGGACAGGACTGCCAGTCGTGGCCTGTCCCGTTCGGACAGAAGAACCCCTCGGGGCAGGGGTGTTTGGAGGAGGCAGAATCTCCTGCCACAGTCAGCTCCGGGATGCAGTAATACCCTGGGCAAAACAACTTCAGTGTCAGATATATGAAATGTCACATTCCAGTTCCAATAATACAGTTGTAATGACAGAAGGCATTCCATTTTACCTCCTTTTGAAAGCAACTGTAAGTGAGTGAGTGAGTTGGGTTTTACGCCGCTTTTAGCAATATTCCAGCAATATCGCGGCGAGAGGACACCATAACAAAGCAACTGTAACCATTAATGGTGAACAAGACACTGATGCAAGCAAGGGTTGCTGTAGATCAATTCTAATATGGATAGTCACCGAAAAACAAATGAAAGAGAACACTTGCAATGTACACAGTTTGAATGGTTTGTAAGTAACATACAGAGTAGGATTACACTGACTGACTGACTTTTAGTTTTACTCCGCTTTTAGCAATATTCCAGCAACATCACGGCGGGCGGGGGACACCAGAAATGGGCTTCACACATTGTGCCCATGTGGGGATTCGAACCCGGGTCTTTGGCGTGACGAGCCAACGCTTTAACCATTAGGCTACCCCACCGCCCCAGGATTACATAACATCATGACAGACTTAACAAATGTCTTGCAGGTTCATACAACAATGGCGTGAAGACTGATATAGGGCATGCTGGATATTGAAAAGCTATGATTGTAAAAGTATTGACTATAAAGGACACTCTCCACATAAGGAGAATTTCGTACATTGTATCGTCCAATATGTTGCTGTTGACAAAATGAATAAGTCTTAGTGAACAAAAATCATCGAAAGAACAATGCCCACCTTCTGGACATGGTTGACACTGGGAAGCACCATCATAATCCACAAAGAATCCTGCGGGACAGTCTTGCGGAGCAGCACTGCCAAGAGGGCACTGCTTGGCTGCAGGACAGATGATCTGTGTCTCCACACTTGACCCAACAGGGCAGTAGTAGCCTGTACAAAAGAATGTGTTGTTTTGCAGAAGTTTGTGCTGAATTACATCGTGCACTGTAAATTATTAAGTGTGAGTGAGTGTGTTAAGTATTATGCTGCTTTTAGCATGATTCCAGCAATATCATGGCAAGGGACACCAGAAATGGGCTTCACATATAGTACAAATGTGGGGAATCAAACCCAAATTCTAGTAATTTGGTGATTGAGTTCCATCTGGGATTTGAACTCCACCAATCACAAGCAGAGATCTAACCCACTCAGCTACTTCCACAATAATTGAAGTCAGTCAACTGGACCACATACTTTTGGGATCCTTCTGACTTGTGTAAATAGGCACAGCTCAAATGTCCGAAAGCTATGAAAACACAATGCCTTTTCTTGTTGCCAAGATTTTACCTACAATTTCCTTTTGTCATTAATTTCTTATATTAGGCTATATATTACTTTATTCACTGGTGTGATACTGACCTTCCTTGCACGGACCGCTGAGCGCCGTCAGCCCAAAGCCGTTACAGTAGTACCCAGGGAGGCAGTCGGTACATTCACTCTCATACGCCAGGCCAGTCTGATTGGAGTAGGTCCCATTGGGGCACTGTGCCGGGTAGTGGGTACCAAGTGCACAATAGTGGCCCTCGATACACACAAGTTCAGTGGCCACCTCAGACCCCGTTGGGCAGTAGTATTTCTCACTGCACAGCCCGCTTGGAGCAGACAATCCTGAAATCAAAGTATCTAGAGTAACAAGAAGAACTATTTCAAGGATAAATCATATGACATCTAATGACTTCTAGCATTAAGCTACCATATATTACCGTAGATAAGTCGAATTTTGAGGACCAAAAAAAGCAGTCTGTAGAAGGGGGTCAGGTTATGTATGAGTTACACTTTCGTCAAACTTTTTTTCAGGGGTAAGAAATGACATCTTATCGCTTCGCATGAACAAACAAACAATAGAAGATGACTTTGTCAGTAAAGACATCAAATTTGCAATGAAACATCACTAGACAAGATAATTTAACTTGTCACTGCAAATTTGTTTTTGCTAATTTGTATATTATGTTCCATATATCACTGTCTACAGTGTGAGCTTTCAGGACTTATAATGAGAAGGTATGACAGTGGGCTGGTTAGAAGATCTCTTATCTTTTTCTGTCTGGTCAGGGTTAAAATGGCAATGTCAACCAGCTTTTGAAAGCAAGCCCCAATAGAATACCATAACAAGCAATTTTTATTGGTCTGTTCTGGGGATGAAGGACAAAAGCAAAGAGTGCAATCTCTACTATTTGCCATTACTGCATTTATTCTAATAAACACTCCTCCATCCCATGTGTACCTCCAGCGGGATGCACTCCAACTGTGTCCTACCACACCTTTCATGTCACCAGTGCCAGCCCCCATCATGTGTTTTATTTCCTTCTTACATTCCTTCCTGATCCCTACCCATCCTCTCACAGTCAAAATAACAGAATGAACTCAACTGTTGTTCCACCACATCTTTTGTGTCGCCCTGTGTCAGCCCTTCTATCATGCATTTTGTCCCTTCTTACACATCATGGGCACTATGTACTGATAATCTGGACTCTGCATCTGTCCTAGTAATGATAAAGTTAAGAAGAGTTATATTATGCTTCGGTGACTGCCTGCCAGTTTGTGTTGTTTCCCTACAGTACCTGTCTGGTTGCAGAACGATCCTCCAGTACAGTTGACACACTGGTCCTCCCTGTAGATGTTAATGCTGGGGTTATAGGTCCTCTGAGGACATGGCAGGGGGTCAGCAGTCCCTTGAGGACAGAAGTAGCCAGTTGGGCAGATGTCTGCCTGGACTCCTGTTGAATGACAACATGGTAAGATGAAGGCACAAGAGTTTAAATTGTCATAATTCTGTTTGAGACCATGGTAAGATGATCAATGTCGTTGTAATAATAGTCAGACTTGTTTCTACCCAGTCCCTAACACTCTAGAGATGTAACAATGTTCACACAATTCTAAAACAGATGTCTGCAGTATACCTTGACTAGGTGTTGTTGACTTTGAACCTTCTCGGCAGAAGTACCCTTCATCACAAGGCCTGATGGGATAGGTGAGGCCTTCCATGTCACATGCCATTCCGCCGACACACACTGAGCATTCACTTGCACTGGTGAGGCCTGAAATACCACGAAAAAGATTTCAGCCATGTTCTTACAAGAACCTCCAGCAAAGCTATAAGCCATGATGCCACAGTAACACATTACCCTTCAGAAATATTCTGGCATAAATCTTCAACGAAATAGTGACTGTAACCTTTCAGAAAATCTCTCACCAAACCCTACAGCTAAGCTCTAGTCACAAGCCTTAAGCACAGTTCTAACATAACCTTTCAGCAATGTTTCAAGATAAATTGTCAGTAAAGCAGTAATTAAACCCTCCAGCAAAGCTCTACTTAAAACCTTCAGCAAAGCTCTACCTAACCCTTCAGCAAAGCTCTACCTAAACCCTTCAGCAAAGCTCTACCTCAACCCTTCAGCAAAGCTCTACTTAAACCCATCAGCAAAGCTCTACTTAAACCCATCAGCAAAGCTCTACTTAAACCCTACAGCAAAGCTCTAACTAAACCCTTCAGCAAATGTGTAAGCTATGCTTTAACACTTCAATTTGGGCTAAAGGTAACCTTTAAGCTCTAACAAAAGGTTTCATAAATTTTTAACACTAAAATCCTTCAGTTATGCTACACCTTAAGCCTAACCCCAAAATTGGACTGATACTTTACACTTGAACAATGGAACTTTCTGCTGAGTCAGCATAATGGTAAGTAAATTCACCTGTAATCAGTGACATTACCTGTCCTGTTGTTGTATGTTCCCAGTGGACAAGGGTACTGGTCGGCATACTGTGTTCCATTAGGGCAGTAGTATCCCTCTGGGCAGATGGTTCCATCGTAGCTGACCACAGGGCCGGCAGTGGCGTTACAGTAGAAGCCGGCAGGGCATACATTGCAGTCAGTCTGCTGGGGCAGATCCTACAGGAACACAGTGGGTACAGTGATGAGCATTGCAGGTAAAACAATGGTTGTAACAGGTAAACAGTGGTCAAAACAGGTAGAGAAGTAGTCCATAGAACAATGCCATGAGAGGAAGAAAGGTAGAAAAATGGTTGTAACAGGTAGAACAGTGGACAAAGCAAGTAGAGAAGTAGTCCATAGAACAATGCCATGAGAGGAAGAAAGGTAGAAAAATGGTTGTAACAGGTAGAACAGTGGACAAAGCAAGTAGAGAAGTAGTCCATAGAACAATGCCATGAGAGGAAGAAAGGTAGAAAAATGGTTATAACAGGTAGAACAGTGGACAAAACAAGTAGCACAGTGGTCAAAGCAGGTAAAGAAGTGATCTGAACACAAAGTGCCCATAAGAGGATGAAAGGTAGAACAATGGTTGTAACAGGTAGGAAGGTGGACAAGACAGGTAGAGAAGTGTTCCAAAGAACAATGGTCAAAAAAAGATGACAAACAATAATAGTGAAAGGTAGAACAGTGGATGAAACTGGAGGAACAGTGGTCAATACATGTAGAAAGGGGAGACAATAAGTCCGTAGTGTACCTGGTATGATCCGGCAGGGCAGGCAACAGGTGCTTCTTTGCCGCCCACACAGTAGTATCCAGGTTGGCAGGAGTTGTTGCCGGGTGTCGCCACAATGGCCCCTGCTGGGCAGTAGAAGCCAGGGGCACAGTCCCCATTTGGTGATTCTAATCCTTCTTGTTCACAGTACTTGCCTGCAGAGAAAAGGGGAGAGACATAATGGACCGCTGACATGCTTCAGAAACTCAGCTGAATACCCAAACATGTTACAGTTGAGTAGACATCTGTATGTCAACAGTGATTTGGGGACTTATCATTTTTTGGGGTCAAATTCCTGCTGAATGCACCATCAAATCTGTGGAATAGTTGCAGGCAATGTTTCCAAAGACACCAATATTCAATGACAACCTTACCTGGGGTGCAGATCTTGCAGGCAGAGGGGTCACTGTTCCGTGTGCTGTCCAGGTAGTACCCTATTGGACAGGGGACAGGTTTGGGACTTCCTACTGGACAGTAGTGCCCCATGGGGCAGATGTCCCCAGTCACTCCATCGGTGGGGCGGTAGAATTCAGCTGCCAGGATACAGTAGTACCCTGGAGATGTAGAACATAGTAGACAATATTAGACATTGTCAACCAAGTCAACAATATGTTCACTATTTTGTTTTGGTGATTAGTTGTCATTCTGGAAGAACTGCAGAACTGTGTTTAATGTGCAGATATTTACAACATGTACACAAGATTGAATACTACTTACCTATAACAGTAAAACCTCAAGGTAATCATGATGAAAGTAGAGGTAAATATCAGGATTAAGAAATTGCCCATCATAAGTATACACTTTCAAAAATAATTCTGCCTTCCTAAGTACCAGTACTTTGTAATAATTTGTCCTATTCTCAGCTTTGAACAGTTTGATGCTTTACATAGAAACTTCATCAGATCCTGGCACAACAAAGGGACATAACTCATTTCCATAATGAATAGATACTATTGTTGATGGTCAAATATCTGGCCAAGATCATAGACAAACCAAAATATATCTTAGAAACACAACATATTTAGTTAAATTATTCACTAGAGGGCAATCAACAAGTGCCAAGTGCCAAATGCTGCCATGTGACCAGTCACGAAGCATTCCCCACCTTGTGTGCAGTTTCCTGTGGGTGCTTCCAGTCTCTCCTGTTGACAGTACTTGCCGCCATCACAGAGGGTATAGTTGACACTGCCCTCAGGGCAATACTGGCCTCTGCGACACTTCCCTCCCTGAGCTGAGTCTGTCGGATTTGTCTGGACAGCGCCACCTAGGCAGAACCATCCGACACTGGAACAAAAAGGATGGAGAATGAAGGGAAGCAGAATGTAAAGAGTGGGTGATCGAGTATGACTTGTCACCTTTTTGCAATAATTCAGCATATTATGGTAGGGGGGGCAATGTAATGTCAGAAGTGGACCCTTTAACCACTAGGCAACCCCACATCTCTGGATTGATTCTGAGCTAAATCAACTCAGTTCTTACCCATTCAGATAATCTATAATGTGTTGGGTTATCGTCACTTTGAACCGTACTTCAATTTAATCTTGGGATATTCGTGTAAAGTGGAAAGTGGCAAGATCACTAAGTTATTAACCTCAAAATATGGTGTCAACAACTCAAATAATGGCAAATGTGTTGCTTGAACCCAGAGTCAGCAGGCCACAACACACCTGAGAGCACACTGAATTTTGGCACCTGTGTCACATTACCCAATATTTTAGAACACATTTTCCTGCTTCCTTTATTAGCTGAACAATGCTGACATAACGGGCATTACCTGCACTTGCCAGTAGGGGCAGATAACCCTTCTGTCTGACAGTAGAAACCAGCTGTGCAGGGGAGACAAGCAGAGGCATTGGTGGAAGAGTTATCTGGGTTGAAAGTTCCAACTGGGCACTTGTTTTCATCCTTGCGCATGGTTCCCGCTGGGCAGTAATGACCCATTGGACATGGTTGGTTCTGGTAGTCTGAGGAGTTTGACACGCAGTAGTAACCTGCAACACAATGTAAATATTTGTGAAATAAACTTTCTGACAGAATCCTCATCTCAACATGTCCCCGTCATCTGCAGGACAGGCAGGTGCTCTGTCTCTCCTCATATCGACATGTCCCCCTCAGGACCCTCCCCCTCACCTGCAGGACAGACTTTACAGGTGCTCTTTCTGTCCTCATATCGACATGTCAGCCTCACATCCAATCCCTTCACCTGCAGGACAGACTTTACAGGTGCTCTGTCTCACCTCATATCGACATGTCCCCTTCACACCTGATCCCCTCACCTGCAGGACAGACTTTACAGGTGCTCTGTCTCTCCTCATATCGATGTGTCCCCCTCACACCCCTCCCCCTCACCTGCAGGACAGACTTTACAGGTGCTCTGTCTCTCCTCATATCGACGTGTCCCCTAACACCCCTCCCCTCACCTGCAGGACAGACTTTACAGGTGCTCTGTCTCTCCTCATCCTGGTATGTTCCTGCTGTACAGCCCACAGGCTGTTCGCTTCCCTCAGGACACATGTACCCAATAGGACAGACATCTCCATAACCTGCAGACAAAACAGACTTAGGTATCAAGGATTAAATCATTCTCCTTAGATAAAAATGTCAACCCTTAGCATCAATTTGTTTGCATAACTATTTACAAAAATATCACTCACAAATAATTCTTCAGAAACATAACAGATCAGTATAGGCTGAAAACAAATTTGCCCTCAGTATTTTTAATGGGTAAACACAAGTCAGATTTTGATTAAACCTGGAAGGATCTTATTGTTCAATCTAAAGTTGACATAGAATTCTGCCAAAAAGGCCTGGGTCCTTTTTATAGAGTGAGTGAGTGAGTGAGTTTAGTTTTACGCTGCTTTTAGCAATATTGCAGCAATATCACGGCGGGGGACACCAGAAATGGGCTTCACACATTGTGCCCATGTGGGGAATCGAACCCGGGTCTTCGGCTTGACGAGCGAAAGCCTAACCACTAGACTACCCCAACGCCCCTTTTTTATAGATTTCAAATGGGTATGTACAGTGAGACCTCGGATATCCGGACACATTCGTTTTTACGTAAATCGTCCAGATAATTGAATATCCGGATGTCTGGATTTTTGGTTTTCATACACCTCAAGGAAAATCCAAAACGTTTATGACCATCAAGAGTTTATTGTACATGTATAGACATTCAATAACAGCATCACAACATAACAATCATACCTTTACAATTATGCAGTTTTGAAAAAGTCTTTCATTGAGGACTGCTTACACTGGGTGCCGCTACTTTGCAACACGACGGACAACATTTTGTCCAGGTTTTCACTGTCGCCATTGTTCTCAAAGTAGCTGAGTAGGCCTTCGTAATATTTATTTGCGTCAGCAAACGAGCAGGGTAGTGGGGCTGCCTGATCCTCCGTATCACCGCAACTTTCTTCTTCGGGATCTTCTTTATTGGTGACCATGTCGATGATTGAAGCATCTGTCAGTGCCTCGCCAGTCTCAACCTCGATGTCAATATCAACATACTCCTCGGCAGTGGGCGTGGCTTCTGTGGTGTCTGTTAACCATGTCGTCGTCTGTGTCTTCCTGATCTTTTTTGAAATGTGATAACGTGACTTGAAGCGTGAAAGCCATCCCCGGGAATATGCAAAGTCCACAACATTTAACTTTTCCCCGATTTCTCTTGCCTTTTCTGTCAGCATCTGATCATTTACCGGCACATTTCGACTTGCAACATCGCTGAGCCACAGATAAACAGCTTCTTCGAGTTTCTGGTGTTTGGCATTTCTTGATCGGGTCAGGTCCGAAGAATTGTCTGGTGTGCCGAGCCATTTATCTTTTTGCTTGATTATGTCGCCGATCGTCGACTTTCCAATCACATGTCCAAATACTGGTCCAAAATGTTTGCTTATGTTATCTAAGCTTACTTTGGGATTTTGTTCTTTGTACCTGACATATCTCTTTCTTTTCCTTGGCTGTCACTGCGTAGCGCTTGCGTTTAGTAGGTTGACTAGCCATTTGTGATCAATTGAAAACCAACTGACTTGAATATCGACACACTGCACTTTTATTGCTTTGACTGAATAAACAACTTAACAGTTAGAACTCAATGGTTAACTCAGTGTCAGCTAGGCCTTCTAATCACCACCAATACCTTGATCCGGATTAGCAGACGATGTCTCGTGTCAAAACACACGGGACTCTCGCGCTTCCCTTCACACGGTTAGCGGTGGATCAAAGCTTGGTGCGGATAGGTGAGTCAATTTTGTGTTGATTTAGCCGGTTTGTTTGTAAAATGTACCGTCCGGAAACGGAAACCGAATATCCGTTATAGACAGTCACTTTTATAACGTAAGAGATTGGTTTTTTCTAAAAATTGACCGGAAGGTGAGGTTTCCGGAAATCTGGGGTCCGAGTATCCGAGGTCTCACTGTATAGCTTTATGCTGGTTTAAAAATATTCCTGCAATATCAAGGCATGGCACACCTGAAATGGGCTTCTCACATTGTGAAAAGTAAATGTCTTACCCACTGGGCCATCATGATATCCCTTAGTGATATGGGGTATGTCCTAAAACCAAAGTATGAAGTCATACACTTGACAAATCCAAATGGTTAAGACTTGAATGTCGACATAGCCAGAGACATGACATGGTACCTGTGTGTCCACCAATCAGAGGGCAGGATGCTGGGTATGAACTGTTGGTTGCATCATTGTCAGGGTTTGGTCGGTCGACTCCAGACTGACAGTAGTAGCCTGCAGCACAGAGGCCGGTGACATTGGTGTGCCCCTCTATGGAGCAGTAATGGCCTCCGTCACAGTCCTTGCACTGACTCACCTGGGTGGAAACACGAACACTGATCAGATTACTTCAATACAAACAGTAACTAGGCACTGTAGTTCACCTGAACTTATCTGGAATATTTGCAACATAAAGAGTGATTGAGTAATAGAGCATGGTTTTATGACGCTTTTAACAATATTCTACCAATATCAAGGTGCGGATTACCAGATATGTGCCAATTTAACCTGAACAAGGATAGATGCTATGTAGTTTTAGATGAAACAACCCTTAAAGCAATGACATCAGAAAATGTCAGTTGCCACTGATAATAATTAAAATCATATCACTTTGGATGAAATCTGAACAGAAAGAATAATTGTCTTTCATAATGGAACATCATACACTCCAGTATGAAAGCTTAACACCCATATAAGAAATAATCATTTAAATAAGCAAGTATTCTGGATCCTAGTCACAACAGTGCTCTTGAGAGATGGTTGAAGAAGTGAATTTATTTTTATGCTGATTTTAGCAATATTCCAGCCATATCAGAAATAGGCTTCACACCTTGTACCCATGTGGGGAATTGATCCTGGGCCTTTGCTGTGAACAGTGAATGCTTACCCCACCACCCTCTTGAGAGATAAAGAATCCTTTATAACATCACAGCAGTAATGATAGAAGCGTGTCATTGGGACAGTTGTCAAGCTCCTGGCTGGGGACTCACCATGTACAAGTTGGTCTGGGTGCTGTATGTGCCCATGGGGCAAGGCTTCCAGTCAAGACCTGTCCCAGAGGGGCAGTAGTATCCAGGGGGACAGTCAAAGTGCCCGGATGTTGGCACACCTGCTGTCACATTCTCCGGTAGGCAGAAGAAACTGGTAACACATATTGTCATTACAATAAAAATTGTAACCATTACATTTACAACAAATATCACTTCATAAAATAGTAAAGCAGAACACATTTGAAAAGGTCTTGCCCATATGATGGCTCAATTTCCTAAAGTTCTGATTCTGACATGTTATCCTCAAAGCATGTTTGATTGATGGAAGAGTGAGCGAGTGAGTGAGTTTAGTTTGCTGCTTATTTGCAATATTCCAGCCATATCCTGGCAGGGGACACCAGAGATGGGCTCGACACATTGTACCCAGTGCTGAACTGAATCCGTGTCTCTGGGGTGATGAGTGAATACTTAAACCACTAGGCTACCCCAATACCCCGATTGATGGAGGATTCTTTTGATCAAAAGTTTTTATTTGAATCCACTATCAAGAAACAAAGTGGGAACATCAAATCTGAGGCCCCAGCTCTCACCCATCGGGACATATGTCACAGATCCACTGTCCTGTCCTGTTGGTGAAGTATCCTGGCTGGCAGGACCTGGGTTCGATCTGATCCTGTGGGGCAGTGTAGGCCAACAGGGCAGATAACTGCTGTAGGCATGGTTGAACCTGTACAGAGGGAAAAACAGTTGAACACTCAGAAGACATGCTGATAAAACCATTCTGACCACGGCACTCTTTAAAACTACTTACCAGAAAACTCAGGTTCATAAACAATGACTTCATTGCTCTCAGTCTTTTTAATGGGTAAACACAAGTCAGATTTTGATTAAACCTGGAAGGATCTTATTGTTCAATCTAATGTTGACATAGAATTCTGCAAAAAAAGCCTTGGTCTTTTTTATAGGTTGAACATCTGTGACAGTCATGGTGACATCAGCAATATCCAAAGAAAACTGTTACTTTAGTTTCCGAAATTGATACAAGGGTTTACTAACAGAGGTACAGTTGAGCTGTGTATCTGTGTAAATTACACAAATATTTATGTGAAAACTCAATTCCTATCAAGTCTATTGCGTACAAGTATGCTTGAAGTTTTGTAAATACTCAATAAATGTGATCTTACATGCATACACTTGCAAATGTCAAATCATAGCTTGCGTACCGATGGATAGATAAAATAACTGAGGTATACTGAGAGGTTCTATGTCAGGACATGAACTTGACAACTTTCAGTCTTTCTTATCGTTTCTCATATTACGGATAAAATATAAATAAGAAATACTAAGATTTTAACTTTATTATATTTTTAAAAATAAATGGAAAATGGCCAAATACCCAATTGAGTTTGAGTGAGATGAGTACAATTTATTTGGTTACTCAAAGGAAAAGTATGATACCCAAATGAGATGAACTCAAGCGAGTGCATAACTCAATGACCCAATACGTTATCTGTAGCTCTGTACTAATTTTCAATACCATCAAAGAATGTGAATATTTTTAATGAAGATGCTAGATCTGCCCTGTAACATTATTACAAAACCAAAAACAGTTGTCATCCATCTCAAAGTTAAAGTCTTAATGTTTATCAAAGAGAGTGACTTTGGGTAACATGTTTGACTGTTTGAGAACCCATTTATTGTATTTTCCTGTCCCACATGAATTACAAAAGAGACCCACCTGTGGGGCAGTAGTAGCCTTGGGTACAATTGCCCTCCTCTGCAGTGAGGCCGGCACTCTGACAATAGAACCCAGCCGTACAGTCTGTGCAGTTCTCCACGGCACTCAGCCCTGTGGTGTTGGAGAATGTACCCGTAGGGCACTTCTCTGGTGTGTGAGTCCCTGAACGCAAAGTATGGAAAATTAATACCACGTTTCAACTTTACTACACATAGTAAACCAAGAAGTATGTCTGATAACAATTGTGATACAACTGCTTCAATAATATTACAAAGGTGTGCGTATTCATATTCGGGAACCTGCATTATGATAAGATCCTGTTGAATGTTCACATTTACATGGACTGACTGACTGACTGACTGAGTTGCTGTTTTACGCCGCTTTTAGCAATATTCCAGCTACATCTCGGCAGGGGACACCAGAAATGGGCTTCACACAATGTACCCATGTGGGGATTCGAACCCGGGCCTTCAGCGTGACGAGCCAACGCTTTAACCACTAGGCTACACCACCGCCCGACATTTACATGGAAGGAGCTAAAACTGATGTTGTTTAATCTCACCTTCTGGGCAGTAGCGTCCTGCTGTGCAGATTTCCGGGGGCCTTGTTGTCAGAACCAGACACACAGTAGAAGCCAGGGGAACATTTCCCTGTGGGTTCTGTTAGACCAGAGATCTCACAGTACCAGCCTGAAGAAGACCACTTCAAATGACAGACCTTCTTAGATACATGGTACTAATGATTATAGTTAACCTATGTGATGTCATCAAAATGGCTACAATATAGGAAAGGTTCTGTTGAAGACTTGCTGATGGTCTTCTTGAAATCTTATGGCTGTCAGACAACCTGAATAAACCTATGATGGTTGATGTTTTAAAAGCTAAAACATGATCAACTGGCAGAAAGACAGACCCAGACAGACAAAAACACACAATATTGTAATGCAAGCAAACATGATGAAATCTGACAACAGTATTTTATAACTAAGGTCTAGGATCGCCCTTCTTTGTTGTCAATGAAAGTAGACACAAAATGTGAATGATGGATAAAAATTTTCCAAATATGGTTTCAAAGGATAAAATGTTCACAACCAATTCTTGCCTTTAGTACAGGATGTGCAGTCAGTGACGTTCATCAGCTGTGTGTTGTTGGAGTATGTTCCAGGAGGACATTTGATTGGTTCTGTGGTCTGTTCAGGACAGTAGTGGCCCACTGGGCAGCGGTCTGCATCCAGGCCCTGTGTCGGAGCTGCTGTCATGCTTCCTGTGCGACAGTAGTACCCTGCTGTACAGGGTAGGGATGGGTACACGGTACCTGCTGGGCAGTAGTAGCCACCTGGACAGAAATGAATGAGTTAGTGAGGGAAAGGGGTTCAGTCTAGTTGGTAACAACCCATTTCCACCAATAGTTGGTATGAAAGCATTTGTTAATTTTCTAACAAGGATGGACTTCTAGTGTTGTAATGATACACATTTTGTTATAGAATTTATTCATTTCAACTTGACATCATGGTGATATTTTTCATCATGGCGAAAAAACACATCCTGTGGTACCTTATTACTATTTATAATGTGAAATCAGGGAGCGATTGACTTGGATTTTACATTGCTTTTAGCAATATTCCAGCAATATCATGGCAGGGGACACCAGAAATGGGCATCACACATTGTAGCCATCAAGGAAGATTTGATCGGTCATTATACGGAATAGTTACTGAAACAGGCCTCGAAGTACCGGTAGTTCAATATGAAGTATAGTTACCAAGATAGAGGAAATCAAGAACTAGTTGGTCAATACGAAGTATGGTAATCAAGACAACAGGAACCAGCATCAAGTCGGTCAATATGAAATATAGTTACCTAGACAGAATGGGCACTCAGTGTCAGCTCTCAGTCCTGTCATGTTGTTGTAGGTGCCACTGGGACAGGGGAACTCTGTCGCTACCTTCGTGCCATTGGGGCAGTAGTATCCTGAAGACAAATAACAGAATCAGGTCCACACAGAGGATTTTGGTTTGTTTGTTTGTTATTTAAAAACGCACTCAGCAATATTCCAGCTAATATCGCAAGATTCAGCACAAATCACTTATCATTAATGAAACATTGTCACATTGTTTTCATTTAATTTTCAACAAATACCACAATCATCCACCATTTTAATGCTCCATTATGAATCATATGCCATGATTTGCACTGGTAAAAATCACATAAGTATGTATAACTGCCAACAAGAATTCTTGTCCTACCTTCTGGGCAGCTGTATGGTGTGTAAGATGTGATTGGTCCAACAGCATTATCACAGTAGAATCCAGCCACACATTCCTTGCAATCCCATTGGCCAGTGAGGTCCTGGTAAGTGCCGGACTTGCACATAATCTGGTTACTGGATCCTGTTGGGCAGTAGTACCCTCCCTGGCACTCATATGCACTTGGGTTGCGGACATTCTGACCTTCGGGGCAGTAGTAGCCTAGAAGAGTAGTGTCACCAGATTGTCATTCATCCATAAAAATTGTTGTGTTTCCCATATTTACCATGCATATACATATATATGACATCATATACTCAGCTGTGAAGCATCACTTCTGATGAAGTGGATGAATGATTCTACAGCGAGACACGGTATGAAATAATAAAAAAAAATTCAGTCAGCACTTGCTAAGAGTGCTCAATTTGAGATTGTGCTAAATTTGATACAATCATTTCGGCATACCCTGTATACAATAGAATGCAGGGTATGCCAAGCTGTACTGTTACCTAGCTGTATACAGATGGCTACCCACCTCTGCTCTAAACTGCCCTGTCTACAGATGGTTATCCACCTAAGCTCTAAGCTGTTCTGTATACAGATGGTTACTCCCTCTGCTCTAAGCTGCCATGTCTATGGATGGTTACCCCTCTGCTCTAAGCTGCCCTGTCTATGGATGGTTACCCCCTCTGCTCTAAGCTGCCATGTCTACAGATGGTTACCCACCTCTGCTCTAAGCTGCCCTGTCTACAGATGGTTACCCACCTAAGCTCTAAGCTGCCCTGTCTACAGATGGTTACCCACCTAAGCTCTAAGTTGCCCTGTCCACAGATGGTTACCCACCTAAGCTCTAAACTGCCCTGTCTACAGATGGTTACCCACCTAAGCTCTAAGCTGCCCTGTCTACAGATGGTTACCCACCTAAGCTCTAAGCTGCCCTGTCCACAGATGGTTACCCACCTAAGTTCTAAGCTGCCCTGTCTACAGGTGGTTACCCACTTGAGCTCTAAGCTGCCTTGTCTACAGATGGTTACCTAATCAGATGGTCTCTGAGTAGTTCCATTTGTAGACAGTGTACCTACCTCTGTCACAGTCACCATCGGGAGCCTCGAGGCCGCTCTGGTTACAGTACTTCCCGGCAGTACAGATGATGCACCAGGAGACGTTCTGAGCTCCCAGACTGGGCTGATAGAATCCGGGATCACATGGACTTGGGGACCCAGTGCCCTCAACACAGTAGTGACCAGTTGGGCAGCGGTCACCTGGAGAAAACAAGACAAAGCTGTCACTAAAAACTCTCAATTTTAGTTTAGTCTCAAAATATTCATCCACATATGATATACAACTACGTTTGTGTTTGGTACAGTATTATTTAACACCACATCACTTTTAATATTAGTCATATTATTCATTAACTTTTGAACAATTCTGCAGTATATTATTCATGAACTTTTCAACACAGCCTGCAGTATGTTCTGCAGTGTGAGGTAATGTACCAACAGCCTAGAGTTATAGCCCTAAACTAGGATGGAACATGCATATAGCCTTAGATTTGTTGAATCAGCAATACCTTTTTTCTGGCCAGACACACACAGAGACACAGGCAGACAGACAGACAGACATTGATATTTTGATTTATGCAGGACAAACTGTTGGTAACAGTACAGAGGGCAAGTTACCTCCAGTTCCAGTTGGCCTGTCTGTGGTTGAGTTTGAATCACAGTAATATCCTGCCATGCAAGGTCCTCTGGGTGTGTCCATCATGTTGCTATCACAGTACTTTCCATGGTCACAGCCCAATGGTGCTGCACTGCCCCTCGGACAGTAGGTTCCTGGTGGAGAGAGGATTCAACAGTTTGGTTAAAGAGTCAGTGAGTTGGGTTTTACACTGCTTTTATCAATATTCAAGCAAGGGACATCAGAAACGGCCTTCACACATTGCACGTATTGGGGAATCAAACCCATGTCATCGGCGTGGTGAGGGAACGCTGTGACCACTAAGCCACCCCATCACCCCAGATGATAACAGACTTCATTAATGTATATACATGTATTGCAAACAAAAGAAATATTACCTGCCAAGCACTGTCCACCCTCAGGGCTGGATGGTGTGGGTTGGGCTGAGCCTGAGGTACAGTACCATCCTGGGTCACACTGGTCTGTGGGGGTGGAGAGCCCTGGCGAGCCACAGTACCACCCTGGGGTACAGGGACTGCAGGAGGACAGGTTTCCTTGGGCTGAGAGACAAGGACATGGACATGGAAACATTATCAACACACTCAACAAAATCAACAATCACAAGAAATAAGCAATGACATCAAGCATACACTGATCTTTCTTTCTTTGTTTTTTTAACGCCGCACTCAGCTATATTCCAGCTATATCATGGCAGTGTGTAAATAATCAAATCTGGACCAGACAATCAAATGATCAGCAACATGAGCATTGATCTATGTAGTTGGGATATGCTGAGTCAATCATGTCACCAAGTCTGACCACCTGATCCTTTTAGTCGCCTCTTAAGACAAGCATGTGTTGCTGAAAACCAATTGCAACCCAAATCTTTATGGGCTATACACTGCTCTGTGTCCAGGAGTATTAGAATATTTAACCACAAAACAGGTAATGAAAATACAATCTAAACAATGGCTAACCTTTCAGCTCTGTCAATACAAAAATGTCCAACAGTGACACATACTACAGTGATTGAAAGTCCTCCAGTGATACGGCCTCATCAACTGTAAGTCTGCTAACAATGACCACAAGTCATACAAGGACCTTGTCTTTGAGAAGCAATCCTATGTATACGAGTCTGCCTACCTGTGAGGTTGTTGAATGTTCCCTGTGGGCAGGGGTACTGTATGTCATACTGTGTCCCATCCAGACAGTAGTATCCGGACGGGCAAGGTTTGTCGCTGTAGGTGGTGCTGTTGGCGATGCAGTAGTAACCAGCGGGACATGTCTCGCAAGATGGCTGGGTGTCCTTGTCCTGAAAGGGAAGGTCAAGTTCAACCAAACACCTTCATATACTTCTGCACTATATGGATGCAAATCCCATACATTAACACCTATGGCAATCATATTGCAAAGATTGCTTTCGGGAAGATGCTTTGCTCAACGCTTACCTGATATGTTCCAGCTTCACAGCCCTCTGGGATGACAGTAGCTCCTGGACACTTGTGTCCAATAGGGCAGATGCCTCCGGTTCCAGTATGGTTGCCAGTGGGTGTTGGGGTGTCAACGCCTGTCGTGCAGTAGTAGCCGGGGCTGCAGTCGCCAGTCGGTGCGGTGAGGTTGGTGGTGTCACAGTATTGTCCCCCAGTGCATGGCAGACACTCTGACACATCCATCAGACCCAGCATGTTGCTGTAGGTCCCAGCAGGACATGCTGTCCAGTTCCGTCCGGTTCCAGCTGGACAGTAGAACCCACGTGGGCAGAGACGATATCCAGAAGATGAGTTTCCTAAAAGAATAACACATAATAGTATTAGCAGTATTCCCATCAGATCATGTGGAAACAGATCAACAATAACAATTCCTTCAACAGTCTTGTCTAATAGGTTTACACTCCACTGACCTAGTCCAAATGAATGAAAGTCACTTTGATCAGTAATTTTAGTGTATCCCAGTGTGACATCTAAGCAGATACTGAAAAGGATGAAGGTCACAGATTCACTTCTGTGAAACCAACATGCATATGCCCGGATTCATAATCAGGATTCTTGCAATCAGATCTTTACACCTAAGGACATGAATCTTTGAATCAATGCCCATCAGTCTCACCTGCAATGACTTCTTCTGGTACACAGTAGAACCCAGCAGGGCAGATGAGACACTGATCAGCCTGGGTAAAGTTGGTGTATGTTCCAGCTTCACATGGGACAGGCTGTCCACTCCCAAGAGGACAGTGCAGACCAATTGGACATGGTGTCTCCACAGGATTCCGGACATGGTCACCTCCAGGACAGTAGAAGCCTGGGTCACAGTCATCCACTGGTGCTGACAGACCTGGACAACACATCAAGTCATCATGGTAAAACAGTCGATATGATGTCAAGATTCCAATATATGTCAGAACATTAAAAAGACAAACAGATTTAGATTGAGCTCCTACTCCAGCCTGTTCATATTCAGGTCAAATATTTCTTTGTATATAGATCATACAATAATAGTTTTCAATAGTGTGCAGTTTTGTACAAAAAAAATATATGCAAGATTATTCTATCAGGATGGTCTGTTCTCCTTTCTACATTAATGACAGACCAATAACAAAAATCTCACCAGATCTACATCATTTAAGAATTCAATTGCTCTCTGTGTGAGTTCACTGGGGTAGGAATCTTCCAAGAGTGAGAATGAAACTGTATGAAGTTCAGAGTGATCTGGATCTTAAAGCATGACATAGGAAACAGGTCTTCAGACTGTCAGTGAACCCTCTTACACTTGTAATAATGTCCAACATCATTAGCTTTAATTAATTAATAATTCAATGATTTAACTATGCATGCTTTAAGTATGAGACAGGTATGTTCACCTGTGTCATTGCAGTATTTCCCTTCATCACAGTCTGTGCACTGAGTGACGTTGGCTAGGCCCTCTGTATTGGTGTAGGTTCCAGCAGGGCAGGGGGTCGGGGCTCCAGAACCCTCGGGGCAGTAGTTCCCAATTGGGCAGATGTCTTGACGTGAATGGTTGGACCCCAAGACACAGTAGTAGCTACAGATGAAAAATCATTACAGTCATATCTCCCTGTATTATCAGCATATACATCACATGTGCCTGAGTGAATGAATATGGCTTCATATCACCCCATATAAAAGATTTTAGTAGGATAATGGGAGGATGGTGCTAATGTGGTTGTAAAGCTCAAAGTGTTGTGGATTGTTCCATGTTTATGAGAATGAGTACTGGATAATAATCCTGGAGAATCTGATAATTGATATCATGAGTTGAATTTACTTATATCTATCAAGGTTGTGGCAAGTTGATATTTTCAGTGACAGAAACACCCTTTTATCACAATTAAACCAATTTCTGAGACAGATAACATTCCAAAGGGAAATGTGATGGTGCTCACCCTGCTTCACATGGTGCACTGACTTCAATCATGCCAGTATCCTCGCAGTATGCGCCTGCTGTACACAGAGTGCAGTCCCCTTCCTTCTCCAGACCAGTTCGGTTGTTAAATGTTCCCTTTGGACAGGGGTAGGGGTCAGCTGTGCCCTCCACACAGTAATGGCCGACAGGGCAGATGTTCGCGTCTGCTCCTACAGAAGATGAAAGATGGTTAAGAAGCAGATGAGCTTCTAAAGCAGTTTTGAATTTATTTCAGTATCACATCAAGGGATTTGGGATGAAATCCCAAAATGAAGAAGTCTGAGATGTTTCCTGACACCCACACGTATGGTGGTGACAAATATAACCAGAAATATAATAAGGGCAAGTAGATGATCTGAGCCAGTGATCATGTTTCTTGATTGCCAATGGGATGTGTGTTTGCACAGCACATTGCAGTGCCATTGAGGTCACCCCAACTCCTGATCATTGTGTAAATTATCCACTTTAGAACAGAGACTCATCTGACAACTGATTTCCAAATTTAGAAATAACATCACACAATATTTTGATCACACTTGAACTGAGTGAGTGAATGGTTTTAGTTTTACACCGCACTCAGCAATATTCCAGCTATATGGCGGCATTCTGTAAATAATCGTGTCTGGACCAGACAATCCAGTGATCAACAGCAAGAGCATCGATCTATGCAATTGGGAAACGATGACATGTGTCAACCAAGTCAGCGAGCCTGACAACCCGATCCCGCTTAGTCACCTCTTATGACAAGCATGGGTTACTGAAGATCAATATTCTAACCCGGACCTTCACGGGTCTTGAACTGAGTGACAAGCTGAAATCAAACAATATACACGCGGTAGGTATATATGCTGCAAGTTACCTTGGTCTGGAGCTGAGATGTTGGCATACTGTTTACAGAAGTAGCCAGCAGAGCAGAGGTTGGTGGGCTGGGTCATGCCTGGGTTGGGGCAGTAGAATCCCCCTGAGCAGGGTGAACACTGACTCTCCATTGACAGACCTGCAATACATACAACACTCACTAAATGCTACACAAAATAACTTAATTTTTTTCACAATCAAGACACTAGTAGATGTCATTCAAATCTATCTGCAAAACAAATAAATAGGTGCTTAATTCACATCACAATAATAAATAGTAGATATAATCTTAAACATATGATCAAAGTTATCCTAGGATATTAATGGATATTTTCATGGATATTACTAAATTTCATAGCTTAAACCTTTCACAAAAAAATCTAACAAGATGGCATATCTACAAGTTACCCCATTGCATTTTACTCAAATTACCCTTTCTGACTGAAACGCCACTTTTAGCAATATTCCAGCAAGTGAGTGCACAGAAATGGGCTTTATGTACCCTGATTTTTAGCAATGTTCAAGGCCCAATATCACAACAGGGGACACCTTTTAGAAATGGGCTTCACAACACATTGTGTCCTTGTATCCTTCGTGAATCGAACCCAGGTCTTCCTCATGACAAGTGAACGGTTTAACCACTAGGCTAACCCACCTCCCCTACTTTCAAAGGGAAATGACTTTAGCAATGATATGGTTACCAGTGAGGTTGTTGTATGTGCCCACAGGACAGGGGAACTCCTGATTGAAGCGTGTTCCTTCTGGGCAGTAGTATCCCATTGGGCAGATGGTGGTGGAGTTGTCCAGGACGACGATGCTCATGGTGTTGTCACAGAAGTAGCCGGCAGGGCAGGTCTTGCAAGAAGATTGGATCTCCTGGTCCTGGTAGGTTCCGTTCTCGCACCTGATGGCAGCAGGACTTCCCTCGGGGCAGTAGTGGCCTACAGGGCATCTGGAGGGGAGATGCATGTAGGAAGACTATTGCAATTGGTGTACCACTACTGCGGTACTATTTTGATAGTTAGATGTGGAGCTATAGCTTCAGAAAATTACCTTGCTTTGTGAAAGCCTTACAAACTGATCAAATTATATTTGCATATCAAGTTTTAAACATGGTCTGAAAGGTATATCCTGGGGAAAAGATGATATTGGTGACATGTAACATGATAATTTGCTTTAACGTGTCGAAACAATTTAAAATGACACATAATGAAATGTTCTTGTTGAGCCTCAAGCAATATAACAGAATCATACCTACAAACATTTAGAATTAACATGCAATGATCGTCTTCTGATATCACTTACCTTGTATCATATGGAGTGGATGAGTTGTCTCCCCCTGGGCAGTAGTATCCAGCGCGCTGCAGCTCCCAACAGGCAGCTCCAACCCTGAACCTGGACAAAACATCCCTGCTGTACACAGTTTGCAGTCAGACTCCGCATCCTGCTCTGTCACATTCAGATAGTATCCCATCATGCACGGCTGCTTAGCACCACTTCCTTCAGGACAGTAATGGCCGACAGGACAGATGTTCCCTGTCACATCATCAGTAGGGGTGGGAGTGCTAGCTTGTAGGGTACAGTAGTAGCCTGTCACAAAATAAGAAACAAGCAATTGACTCGGCTTATATTAAACAGTAACATAACAGATATATCACATTATTACTTGCCCGTGTAGGATACTGCATTGTAACATTTTTTACGGCAATATTACACTAGTGTAATACCTCTAGATGTATGATGTCATAATGGTTTACAGCTATGACGTCACAATGCTAATACCATCGTAACAATGGTACCAGACCTTGCTTGACTTGTGGAAAGCTGAGAGTAATCACACTGTAGACAGTTTCGCCGCAGTTTCTATCAATTAATATCAGAGAGTAATAAACAGAATACTAAACTCGCTTCCGTGAAATACCATTTTAATTAAACTCGTGAAAGATTTAGCATCAAATGAGCTTTATTAATCAAATTGGTATTACATGGAAGGTCGTTTAGTATCCTCTATGTATCGTTCAATCAATGTAGTGACGGTGGTTGGCCTAGTGGTTAAAGCGTTCGCTCCTCAAGCCGAAGACTAAGTTACCCCACGGCCCCAGTGTATTACACAGATATAGATATAAGCGTATGGAAAACATAACTGAAGACTAATGTAGTGGCCATAAAATGTTTGAATCTCATGCTGGGATTCGAACCACAGATCTTCTAATCCGAAGCTGGACGCCTTGTCCACCTGACCAAAGAGGTTAACCCCATCAGCAAGCTGACAAAGTAAGAACGCCACCTATGGGATGACTCCAGGCCCTGCTACACTAACCACTACTGACCTGGAGTGCAGTTCCCAGTGGGTAGGTCAAGGCTGGCAACCTGACAGTAAGTTCCTGGGTCACATGGTACAGGGGCATAGGATCCAAGAGGGCAGTAGAATCCTGGCTGACACTCTCCTCCCTCAGGGTCCACAGGCGCCTTGGAGGTAGAGTTGCTCGTACAGTACCAACCTGGAAACATTCAAATGTGTCAAGGCAATCTGGCTGATCTTGCATCTTGATCTACAAAGGGTCCTTCAAATATATTTCAGTATATTTCAGCTAAAGAACTGATGTGGTTTCAGGTATTGCCTTGTAAATAATTGCCAAGACTGATTCTAGGCAGTAGATTCCACAGGACATCTGGAGACTCTAAATGGTACATAAAATGTGTTAAATGTCAGGATATTCATTTCAATGCCAATGAAATTGAACCTGGATCTGTGCTGTAAGTAAATGAAAGACACTATCATGAGGCTTCACATCCAAAACCACTTCTGCATAAATCCATATAGTCCTTCGTTGAACACTCCTCTATGAACTCATCTTTTTCAATCTACTAAAACAACAATGTGTGTTACTTAAATGATTGTTTTCAATAAACTATCTACACCTCCACATATCTTACTGCAGAAGTCACGAGTGCAAAAAGAATCTCAACAAATCTTGTACCAACCTTCATCACATTTCCCCGTGGGGATGCTGAGCCCATCAGTCTCACAGTACTCTCCTCCTGGGCAGGGGAGACAATCCATGACATCCCGTGCCATGGTCAGGTTGTAGTAGGTCCCCGCAGGGCAGGGGTACTGATGTGCAGCGGTGGTGCCGTCACGGCAGTAGTAACCTGATGGGCAGGGGGTGCTCCAGTAGTTGTCTGCTCCTGAATGGAAACAGGAAACATCAGAGAATGAAGACACAAGTGATTTGTATGACAGTGATGGCTGGGTAAGAGTTGTATCAACTGATGCTGCATATCTCTTGAGCATCGAACATGTTTGCCACTTTTCTGACGTCCATGATCATGGCAATGTGCTGACACGAGATGGTCATAATCAGGACAAATCTGTTCAAGAACCAATAGCCATCGATCCTAAGCAGGGTCAACACAGGTGGTGTCTTACAAACTGATCAACTCATGACACCTGATCCCCAAAAGAATACAAATCATTAACGTCCATTAAAGTTGTGTCACACCTTTACAGTATTTGAAGCCAGTGTTGGCATTGGTATGTTCTGAAGAATCCATGAATTGATAAAGTTGAGACACAAAGTGTAGAGGATGACATTGACTCCATGGAAATCAGAGACCATATATCGGTATATGATCTCGGATGGAAATATAAACGTACTTATGTGCCCATCGTCCCTTCCAGGCAATTCTTGTCTCTATTTAGGCCACCCACCACCACATAAGTAGGGATCATTTTAATCATGTATTGATACATGCTGCAATGCCTGCATTACAAAATGAAACATATTATGACATGCAACCTTTGTTTGTTCCAATTGACCCTGCTGAGAAGACACAGTTGACAACCAGTTTATACTCAATTGATTGGTTAATTCAGGCTCTGAAAACTTCATCAAGTAATGATTACCTTCCAGACAGTAGTACCCTGCAGGGCAGGTGTAACACACAGCCAGGCCGGTGATGTTGCTGTAGGAACCAGGGCCACATGGGATGGGGTGTGATGTTCCCTGGGGGCAGTAGTGACCAACGGGGCAGATTCCACCCACTCCAGTCTCAATACCTGGCAAAACAAACACGAAGCTACACTCCACACAACATCAATACCATGTGTATTGAATTTAGCAGCAATTGGATTAACAGAGTATGGGTGAATGAACTATGCTTATAAAACAGTGAGTCAGTGAGTGGTTTATCCCCACCTGATCCCAATGGTTGCTTCTTACGACAAGCATGGGTTACCGAAGATCAATTCTAACCCGATCTTCATGGGTCGAAGACACACAAACAGAGCAGGCTAGGAATCAAACTCATAATCAAAGTTTCTGGGTTGTCTTAAGAAAGTGACTCTACAGAGTGATTGAAATGCTTCTGAGTGACCCTGAAAAGGCCCTAAATATCAAGTGAATATAAAGATTCCTGAACAGATCATAGACAGACAGACGTTTAGGTGGAATTTGGAAAGCATGTAATCCATGAAGGATCAAATATATCACACACCTGCATCAGCACATGATCCGATGATAACTGCAGAGTTATTTCCACTTGGTCTGGCACGGTCAAGGCCATATTCACAGAAGTATCCCTCATCACACATCCCTGCAGGAGCTATGGCTGCACGTTGGTTACAGTAATAACCACCAGTACACTGTTCACACTGGCTCTCATAGGCCAGGCCAGTCGTGTTGCTGAATGTTCCATGTGGACAAGGCTGCCAGTTGATGCCTGTTCCTTCAGGGCAATAGTAGCCTTCAGGGCATTGCTGCACCAGGTCACCCTTGATACAGTACCTAGAGGAGTGAGTGAGTGAGTTTAGTTTTACACAACTTTTAGCAATATACAACAATATTGGAGGACACCAGAAATGGGCTTCACACATTGTGCCCATGTGGGGAATCGAACCCAGGTCCTCAGCCTGACGAGCGAACACCTCAACCACTAGGCTACCCCACTGCCCAGTACCTGGAGGAATATTGCAAGGACACAATAAGACTATTCCTGATTTCTGACCTGTCTTGAGTGATATACATGAAAACAATCTGCTATTGAAAACTTCGGTGCAGTAAAATATACGGGACAAAAATAGTTAGGGATAGGTGTAAATTTTGATATTATGAGTAATAATCTATTTACTCATTGACAAACTGATAAAATATCAATCATAAAAATACCAATATCCCTAACTTATTTTGTCCAGTATATGTAGCCTGTCTCACACTTCTGGAACCGTATTATTTTTCCTTCTGCCTAGCCCTTTCTGCAATGCTAAAACCCTAAATGAAGCAAGTCTAGATGTCCTCAGGTTCTGAATCTCCCTTCCTATTTTCGCTCCTTTTCAATCTAAACGGAATTGTTTGTTTCTATCAAAATTATATATAGTCAGAGACCAAGCATTGGTCTATAAGATATGAAGAGTGAGCTACGTAATACATTCATTGCAAACTTATCAATGAGAGAAGAAGATTTTTGTCAGAATGTGAGTGTGGATTCATATATTCCATCAATATCATTACGGATTATCTTCCATTGCTTTCTTTGCTTGCATAGTTTAATGAGAGTTATTTTTAAAATGGCAAAAAACATTGCTTCCAAAGGTTAAAAACAAGTTGTAGAATTCATGCTTACCATCCTTCTGGGCAAATGTAGCACTCAGATGCCATAGTGTGGTTCATGTAGGTTCCATTGGCACATGGCACAGGTTGCGATGAGTTGAGTGGACAGTAGTGTCCAACAATACACACATAATCGGAAGGTCTGGAGGCATTCTGCCCAGGTGGGCAGTAGAACCCTGGCTCACATGCTCCAGATGTGACATTGAGTCCAGCCAGGTCACAGAACTGACCTTCAGTACAGGGTGTACAGCCATCTGAGCTGTTGATACCAGTGTAGGGGTTGAATGTGCCCTGAAAATAAACAGAGGCATTTCATAAAAACTGTCGGGAGTAATACCTTCAACTGACAAAAGCTTTAAAATTTAAGTGAGATTTCTGTGAGCTAAGTATATATGCTAATTAATTTAACGAATCATATACAAATCCCTTTTTCAGTTTGGATCAATCAATGAAATTCAGGTGATGAAACTTCATTAGAAGCAGGTTTGGTTTGGATGTTATTTAACACTGCACTCGGCAATATTCCAGACATATGGTGGTGGTCTGTAGATAGTCAAGTCTGGATCAGACAATGCAGTGAGTGAGTGAGTGAGTGAGTTTAGTTTTATGCTGCACTCAGCAATATTCCTGCTAAATGGCGGCGGTCTGTAAATAATTGAGTCTGGACCAGACAATCCAGTGATCAACAGCATGAGCATCGTACTGAGCATTTGGGATACAATGACATGTGTCAACCAAGTCACCGAGTCTGACCACCCGATCCCATTAGTCGCCTCTTTTGTGGCAAGCATATATGGGTTGGTGAAGACCTATTCTACCTCGGATCTTCACGGGTCCAGACAATGCAGTGATCAACAGCATGAGCATCAATCTACGCAATTGGGATATGATGACATGTCAACCAAGTAGGCAAGCCTGACCACCTGATCACGTTAGTCACTTCTTACGACAAGGATGGGTTGCTAAAGACCATTTCTAACCCCGATCTTCATGGGTCCATTAGAATCAGGAAGCAGACAGAACATGGCACATACCTCTGGACATAGTTCAGGGACTCCAGTTCCTTCAGGGCAGAACCTCCCTTCTGGACAGATCTCACTTGTCCTTGAACTTGACCCCACAACACAGAAGTAGCCAGCAGAGCATGGTCCTGGAGGAGAAGCACATAGCGGTATTAATGAAGAGACATAATCACTGTAGATCTTGTTTAGGATCGCAGCCAATGCAACAACATCAAACTAAGGACAAACCATCTTCCTCCTGACTGTCTTGTCATCAGCGAGATACAAGTAACATCTACAAGCCATAACAACTTTATACATTCACACGAGTGAGTGAGTGAGTGAGTTTAGTTTTACGCCTCACTCAGTAACATTCCAGTGAAATGGCGGCAGTCTATAAATAATCGAGTCTGGACCAGACAATCCAATGATCAACAGCACGAGCATTGACCCGCACAATTGGGAACCGATGACATGTGTCAACCAAACCAGTGAGCCTGACCACCCGATCCCAATAATCCCCTATAAGACAAGCACAGATTACTGAAGGTTCATTCTGACCTGCACCTTCACAGGTTTATTCACATGAACTTGGACGTTTGTACAAGTTATATTCAAGTGTGCCAGCATGATAGCAGGAGCAAAGACGCATGCAGTATCTTAAATCTAGACCACCCTAGACCAAAATCTTGACCAATAATTTGGTACAATCCATGAGCATGGGTATGGTGCTGACGACCCAAGAAACAATCAGACAAATCAGTATATTACTAAGTGTCTTCAACAGTTACCTTCAGTATCGGTGAGTCCTGGAGTCTCACAGTATCGTCCTGAGAGGCACTGAGTACAGTTAGGTTCACTCTCAAGACCATCTGCAGCACCAAATGTTCCTGGAGGGCATGGCACGGGGTCTGCAGTACCTTCAGGACAGTAGGAACCTGACGAGAGACAGGGCAGTCACAATGACAGGTGAAATAATGCCATTTCCATGATGTTATAGTTAGCTTGTCTTTTGTCTAATGCTTTACATTTCAGATGTGGATCTGGTGGTGAGGTGAAATTGGGTTTAACGTCGCGCTGGAGAATATTTCACTCATATGACAACGTGCATGCGTGTGTATGCAGGGACCAATAAGTACCATATTTTAACGTCTTTTGGTATGCACGGCCGGGGATCGAACCCGTGACCTTCCGCTCTCCGGGTGAACGCTCTAACCACTACACCACGGAGGCGGTCTGTGGATCTGGAAATAATTGAGACTGGACCAGACAATCCAGTCAATGACATCACAAGTTCGACACAATTGGGATATGATTGCATATATCGACCAAGTCAGCCACAACCAATCCAATTAGTCAGCCACAATGATAAGTTTGTCTATCTCGGGTTCTTTCCCTCTGAACAGTCATTTCTTGTCATGCACTCATTCATGCCTTCAGATGATCATTGGCTTACCACAAAGAACATCACTGGCAAAAACACTGTCTTTTATCAAATTGTGTGGTGAGGTTACCTTGTGGGCAGACATCAGCATCTCCAGTCTGGTTTGGTGTGAGATACATGGCAAACCGTTTACAGTAGTAGCCAGCAGCACAGAGCGCCGTGGGTTGTGACTGTCCGACGACGCCACAGTAGTAGCCTCCAGAGCATGGTGTACACTCGTTACTTGACTTGAGGCCAGTCAGGTTGTTGAAGGTCCCGAGGGGGCAGGGGTACTGGTCACTGCGCTGGGTACCTGGTGGAACACAGCAACAGTCAGTGTAAATGATTCTGTCAGCGAGTGTTTAATGCTTCCTTCACAATGTTTCAGTTATATCTGGTTGTGTCATCTGTATGTGGTAGGATAGCCTGAGGTGATTCAAGCCTCTGGTACTTTCTACCTGGTGAATCCCATAAGCATAGAAGGAAAGTGATAAAAGTTTAGAATTGAACCAATGGTCAAAGGTTTCAGAGGGAAGCTGCTCTGCAAGGCATATTGTGGTGCCCTAGATTCTTAGGCTGATTCAGTGTTCTTCTCAGACAAAGAACTAATATTACAATTCAACCCAAATTGTGATAACACCTATAAGAAACATTAGATTTCTCAGTCAACAAAACCGATAAATCTCACCTGCTGGGCAGTAATACCCTTCAGGACATTTGATGGTGTCGTTGACGTACACAACTCCATAGCTGTTGTCACAGTAGTAGCCCTCAGGGCACTCATCACAGGTGGACTGCCCTGTATTCTCCTGGTAGAAGCCGCTGGGGCAGATAGTTGGGGAAGCACTGTGTTCAGGGCAGTAATGGCCGACAGTGCAGAGATATGGATTTGGAGTTCTCTCCCCTTGGGGACAGTAGTATCCAGCACTGCAGTTTCCTAGAACAGAGAGATTTACATATTATATCAATTTAATGACAGTGAACTGTTTTACTTAATTCTTGTCTTCAAATGATTCATATGTCATGAATTAATAATTGTTTCTTGTTCCATTCAAACAGATTCTGGCTTGTTAACAGTCAATATGGGTGGGAGAAACTAGTGATAAACAGCATGAGTAAAGATCACACGATTACCTTTTAATTCTAGTGACAATTTTAACTCATAAAACAATAATGAGCGAACCAATGCAGAAAAGTGTTGATTACAAATGGAATTCCAGCAACTGACCTGATGTGAGAGTCAGATTGTAGTCTCCACAGTACTCCCCAAAGGAGCAGGTGACACAGTCCGCGGGGTCGGTGTTGTGGGTGCTGCCGCTGTAGGTGCCGGGACTGCATGGAGAGGGCGCTGCTGATCCCGACATGCAGTAAAAGCCTGCAGGACATAGGTCTCCAGTTGTGCCGTCAGTGGGCATGGCATCGGTTGCCTTCAGGATACAGTAGTAGCCTGCGGTGCAGTTATCTGTGGGAGCCGCCAGACCAGCGATGTGACAGTACTTGCCCCCAGGGCAGGGCTGAGGGTCAGAGGAGCCTGAAGGACAAGAGGACTCATTAAATGGTGTTAGTATTACCCTATTATATATTATTATTACATTTTGGAGGACAGAAATGGGCTTCACATAATGTAACCGTTTAGGGAATCAAACCTGTGTCTTCAGCATGATGAGCGAACACTTTAACCTCAAAGCTACCTCACTACCCCTAAATGCTAACCCTACATCATTTCAAACTATTCATAATATTAACACTATCCCTGACAACTCATGTATTATGGCATGACGGTGATTTAGAGAAACACTCCAAGTAGAAGATTCCTTTCATGCCGTTTTTTAATATTTCACTTTACAGATCAAAATTAAATAAAAAATGTCTGAAAATGTATACTTGATTATGTTCTATAATATGTTAATTTGACCCTTATGGTTTTGATAACAAAAACTATAAACTAAATTTATAGAAAAAGCTTCATCACATAATCAGAGCCCTCAGTGTCACTCAAAGCGATCTTAGAGCTATAGTATTACTTACTTAGAGCCCAGTATTTAAGGTATCTTACCTTCAGGACAGTAGTATCCTGCCTGACATTGTCCTCCATTGGTGGTGGTGTTGGGTGAGTCGGAGCCTCCCGAACAGTACCATCCCTCGCTGCAGTTGCCGGTTGGTGCTATGTTGCCTTCACCCTGGCAATACTTGCCCCCAGGGCAATTGAGACAGTCGGCAAGTTCTGTGGCTTTATCTACTGGGTTGTAAGTGCCCGCTGGACACTTGTATTGGGTGTCAAACTCTGTGCCGTTGACACAATAGTGGCCTGAAATACAACCAGAATTTAATATTGTTTGAACAATAAGATGTGTTAAATTCTGATTAAATGATGCAGTAGAGACATCAAAAGCTTCATATATTTCGCCAGGTGATGAATTGAACCAAGATTTTCAGTACATTGAGCCATTCCAGTCATATCGCAACCTGTCAGCATAATGTGGGAGGAGAAGGCAGGGAGGCAGGTTTGTGAGTGAGTGAGTTTGATTTTATGCTGTTTTAGCGATATTCCAGCTATATCACAGCAAGGGACACCAGAAATGGGCTTCACACATTGTACCCATGTGGGTAATCAAACCCAGGTCTTCATTGTGACGAGTGAACACTTTAACCACTAGGCTACCCCTCCACCCCTACCACACTCTAGAAATGCATGAGCATGGGTATAGCGCTGACAAATCTTGAAATAATCAGGGTGATCAAGCATTCAAACCAAAGACCCCTCGTGTGTCCAAAGTATGCATGTGGCAAAATGTGCCAAATATGATTGGGCAACTGTTTTGTTAACGGCTTTAAATGGAACGTAAGTTTTAGATTATAAACACTGACCCATTGGGCAGGGTGAACTGAGGAACTCCGATGAGTTGGCCAGACAGTAGTAACCCTGGGGACACACGCTGCAAGCCTCCATTCCGATCTTGTCTGCGAAGCTTCCTGCTGCACACGGCTGGGCTTTCTCGCTCATCTCAGGGCAGTAGTGGCCGAGCGGACACACGCCACCGATACCCTTATGGAAGGCCTGTTCTGGGCAAGTGCAGTTGATGGCAGTACTGTCATTACTGGCTCCAGGCATGGGGCGGTCAACTCCAGATGTGCAAAAGTATCCTGCAGAAACAATTAGACTTATGTTTACATTATCTTCTAATCTCACAGCCTGTGATGTTCGCTTTTAGTAGTATATCTATACATTTTGTGTTTTATTTCTTGTTTTTCATCTTTGTTGACAATAGAAAGATCATGATTCATGGTTATGGGCTGTTGGGATGTGAACATTTTTTGTCCATGATGAATGAGGCAATGGATAGGATAAGGGTTGTGCACTGAGAAGGGAGAAGGGGAGTGAGTGAGTGAGTGAGTGATTGAGTGTGGTTTAATGCCGCTTTTAGCAATATTCCAGCAATATCACGGCGGGGGACACCAGACATGGGCTTCGCACATTGTACCCATGTGGGGAATCAAATTCAGGACTTCGCGTGATGAGCGAACGCTTTAACCACAAGGCTACCCCGCCGCACCAGGGAGAAGGGTAACGGGGAATGTGAAGAAGATGGCAGTATCTAATCTGAGTTGAAGAAGTTTGACTCAGATAAAGGCAGTCCTAACAACTGTTAAAACATTCTTCTGTTTCTCAGCAAAAAGGAATGTTGTTCATCAACGAAAACAGTAAACTATAAGCTCTAATACCACATAGACAATGTTTGAGTTATTTTTAAAGGTAAATTGTACCTGCAGCACAGTTTCCAGTGGGTGTGGTGAGGTGCTCCCCCATGCAGTACTGTCCTCCAAGGCATGGTGTACACTGTGACAAGGCATACAGCCCCTCCTGGTCACTGAAAGTCCCGCTGGGGCAAGACGTCCAGTCCGGACCAGTACCTCAACACAGAAACTCATCAATTACACATCTTACAGCTTTAAATAGACACAATCAACACTGCTTCAAACTGTGTATGAAATAAGGCCCGGCCTGACGCCCGAGATTTCTGCCAGACTGTCTAATTTTACAGCTAGTCAATCCGATGGGCGGGTGAAAAATAATATTCAGATAACATATCCACTGGCACTGTCTATTTAGTATTTAAGTAGTTAAGAAGGACTCTCTTCTGGGCTGGTAAGTTTTTGAAGTTACCAGCCCAGATGTCGGGCTGGATTTTTGGCTTATTTCATACACTGCTTGCAATATTAATAAATGATACCAAACAATATAATCCTATCATTGTGAAAGTTTATCATCTTGGGGAGCCTTTTCTCAAGTTTTCAAAATGAATAAAATACCCTGTGAAATCAAAACTATTTGTGTGTCTATTTTTATAAATGAAAACCTTGTCAAAGGAAAATATAACCTGAACCCTTATCATAAACACACACTTATACACACCATATCTCTAATTTAAAATCCTAATATTCAGGATCAAACATGTGTACGAATACATTGCTTAATAAGACCAAGAAACACAGAAGGTATAATCTACCTTCTGGACAGTAGTATCCTGCAGGACAAGGCTGGGCATTGAGGGTGGCATTCTCTGGTTGTACAGGAAGGCAGTAGAAGCCCATGGGGCAGGGGGAACACGCTGATGCTCCTGTGTGGTTGGTGTAAGTGCCAGGGGAACACTCCTGGAACACAATATGGTAGGCAACACGTCATATTCGGGATTACACTTTTTCAGTAAAGTACAGGTTTTAGTACATTTTTTTAGTTCTTCTGGAAATTGAACCCACACTCTCATGTCAGGCACCTAAATGCCAGCTCATTAAGTCAGCAATCTAACCCACTCAGCCACCAGGGCTTCCACAAAAATGGAAATCTGGCAACTGGTAGTCTTGATCACTTTGTGTACCCCTCTGAATAGTGCACATTGACACAGCTCACATGGCCGACAGCTATGAATACATAATTCCTTTCAGAAATTGGTTAAATGTAACACATTATACATACCTTGTATATCTCGCTTCCATTAGGACAGTGCAAGCCTCGAGGACACAGGTTGTCCACAGGGTTGGGTACAGACATGTTGTTAGGACAGTAGTAGCCACCCCAACATGTTGATGTGGCTTCTGTCATACCTGAATAAAACAGAAAATACCATAGAATGAAGGAAGGGTAGAGTTCTTGAGCCAAACAATCTCACATGATTCAGCTTCATTTCCTGTACTCATTAATTTGGAAAAAAAGGAAAACCCACGGAGAACACGATTATTTCATTAATGGTTGTAAACCTTTATTATTTGCATTTGGAACCAGAGAGTTTAGTTCATTTTCAAGAGACAAACTTACGCTATGCTGGTTTGAAAGGTTCACTTACTAGTCCTGAGAAATTAGAAGCCTTCATACTGATGGGCCATTAGAAACTTCGCATGATTTAATCTAATTTTAATGAGAAGGATAGTAGCTCAAGTTGCCAAATAAGAAAAACACTGACATAAAAACAAACTGCTTCTAATATATTTTCTATTTTAGTCCTTTGTATAACTAGGTGGTTGTTTACCTGGATCAGGGCAGTAGTAGCCTCCCAGGCATAGGGTACACTGGCTGGAGCTGGTCAGACCAGTGGCATTTGAGAACGTGCCTGGTGGACACTGTCTGGGCAGGTCGGTTCCTTCGGGGCAGTATGAGCCTTCCGGACAGAGGATGAACTTGGCATTGTCTGCCCTTGTTGGGCAGTAGTAGCCTGTGAATGGAGGACATGATACATTAAATATAGAGGCACCAACAGGAGTGAATGTGCTGTTTGATACACCTTTTAGAAAAATTCCACCATTATCATAGCAGGGGAAATAAAGTCACAACTTTGCAGTGATATAAACTGATTACCTCCAATCAGAGCATAGTCTATGTATCTGCATTAAAATATTTGATAATACTATTAAATATTGATAATGAATTTATGTCAAATTCCGAAATAAATGTTTGTCAATATCTATTCATTATCTGGATATAACTAGCTCTTTAATCCAAGGAGTCACATACTCAAGCTTGGCGGCCACGCAGCCGGCGGAACTTCCCGGTGTAGGCTGCACCCCGGCAGCGTGGTGAAACGGAGCTGGGCTTGGTGACACCATGGTGCCCAACAAGGCCTTAGAATCCTTGAAGGAGGTCGCTGCAGCTGCAGCCTCCCGTGATGACCTGCTGGCCCCTGAAAGAGGGTCGCTCCCAGCACGCGAAAGGGAGGGCCAGCAAGGTTCGCTGCTGTCGCGAAAGTACCCTAGACGTCCGACAAAGCACAGCTTACGCGCAGTCCCCATGATCAGCATTTCATCACCGGCCGCACGCTGCAAAGATCCAGCAGCCCCTCGCCTCCAGGCCTAATTCCTCTGAATCGAGGAGAGGCAGGCCCCACCGCGGGACCACCACCGGCATCTGCTGCATCGCTACCCGCAGACCTCCTCATTGGGTGCAGTGCCGCGTCGCAGCAGGCACCGCCGGTGGGCAAACGGTGGAGTGAGGTTTCTGCCGAAAGCAGCCGGAGCTGCCCGAGGAGAGCCGAGCTCTCCCAGAGGCGACGTGAAGTGAACACCACTCGTCCAACGATGGGAACCACTGAACAGGGAGGTCCTCCCTGCTGGTAGCGCGCGACGAGATCCGGCAAGTCTAACCGACTCGCACGCAGACAAGAGGGGATCAACCACGCCCGGTGACCAACGGGCGCGGCAAAATCGCGGAGCTGGCGCTTCGCGCAGGGCTGCCGAGGGGCAAACGCCTGCTAGGCAAGCAGGAACTCAGCCCGAGTCCGCACAACCCACAGGTACAGCGGCGTTTGGGTAGGCCCACCGGCAAAGAGGCTGGGTCTCCTCCAAAAGAGGACCCTAACCCCCGACCTCGGTGGAGAAGCTGCCTAACAGCCAGGGAGCACAGAAAGGGAAGAGCAGACAGGACTGCTCCCATGGCCTGAGCGCCAGCAGCGCGCATGGACCTCGTCTGAGACGCTGGAGAGGCAGGCTAGGCAGAATCTGGTGCACCTCCCGCCTCATGGGCGGAGGGCGAGGGACCGGAACACCAGGAATACCCAACGGTCTCCCTGCGCCTAACTCCCGGAGGGGGACTGGAGGCACCTCCCCTCCGGGGGCAGCCAAAGGCGTCCGGAACCTGCCAGAGGCAACGGGTCTACAGATCACCTCCCTGCTGAGGTGGGATCGAGCCAGCCCGGCGATCCAACCCCGTGATTCTCTCACTCGGATCGGGAGTGGCGGGAACTCCTGGTGGAGACCTCCCAACAGACTCACGAATTCCAGGGACTTCACAGGAGTCCATATGCTGCTGAAACAATTTGTCCATTGAGTGTCATATTATCAAAACCCACTAGCACAAGCGGGAGAGGGCTTCTTGGCTCGGATTTTTTTTCCCTTACGCTTAGATTCTAGAATGGGAATCTGCATTAGTTCCCACCTCGGCCTCATTTCTTTTATAGAAAAACTGTAAGCACGCCTGTTCATGGCAAGGACAGCAAGAAGGAAAGATGATCTGCTAAGCCTGCTTACAAAGTTGGATGTTTATTGTGAAACACTGCAAAGCACAATAATTCATCACTTTGGACTGATCAACATTAACCAGAGATGCTGTGAACACTGATCAACATGATATAAGTTTCCCACAAGCAAGTCATCACAACTTCCTGTCCTGCCTTACCTGGTGAACAGAGAGATCCTGCTGCAGTCATGTTGTAATCGGGGCAGAAGGAGCCCCCAGTACAGTTAGTGCACTCCGCCTCACTCTGTCTGCCCGTGGTGGGGTTGAAGGTGCCCGGAGGACATGACTGGGCTACAACACTAGCCCTGGGGACAGTAGAACCCTGTTGGACAGATGTCGGCATTGTCTCCCATCACTGGCGTGGAGCTGTTGGATCCTGATGTACAGAAGTAACCCGCGTCACAGGGCCCAACTGGCTCAGCCAGACCTTCAGAGCTACAGTGCATTCCTCCAGTACATGGTAAACAGTCTGCCACTTCTGTCTTCTCTGTGATGTTGTTGAATGTCCCGAATGGGCAAGGGAACTCATTAGCCCGTGTTGTGTTGACAGGACAGTAGTGGCCTTGGGGACATGAGGACGAGTTAAAGAGGACCACAGGATCCTTCACACTGTCACAGAAGAACCCAGCTGGGCAGGACTTACAGAACTCCTGACCAAGTTCATCTTGGTATGTTCCAGAAGGACATCTGAGCTCGGCAGGACTTCCTTCAGGGCAGTAGTGTCCCATGCTGCAGTTGTAGCCTGGGGGTGTAGCTGAGTCTCGACCTCCTGGACAGTAGTAGCCAGCACTACAGAGACCATCAGGAACAACATTGCCGCCTCCAGCACAGTACTGTCCTGGGAGACACTCGGTGCAGTCCGACTCAGCATCGTTCCCTGTACTGTTGAGGAAGAATCCAGCTTGACAGAGACTTGGGGAGGGGCTGCCGGCAGGGCAGTAGGAGCCATGTGGACAGATATCACCTGTGGAGAGGGCATACATGTAATGTTTCGCTGTTCATAATATCTGCATAATCTATATAAGTTATACAGGTACAAATTGACACCATAATATTATGGGTATACAAACACTGTGTGTCGAACGTTGATCTGTTAAACTTATGGTTTTCTCAAAGTAACAGCTGGGTGACTGTGTTTTCCTTAGTCAATTCACAGGGTGTCGAACCCTAGATAGCTCAAAGTATTTGTGGAGGTCCCTTCAATGGTGTTTGACTGTACATTTGCATTTCATGGCAACATGTATATTACACTGTCTATATAAATCATCTGTTACAAAGGCAAACTAATTTTAGCATGTCTCCCTCCTAATGTCAATGAATAATAATGATAAATGTCATAGAGTGAGTGAATGTGTATGGTCTTATACACCTTAAGCAATACTCCAGCAATACCACTGCAAGGACACCAAAAATGGTCTTCACACATTGCACTTATGTGGGGAATCGAACCCAGGTCTTTGGCATGATGAGCAAACAATTTAATCAGATGGCTAAGTAGATCTCCCTCTTGTCATAGATCAATGATTACCAAACAGTATTTCAGAACAAGATACAATTCATGTGTCCTACCTGTCGTTCCATCTGTAGGGTTACCAACTGTGGCAAGAGATGTGCAGTAGTAGCCAGGGTTGCAGAGGTCCGTTGTGTTACTCAGCCTGTCAGTGGCACAGTAGTGGCCCGGGGTACAGGGGGTAGGGTTGGTGGATCCCTCTGGGCAGAAGTAGCCTGCTACACACTGGTCACCACCGACACCAGAGGGCAGTTGCTGTCATTGAGCCATTAACACAGTAGTATCCAGAATCACATAATCCTGAAGGTGTGGAAAGACCGGTCTGAGCACAGTACTGTCCTCCTGAAATTCAAAGTGAAAAAATGTGCATGAAAATGGAACTTTCTATTTTTATCATCACATCTGTTGAATTTTAAAGTATCCATTGACATTTAAAGTGAGCGAGTGAGTTGGGTTTTACTCCGCTTTCAGTATTCCAGCAATATCATGGTGCGAGACACCAGAAATGGGCTTCACACATTGTACCCATGTGGGGAATCGAACCTGGGTCTTTGGCATGATGAGCGAACACTTTAACCACTAGGCTACCCCACCGTCCCTGACATTTAAGGAAATGCCAAAGAGCATGTGAAGTTTACCTCTCAGTCAATCACAAAGATTTTCATCGAAGTTCTAAAACATGTAAGAAGGTAGGCATTTTCAGTTTTTAAAACAAAAGTTCAAGGAATCTGTGGACATTAACAGTTTATGGATGTGATTCAGATAATACTTAAGTCTGCTTATACTGACACAATGATTTCTTTCATCAGGAGGTACTCACAGGACAATAACATGCCAGATATAAGACAAAATATTATGGATGTCAACTTCTTCTTTATTGTATACACAATATTTCACGGCTTTTCCTTGCCCCTTCGTCATTCACGTGATGAAAGGGCAAGGAAAAGCCCTGAAACGTTATGTACTGTATACAATGAAGAAGACCGACTGACTGACTGAGTTTGGTTTTACTCCGCTCTTTAGCAATATTCCAGCAACATCACGGAAATAACCCACACCAGAAATGGGCTTCGGGCAAGCATTTTACTATCACACTGTACCGGTGGGATTCAGTGTTAATTATGGTCTTAGAACAAACTTTATGGATAACAACGCTTTTTAACGACTACGGTACAAGAATCCCAATGTCGCACTCACAATGAAGAAAGAAGTTGACATCCATAATATATTGTCTTATACTTAAATACCAACTTCTATATTCCTCTCAAGAACACAATAGCATGCCAGTAATGCACCGGTAGTAGATACACAACACAACAAGCAATTGATTACACTTTGAATCATTCATGGTAAAATTCCTGTACAGTGTGTTCTTCTTTAAGTAAGTCCAATTCTGCTTTGGATATCTTTGTGATACCTCTGTTCTAGGTATGTTTTTGTGTTTGGTCTGTGTTTGAATAGCATTTAGTGTTTAAGATGAAAATGTAACATAAAATAATAATAACGTAATGTAGGTTTGTTTTCAGGAACAGTTGAACAATTAAATATCCCTTGTAATTTACCCATCTCACTTACCTGTACAGGTGAGACAGTCAGCTTTCTTTGTTCTTCTGTTATGTTGTTGAAAGTCCCTGCATCACAAGGGAACTCATTCCAGCGCTGTGTGTTGTTGGGGCAATAGTGTCCACTCTCACAGGGGAAATCTGTGTAGTTGGCCGTCCCAGCAGGGCAGTAGTAGCCTACACAACACAGGACACATTGCAGAGGCTTTCAGTGACACGGACATCAGATCAATGAAAACTGGTATCTGAGCTCGTAACACTGGTATTACGTCACTGAACATTGACATCAGATCAATGAATGGAGACTTCAGGATGCTAAAAAGCGGTATTAAACTGACTGAGTATGGTTTTACGCCGTTTTTAGCAATATTCCAGCAACATCACGGCAGGGGACACCAGAAATGGGCTTTACAAATTGTACCCATGTGAGGAATCAAACCCGGGCCTTCGGCGTGATGAGCGAACCGCCCCAGTGGTATTAAAGCACTGAACATTTGACACAGACCTCTATGACAAAGTGATGCTACTGACTTTAGGACATGATGCCACCTTTTGGCTATACTCATGCTACCTTAGTGACATGGTAATGCAATTTGTATTTTCTTACCTTCTGGACAGGAGATGCACTTGTCGAGCCGCTCCACATCTGCGTATGTTCCATTCTCACAGGGAATTGGGAACACGCTACTCACTCCTCCTGGGCAGTAATGTCCAACGGGGCAGATACCTCCGAACCCCACCTGACGATCATCATAACACGTATTGTTGAGAGGATTAGTCTGATTGACACCATTGGGATATTCACGATCAATGCCTGCCACACACCAGTGTCCTTGGGCACAGTCCCCAGTGGGTGAATCTAGATGTTCCCCATCACAGTACTTTCCTCCTGGGCAGGGCTTACACTGGGATTCTGCATACAAGCCATCCACGTCACTGTACGTTCCTCGGGGACAGGACAGCCAATCAAGACCTGTTCCTGATGGGCAGTAGTATCCGATTGGACAGATGGCATTCTGTCCTTGACCTTTACAGTAGTAGCCTGCTGGGCAGTCATAGCATAACACAGCATGGGTGTGGTTCACCTGAAATAGATACATTTAGGAACACATAATGCAGTTGAACAAATGTTCCTGATCAGACATTAACTCTGTAAATACATCCTCGAATTTATTTAAGAGTTCTTGTACAGCACCATCTGTTGATTTTTTTCAGCAAAGCAAGAGGCGACAAAGCTAGGAATCTAAACAGGCTAACCTGGATTCAAACCCATCATCATAGTGGTATGGCTAGACTAACTGTGCCCCCTCTACACCATGATTTAAATTGCCTCACTTGTCAGCTGTGTCGCAGCCATGATCAACAAGATCATGCCAGCCACCTTATCCTCATTAATAACCACTGATGTGAATGGGGATTGGAAACATGTTCTACCCAATACCCAAATGGGTTAAATTATGGTAAGCATCACATTGCTTCTAACATTTGTCTAGAGGTGTTTGCCACCTGGAACTCACATAGCTGTTGTTTCTGCACGGAATGGCTGCAGATACACCCTCTGGGCAGTAATGTCCGATGGGACAGTAGGTGTCGTTTGGTTCCTTGTAGATTGATCCCACTGGACAGTAATACCCTGAAACAATTAACATTTACAGCTATTACTTATATACCATAGTATCAAAGTATAACTATTACTTATATACCATAGTCTCAAAGTATAACTATTACTGGCCTGTGTGTCTCTATTACATACAAAACATAATTTAGATGATAGACTGAACAGGATGTACTCCATTGCACATGTAGAAGCCTTAAGATTGAGTCAATAGTTTGGCCATGGGTAAACACATTTTCAATTTCACAGACAAAAATCTTAAATCAAAAGGATAAAGTTCAATAGCCTAAAGGGCACAGTAATGAACATGAGCATCCCTAAAATAGTTATCTATTTCAATATTTGTTAAATTTTTATCTGCAAGCACACATGTTAAAATCGTAAGGTATTTAGGTAGCAGATTTATTCCCATAAATGATACACTGTTGGATGATAAGTGTCTCACCTTCTCCACACAGCCCTGTAGGTTCTGAGAGTCCATCTGTCTCACAGTAATATCCTCCTGGACATGCAGAGCATTCATTCTTCATCTTTACAGTCGTAAAGTTGGAGAAGGTTCCTGAATAATAATGTAATTTTCTGAATAAAATTGATATTTTATACTTATCCTGACTCATGCTTATTGCTTGTCTCCTTCCTCTTGCGAACGTTAGTGGAACACTTGTATCTCCTATTGAAGCTCCCTTCAATAAAAAACAGACGTAAAATCACTACTCCCAAGAGTTATCTCTTTAGCTGTTTAGGCGGGAAACTGTGCTGCCACCGTTCCAACATGCTTCACTCTCTCCTGATTATGAGCCCGACACTTGAATTTGCAGGGAAATCCAAAGTGTCTAGTGGGGAGGTTGGGTGGACTTACCTCATGAGTCAGGATAAGTATAAAATATCAATTTTATTCAGAAAATTACATATTTTGTCCTTATCCTGACTCATGCTTATTGCTTGTAGAATCCGACGGATTGGCGGCGGGCAAGTTACTTTTGGATTTCATGTAGTGATTTACGTCATCTATACCCCCCTATGGGAACTTCGTGTTGGCACTGTATTTAACTGCTAATCTCTGCTGCTGCTGTGACCCTGTCCTTCCAGCTGCCTTTAGATGGTGGGACCACAACTGTTAACTTTTGGTCCTTTCTTCTGTTAACATTTATGTGGATTTTGCGACTCCATCTCTTGATGCAAGCACCAAGTGGAGAAACGACCCATTCCTGTACAAGTATCCTTACAAGTACTGGGTCATATCACTTATGCTAGTCTGTCCTTAGACGTGCATTTAGACTTCAAACAAAACTCTCCGGAGTGTAGGCTTTGTAAGTCATGTGATAAAAGGGCGAGACTTTGTCTCAACGCCTTTGAGGGACTGTCAACTGTTGTGCTACAACCAGTGGGCCGAAATGGTGAATGCCAGAGATGTCCTCGGTGGTGATGTCCCTCAGGGAGTGGTTGGCAAACACCATGTCCCATTTCCAGAAGCAGCCCTCCATTATCGTCCATAGAGCGATTCCCATGCAGAGCGAATGTCGACGCCAGAGCTCTAACTTCATGTGGGTTGGAGGCTCTTAGAGGATCCAGTCCTGCTGCTTTGTAGGCCCGTAGTATGAGAGTTCTGATCCAGCTTGATATCTTAGTGCGGAAGACCTCCGTCAGTGTCACTGTCGATATCGAGACGAAAAGACGCTTGAATTTCCGTCTAGTGGACCTGGATCTTTGTAGGTAGACTTTTCTCTTCTATGGTCCATATCCCAGCTGACACTTCGTTGTCGAGGTGTGCTCCCCAATCTTGGAGAGATGCGTCCACATAGAGATGCGTCTTGCACTCTGGCTCTGCTAAATAGGTGCTTCTGTGACCAGTCGATCTCTGAGTCCACCATATTAGATATGGTTTTAGTCTGTCCGGAAGTCCGAAGGGGTCCGGATCGTCCAGTTGCACATTCACGAAGACCTGTAGTGGGCGTAGTTGTAGACTCCCTCTGCGCGTCATGTCCTGTGCTGATGTGAGAAGACCCAACAGACTCTGCCACTTCATAGTAATAACGGAGAGAGTAGTGCTAGAGTTACAATGACTTGTATCTAGATCCTACGATCGTGAAATCCTTGCCGTGTCTGTAAGGGAAATGAAGCGATGTCCGACTCTGTGACTGCCATCGTTGTGAAGTCTATATAAAGTCGTCTGGCTGCCGTCATCCAAAGTCCGTCCAATGTATGTTGCTGCAATTCGTCTGATGAATCATCTTCAATGTTGACAGGGAAGGTCTCTAACCCTGTGAAGGCAGCCAAATCACGTAGGTCCCGTCTAACTGGACTATAAATGAGGCCTTTCTCTCTCGCTGACAGGTTGTTGTCACTTGTAACCCATTTCCTGACATGTGAACTACGTCCGACCTCTGCGCAGGGCGTTGTCTCTCATGGTCCTATCAAAATAAAGCATTTTGATTCCTTTGGCTTGCCGCGATGTGACATCACCGGTGTAGCAGGAAAAAGGTCCTTGTAGAATCTAGTGCCGCCGTTGATATCTGATCACCAGTCGGTCTTGTCCGTAGCCTTCCAGAGTTACACGAGTGACCACGTGTATCGAGGGTTGAATGGTAAACGAGTGAAATATTTTGCCGCGTAATACCGATGTAGGTAGGCTGTTTTCCTGGCTGCTGTGACTGTTACTTCAGTCCTGAAGATAATGCAGTCGCCCTTTTATACAGATGATCAGCTGAAATCTTCACGTTCTCAGTGCTGCTCTTGTAGACTGCATACATCCATCTCAACGAAGCGTCGTAATTGTAGAATTAATGCTGAACTTTGTTGTAAATTCTACTCAGGGAATCGTTGACGAGTATGTAGTTTGCTAGCCTTAGCAAGGCTGCTGCTGAACCACACCAGTGAGAATATCTGCAGATCTGTACGGAAGTGAAGATCTGTAAATGGCCATGAGTCTTCTAATGTAGATATATCAATCTATGTGAATCCCATCCTGGATTCAGTCTGAAGATCCGAGCCGGTGATGAATTCGGATAAGAGTACCCCTCTTGAACTTTATTATATGTCCTTCAGTCTGTGTGCCGACGAAGATCTTGCCCTTCTAGGGTGACGCTAGGTCCAGTCCGCCCTCGTGTCCTGGTTGAATAACCTTGAAGATCTGCGTAGCGATCTGCGTGGCGGTTGGCGTGGTGTGTCTGTATGGCGCCTTGCATGTAGGTGATCACCTTGTAGTCCGGGATTGCCTTCCTGACAATATATTCCTAAGTCGTCATTCCCGTGATGATCTGTGAGGCGTTGTTGATGCCCTTGATGTAGGTAGTCAGCCTGAAGATCCTTTATTAGGCTCATCATCTGTTGACGGTCTCTGAAGATAGCGCCGTCCGGCCCGCAGGTTGCAGATGACATGTAGCGTTCTGTTGAGAATCTAAGTACTGCGGTGTCTCTGCGTTGTAAATGGCCTGCGCGAAAATGCCTCCGCGCAGGCGTGTTGATGGCATGTAGCGTTCTGTACCTTTGCGAATGCTGATCGTCTGAGTCCGTATCTGGGGATGGATGAGTCGTCCTTCGCGAGTACCTTCGCGAATGCTGATCATCTGAGTCCGCATCTGGGGATGGGTGAGTCGTCCTTCGCACAGGCTGGTTGACCTCCTGAAGCGTAGATCTGTTCTCAGACGTCACATTGGTGGAGGGCCTCTCCGAAGCGTCGTCTGCGTTGGAACCTTCGCGAAGGCTCGGGTCCTCTCTGCGGGCTGGTTGTTGAACATGCGATGCCCTCTCCAGTGCGAAGCGCCTTTCCATCATCTCTATGATCTATTGGGAAACTGCTGCATGAAGACCCCTGGGTTGAATGTTTGCGGTGATAGATGAGCTGCCCTCTCTGCGTTGGTAGCGATATGGTCCAGGGATCACTCATCTGCCGTCAGTGTAGATACCTCGGACTGCGTAGACAGCTGCGCTGAAGTGAGACTGGCCTCTGCTTGCGGTGATGTTTCTCTGGGATGACGAGCGGCTGCTCATCATAGAGTCCCTGTTCCGCCATCGGGACAATCTCGGCCGAGAAAGTCCTTGTAGTCTGCGCTGACTTCCCCGTATAGATGGTCGTCATCCTCGGGATGCGTAGTCTTCTCTGGGTAGAGGATGGCATCTTCTTCTTAGGCTGCGACGACTGGATGTCCGGAATAGCAGGCCTCTACTTGGAGGTGGCGGACAACGTACTACGCCCGTCCCCCGAGGAATTCTCCGACGCATCACAAGACGGAAAGGGGGTCGTCAGACATCAGTTGACTCGAGAGGGACTCAGCCGGCGTATCTATGATTGACAAAGCCGTCTCGACCTGTCTGCAGTACCTCTAAGGACGCAAAGAAATTATTTATTAAATGCAAAATTAGTTAAATGCTGGCAATGAATGCAGCGCGAGCTGGAAAAACATGTCTTAGTGCAGCTAGGGCACAGTTGATGCGGGTCAGCAGCAGAGAACCGAAGTCTACAACGAAAACAGGTTTCATGAAATGTAAACAACTGAACAAACACGGACAAAACCGTGAATAAACAGTGCTAAATACGACTCAATTTCAAACCATATTGTTGAAGGATACTAACCAAACCTCTATAAAAGTAGAATAGAGGATAATAACTTAGTAATAAAAGGATATAGTGCTGTATAGGAGACACATGTGCTCTCTCAACCGCTCACTAGGGCGAAGAGTTGGCGCCACAGTTTCCCGCCTAAACAGCTAAAGAGATAACTCTTGGGAGTAGTGATTTTACGTCTGTTTTTTATTGAAGGGAGCTTCAATAGCAGATACAAGTGTTCCACTAACGTTCGCAAGAGGAAGGAGACAAGCAATAAGCATGAGTCAGGATAAGGAAAAATAAATCACTTCTCATGACAGAGTAATCATGATTCAGATAATGCAATGCTGTGGGTTGCCACTGTACAAATACAGGAATGGATGAGTGACCCTGTCACCAGATTGTAACTACCAGTATTATACCAGCCAGGATTAAAGTGAGTTCTTGGTGGAGAGAAGACACAGCTGTATCTGGGTTGCCAATCGATCAAGAATCACCCAAAATCCACCAGGTTTCCTAAATGTATTCACTAAATTACAGTGAGTGAGTGAGTTGGGTTTAAAACAGCTTTTAGCAATATTTCAGCAGTATCACGGTGGGGGACACCAGAAATGGGCTTCACACATTGTACCCATGTGGGAAATTGAACCCAGGCGTGACGAGCGAACACTTTAACCACTGGGCCACCCCACCATTAAAGTAAGGAAAGGTGCAGGCAACAGCAGACACATGGATCTTTCAGCAATGACACTTCAGGAGAAACGCAAAGGTGAAAAACAGATAAATTTTTGATAGTTTACCCCTTAAGTAATCCTCAGTGTAGCTGTTAATTATCAATCATGGTGAGACTGATTCGGAGTATGATAAAGACCTTTATGACATAGTGATGCCCCCTTTATGATATGGTGATGCTGCAGATTTTAGGACACAGTGAAGCCCCTGATTTTTCCATTACATGGATGCTGTCTTAGGGACATGGTGATGCTACAGACTTTAGGACACGGTGAAGCCCCTGATTTTTCCGTTACAGGGATGCTATCTTAGGGACATAGTGATGCTATAGACTTTAGGACATGGTGAAGCCCGTGATTTTTCCGTTACAGGGATGCTATCTTAGGGACAGAGTGATGCTACAGACTTTAGGACACGGTGAAGCCCCTGATTTTTCCGTTACATGGATGCTGTCTTAGGGACATGGTGATGCTACAGACTTTAGGACATGGTGAAGCCCCTGATTTCTCCGTTACATGGATGCTGTCTTAGGGACATGGCGATACTACTGACCTTTAGGACATGGTAAAGGTACTTCACTGACGGCTGGACAGTAGTAGCCAGGAGGACAAATGTTTTCCTGGGAGCTGGAGGATCGATTGGGACAATAGTAGCCAGCCTCACATGGACCACTTATTGCTGTTGCATTCAGTTCACCACAGTAGTAACCTGCAATAGACAGAAAGAGTAATGCAGAGATATTTATACAACATCTGGAGGATGGATATAAATATATATTCAATACAGTTTCAGTGAGACAATCTCTTGCCCCCCACAATGAAGCAAAATGTTGCACATTGTTAAGGTGTCAATGAAAGTTATATGACACAGTGCAAGATAACCTCATCGTAATCAAATAGCTGTTTTCTCCTAGTATTATTTCTTTGACAACAGTTGACTAAAGCATGTCGGCAAGATACATTTAGTAGACCAGTATCACGATGGATATACATGGTTTTATTTATTTGCATTGATAGGTCTAATACCACTTCTTGCCACTGTTTCGTTGTGTAAACGATGCATTAAACCACACATAAAACTGTTACAAGTTTATACAACATCATAACAATCTACCACAAATAAGCACTAACAACATTTATACAACATCAAATCTTAACTCTGAAAATTAGAATAACAACTTGCATATTTAATAGTTAATGTTATCGCACAGTTGTCAATAAAGAACATGCAAGCTGACCCCAGCTGGCCACTATGATGACCACCAAGATAGATGTCTACCATGGTCTGACATCTCACCTGCAGTGCAGTTGAGGCATTCATCCACAGATGTCAGCTTGACAGCATTAGAGTAGGACCCTAGCGGACATTTCTGGGGCTCGGATGTTTGTTGTGGGCAGTAGTGACCCACAGGACACTGGTCTGCATCGTAGCCCTGGGAGGGTGTGCCTGATTTGGCGAACTGACGGCAGTAGTAACTGAAGAAAGAGGACATCGAGGTAATGAGCATGACTGACTGACTGAGAAACATCCAACACTGCTTTTAGAAAAATCATCATGACCTATGACTGACTGACTGAGTTTGGTTTTACGCCGCTTTTAGCAATATTCCAGCAACATCACAGCGGGCGACACCAGAAATGGGCTTCACACATTGTACCCATAACTTCCTTATTGCAATAGATGCAATATTTTGGTGTTGATGTTAACACCGTTATCAAGCAAGTGAGTGTGGTTAGGATTACTAAACACAAAGGATTGTGAGTAGGGCTGCGCAATATAACCGGTTTACCGGTATTTACCGGTTCAGACATGAAATCGATACGTATTGCGATACGCTGATCGAAAACCGTTTTTTTACATGCCTTCGGAAAACTTCGTAACACTCGGAAATCTTGGGATATTTCCGTTTTTTTAATTGTTCTTTTCCCTGTTTCATTACTGCCAAATGTTACTTACATTTATATTTTGTCATGATTAAAAGTTTTTATAAAAGGTTAATCAATCATAGTGATTTTGTTGTGTTTTTGCTTTATAATCAAGCATTAACTCGATTATAAGTAGTTTTTGTTAAAAAATTAATCCTTGCAATATATTGCAATACATATCGCAATTTATGCTTCTGCATCGCAATATATCGCAATATGAAAATTCTCTGCAATACCCACCCCTAATTGTGAGTGAGTGAATGGGTGAGTTTGGCTTGACACCACTTTTAGCAATAGTCCAGCAATATCACAGCAGGGGGCATCAGAAATGGGCTTCTCAAGTTGTACCCATGTGAGGAATTGAACCAGGGCCTTCAGCATAACAAACGTTTTAACTACAAGGCTAGCCCAATGCCCCAAAACAAAAAGGATTTAATTCACAAAAAGTCATGTTGAAATTTCCAACATATAACAAGCACTAATTCACTAATGACACATAATCTGTATTTCCTTGCAGCTTCAATGTTATTCTTTCAGCATGTCTGCTGGTGGAACTCACCCTGCCTGGCAGATGCTGGTAAAGGTGGTCTGGGCAGCCATATCACAGTAGTAGCCTCCGGGACAAGGGACACAATCTGCCTCCTCCTGCAGACCCGTGTGGTTGCTGAATGTCCCCAGGGGACATGGGTGTTCCACGGCATACTTGGTTTCAGCTGGACAGAAGTATCCTGAGGAGGCAAGTATCAATATTATAACAAGAAGACAAAGTCATCAATATCCCCTGCAATGGCAAGATACTCTTCATGATTATGTCTACGAGTTATGATTACGTCAAATATTTAGGTGTGTATATAGAAAAGTGGAAGGAGAGTATTGAAAGGTTTTTAAAGTTCTGCTCCAGAATGGAGCACTATCACCAATTTCAGTCTAAGTCAAACTTGTTGCAAAGGAAATGCCAAAAATATTTTATTCAGAATTCCAAAACTACCAAGTGGCACCAGTACACCACCAGATCTATCTATGTGCCAAGTTTGGTGAAGAAATATTGAACGGTTTTAGAGTTCTGCTCCGGAAAAGACAAATGTGCACACGGATGGAAGGACGGACGATGGACGGACGGAGTCCATATAAATACCCCCCGCAAAACGCGTTCTGGGGATTTCAAAATAATCTCCAAATGCCTATGAATGTATTGATCAGCTGAGCGTGGTGGTCACATTTGCATCACATTTCTATGATCAATGTTGCAAGTGAACACTTTATTTTACACAAGAAGCTCTACTGAAAAATCAGTTTGAAAAAATGTATACCTTACCTTCTTTGACAATTACAGACCTGTGCAAAAAGTATTCGGACACTTGACATAATTTCCATAGACTTACATGTTATTTCAGTGTAGGATAAATAATTCTCATGAAGTGATGTTTGGGATGGATCTTTGTTAAATTTGACAGGCAAATTTGAAATCATCTCTGCCCTGTGCACATAATTTCAGTTCAATTTTCCGACCACTATTTAACTAATGACATCACATTTATCAACTTATGTATGGTTCCACAATGCACAATCCCATAGGCCGCAATGTCAAAGGAGTTCATGGCACTGTCCACATGTTGATTAAATTGTTGCCATTCGATAAATAAGCAATGGAAAATTAAACAGAAATTATGTGATTGTACGTGAAATGATTCCTCACAAATGTACAAAATTTGACTTGAATCTTACAAAAATTAAATTCATGAAAATTGTTTATGCTACACTAAATCAACATGTAAGTCTATGGAAATTATGTCAAGTGTCCGAATACTTTTTGCGCGACTCTGTTGGCCACACATAATTCTGTTGGCCACAGTATACAATACATTCATAGAGGCTGAGAAACTCTTACCCATTGGACAGTAGGTGCTGTTGTAGAGGACAACGGGGTCCATAGTGTTGTCACAGAAGAATCCTGCTGGGCACGGCTTACACTGTCCTTGGCCGACTTCATCTTGGTAGGTTCCGCTGGAACAGCGCACTGCCTCATGGCTGCCTTCCGGACAGTAGTGACCTAAGAGAACACAATTTTATACACAGATATTGAGTTGACAGACCTGAGACCAAGATTTTAAACCATCATAGGTTTCTGGCATTCGTATTAGGAAGTGTCTTTGTACCGTCAATTGACAGTTCAGCCCTCTTGGTCCATCTTTCTGGTACCTTTCCATTTAAGTTCCATCTTGCCTCAATGCAAATGCAAATGAGTGAGTGAGTGAGTGAGTATGGTTTTATGCCGCTTTTAGCAATATTCCAGCAATATCACGGCGGAGGACACCAGAAATGGGCTTCACACTTTGCAAATGCAAATGATGAAGTGATGTGATGTATACAGTCAACTCAAGACAATACAGCCTAAAACTTCTCAAAGGCACCTTGACAAAATCTAACCAGGGCTTACCTTGAGGACATGTGTATTCAGCAGGGTTAGAGATGTTCATGCCAGCAGGGCAGTAGTACCCTGCGTCACACTTTGTGTCAGCGTCAACGTTGCCGTAGCCTGCACAGTAGAAGCCTTGTAGACATGTGATACAGTCACTCTCTGACCTTGACCCTGTTGTGTTGAGATATGTTCCTGGAGGACAGAATGTGCGTTGGCTTCCATCATGGCAGAATTGACCAAGAGGGCACAGGTCACCTGAAAACATGGTAAGAGTTAAAAATGTTAAGATGGACAAATAATCAACAACTTCTTCATTCAGTTAGAAGTATTTAATGCCATTCACATAAATGATAATCAAATAAAAGGTTATAGCACAGATTGTCCATGTTGAATACGTGGATTGTCTGCCACACATGCATTGGATATCAAAGAAATAATTCACATAGTTTTGAGTTACAGAAACTAAAATTACTGCCTTTACCTACACTACCTTTACAACCAGAACCTCAAACTTTTCGTTAGAAAAGATTATTTTTTGGTCAATATTTATAAGTCCCCTCAGTTTTGTTTTGAGGACAATAAATGATATGTTGGGTTAAGAAGTTAAATCAGCATAGCATTGAGTTATAAAGATTATCATGATGTAGAGCCAACCCGCAGCATGTGTACCTTGACAACCTGTTGCTCACTTTTATCTTGATAAGACTGAGTGAGTGAGTATGGTTTTCGCCGCTTTTAGCAATATTCCAGCAATATCACGGCGGAGGACACCAGAAATGGGCTTCACACTTTGCAAATGCAAATGATGAAGTGATGTGATGTATACAGTCAACTCAAGACAATACAGCCTAAAACTTCTCAAAGGCACCTTGACAAAATCTAACCAGGGCTTACCTTGAGGACATGTGTACTCAGCAGGGTTAGAGATGTTCATGCCAGCAGGGCAGTAGTACCCTGCGTCACACTTTGTGTCAGCGTCAACGTTGCCGTAGCCTGCACAGTAGAAGCCTTGTAGACATGTGATACAGTCACTCTCTGACCTTGACCCTGTTGTGTTGAGGTATGTTCCTGGAGGACAGAATGTGCCGTTGGCGCTTCCATCATGGCAGAATTGACCAAGAGGGCACAGGTCACCTGAAAACATGGTAAGAGTTAAAAATGTTAAGATGGACAAATAATCAACAACTTCTTCATTCAGTTAGAAGTATTTAATGCCATTCACATAAATGATAATCAAATAAAAGGTTATAGCACAGATTGTCCATGTTGAATACGTGGATTGTCTGCCACACATGCATTGGATATCAAAGAAATAATTCACATAGTTTTGAGTTACAGAAACTAAAATTACTGCCTTTACCTACACTACCTTTACAACCAGAACCTCAAACTTTTCGTTAGAAAAGATTATTTTTTGGTCAATATTTATAAGTCCCCTCAGTTTTGTTTTGAGGACAATAAATGATATGTTGGGTTAAGAAGTTAAATCAGCATAGCATTGAGTTATAAAGATTATCATGATGTAGAGCCAGCCGCAGCATGTACCTTGACAACCTGTTGCTCACTTTTCATCTTGATAAGACTGACTGACTGAGTTGGTTTTACGCCGCTTGTAGCAATATTCCAGCAACATTAAGGTGGGGGACACCAGAAATGGGCTTCACACATTGTGCCCATTGTGATAAGAAAATCTTTGAGTCAACCTCGTATTGAGGAAAACCAACACAACATTTGGTTAAGGAGTGAAAGTGAGAATGTTAATGACCTTTCCTGATAACAACCATTAACTCTTCCTAACCATCAAGGATTTTTTTTTCAAAAGAGATCTGTGCCTAACAGATCGGTGATGCAACAACTCTGGATGTAAATCTCACCATAGCTCTGTCCAACCGGTGTGGGTGTTGGAGAACCTCCGGAACAATAGTAGCCTTCACTGCAGTTGCCAGTTGGAGCAGACAACTCTGTAAGATACAATACATAACACTTAAGTGACTTCATCTAGTAAACTGGTCATGCTGTAACTGGTTTGCCTTGTTTTTTCCTCTGGTAAGTCTTAGTACCAAAACAACCAGTGCCACTTTCCATCATAAATGCCTATAAGTTTACAAGGCACTGACTGAACATATATCAGCAATGTACCTGCTGCCAAACACATATCACCAGTGAGGTAAGGTTTACAAATAAGAATGTTATCTTAGCATATATCACTCAATTCAGCAGGGGTGGAAATAACCCATTGCCCGACGTCCGAGTCCAGTGTTTTTTTCTGTCGGGCAAGCAAATTTGTATATCACACTGTACCGGTGTCCAGTTGACTTTCCAATGTTAATTATATTGTTTATATTAAAATATCAACAAGAAAATGGCCCGGTATAGTGGAAAAATTATCAGGGCAAGTGATTTTACATGTGCCACTGTACCAGAGTACACTAGCAATTTTAAAGTTATTTCCACCCCTGTTCAGAGTGAGTGAGTGAATGAGTGAATGAATGAGTGAGTTGGGTCTTACGTCGCTTTCAGCAATATTCATGGCAGGGGACACCGGAAATGGGCTTCACCCATGTGGGGAATCAAACCTGGGCCTTCAGCATGACGAGCAAATACATTAACCACTAAGCTACCCCACCGCCCCACAAGTCCGTATGAAGTTATCAAGCAAAGAATATACATCTTCATATAAACAACTGAAAACAGAAATAAGATCCCTGCCAAATGTTCCTGTACTCACCCACATTGTCACAGTACATCCCCGGTGTGCAAGGGTTCTCAAGAGAACTCCCTCGTGGACAGAAGTGCCCCCTGGGTACACTGTCCGCCTTCAACAATTGTAGCTGGCTGAGCAGACTTGGCTCGACCACTGCAGTACCAGCCTGGGTCACACTCATCCGTCGGTACAGCCAAACCCTGGGAGGCACAGTAGAACCTGCGGCATATACATAGAGGTAACTTGGTATTGAAACCAAACTTGGGACAGGGGAATGTGGCATAAACATCCAGTTAATCATATCTGAACTTGTGGAGTATACATGCAGTGTATACTGACATTTAGCTATGACATGGGGGGGGGGGTGGGAAGGAGGTTGGGTTTTTTTTTGGTTGGTTTGGGGTTGGTTGGCTTGGTTTCAAGAAATCTGGTTCAGAATTGGTCTTCAGCAACCCATGCTTGTCGTAAGACGGGATTGGGTGGTCAGGCTCACTGACTTGGTTGACACATGTTATCGTATCCCAACTGTGTAATTGATGCTCATGTTGTTGAGTACTGGATTGTCTAGTCCTGACTCGACTATTTACAGACCACCGCCATATACTAGTAGCTGGAATACTGAATGCGGCATGAAACGAAAAAAAAAAAACCATCAAGAAAACTAAACATTTTCTTGCTCAAGGAAATGTTGTTACATAATATCACAGCAGCATAAATGACATCATGTATGTGCAAATTGGTAATATCAGTGAAGAGAAAGGGCATTTATTTACCCTACTACCATAACACTGTTCAACCTTACTACTAAGTCACTGCTAAGTATATGTGAATATATCTTGTTAGCATTGTACAAGAGGAGAGAATTACCCTGGCAGACAGTGAAGGCAATTTGAAGCTGCACTCATTCCTGTGGCGTTGTTGTAGGTTCCTTCCAGACAAGGTGTCTGGAAGGCCGACTGGTACTTGGGTCCACACCAATAGCCCTCGGGACACAGGAAGGGGTTGCTGGTGTTGACGGGGCAGTAGTAACCAGCTGGACAGTCAAGGCAGGCAGAACGGCCCGTCTCATTGGAGTAAGTTCCAGCATCGCATGCAGTTGGGACACTTGATCCTGCTGGACACTTGTATCCTGGCCAACACAGTATCGTCCATATAAGTAGGGTAGTCATGACCTTGATTATATGACATGACCTCACCTTTGTTTTGACAGAATTGTCCCCCAACTGAATTTGCCTCAAAATTGAACCAAATTGTCATTATTGGCAAAATTCGAACTAAATATATAAGGGTACAAGATAAAAATAAGAGTATTAGGCACAAATACATTTACGTGATAGATTGTTTCCATGATGGGACATTTTAGCTGGAGATGCATCAAAAGTATTTACCAATACAATTTGACCAACAAATATAGACATAAGAAAGAGTATGGTTTAACTATCTCATATTGAGGAACATCACAAGATCAGATTCAAAGACTGAAAATGTGACTCAACCACGTAGCTATCCTAACTCTACTGGGTGAGCGAGTGAGTTTAGTTTTATGCTGCTTATAGCAATATTCCAGCAATATCACAGCAAGGGGGCCAGAAATGGGCTTCACACTTTGTAACCACATGGGGAAGCGAATCCAGATCTTCGGCGTGACGAGCAAACACTTAACCACTAGGCTACACCCACCCCCCAAGTCTACTGATATTTGATTTGTGTGACATTCACTGCTCACCTGTGGGACAGATGTCTCTGTAGGTATAGTTGATTGGTGATGGTTCTGGAAATAACTCAACCATAAATGGACTTCACACATTGTACCCATGTTGGGAATCAGGTTCTTCGGGTTGATGAGTGAATGCTTTAACCACTAGGCTACCACACCACCCCTATGTCTACTGATATTTGATTTGTGTGACATTCTGTGCTCACCTGTGGGACAGATGTCTCCGTAGGTCTGGTTGATGGGTGATGGTTCCGGGGACCCGATGCTACAGTAGTGGCCTGGACTACACTGCAAAGTCGTCTCAGTCATGTTGTAGTAGGGGCAGTAGAACCCAGGGTCACACAGCTCACACTCGTCCTCCTTCGTCTTGCGGGTAAATTTACTGGAAATATAGAAAATACCTCTGATGATCAGACTTCCTTATGTATCATGACCAATGGTACATTTGAAAGTTAATGACAAATTAACAGTATCACCAGGGTGAGTAAGTGAGTTTAGTTTTACGTTGCTTTTAGCAATATTTGAGCAATATCATGGCAGGGAACACCAGAAATGGGCTTAACATATTGTAACCACGGGGGAATCAAACCCTGGTCTTGGGCGCGACAAGCGAATGCTTTAACCACAGGGCTACCCCACTGTCCCACTAGACAAGGAGGCTTTCTGCTGTCATGAAATGTACACACTGTTCAAAGCAACATGAAACACAACTAACTATAATTCATCTGATATTCGACAGAAGTCAGATTTTTGTACTGATATCACAATTGACTATTTACCCAAGCCTTCCCCGTGGACACGCTGTAGGGGAGATACTTCCTTCTGGGCAGTAAAAGCCTTTGGGACAGCGCCCCCTGTTCTCATTATCAGTATCTTCTGGCGTTGGTGTTGATGATCCGATGATTGACCAGTATCCAGCAAATATCATCCCAGTAGCATTTGTCAACCCTGAGTAAAGCAACATGTGAGGTGAGGTGAAATTGGGTTTAACCTCGTACTTGAGAATATTTCGCTCATATGACGACGTGCATGCGTGTGTATGTGTATGTGCGGCTGCTTGTACTAGCCCAGACTTAAGCTGGTTTTATAGTGCCAGCCCAATGAGATACCATGCCGCAGTGAAGCATGAATAACCCCACTCAGACACATTATACTGACTCCGAGCCGACCAGTCCTTGTTGTACCCATTAATGCCGAGCGCCAGGCAGGGACCAACAAGTACCATATTTTAACGTCTTTTGGTATGACGCGGTCGGGGATCGAACCCACGACCTTCCGCTCTCTGGGCGGACGCTCTAACCACTACACCATGGAGGCGGTCCAAAGCAACATGTGAATGTGTACAAGGACAATATGGCTTCATGGAGGAAATATTATGGGCAAAGGCAACATACGTTAACACAGTGGTTAATACTGGGACAATGTTGATTTTATGTGTCTAGACACGCAAATGCATGGTTTCGATGAAGACTCAATACAAACAAGTTCCAAAGGTAAGCACACAAAATTTCACGGTTTGATCACAAATTTAATGAATAGTTACAAAGTCACAATTATTACTCATCAGTCTGTTAAACATGCATCACCAAATTCAACATTGCATTTTATGCCTGGAACTTCATACATGTCATCAGGACTTATTTTAGAATTCTGAATCCCATGTTGAACAAAGGTAATAGGGCTGCGCAATATAACCGATTTACCGGTTCAGACATGAAATCGATATGTTTTGCGATACGCTGATCGAAAACCGGTATTTCGACATGCATTCTGAAAACATCGCAACACTCGGAAATCTGGAAGTTAAGTTTGGTTTGAAGGTGTGTTCTTAATTTTTGTTAAAATGTTTCGCAATGTTTTGGATCTGAATGTTTTAAATCTCAGGGCTTTTTTGAGAGTGGAGCAACAAGTTCAAACTGGTAACCACTGTGATGATGTTAAATCGTTCTTTTACTTGTTTCCTCATGATTACAAGTTTTTATTAAAGCTTAATCAAGCATAGTGATTTTGTTGTGTTTTAACTCGATCATAAGCAGCTTTTTGTTTTAAAAACATTCTTGCAATATATTGCAATACATATCGCAATATATGCTTTCGCATCGCAATATATCGCAATATGAATATTCTCTGCAATACCCACCCCTAAAAGGTAACACTCTGAAATCAGTTGTACACACCTTCGGAAGCACAGTAGTGTCCTGCATCACACAATGTACAGTTTGCTTCTGCCTCCAGACCATCGTTCTTCCCGTATGTCCCAATCGGACACGGAGTCCCCTGCTTGGTGGGGATGCTTGCTGTACTGGCAATACAGTATAAACCTAGGGAGGGAGATCAAGAGCAAGGTCAGTACATGAATATCTACTGGGTATGCCCCTGTTTGCTGAGGATGATCCTGACTGTGCTTGTAATACATCCAAATACAGACAATGCAGATCTGACAAATGACAACTGAATATCAATAACCCATATTACTTTAGACAGCACCAGCCAAACACATCTCTTTTTCATTGTCTCTACACATCCAAAGGAACTTTACCTCATTCTTTTTATTATGTTTATTCAGATAAATTCATACAACAGTTCTGTTCAGATTAACAAGTATTCACTTTTTCCAAAATGTCCTCAGTTACAATATTTTAAAATCAAAATTCAATTTATCTCTGGCTTGGATTGCATTACCTTTATGTAGAATACCAACATTCAGATTTCCTTCTTACGAAATAAATTGTAATAAAAGTATGAAATGACCAATAACTGAAGGGCATCATGTGTGTATAACAGTCTAGAATATATCAAAGAAAGTTGGTTCTACATAAATATGAAAACAGAAAATAATCAGAGATGACATTCTGGCAGCTCCACAAACCTACCTTGCTGACAGACTCTTGGCGCTTCCCCTGGCAGACAGATGAACCCTGCCAGACACAGCTCACATGCAGAGAGCCCAGTGTTGTTAGCGAAGTAGCCAATGGGGCACTGCTTGGGCTGGTCTGAATCCTCCAGGCAGATGTGATGCATAGGGCAGATGGCACCGGTGTCGTTGGAGACACTGGAGTCGATGGGGTCAGGAATCCATGCACCACCGGTACAGTAGTATCCAGCAATACATGGCCCTGTAGATAATGTACGAATGGGGTATTAGTGCCATATTATTGTAGCAAGAGTATCTGGACCTGGACATCCAAACAATGGAAAGGTGGGGTATAAATGCCATACTGGTATACCTACAGTACCAGCACTACATGGTCCTGTAGATAATGGAAGAATGGGGTATAAGTACCATATTGGTATAGCTACAGTATCTGAACCTGGACATCCAAACAATGGAAAGGTGGAGAATAAATGCCATACTGGTATACCTATAGTAATAGCAGTAGGTCCTGCCAACAATTGCGAAAATGGGGTGAAAATGATGTATTGGTTCTATTTGTTCATTTGTTTATTGCTTAAACCACCATACTAGTATACCATCAGTACACGTTCTGCAAACAATGGAATAATTCGGTATAAATGCTATATTGGTTAACCCTCAGTACCTATAGATGGTCCTTCACACAGTGTAAACATAAGCATATTGGCAGTGCTTCCTAGTCCCAGTACTTCACAGAATCACAACTGGTCCAACTGTCTGTCAATGCGAGATTTACCAACCTGTTGGTTCAATGAGGGCTGATCCGTTGCAGTACTTCCCCCGGGTCACATGGTTTACAGGCTTGTTCCTCTGACCTGCCCTGGCGGTCAGGGTTGTAGGTGCCCCGGGGGCAGGGGATCATGAAGGCCACACCCTCTGTACAGTAGTACCCAGCTTCACAGGTGTCACCCCACAGGATGAGAGTCTTGTTGCCTGATGTGTCGTTATTATACACAGGGTCATCATCCAGGGCACCTTCAAAACAGATATGACCTGCGAGGCACTTCCCCTTTGGTGCTGTGGCGCCTCTGTCCTGGCAGTAGTAGCCGCGGGGGCAGATGATGCAGTCGTCGATACTGTCCTGGTGGGTTCTGGAACAATAGTGTTTGTCTTACCTCCTGGATGAAACATAAGCTAGAATACTGTATGTTAGAAGATGGTAGAGGAAGATACTCAAAGCCGGTGAGAAATTTTCACATAAACAGACCTGTCTTTGCGTAAGGGCTTTTATTATCTGCTCTTTGGAAAGTAACAATGAAAAGGGGAAGTGTTGTAGTAATTTTGCAATTATGTCTTGCAAAAAATATGCAAGACAAATCTGTAAACATATTATCTCAAAGTAAGGCTGAAAATTAATAGTGAATCTTACGCATTGGAGAAATAGCCAGGGGGACAGTCGAGGGGCACGATGCTGCCATTTCCACAGTACTTGCCAGCAGGGCAGGGGTACTGTTCCGTCATCTTCTTTTCAGGGCAATAGAATCCAGGGTCACACACCATGCATGATGCCGATGCATTCTTGTCCTGGTATGTCCCCAAGGGGCACTCGGTCTGTGCCACAGAGCCGTTCAGGGAGTAGTACCCTACAACATGTCAACATGGCATTTGCACATCTGGGTGGTATATACAGGTACATCACAGTGGTGCATACAGCTAGATATAGGTGGTATATACAGATATATCACACTGGTGCATACAGCTAGATATAGGGGTATATACAGATATATCACAGTGGTGCATACAGCTAGATATAGGGGTATATACAGATATATCACACTGGTGCATACAGTATATAGATATATAGGTATATACAGATATATCACAGTGGTGCATACAGCTAGATATAGGGGGTATATACAGGTATATCACAGTGGTGCATACAGCTAGATATAGGGGGTATATACAGGTATATCACACTGGTGCATACAGCTAGATATAGGGGGTATATACAGGTATATCACACTGGTGCATACAGCTAGATATAGGGGTATATACAGGTATATCACACTGGTGCATACAGCTAGATATAGGGGGTGTATATACAGATATATCACACTGGTGCATACAGCTAGATATAGGGGGTATATACAGATATATCACATTGGTGCATACAGCTAGATATAGGGGTATATACAGGTATATCACACTAGTGCATACAGCTAGATATAGGGGGTATATACAGGCATATCACAGTGGTGCATACAGCTAGATATAGGGGGTATATACATACATATCAAGGAGGTGTCTACAGCTGGGTGTGGGTGGTATAAACAGATATATCAGGGTGGTATATACAGATAGATATATCAAGGTGGTGCATGCAGCTAGATATGGGTGGTATGTACACACGTATCCGGGGTGGTGTATACAGCTAGATATGGGTGGTATATACGGATATCTCAGTTTGAAGAAACTGAAACCTATTCCTTCCAAAAATGCCTGCAGAAACAATCACAGCCTTACATCAAACTGACACTAAAGTAAGATGTACCATGCTTTAACACATAATCTCACCTGGCTGGGACACATGTTGGCGGGAATTGGTAGCTTGACCAGTGCAGAAGAATCCTCCCTCACAGGGCCCAGTGGGGGCGCCACCAGCAGCAGTAGAGCAGTAGTAACCCGGGTCACAGTCGTGGCAGTCATAGTTGTTGACAGCACCGGTCACGTTACTGTACGTGCCAGCAGGACATGGCTTTTCTACCCAAGATCCTAAAGAGTACAAGCACACTGGTTTTATATGACATGAAATATTAATACTGTATAAGTACTGCACTTTAAGTGACATAACTATGTGTACTTTCCAGCCATGACTTTCCAGCCTCTACCCAAGATCCGATCGAGTACAAGTTCACTGGTTTTATTTGACATGAAATATTAATACTGTAGAACTAGTCAAACACCCTACTGCACTTCAAGGGAGATAACTCTGTGTAGTTTCCAGCCATGACTCTTGCTTTCAAACATTGCATACAAAGATGGAGTGAGTATGGATTTACGATACTCTTAGCAATATTCCAGAAATATCAGCAAGAAATTGACTTCACACATTTATTCTATTTACATAAATAAAACCAGAGACTCGGGCATGATGAGCCAATGCTTTAAGCACTTGTCTATTATGTACTGCCTTGACAAAGATGTTAGCATGTATTAAGAAAGCAAGAAAGCGTGCAAGAAAGCGTGAGAAACCTCTCAAAATATACATTGACATGTACCCACTGGAAATCACAAGATCAACAAAACATGTTAGCATGGTTCCTTAAAGTTATAATGTTTTAAACACAATTAAAACCTTGTTAATCTGGCACCTATTTTGTCTAATTAACAATGCTGTCATGAAAATTACTGTTGAAAATGTTTTTATACAATTAGGCATTCTAAAGCTATAAAGACCATCTATTATTCTTTAAAGAATGGACCAAGCTTAGAAAGCTAAACAAAGGTTGATTAAATTCAAAAGCATATATAAGCAACATTCATTCATGAACACATTCAAATCATGTTTACTCATTAATAAAAACATTCCATCATTCAAAGAGCTTCCTCCTTTTGATACATAGAGAATCTCACCCAAGTGTCTTCTGATATCAATTATATCAACACGAGTTGTTAAAGTTACAAATATCCGAGGCTTGCAGAGGATATCTTATCTTTTATCAATGAGTGTTGATATATTTGATATCAGAAGACACGAGGGTGAGATTCTATTTATCATCCAAAATCACTCTTCATTAATTTTCAATGAAAAATGTACATCTCTGAACACGGTACTGCCATTAGACTTGCAGTGCAGCGATGTCATAGCATTGTGAGGTCATCAAGTACATGACGTCATAGCATTGTCAAGGCATTGTACAAAATCTGTCAAATCGATATCTCCTAGGAGATATCGTTTGATCTCACACAAGCGATATCTCCTGTGGAACACAGTTTTGGATGATAAATAAAACAGGATCCAAAAGAGCAGAGATGGTCAAGTCATAATTGGATTTCAAAGACTTGTTTCTGTACCAATGTCATAGGCAACCATGTTTTAACTGTTGCTATGGCTTCAAATTAGTGACTGACATGATAATGGTAACATTCAAAATGGTAAATACAAACTTCATATTTATCACTTCACTTATTTAATCACTTCACTTTGGAATGAAACATGTTCTTTAGATTCAATGATGGACACAACTTTGGAATGAAACATGTTCTTTAGATTTATGCTACATGTTATTAGCAGTATTCTTTTTGAAATAAGGAAATGTCTTTAATTCTATTTCCATGCCTGCCACGGATTTGTATTCTTGCACATGTACACACACGCACACCTACACACACATGGGCACGAAGGTAACATGTCAACAAAATGACTCACATGATCTAATTGACTGCTTATCAAGGTTTCAAACCATTTCAAGGTATATCATAATACCTAACACATCACTCAGATTTAAAAAAATATATACAACATTGTGTTGGTATTTTTCATTTTAAGAATGTTTCACTGTACAAAAAACACCTTATATAGGCCAGACCAATTTCATTTCTTGTTTTACGGAATTTTGTCCTCAGAAAACCTCAAGGCAGGAGGGAAAAAAATCAAAATCAAAATCACCAGTCAAAGTAATATTCCTTTCAAATACTAAAAGTATGTTACTTTTGGCAATATATAAAGTATATATGGGACAAAAAGCAATCTAAAAGCATTTTTTTACACATTTACCTTTTTGGCCAATAAATTTTTTAATTTTTGAGCGGGGAAAATTCATTTTTTCTTCTTATTATTCTTGAAAAAATACGACCGTCGGATCCATAAAACAAGAAATAAAATTGGTCTGGCCTAATCAATCTTTGAATCAGTGATGTCAAATTATGAAAATACATGCAGTGGTACACTGTTCTTTATATAGAAGACTGTACAACACCCCATTAATCCTGAATCACCATGGGTATAACATGAAAGTCTTACAAGTAGATATGTGGTGATATGAACCTGGATCTGACCTGGATCTCCAGGGTTTGTTTGTTTATTTGTTTAATGCTGCACTCAGCAATATCCCAGCTATATGGCAGCAGTTTGTAAATAATCAAGTCTGGACCAGACAATCCAGTGATTGACATCAAATGAGGTACGATGGCATGCGCCAACCAAGTCCCGCGAGCCTGACCAACTGATTCTGTTAGTCACCTCTTACAACAAGCATGGGTTGCTGAAGACCAATTCTAATCCAGACTATAACGGATGTGGATCTCCAGAGAGTTTCACTTTTTAACCAAAAGGTTACCACCATCACCAATCCATGTTATTTATGTGCTCACCAAGTACACAGAATCCTCCCGCCGGGCACACTTCTCCAGTTACTCCGTCGGTGGGTTCGGCCGTTGTTGCCCCTCCCACACATATGTATCCCGGGTTACAGGGAGCTCGGGGCTGTAGTAGACCCGGGGCATCACAGTACCAACCCTGGTCACACTGTGTGCAATTATCCATATGGCCAAGACCTGGTAATGGAATCTAACATATATTCTCAGACACCTGCCAATGGATTCTGCATTAAAAACTTCCAGATATTATATAACTTATCATCAGTTCCTTGTGAATAAATGTTCTGTGGAAAGTAGTACATCATTAGTTCATTCAGAACAGTTAATCTCCAGTTCTTCACAGTTGTTTGTTAATCCTAATAATGGTAATGTTTTAATGATTCCGAGGATCAATGGTAATAAATAGAAAGTTCCATGATATTTTAAGAATATTATTTTCTCTTAAAATGCATGTCATTACCATCTATGACTGGTTGGATTAAGTATTTGAAGTGTTCGAAGTCAAAGGAGGAAAAATATTGATTCCCAAAAAGGCTTCTAAAGAAGGTGTGTTCCATCTCCAGTCCAGATGTTGTAATTGGTGCTAAATGTAAAGAGAGAAACTGTTTCTGTGTAATTCAGGTTCCTATTCCTGAAAGTGATCTCAGAGCTATGATTCTATGTAAGTCTATGTTAAAGTATGGGACTGACGATCACCTTAGCATAGAGGTCACTTTGTGAAATGGGGCACAGGTACTTCTGGATGACAAACAACACAACCAACCAAGGTTGTCAACATGAAACAGATATATTCAAGCTTAAACCTGTGGTGACTGCTAATCAACCCCAATGCACTCTCTCCTTGATGCCTATGACACTTCAACAGAACACACCTGTCCGGTTTCCGTAAGTTCCCATGGGGCAGGGCTCTGGTTTGACCGCCCCTGCCTCACAGTAGTATCCCCGGGGACACACCTCTGGGGTGCTGGTGGCCTGCTGGCAGAAGTGGCCCACGGTGCAGACCTTGCAGCTGGCCAGGTCAGGGGTGGCTGTCACATCTGTGAATGTTCCTTCTGGACATGGTTCCTGGAAAAGGAGGAGAATGAGTGAGTGAGTGAGTGAGTGAGTGAGTTGGGTTTTACAATGCTTTTAGCAATATCCCGGCAGAGAAATGGGCTTCACACATTGTACCTATGTGAGGAATAGAACCTGGGCCTTTGGTGTGATGAGCGAACGCTTTAGTCACTAGTCTTTCCCATCATTGTCCAGAAGTGAGAAGTGAGTGAGTGAGTGTGACGGTATCTGACTTGACCTTTCCTATGAGTGTGTTGTTTTGCAATATTCCAGAAATATCATGGCATGGATCACTCAACCCACATGGTACCTATGTGGTGAATAAAACTCAGTGTCATTAGGGAATGTTTTAACCCCACTAGGTCACCTCCATGTCCCTCTTAGAGAAACAAACTAAATTCATTGCAATGTGTGCAAGACTGCTTGTACTGATCTGGTTGTGGTGCTTTTCAGCGCTCCCACTGAGACTGAAACAGGAGCACTTTATAACAGTATACCCATTTTGACTGTCCTGGAAGAATAAGAAGACACTCACCTGCTTGTCACCCTGACTCCCAATGAGTGTTGGCGAAGCACCATATGGGTTAGGCAAGTTGGTTGGACAGTAGTATCCCTTAATACATTCTCCTGTTTCTACAGATGATCCTTCTTGACAGTAGTAGCCAGCTGTACATGGGGCACAGTCTGTGATGGCACCAGCTCCTACAGTTTCACGGATCGTACCAACAGGGCACTTCAGTTCTTCAACAGTTCCTGAAAATACAGATTACATAAATGCTGAGTGAGTGAGTAAGGTTTTACGCTGCTTTAAGCAATATTCCAGCAATATCTCCACAGAGGACACCAGAAATGAGCTTCACACATTGCACCCATGTGGGAAAGTGAACCTGCATCTTCAGCATGACAAGCTAACACTTTAACCACCATGCTACCCCACCACCCCTTGATATAGGCTATAAATGCTGAGTCAGGATCTAACTTGCATCATGCCTGCATAATTTGTGAGGATTTCAAGTTTGAAGTTGAATATACAAAGGAAAAATGATGCCAATCTTCCCTTTGGCACTTTAAGGATTTCAGGATGGCACATTAGGAATGCTTGTCATAGTTACGCTTCTTCCTTCTATTGAAATATTACAATGCTACTTCCATTGAAATATGAAAAAAGTAAAAAGACACAAAAGGACACAGTGAGTGAGTATGGTTTTACGCCACTTTTAGCAACATTCCAACAATATCACGGCAGGGGACACCAGAAATGGGCTTCACACATTGTACCCATGTGGGGAATCGAACCCGAGTCTTCGGCGTGACGAGCGAATGCTTTAACCACTTGGCTACCCCACCGCCGAAAGGCCACAGTGAGAATGCTACTTAGGGACCGTTAATAATTTATGGCTAGGAGGTGTGTGGGTGGGTTGGGGGTGTGTGGGTGGTGATGATGATATTAAGGAGGGGATCACCATTCTGGCGAGGTAGAAGGGGTCATCAATTTTGTACACATGTTCTAGGGGGGTCAGCAATTTTGTACATAAAATATTTTAAAATCATGCTTAAAAAATGGGAGGGGGGTGTCATTGATGTTGTACATGACATGCAGGAGGGGTGTCACTAACTTTGTACATAAAGTTTACGGGAGTCATTCACATTATATATGCTTCTCCATAAAAATCATCATTGTCCCCCCTTGCCATAAATTATGAATGGTCCCTTACCTTGTGGGCAGTATCTCCCGACTGAGCAGTCCGTGGCATCTGGTTCTCCAGACAGGCCTGTTAGGCAGTAGCGGCCAGCAGGGCATTTCTTGGTGTTCAGCATGGCATCCTTTGAGGTCGTGTCATCATCACAGTAGTGGCTGGCAACATAAGGAGAATTTCCATTCCAGTAAAACAATAACTAGCCTTTCAAAACAGTTTCCTAATACTGACTGACTGACTGACTGAGTTTGGTTTTACGCCACTTTTAGCAATATTCCAGCAACATCACGGCAGGGGACACCAGAAATGGGCTTCACACATTGTGCCCATGTGGGGATTCGAACCTGGGTCTTCGGCGTGACGAGCCAACGCTTTAACCATTAGGCTACCCCACTGCCCCAGTTACCTAATACTGTTTTATAATGTTATTAGAATATCTAGGTGTATGACATGGGCCTGTCTATAATTGAGTCTGGGTCTGGTACCCCATTCCTATCCAGTTCAAGGAAACAATGAATCAGTCAGGTAAAACAGTCATGTCTTGTTGATTTAACCTGATATTAGACCATTCTAGGTGTATGACAGGGGCCTGTATGTAAATGAGTCTGGGTATGGTGGCTAATAGCACCAGCTGCAATCTAACGTCAGTTCATACAATCACATAGATGAGATTCTGTGAGTGGCGTTATCAAGCTTACCTGTAAGGTAAAACAACAAAACATGAGTATTGAGCTGACAAAAAAAGGATCATTGCTCGGATGAATCATGGATTCAAACCATGATTAGCAAATCCTTACATGACAAAGGGACTTAACTCTGCACAGCAAAATTATCCCACCATACAACATGTTATGCAGCCATTACTTTGAAACACAAGTTAGAAACATAAACATAAAAACAAATTTCAAAACTGACCCAATCTCACAGATTTCACAATCGGACTGCCCAGGTTTTGAGAACTTTCCCTTTCCACAAGGAGATGGTGTGACAGTTTCCTCTCCGCAGTAGGATCCCCCAGGGCATTCCACACAGTCATTTTCCCTTTTGGCTGGGTCACCTGAATCAGTTTAAAAACCATGCTAACAGTAGGTCAGTCACACGCATGCATGTCAGTACAATGTAGAATGAAAGCCATGAGTGCTTGTTTGGTGATCTACATGTTTGGTAACTAAAGGTTCTCTCCCTTTGCCTTCAACATATAACTTTCAGTTTCTCTTGACCTTTAAAAACCTTCAATATCATATATATATATATATATATATATATATGTGAGTGAGTGAGTGAGTGAGTATTTTCTCAAGCTAAGAAAATCTTTGAGTCAACTTCATGTCGAGGAATTGAGTGAGTGAGTGAGTGAGTATTTTCTCAAGGTAAGAAAATCTTCGAGTCAACTTCATGTCGAGGAATTGAGCGAATGAATGAGCAATAGTCAAGCAATATCACGATGTGGAACTGAGCGAGTCATGTTCAGTCAAAGTGTGTCAGCTTAAACTCTGAGGAAAGACTTCCTTCTCTCAGACCTCCACGACAAAGCCATTAGTTTACTCACTGATATACGTAATTAACAAGCAGCCAAATGCACAATGATTGGTTCTCTGGTGTGCCCAACCAATGCAGCTCTGCACAGCAAATTGTCATGCCTTTCATGATCAGCCCATCTGTGGCACTGCTAATCCAGTGAATGAGTAAGTGAGTTTAGTTTTATGGTGCTTGTGGCAATATTTCAGCAATATCACGACGGGGACACCAGAAATGGGCTTCAAACATTGTACTCATGTTAGGAATCGAACCCAGGTCTTCGGCATGACGAGTAAATGCTTTAACCACAAGGCAACACCACCACCCCACTAATTCAATGAGAAAGAAACAATGTTTGCCAAATTATGTAAATCATTACCTCCTGTGACCAAATCATCTGTTGCTATGTTATTATCTGCTGCTGAAACCTTGGTCACTCCCCATTCCATGTAGGTTCCTTTCGGACATTTCTCTGGCACTGTCACCGCAAACTCACAGTAATGACCTGAAACAGGAACAACAGATGTAAGCTGGACACACTTCAAAAACATTTTCATGAGAACAAATCAAATGGAAAATTTTCACCAACCTGTAGAGGTTGCTGATTTTTTAAAGAGAGTTTTCCCTGGGTACTTATAAGTATTTGTATGTCCATTACAAATCCCTATGACAGTTGTAACTATGTTTTGAATAAACAAAACAAAAAATTGTTTTGTCTTGTTTGACCACCCCAACAGTGCCCCATAGTCAAGAGAAAGTAACTCTAACCTGCATAAAATCACTTTTCATGCTGTCGTTCACCAAGTGAAGGCGTGTGTGTGTTGTTCTCAGAGATTTTTCAATATATAGTTATATAGTTAAAACTGTTGTAGGAAGTTTTAATGGACATGAATATGCTCATAAGTACCCCAAGGAAGACCTCTTCTGAAAAAGAATCCTATTTTCTAAAAGGCTGTCTTTTGATGTCAACCAGGAATGATAATATTGTGAATTGTATATACTGGGTATATAGTTTCAATCTTTTTGGTTATTTCTTATAACATGAACATCTAAACTGAAATACAGAATTCAACATTTTTTTCTTAATAAAATAAACAACAGTATACTACTCACTGTAAACATAACCTTCCAGAAAATATTCTGAGAGCTACAGTTGAACCCATTTGACAGTCGAATAGCATAACGCCACCCCCAAATTAAACTTACAACTATTTACCAAATAGACTTTATGTATCATTTGAAGGTTATGCAGTGAACCCAGTACATGTAGAGGTGGTATATATAGATATGGTATATAGTTTTCCAGTACCAGTAAGAAAGGGGTCAAAATGGAGGATATGAGAAAATGAGAAAACTACTTGCTGCACAACCTAAATTATAAATTCTGATTAAGGGCAGACCAATTGTATTTCTTGTTTTACAGATTTTTGTCCTCAGAAAACCTAAAGGCAGGAGGGAAAAAAAATAAATACAAAAAAATCACCAGTCAAAGTAATATACCTTTTAAATACTAAAAGTATTTTATCTTTGGCAATTTATGAAGTTTATATGGGGCAAAAAACAATCAAAATATTCTTTTTCTATGTTTACTTTTTTGCCAATAAAATCATGAGTATATATTTTTTGGAGCAGGGAAAATTATTATTTTATTTTGGTTCTTCTTCTTGAAAAAATACAACCGGTGGATCTGTAAAACAAGAAATAAATTGGTCCGGCCTAAGCATGGTGTGCATAAATGCTCAGCTTTCTAAATATCCAAACATTAAGTATATGTACCTATAAAAGAAAATTCTGCAAGTTAAAAAATGTGTCAGTCACATTCTAAGCACACAACCACTCACAATAGCAAAGATTGGTCAACCATATAGAAATAGTGAGTGAGTTTTATGCAGCACTCAACAATATTGCAGCTATATGGCTGCACTCTGTAAATAATCAAGTCTAGAACAGACAATCCAGTGATCAACAGCATGTGCATCAATCCACCCAATTGGGATACTATGATGTGTCAACCAAGTCAGCAGGCCTGACTACCCAATTCCATCTTGAAGTAATCACCCTAACCTTGAGTGCACTGTCTGCAATCAGCCTTCGCATCCATTCCCTCCTTTTCATTGTACGTTCCATTTTCACAGCCAAAGTCAAAGGGGTAGGCGGTGCCCTCGGGACAATAGTAGCCGGGAGGACAGATGCCGGTAGTAGTCGACTCCCCTCCAGAACAGTAGAAGGACGCGGTGCACTTTGTACACTCAGAGGCGGCTGTCAGGTCTGCCCTGTCACTGAATGTTCCCTCAGGACATGGGTAGCGGTCTGGCGCTGGGGTCTGGCTCGGACAGAAGTAACCTGGCTTACATGGCTTGGGTGGGTTTGTGCCAGAACTCACACCTGAAATGGGATATTGATATTTAAAGTTACAATCGGATTAAAAAGCACATTAAATCAAATGTGTATGGGACTAAGGAATAAAATCAAACCCCAAAAGTTTGGTAATGCAACCATTTTAAGACATAGGTGACTAATATTAATACTTGCACTGGGATTAAGTTCTTGAAGAATCCTGTAGATCTTGAGGCAAATCTCTGTTGACCAACCACAGTTAAACCTAACTTAATAACACTGACAGTTTAATAACATTGTCAGCTCTAACTCCATGGCATGGTAAGATGTTAACAAGTTGGTTATGTTTTATTAGCTTCAGAAGTTCACAGACTCTAACTATATGCTGAGGCAAGTTAATGAGTAAGTATGGTTTTATGTTGCTCACAGCAATATACCATATCGGGCAGAGGACTTCACACTCTGTACCAAAAGCCTAGGCAAGTTAATGAGTGAGTATGGTATTATGTTGCTTTCAGAAACATCCTAACAATATCATCGCAGACACAAGAAATGGACTTTACACATTTTTCGCCTTGGCGAAGGCAAGAAAATGGATGTGGATAAGCTGTGTTATAAGTCCCTCTGTTTACTTATACATAGCTGATTGCTATATGAAGCCAGGGTACTGTAGTTTACAACAACAGCATAAAGGTGAGTGTCCTTAAATGAGGCTGAATGAGAAGTTGGTAAAGAAAACACAATTGTGATTAGAAAATGTGTAATGAAAAGCCTTCAGCCCCTAGCAGGGCTAAAACTAAGTCAAGAAGCAGAAAGTTTCAGTGTTACTCGCCAAAGAAACCTAATGGCAAACAAGATAAGTTGGACTTGCGCAGAGAATACGTTTGCGAGAAGTAGGCGGTGCACGGCAATGAGCAAACCCATTGGTTTGTGAAAGGTAGAGATGTAGACTAGTGCATGTGCATTGCATGACAATGAAATTGATTCCGCACATAGCTGTACATGCCTTGCTCATAAGACTCTCACGTCGGTGTAGCAAGTTGCACTACACTTGATCGCGGACAACCTGGGGGCCCTTCGCTAACAATGGCAAGCGCCAGTGGGTGGCTCTCATACATGCTAATATGGGTAATTGTCAGGTTGGTGCTCAACTTATCCTTGTTTGCCAGTAATGGTAGTGACCAGTATGAGAATGCAAGTTAGGAAAATGACAGAAAAGGTGATAGTATGTACTCCTGAATTTGTGAGTTTGCGAGAAAATTTAATCGGAAATGGACATATAAAATCCAGAAATCAACAAAATAAAACTTGTGAGAATGGTTGCAAGAGTTGTATGAGAGGTGGGATTGATAATATGATGTGCCGTTGAAAACATGCATAAAGATGGGTACAGATGAAAATGGTAATCTCACATTTGAGGACCCCAGTAATTAAGGTTATCTCCAAATATCAGAGCTTTGGCCTTTTATTTAACTTATACATGAAGGTGACAACCTCAGCAAACAATCCAAACACTCACCATTTCCCCAGTCACAGTATTGCCCTGCAGGACAGGCATCACATTCGTCTGCTGAGGTGAGGTCAGTGCGTCCAGTGTAGGTTCCTGGCAGACATGCATACTGGTTGGGCGATACGGTGCCAGCAGGGCAGTAGTGACCTGTCATATAACACAATATTGTATAACATTAGCTGTACAACTTGACAAACATGAGTACTGTTTGGGTGATACAGTGCCAGAAGGGCAGTAGTGACCTGTCATATAACACAACATTGTGCAACATTAGCTATACAACTTGACAAACATGAGTACTGGTTGGGCGATACAGTGCCATAAGGGAAGAAGTGACCTGTGGTATAACACAACATTGTATAACATTAGCTATACAACTTGACAAACATGAGTACTGTTTGGGTGATACAATGCCAGAAGGGCAGAAGTGACCTGTGGTATAACACAACATTGTATAACATTAGCTATACAACTTGACAAACATGAGTACTGTTTGGGTGATACAATGCCAGAAGGGCAGAAGTGACCTGTGGTATAACACAACATTGTATAACATTAGCTATACAACTTGACAAACATGAGTACTGTTTGGGTGATACAATGCCAGCAGTGCAGAAGTGACCTGTGATATAACACAACATTGTATAACATTAGCTATACAACTTGACAAACATGCGTACTGGTTGGGTGATACAATGCCAGCAGTGCAGTAGGGACAAGTGATATAACACAACATTGTATAACACCAGCTGTACAATCTGAGGGACATGGGTACTGGTTGGTGCCAATGGAGCAGTACTGATACGGCACAGAATATACCAGTGTACCATTAGAAGACTTTAACAGATCTCAGAACAATCGTGTATTTAATCTCTCTTTGCCAACATGAATTCTTTCTTTATTTTACAGACTACCTTACACATACGTTTACAAAAGTTACCCCATGACTGAAACATTGTGTGTTGATATCATGTTTATATACTAGTATTACTGTTAATACTCATATTTTCAAGCTTTTTGTAAGTTACAAATTTAAATCATTTAGCAGCAGTTTGCTTCCCGTAAACCATCATCATAACATAGTGACTGCATGTAGAAATGTTACATTCTTCAGTGTCAGGATTCTTACCTTCACTACAAGGCAGAGTCGATGCTGTTTGGTTGATGAGTGGACAAGCGAACCCGGCTGTACACTGGAGGCAGTTGATGGGATGTCCTGTCCGTGGATCTGGGTTGTAGGTCCCGGGCTCACAGGGGATAGGGTTCACCATGGGCTCAGACTCAGATCCAAATGGACAATAGAATCCAGCTGGGCAAGACTCACACTCAGTAGCATCTGAGAAACATTGTAATCAGCCTTATATAAACTCGGGCATTTTGAGTATTCTGTGAAACTTGGTCCAAAGGACAGTAGTGTTCTAAATGTATCACACTGGTTATAACATGTCATTAGTAATGTCTCTTTAGTACATGTTAGCATTCCAGGAAGTAATCATACTGCAGGTGTCATAAGCATCATTTTAAAATGATGTTACATGATTCTTTTTTAATCAAAAGATATGCAACTGAAAAAGCCATGTTAAACTACAACTTACAGTTAAAACCACTTAAATGTGGATCAAAGCTAAGCTTAAGACATAGATGATGGCTTACTCAATACACTGTCGGAAGGACCATATGTTCCGATGGGGCAAGTTAAGAGAACATGACAGATGATTGCTTACTCGAAAGGCTGTCAGATGGACCATATGTTCCGATGGGGCAAGTTAACAGAATATGGATGATGGCTTACTCGAAAGGCTGTCGGATTGACCATACGTTCCGATGGGGCAAGTTAATAGAATATGGATGATGGCTTACTCAAAAGACTGTCGGATGGACCATACGTTCCAATGGGGCAAGTTAACAGAATATGGATGATGGCTTACTCAAAAGACTGTCGGATGGACCATATGTTCCGATGGGGCAAGTTAATAGAATATGGATGATGGCTTACTCAAAAGACTGTCGGATGGACCATACTTTCCAATGGGGCAAGTTAACAGAATATGGATGATGGCTTACTCAAAAGACTGTTGGATGGACCATACGTTCTAATCAGTCAAGTTAACAGAAAATTACATAGATGATGGCTTACTCAAAAGACTGTCGGTTGGACCATATGTTCCGATGGGGCAAGCGTTCTGGAAGCCAGAGGCTTGACCACCGACACAGAAGAAACCAGCAGGACAGTTCTGCCCTTGGTTAACTGTCCCAGCAGGGCAGTACTTGCGGGGAGGGCAGGGGACACAGGCAGTCGTGTCAGTGGCGTTTGTCTGGTTGTTGAAGGTGCCACCTGAAACAGAACATTTGTTTAAAGGGAGTGGTTGAGGACACAAGGACTGTCATATTGTGTATTTTCATGAGTATTGTTTTCATCTGAATTTCAATACAAATGAGTGTATCTGTATTTGAAATATGACATATAATTCAAAATATATCAACAGCTTTCTGCAACATATATGGAACCCTGTGGTATTTTCCACACGGCCAGACAGCGAGGTCTTCAGAAGACACACAGAATTCAAGAAATCAGCTGGATGAAGCTGTATAGTTACCTGGACATGGGTACTGAGTCCTCATGATGGTGCCTTGCAGGCAGTAATGGCCTTCAGGACATGGGTACAGTGAGTAGTCCACTACACCTGGCCCCTCACAGTAGTAACCTGTAGGGAGAAGAGTCACGAGGAGTCTTAACAACAGATCAAAACTCAATACTAGCTTCTACAGTGAAGCACGCAACTTCAGGTGAAGCTGTAAGAATATACTCTGAAATGTTGTGTCCATCACAATAAAGAAGTTGACATCAATGAAATTCTTGCCTTTATGTATATCACTTCTAAATGCCGTTCATAGATTCTTGTTTATTGCATAGAGTCATGTTTCATTGTTGATTCATGCACTGTTATTAAGCGAATTGTTGCTCTATCCAATAAACAAGAAATTGTCTTCCAAAAAAGCATCCAAACATGCTTAATTATTTACTCACTGACTTCTAAAATGCAGATAAAATATAATTAACTACTACACTGACTAGATTCAGTCTTGAAAACAGGCCAAGATGTTGGAATCAATAACTTAAAATATATTAAAGACATTGTTTCAGGCATCTATCTATTGCAAAGATTGACTGAAATTTAAAAAAAGGACATTTCAAAGGTTGTAATCAACAGAATGTGATCCCTGTCCTCACGAAATTTCATCATACTGTTTTCTCATAGCTCTAAAAAAATCACAAAATTCTTTCTCTTTGGATTTAATTGATAAGAATGTCATTTGAAACTTGAGTGAGTAAGGTTGTAAGCAGCTTTTAGCAATATTCCAAGAATACCACGGCAGGGGACACCAGCTTAGGCATGACCAGCAAATATATAGAGGATACCAAACGACCTTCGGTGTAATACAATTTTTATTAAACGTTACTGCAGTGTTAAATCTTTCACAAGTTAAATAAAAATTTGTATTTCACGGAAGCGAGTTTAGTATTCTGTTTATTACTCTCCAACATAAACTGATAGAAACTACCTACGAAGTGTGATGACTCTCAGCTTTCTATGAGTCAAGCAAGGTCTAATACCATTGTGACAGAGGTATTAGCATTTTGACGTCATAACTGTAACCATTATGACGTCATGTGTCTAGCAGTATTACACTAGTGTTATATTGCCGTAAAAAATAACACTTCCACGGGCGAGTAATAAAAGGCTAAAACACATGCCCATTACTAGAAAAGCAGAAATTTAATGTGTGTGTGCCACACAAAGGTATCACCTGATGGACAAGGAACGCATGCTTCTAGACTGATGGATCCGTTCATGGGGTTCCAGGTGCCGGCTTGACATGGGAAGAAATCCTTGCCGTCACAGTAGCCTCCCTTGGAGCAAGAGGCATCTCCGGGGCGGGGGTTGGTAGAGGCTACAGGGCAGGTGAAGCCAGCATCACAGTTTGTGCATGATATAGACCCTGGGTTGGAGTAGGTTCCCGGTGGACACTCGGTTCTTCGAGACACTAAATGAACACAAGAGAATGAGTGAGTGAGTGAGATGAGTTTTAACACAGCCCTGACAATGTTTCAATATATTATGGTGTGTCAGCATAATGTGTCAGTAATTGGAACAAGTAAAATTATTCAGTCGTTTGAGGACATCACTAACCACAGCATCCCTTAAAGGAACATGTTTCACTCTGTCATTCTGCTAGAGTGAGTCAGTGTGTCTGTTAGAGGGAGTCGGTGTGTCTGTTAGAGGGAGTCGGTGTCTTTGTCCGAGTGAGTCTGTGTGCTTGATTGAGTGGTTTGCTGTGTCTGTTCGAGTAAGTCGGTGTCTCTGTCCAAGTGAGTCGTTGTGCCTCTTAGAATGAGTGGGTGTGTCTATTAGAGGGAGTCGGTGTCTCTGTCTGAGTGAGTCGGTGTGCTTGTTCGACTGGTTTGGTGTGTCTGTTTGAGTAAGTTGGTGTGTATGTTCGAGTAAGTCGGGGTGTCTTTTAGAGTGAGTCTATGTGTCTGTTAGAGTGAGTCGGTGTGTCTGTTAGAGTGAGTGGGTGTGTCTGTGAGTGAGTCGGTGTGTCTGTCAGAGTGAGTCGGTGTGTCTGTTAGAGTGAGTCGGTGTGTCTGTCTGAGTGAGTTGGTGTGTCTGTCAGAGTGAGTCAGTGTGCCTGTTAGAGTGAGTCTATGTGTCTGTTAGAGTGAGTCTATGTGTCTGTCAGAGTGAGTCAGTTTGTCTGTCTGAGTGAGTCGGTGTGTCTATTAGAGTGAGTTGGTGTGTCTGTTTGAGTGAGTCGGTGTGCCTGTTCGAGTGAGTCGATGTGTCTGTCCGAGTGAGTAAGTGTGTCTGTCCGAGTGAGTAAGTGTGTCTGTCCGAGTGAGTCGGGGTGTCTGTCCGAGTAAGTTGGTGTGTCTGTCCGAGTGAGTCAGTGTGCCTGTCCGAGTGAGTCGGTGTGTGTCTGTCCGAGTGAGTCGATGTGTCTGTTTGAGTGAGTCGGTGTCTGTCTGAGTGAGTCGGTGTGTCTGTTTGAGTGAGTCGGTGTCTGTTAGAGTGAACCAGTGTATGACCAAGGGAGTAGGTGTGCCTGTCCAAAAGAGTCTGTGTGTCTGTCTGAATATGGTTTGAATGTGTCTGTATGCTTGCCTGAGGGAGTTGGTGTGTCTGATATATATTTAAACCTTTCTTTTTTTTCTTCATATGTATGGTAATGTTCTAAATTTGATGTCTTTTAGGCCTTATGAGGCCATGTTGTTACATACATATAGTTTACCATTGTATATATTCTGAAACAACATGACACAGTAATAAACTAAAAGAAAAATCCCAATACCAAGGCTCTGTTTGGCAAGAACATTCCATTGGAAAGTAAATGATAAATACCCCAGCTGAAGAAAGACATTAGACAACTTAGTTAACATGACAAGTGTAAGCACAGATTACATTGCAAGATCATCGGATGTTAGAATGACATTGATAATACTTGCCTACAACTATTTCCTTAACAGAAAGGACTTACATTCCCTTTCGGGGCAGTAGTATCCAGCCTCACAGGTGGTGCAGTTGGTGGCAGCACCTGCACTGTAGGTGCCGACGTCACACAGGATGGGTCCCTCGTCTCGGGTAGGGCAGCGGTAGCCCTCGTCACACACAGTGCAATCTTTGGAATTTCCCAGCGAGAAGTAGCCAGACTGACACTCCGTCCTGGTGACCGAGAGATGACAATGTGGACTTTTTTCTATTTGAACCACGTTATTTAGCTTTTAGACAAAACCATATTAATTTGCTAAAACACACAAATTGAAGAAAAACACTTTACTGATAATCTCAAAACCTTACTTTATATACTCATGCAGTTCCCATCTACCAAACTAATGCGTCATGGCAAGGAATAAAAGGTTTTTCTACCACAATAGACAATATAACAAAAGCAAAAATATATTCATTAAGAAGACCATATCTGTCAAATCTGAACGAGACCAATTATATTTCCTTTTCTATGGATTTTTGTCCTCAGAAAACCTAAAGGGAGGAGGAAAAAATACAAAAATACAAAATAAAAATCAACAGTCAAAGTAAGATTCCTTTTGCATACTAAAAGTATTTTATTTTTGGCAAGTTATGAAGTGTATATGGGGCAAAAAACAATAAAAAAAATATTTTTCTTGAAAGTTTACATTCTTTGCCAATAAAAACATGAGGATTTTATTTTTGGAGCAGGGAAAATTAATTAATATTTTTTTTCTTATTCTTGAAAAAATACGACCGCGGATCCATAAAACAAGAAATATAATTGGTCTGGCCTAAGTATGAAATAAAACTACTTAGTAAAATATCAAAGCATCATGTAAAAGGAAATACTGTTGTCATCTAAAAATCAGGATGCCTGAATCTCTTACTTCTCCTGAATTTGTTAACAAGCAATGAGTGCTTTTGGGTCATAATCCGACAGTTTATTCTGATACCTAGTGAGTGAGTGAGTGAGTTTAGTTTTACGCCGCTTTTGGAAATATTCCAGCAATATCATGCCAGGGGACACCAGAAATGGGCTTCACACATTTTTCCCATGTAGGGAATCGAACCCTGGTCTTCGGTGTGACGACCGAATGCCTTAACCACTCGGCTGTGCCACTGCCCCTGATACCTAGTGAAATATCAATGCAGAAAAACCTACGGGCATGAGCTCCCGCTTTGTTACCCTTGATAACAAGCATGGGGAACTGGGCACTCACTTCTAGTGCTGTCTTGGAGTCTTGTAATAGCTTCTGCTAATACCAGCTAAACTACATCATAGCAATACAACCAACTGAAGGGTATGACGACTACTTACTCTGTGCCAGTGGCAGGATCAGGGCACTCGTATCCCGCCCTACAGCTTGTGCAGGAGGTCTGATTCCCAACAGAGTACGTTCCATCTTGACACTTGGTCTCTACGTCATCTGTCGTCACCGGGCATGCACTGACAATTTGAATACATGTCATGAAAGTAAGTATGTCACATAACAGTAATAAATTGTACCCAAAACAAACTGAAAGCAAACAATTTGAAAACTAAGTACTAAAACTGGAAAGTTACTATTCCTGCATCAGAAGTACAAAATGGCTTATCTGTACATATCAGCTTTGACATCTGTTTTCAGAATAAAATATCCTACTGCATCAATTATCAACATTAACTTTCTTGAAACCGACAATGTCAATTTAAACAAAGCAATTGGTAGTCTGCGTACATACCAACCATAATCAGAGTGAATCTGATATTCATATTTCACAGGTTACTTATCTGTTAAAAAACCCCCTGAACTTTGATTGGCTGCTGACAGACCAAATATAATCCTAAATGATACAGTATTCTTGTTACAAATTACTGATATTTGATGCAGATGACAACCAAAATCTTATAACTAACCATAACAAGTGGTAGTAGTACTTACAATCCAGCCTTGCAGGCTGTGCATGACGTCTGCTCGCCCTTGGAGTAGGTTCCCTTGGGACACTCAGTGAGGTCGTCTGTGTCTGTCCTGGGACAGGCATACCCTGCAGGACACTTGGTACACTTTATGGAGCTCTCGATGGAGTATGACCCTGCCGCGCAATCCTCAATGTTGGACCCATCGGTCTTCGGACATTTTTTCCCTGCTGGGCAAACAGTGCATGATGTCTGGTTCCCCTGGGAGTAGGTACCGCTCGGGCAGTCGTGTTCAATGGCTTCCCTTGAAGCAGTTGCATAACAATGTCATGTTCAAGACATGAGTCCAAAGAAATTGTTTATTTTACACTATAACATCACTATGATTACAGCTATGTGTGACTGTTCACCCTAAAGAATCCGGTCAGAATTTGTCTTCAGTAATCTGCGATAATGGTATCAGCAGGTCAGATTCACTGACTGGGTTCATTCATATTATATCACAATATCAATGTTAATAACATCAATCACTGGATGGTCTGGACCAGGTTTAATTATTTTCAGACTGCTGTCATATAACAAGTATATTGCTGAATAAAGCATTAAACAAGAAACAAAAGTCAGATTAACTGTTAGTTTTACAGAAGTCAGTATGCCATGGTGTACAAAAAATCAAAATGGCCAGGGTTGTTTTCACAAATAACAGAAACACTTTTATAAATTCTCCTGAATATTGATCATGGGCAAATATATATTAAAACGTAATGAGACAAAATCGGGTCTTCAGCAAGACAGGCGAACGCTTTAACCAGTGGGCTACTCACGTTGTGGAGGGGCAGTACTTGGACACAGGACACTTAGTGCAGTTGACTGACCCCACGATGGAGTAGTAACCAGCTTCACAGTCGTAGTTGGCAGTCATATCTCCCAGATTTGGACATGCCTTTCCCTGTGGACACTGGATACACTCTGTTGACCCAGGGTCACTGACGTATCCTGGGTAAAGGAAGTACAAGCATGGTTATAACACCGTGAGAGAGATCTACGGTAATTTCATGCTACATGTTTCTGGTTTAATAGTATAAGACTTTATCATCCAAAACTGTGCTCCACAGGAGATATCGCTTGTGTGAGATCAGACGATATCTCCTAGGAGATATCGTTTTGACAGTAGATTTTGCACAATGCCCTGACAATGCTATGACGTCATGAACTTGATGACGTCACAATGCTATGACATCGCTGCACTGCAAATCTAATGGCAGTACTGTGTTCAGAGATGTACATTTTTCATTGAAAACTAATGAAGAGTGATTTTGGATGATAAATAGAATCTCACCCTCGTGTCTTCTGATATCAAATATATCAACACTCGTTGTTAAAAGTAAAAATATCCTCGGCAAGCCTCGGATATTTGTTACTTTATCAACTCGTGGTGATATATTTGATATCAAAAGACACTCGGGTGAGGATTCTCTATATAACACAGTTTAGTGCTGAGTATAAACAAAATCATGCTCTTGTTCATTTACACAATACATTCTTAAAATATTATGTATATTACCAAAAATGTAACGGCTAAAGTAATTTTACACCAATCAAAAAGAAAGTGAAAGCGTAAGAAAAAACACATTGCAATCAATGCATTGGTTCAGGGAGCATTTCAGCAGTATCAAGATGTGGCACAACGATGGACTTCACAATCCATTCCCTTATGGAGCATAAATCATGGCTTTTAAGGACACACAGTTCCCTTGCAACCCTCATGCTGTCTTCAACAATAAACAAACACGTATTTCAAGTCATTAAATATTCCGTTTCCTATTTCATGGAAATCATTCCATCAATTTTTATACTTTAGCGTCTTTTGACTTCTAAAATTCTTCAAAAGCTGAATGGAATTGAGATAAAATTTCACATAAAAATCAAATCTGCCATTCCTCTAACAAGTCTGATAAAATGGCCTTGCACAGATGAGTGAGTTTAGTTTTACGCCACTATTCACAATATTCCAGCAATATCACAACAGGGGACACCAGAGTTGGGCTTCACACATTGTACCCATGTGGGGAATCCAACCTTGGTCTTCGGCACAATGAGCGAACGCCTTAACTCGGCTACCCCACCAATTTCATATAATATTATCAACAATCACAAACTGATTACCGCCTACTTGACAATGGACTGCTAGTTTACAGTAACATCGGTGAAAGCGTGTGTGAAATGTCATGCTTATTTCACCTCATTCCATGTGCGTACAACTTCCGCTTACCATGTTCATGAGGGTCCATATAACCTTAGTGTTGATTATACATATTTTACATTTATAGAGCAAAAACTGTAATTGAAATTACCTAATGCTTGGATACATTTCTTTTGGTTAAATAACAGTTTTAGGCATGATATTTTACTGATCACTGCCTCAGAATTCATCCCGTTATATTATTGTGTATGTTTTAACTAAATCACTGGTAGATCGCCTGGTAACATGTGCACAGCTGATTGCTATATCCGTCTCTGTGTACAAGACAAATACACACGGTAATCTTAATCCCTGCATATAATACAATACCCAGCAAAAACAAATTAGAACTGAAAGGGTAAATATTCTTGTCTAGTGATGTTTAATTGCAAATTTGAAGTTTTCTCTTGTTCATCACACGAAACGATACAATGGCGTTTTCTTCCTGGTCACCAGAAATAAAGTTTGACGAAAGTGTTACCCATAGATAAGCTGACCCCCTTCTACAGGCTGCTCTTTTTGGTCTTCAAAATTCGGCTTATCTATGGTAATATATGGTACATACCTTCGTTACACTTGGTGGGCATGTCTGTTGTTGTGGGGCACATGTAGCCCCCTGGACACTGTTGACACACAGAGGACGATGCGTTCAGGTTGAAGCTGATCACTTGTCTAGGAGCCTGGTTGTACGAGCCCTGGGTGCAGGCATTTGGAGCGGTCATCTTGTCAAGGCACTCAAAGCCTGGGGGAGCAAAGAGGATGTGGTCATCATCTCAGGAAATGTTAAATAGCAATTGAAATACAACTTGTTTGTTTGCTGGTTAATGCTGCACGTAGCAATATTCCAGCTATATGTCAGCAGTCTGTGAATAAACAAGTCTGGACCAGACAATCCAGTGATCAACAGCATCAGTATCAATCTACGCAACTTTGATACAATTGTGTCAACCAAGTAAGCGAGCCTGACCACCTGATCCTGTTAGTTGCCTAATACGACAAGCATGGGTTACTGAAGATCAGTTCTAACACAGATCTTCACTGATCTACTAGTACTAGAAGAAGACAAACATATCTGAAATACATCCAGGGTATATATGATTTGTCATATGCTTACAATAGATGGGGGACCGAAATGAACTGTACCAAAATATATGCATCTCCTGATATGTTAGATATTTTGAATTCATATATTTCATTGGGCATAAACACTTTTAAAATGGTTTATACATCCTGAACACCTGAAAACAGCAATCTCTCATTTCAATCAAAACTATAACTCTGATAAAGTGGAGTGTCAGTATAAGTATGTTCTATTGAAAGATAAAACTGCATTTTCCCTGTCTGCAAAATACCTTAGATGTGTACCCAAAATGAAATATATTTAAATATGAAAGATCAGGTTTATGGATGTTCAAATATTAATTTAACCCCATTCTCATATATTTGAAACACTGAATTATATCAGTCGGGTACATACTAATTCAAACCCATTCTGAATTGTTTGAAACACATAACTATAGCCAGCGTTTTATGTACAAATCTTCACTGTATTGGCATGACATAAAATCCAAACTGCAAACTCCCATTAATGCTCATTTTACTCCAAGCCTGGGAAAGGGAGCATAAAAGGTACTGAATATCAGTACTGTCGCAGTAAAGCATTATGAAGCAATGAATGATCCCTTATTTCAAACCTGGTGGGCAGGGTGTACAGGAAGTAGCTCCTTCAAGAGAATATGTCCCATCAGCACAGTCAGTGGCGACACTTGTGGAGCACCACTTCCCTGCAGGACAGTAGGTACATGAGCTGGCTCCCACGTCCGCAAAGAAGCCCTGCGAACATGGGATCTCACCGAACGAGCCCTCAGGGCAATAGTTCCCGGCAGTACACTGGTCACAGGTCATGGCTGAAAAAAATGAGAGAAAGTTAATTAAACCATAAAATATGGATGGAATCAGACTAGACTGAGTAAACATAATTGCAAGCAACCTTAAGCAACATTTCATGGCTGGAGTCACAAGGGAGAACTTAAATGCCTGTATAATACCAAAGTGTGGAACAAAATCAAAATGTTATACATTACAATCAAATGCTACACTTATTGTCCTCCCTAACTGAACCTTTTGCTGCTGCAGGGCTTAAGTTAGACACTTAGAACTTGCACTGCTGAATGTGGTGTTTAACGAACGAACAAACAAACAAACGAATGTATGAATGAACAAAGGAACAAAAAACAAACATGTCACATGGCTTCACATGGCTTTAAGGAACGAACAAACAGACAAAGGAAGAAAGGAATGAAGGAACACAGGAAGGAATGAAGGAATGAACTAATGAACAAAGATGTCACATGGCTTCACATGGCTTTAACGAATGAATGAACAAACAAAAAAAAAAACAAACGAATGAACGAACAAACATACAAATGAACAAGCCACATGGCTTCACATGCTAGCAAGCCAGTACTTACAGGCTGCGGGACTGAAGCTTCCAGCGGCACACTTGACAGGTACAGCTGCAGCTGTGGCACACCCATAACCTGCTGGACACTGTAGGCACTGCCTGGCACCCTCAGCAGAGTAGTGATCTGCAGCACCATCATTCATTAGGCAAACAGTCTGTATATAATAGTGTGGGCAACAATTGGTTGATGACATTTGGTGTTGGCTCTGTTACCCATTAGTGCCATAGACCATATATTGGTTTATGGTTTCTGGTACTGAGACACATCCATACAATTTTGTTTTTATTTCTAATGGCTTGCTCTTAACCCTCACCTACAACCTAAGACAATATACACTAAACTATGTTGGTAATGAACTTGATTTTACAAACTGACGGATATGATAAAATGTTTAGTTAGTCCTTGCCACTTTCCATCTAGTTCAATAAAAACTATGGCTAGAATGAACCACACTTAGTCCTTTTTGAGCTTGTTATAATCATAGTTTACTGTATCTGTTTATCTGTTTTTAGTCACTGGTACCAGAATGCTTAGGCCAGACCAATTTTATTCCTCGTTTTACGGCTCCGCCTGTCGTAATTTCAAGAATAAGATAAAAAATGAATTTTCCTCGCTCAAAAAATAAAATGCTAATGTTTTTATTGGCCAAAAATGTAAGCTTGCAAGTAAACTTTTTTAGATTTTTTTTGCCCCATATACACTTCATATATTGCCAAAAGTAAAATACTTTTAGTATTTAGAAGGAATATTACTTTGATTGGTGATTTTATTTTTTTTCCCCCTTCTGCCTTTAGGTTTTCTGAGGACAAATATCCGTAAAACAAGAAATAAAATTGGTCTGGCCTTAAAAACAATTTTTGGTTCCAGCTTCCAGAAACCCAATCCAACCATTTCACCTAAAACTGGTTAAAAACATGTTCAATCAAAAAGCATTTTACATGTTTTTGAAACCTCTTAAAATTCAAGACATAATTTTCAACTTAAATACTTAATCTATAAATAGTGTTATTAATCCAACATTAAAATATACATCTACCCTGAAAACCGTCAACAGTAAAAATAAATGAACAAGCTTCATTCCTCTTCTCTGAGAGGGTTCGCAACCATTGACAGAAACAGTGACCCGATTCCATTTACCTTCATAAATCATGGGTGTCTTGTTACGTAAACTCTGCAAACAATTACTAGATATAACTTGAAATCAATAACACTGCCACCAATGTGTAATTTGTAAACCGATACATAAATTGTTTGATCCAGTATCTTGATTAGTGGATTCATGTCAACAAGTAGTGCACGCTAACGTGTTGTTGTTTTGCTATCAATAATATATCAATGAACTGGGACCAACGAGGAATCAATACAACTCATGTGTGCATGATTTCCTGGAACAGGACAGGTAGACTGAAGTCCTTCTATGTGATTATGGACAAATAGTTCACATTATTTTCATGATTGAATGCCATTGACATAAACTTTATGTGAAAACCTTGGTCACAATTAAAATTGGTGACTTTACAAGATACCAATTCTGATCTCTGGCTGGAACAAATTCTACAAAGATTATTCCTCAACCTCCCAATATTATTTAGGTCCATAATACATTTGTACACGAACAACAGCAGTGTCAAATCCCATACAATCACTCAAAGGCTTCAACCAGTAGTCTCTTTAACAGATCCCAGAGGTTACATTTAATTAATCAATCATCGACATTCTATTCTCATCCCCTTCTCAACTCTATAAACTTACACCAGTGTATGAAAAAGCTACTGGCCCGCTAGCCCGTGGCTAGTAAAAATCAAGTTGGGCAAGTAAATATTCACAGTCACTGGCTAGTGAATTTTCTCTCCAACTTGTTAAGTTATAATACACTTTCACATCATGCAAGATTATGGCCTGGTAAAAATGTTCATCATATTTGCAGCTTAATGATGAAATCCATGTTTACATTCAAATTCAAACTTTCAGGCATAGCTAGCCCGACTGGATAGCAAAATTTGAAAACTATTTTGAACACTGACCTATACTAATCTCTATTTCTCTGAAATTAATGAGACACAGAACTACACTAATTTAACCTCATGCATAACGTCATTTGAGAGACTTGTTAGCCTGAGAGTGCACTTCTTTAAGGACTTCAATATCTGCAGGGGTACTCTAGTGGTTCAAAGCGTTCGCTTGTTACACCGAAGACCCAGGTTCGATTCCCCAATAAGAGTACAATTGTGGTCCGCCGTAATATTGCTGGAATATTGCAAAAAGCGGCATAAAACTAAACTCACTCACTCACTGTTTACCTGCTTGACAGGCCTTTGGAGCTTCAGTAGTGGTGGGGCAGTAACTTCCTGCGGGGCAGCGAGTGCAGGCACCATCGCCCTGCTCTGAGTAGTAGCCAGCCGAGCATGACACAGGCGATGACCTGTCAATAATGGTAAAGTTAGTAAATGGACACTTCCTGTGCAGAGGTGAGCAACATTCATCAGGACTTGACCTTCGCTCAAGTTTGATGAACTCATTCGAACACCATATTATTTGCATACTGACATGTACTACTTAAAAAGACGTTGAAGAACAGGAAATGATAAACCATCTTCTTTAACGTCTTTTGAGTAGCAAGTATCAACATGTAATTGCTCCCCGCGTCTCATTTTCACACATACTATAACTGACAACGGACAACAGACCATGATCAGAGTTCTAGTTAGCTTCACAAAACAAACTTTAAAAAGTGGAATTTTTGTCCTAGTTGTGACCAGTGGAAAAAGTGAGTGAGTGAGTTTAGTTTTATGCCGCACTCAGCAATATTCCAGCTATATGGCGGCGGTCTGTAAATAATCGAGTCTGGACCAGAAAATCCAGTGATCAACAGCATGAGCATCGATCTGCGCAATTGGGAACCGATGACATGTGTCAACCAAGTCAGCTAAACTGACCACCCGATCCCGTTAGTCACCTCTTTATGGCAAGCACATGGGTTGCTGAAGACCTATTCTACCCCGGATCTTCACGGGTCCCCCCAGTGGAAATACAAATGCATAGAATGTATTACTTTTACTTGCTTTCAACAGCAAATTTGACGGTCATATGTTTTACAAAAGAGACGCATATCCCTGTTTTGTTATATTGGATATAAGGGGGCATTATCAAGGGCAGGTGATGGCAAAATACAACTGTCTCCTGAAGGAACATGGACAATCAATGGGGTATTAAACTCAGTGATGGTCACCCCATGCCCAGTCAAAGTGCTTGTTAACCCAGACCTTGTATCTGCACAGACAGTGATCAAATATATATGGTGATTGGAAAGAAAGCCCAGGAAAAAAAGTTACGGATAAAAAGTCCCAATTTTGGCTAAGAAAAAAGTCCCAGAAAAAAAGTCCCAATAACTGATTGTTCTATGTAGGGCTATACCCCACATCTCCTATGATGATAGAAAGCTTGTTTGTGCTGAACGATTAAAGTTTCAACAGTTGCTTGTTTTACTGACTTATGTTTGATGCAAGATGTTTCTTTGATACATTTTGTCTGCTTTCATTTTCTTGTAAAAATTTAGAAACTTACGCTGGATTTAGGCATTTCTTTCCCGCAGGGCAAAGTTCACAGGTCGCTTTGTTTGAGTCTGGAACTTTGGCTGAAAATTGGAAAGTATTATATACAGAAATGTCCAAAATATTTATAACTATTCATGAAACCAGTCTTGGACATAAGAGAATTATGAGAAAACTTTAATGTAGATTTCTTTCTTTGGTAAAGCAGGCAGATGTTTTCACTTAAAAAAGTGCAAAAGTCCTTGACCTTTTACATTGATACCTTTCAAGTAAGTGTAAGCCATTAAGTCATTAGTGAAATAGCTTAACACTTACTTCCACTCATCCTCGATAATATCCAGTGTATACGTTCCGATAAATCTCCATTATCAGCAGTCTACGCTGGGAAGTTGAGCGTACCAATCACAACTCACTTTCGCTTTTAAATTATCTAACCGATTAAACTTGGCAACACAATACTATATTGGCAGAGGTACTTTGAAAGAGGTAGAAGGAGTTCTTGCACTTATTTTTTTAAGGTTTCAGACCTGTCAATTTGTCTGTATGTTTCCCCCCAAACCTGAGTCGCACTGCAAACAAACTTTCGCGGCTGCAAACGCTATCTTTGTTGACACTGGCAAGCTCGGTTGTAACGGCGGCTTATCTGATTGGCTACTGTGAGAATGCGGAGCCAGCAGAAGGAGGTAATAAAATCATTGGGCCGTGCCGTAGATACATCCAGGGTATAGTGGAGATTTATCGGAACATGTACCCTGGAGATTATCGAGGATGACTTCTACTTTGATATGAATGAAACATGAGGAAAGTGATGAGTGTATCAATAGTCATTAAACACTGCTTTGTCATGGAGGTGAGGTGAGGTGAAATTGGGTTTAACGTCGGGCTTGAGAATATTTCGCTCATATGACGACGTGCATGCTTGTGTACGGGTATGTGCACCTGCTTGTACTAGCCCGGACTTAAGCTGGTTTTATAGTGCTAGCCCACTGAGATACCATGCTGCAGTGAAGCATGAATACCCCACTCAGACACATTATACTGATTCCGAGCCAACCAGTCCTTAATACCGAGAGCCAGGCAGGGACCAACAAGTACCATATTTTAACGTCTTTTGGTATGACGCGGTCGGGGATCGAACCCGCAACCTTCCGCTCTCCGAGCGGATGCTCTAACCACTAAACCACAGAGGCAGTCCCTTGTCATGGAACCTCATACCCGTGAAGAGTCTGGTTAGAATTGGTCTTCAGCAAACCATGCTTGCCTTTGACTAACAAGATCAGGTGGTCATGCTCACTGACTTGGCTGACTCATGTCATGGTAAAAGATGGGAGTACTGATTGTCTTAGCATTTAGATTGCTGTGTATAATGTAGCCAACGTTCTATACAGCATCATGATATGCCTACCTAATGCACTGACACATACTGTATAACATGCACTGTTTAAAATGGGCTGACAATTACTGAAAGCCAGATAATGAGTGAAAAAGCCAGATAATGAGTTGGAGTGAAATTGAGCATCTAACGGAGGAAATACGGTATATATAATTGTGGCAGTGTCACCAAGGAAATGTAGGATTTCTAGATGACTGAATTTAGCAAATCATCGAAATGCATTAACAAAAGTAGACACATAAATTATGACATGATTTAGTTTCTTGTTCTGCCTCCCAAAGCCTGACAACAAGAAGCATTTCTATGTTCTGAAGCATGTTAGAAGACGTAGGCTCATCACTCACTTATTTCACATAATGTACAACTGGAACTTCCTTGTGCAGCAATGTAACCTGGGTCACAGTCCTGGGGCACTGCAGTGGCATTAGGGCACATCTGACCTTCAGGGCACGGGGAGCAAGAACTCAGACCTGGAATAATTACAATTATTACAAATTACAATTATTTAATTCTTCTGAGATGATTGAAGAAGAAAATGTAATTTTAGAGTAAAATTGATATTTTATACTTATCCTGACTCATGCTCTTTTGCTTGTCTTCTTCTTCTTGCGAACATAGTGGAACACTTGTATCTCCTTATTTGAAGCTCCCTTCAAAATAAAATCACTAATTGGTACTCACCACGAGTTGCTCCCCTTTGTCTCCCCCTGGCGGGAAAGGTGTCGCCACCCCTCTGGCCATGTGCTCCACTCTCTCCTGATTTAGCGAGCCCAACACTTGAATTTACAGGGAAATCCAAAGTGTTATGTGTGGGAGGATGGAGGGTTAACCTCATGAGTCAGGATAAGTATAAAATATCAATTTTACTCTAAAATTACATATTTTTCCTTATCCTGACTCATGCTCTTTGCTTGTAGCATCCCACGGAACGGAGGTGGGTAACAGAATACTTTGGATTTATAATTAGTGATTTTGTATAGATATACTGTAATATCCCCTACAGGGGAACTTCATGAAGGCTTAGATTTAGGATGTTTCCTGTATAAAGAAAACCATAGGTTATATAAAGCCATTAAAGGGAATTACATTATGAATATATTGAACAATACATATATTATATATATATATATATAGGTGACTCTGATAGAGGCACTGAAATTGACTATATCCAAGTATATGCTTAAGGTTGAATACTTAAGCTGAACATATATACATAGCCCTAAAACTCCTTAGAGTTATAAGCTAGATGAGTATGTATAAAATACATATTAATCTTGTGAGGCTAATATTTTAACGCCTCACGAGGGACTGTCAGTTGCTGAGCGAGGGACCAGTGGTCCGAAATGGTGAATGCCAGAGACATCTTCTGTAGTGATGTCTCTTAGGTAGTGATTAGCAAATACCATGTTAGATTTCCAATAGCATCCTTCCATAATCGTGTTCAAGGAACAGTTACCGTGTAGGGCGAGAGGGTAGAGGCCAGTGCCCTGATCTCATGTGGATTTGATGCTGTTGGTGGGTCCAAGCCTGCTGCCTTTGTAGGCACGGAGAATGACAGTCCTTATCCAAATAGATATTGTGGTCCGTGACACTTCTGTTTGATTCAGAGGCTTATAATGGGATGAATAAGCGTTGAGAAATCTTCTCCTTGTTTTTCGTAAATAAACTTTTAACTGTAGTTTGAGACGCAGTGGATCTTGATCTACTTGTATCCCGTCGTCGAGGTAAACGCACTCTCGTAGCCCTTTGACGATGTAGAAATTTGATAATCGGTTTCGTTATCCTCGCATTGAATAGCCAGGGGCTGATGATATTCGAATGGGAGTACTTTCCACTGGTAATGTAGCCCTTCTAGAGTAAATCGTAGGTATTTCCTGGAATCGGGATGAATGGGGATGTGCAAGTAGGCATCCTGTAGATCTATGCTGCCCATGTAGTCCATAGGACGAATCATCTGGCGTAACTGAGGTAAATGTATCATCATCTTGAGAAACTTCGTGGTGGTTTTGCGTAGATAGTTCTTGTTGAAAAAGCTCATGTTGTAGATGAGTCTGTATTTCTCCGTGGAGTTTTTCTTGGGAACTAGGAAAACTGGGGAGTAGAAACCTGGTTCGACGTTTGCTTGATCTATTACTTCTATGGCCTGTTTGGATAGGAGTGATGAAACAGCCTCTTTATCTTTGGTAGTTGTTAGCTTGTGTAAATCGAACTTGGGGGTTTGATTGTCAGCGGAGGCTTGTCCTGTAGAGGGATCACGAAATCCGTGTTGAATAATGTTGGAGACGTAAGGGTCTTGCAGTATTCCCCAGTTTTCCCAGTGTAGTTGGAGGCGTCCACCCACTTGAGCTGGTTGTACTGGAACGGCTGGGGGTGGAAGACTCCAGTCGTTCCGAACCTGTGTTTCAGCGTCTATAATTGCGGGAACCTCTGGGTGTCCTGCCTCTTCCTGATCCTCCTCTATAGTTGCCATATGGGCGATTTGAAAAGAATCTTTACCTCTAGAGCTGGCTATCTTCCTGTCTCTTGCTCTTTGTAGGCCCGTGAACTTAGATCTGCCTGAGTATCTTTGTGAAGTCTGGACGAATGACGCTGGCTAGTGTGTCCATCGATCTAATCATAAGGACTTCCCTGGAATCCTTAGAGACTTCCTTGGCGACCTTGTCGATTTCTCCGTCAAAGATGGATGTTGTCGACCACGGGGCTGTATAAAGTGGGGCTGTAAAGTTCTCCCCCCAATTACAGGAGGCGAGGAGGCCTTGACGACGAGCTAAGGTCAGTGCTGCTGAAACAGATGTAAGATGATCCGTTAAAAACTGCTGATCTTTCTTTTGCATAAGTAAGGCAGAATAAATCATTCTATCATCTTCCGTCGTGGAATCCCGGAATCTAGTAATAAGAGTCTCATTGATCGTCCTAGATCTATTTAACCCAAAGAACATACGTCTCGTCATGGTTTCTATATGAGCCAACTTGCGATCATCCATCTTGTAAATCTTGTTCTTTACATCGCTGATGATCTTATAGTTCTCATCGATGTCCTGGGCCTTGTAGAAGGAGTCCATGTTATCGTGGAGAACTTCTTGGCTTGAAAGTTGGGCAGATGTGGTATCTGAACTTTCGTAGCTTTCTGGAAAGCTGCATCTAGATTCTGTGGCACTGCCGCTTAATCGGGTCGATCGGGGGTAGAGTGATTGCATCTGGATCATCTTCCTTCATCAAATACGTCTGAGCTGTATTGCCACTTTTAGATGGTGATGTGAGATCTAGGTTATTGACCATCCAATACCGTATCTCTGCATCAGAAAATATGATTCCTCCATCATCCTCAAAACCATCATCATTAATAAATTGTAGATGCTCTTCGGGACTGCGTGTAGCTGTCTGTATATCTGATGAGGTTTGTGGCGATCTAGTTGACTTGTGCGCTCTATGTGGAGATCTGATGGGTGATCGACCTGGTGATGAAGCGGAGTGGAGATCGTCTATGGGATGATCTTCGGAGACTTGTGAGGTGAATGTTGATAGCTTCGCGAAGCTCTTCGGCAGTCCCTCGATGTTCTTCTAGACGATGAAGATCTGGAATCATATGTCCGCCGCGAATGCCTTCGCGAAGCTTCATTTGGCGTCGGTCCGGGGATCGATGATGATATGACCTTCGCGAAGGCTTCCGTGATGTCTGATGGTCTGAGTCCATATCTAGAGATGAAATCGAAGATGGTGATGATCTCTTCGCGAAGGCCTTCGCTGAAGGCTGTACATCTAGGTCCTTCGTCCAAGGTGGTGCGGGACTTCCAGCGAAGGTGACATCGTCTTGGCTGCTACGTTGACGGGGGTGCCTCTGGGGTGCTGTCACGTTGGAGCCTTCGCTGGTTCGGACCTTCGCTTGCGCAGTTTGTAGTGGTCCTCCATGATGTTCATAATCTGCCGCATCATGTCTTCTGGGATGATCTGTGAGCGAAGTTGTCGGCGCCTTTTCTGCGATGGGGTTCACATCAATGGCGTCTGGACGCCGGTGTAGAGGCATCAGGCTGCATGGAGATCTCTGCAGAAGTCACAGTCGCTGACACCGGTCGCTTCTTCTGCCGTAAGTCGGGGATGATTATCGGCTGATCATCGTAGAGGCCCAACTCTGCTGCTGGAACGATCTCGGCTGAGAAAGTTCTTGCTGTCTTCGTAGATTTCCCTTTGGAAGTCTGCGCTGCCCTGGGTGTCCTCAATCTGCGTTGAGACGACGATGAGGCCCTCTTAGACTTAGTCTGCAATGACGGGATGTCTGGGGAGGCCGGTCGTTTCTTCGAGGTAACGGACTGCGTCCCACGTTCCTCTGCCGCAGGGGTCTCTAGCAGAACACCAGACGGGAGAGGGTCGATCGCTAGCAGCTGACTGGAAGGAATATCTGGACTCTCTGCCATGTTTTGCCCTTGTTTGCGTGATCTATCTGCAGCGCGCCTTAAGACGCATAAAGATGATATTTATTAAATGCAGAATGAGATAAATTAATGCAGTAACTGCAAGCGTGAATTAAACGCGACACGGCGTAGAACAACTAGGGCATATTACATGTGGATCGGAGGCAGAAAAGCGTAATCTACAAATCGTGCAGATTTTCATGAACGTAAAGCTAGCTGAACAATCACGAATACACGTGAATAAACAGTAGAAATACGATAATTAATCAATACAAATAGTAAAGGATACTAGCTATACCTCTATAGTAACCTATGAGAGGTAAAAACTAAGAGATTATCAAAGGATATGTGTGTAAGGAGACACAAGGCGCTCTCACATCCTGCTCACTGGGCGAAGAAGGAGAGAGTGGAGCACATGGCCAGAGGGTGGCGACACCTTTCCCGCCAGGGGAGACAAAGGGGAGCAACTCGTGGTGAGTACCAATTAGTGATTTTATTTTGAAGGGAGCTTCAAATAAGGAGATACAAGTGTTCCACTATGTTCGTAAGAAGAAGAAGACAAGCAAAAGAGCATGAGTCAGGATAAGGAAAAATTTACAATTATTTAATTCTTCTGAGATGACTAAAGAAGAAACAATAACTTTTTAAATTAGTGACTGAACAGCTGATATACATGGAATATATGTCCGCAGACATGGGCAGTGAATACCAACAATTCATTAAAAGAATAATACTGTCATTTCTAACTTCAAGAAATATACATTGATCACACATTCATGGGTTTATGGTATAATGAATATCATGAATATATAAGAAAAAATACATGTACACAGGGAACCCTCTTTAAACAGAGACTGACTGACTGACTGACTGAGTTTAGTTTTCACGCTTTTAGCAATATTCCAGCAATATGACGGCTGGGGACACCAGAAATGGGCTTCACACATTGTGCCCATGTGGGGAATCGAACCCGGGTCTTTGGCGTGACGAGCGAACACTTTAACCACTAGGCTACCCCACCGCCCTTAAACAGAGACTATAATGTATATTACAGAGACTCTGCTATAAGTCGAAGCCCCTTTGGCACTGCAATAGTATAGACTCTGTAGTTCTCAATATATAAATAGTGCAACATGAGCCAATATTGGTGATTAATTAAAACCATAAAAGGATATTTGAACAAGTTTACAGATGCAACTTTCAATCACTTGGAACAATATTAGGCAGTTTCTGCTGCAAAAATATATACAGTGAAACCTGTCTAAACCGGCACCCCACGGGACCGAAATAAAATGCCGGTTTAGACAGGATGCCGGATTAGCCAGTGACAATCATTTTCTAACATGGCTGCCATTTACACTGGTCAGTCTCTTTATCTCATCATGACACACAAAGTGATGGACAAGTCAATAAAACCAATGCCTATTTATTTATTCTCTGACACATGTCCCTCACTTGAAAACAGTTAATACAATCCCCCAGTGTTTGTAAAGCATAACTGTGGTAATCCTACAAGCGTTTGATTCACCAGCGCAGGATTATGGGTCCTTGATTGGACTGCTCATACCAATGCTGGTTTAGGACTGTGTTAGTTACAGTTACAATTGCTTGTAGGGACCGGAAAGTCGTGCCAGAATACGGAATAGACAGGTGCCGGATTAGACAATGTTTTAATGATCATAATATCGTTGTAAAATGGCGGGACCAAAACTTTATGCCAGTTTTGACAGTGTGCCGGATTAGACAGGTGCCAGTGTTGGCAGGTTTCACTGTATATGAGAGAGCAACTTTGTCTGCATTATACATGTTGTTAAAAAACCAACAGTACTGCAATAAAGGACCCTACCTTGACCATAAGGTATAAGTTATTCATAAATAAATTATTCAGGAATAAGAGTTATGACAAAGTTTCACAGTATTTTTACAACATTAAGCACCAATTCCATTATATATTACATCTTAATCTGCCATTTAGCAGTGTTCTCAGATGAATGAAAATGACTAGAATAAGGAACAAGGAATCTACTGACCTGCTGCAGCTGCATACTGCCCAGGAGGACATGGGTGACACGCCCCCTCACCATTTGCACTGTAGAACCCTGCCTTACAGGAAACAGGTGCCCCGACTGGGGCACTCCTTTCCTGCGGGGCACTTCTGACATGATGTCTGACCTAAAACAAGACATGCACATCACAAATACATGTCCACACAGTTAAATAAAGCAATATTCTCATTTGACCAGACAAAATTTACAGTTTTATCAGTAACATTGCCATTAACATAATATCAGGGGCACAAAATGACATGAAATAACACTGTCATTTCTCACTCACCTTTGTATGATAACAAGTTATTGAGGCAGTGATCAAGATCTTACACACTCAGTTACATCACATTTCACATGAAAATATAAGTGACATTGGTAATATTTTATCACTAAAAACACATTTATAGGCAATATTTTATCCTTTATTCATGTCAGTGGGGATGTCATTATCCCTTGAGACTAGCTGTGTCATGCAATTGACCTCATCTATTGGTACTATATATCAAATATAGGGACAAAAAGGATATAAAGTAATCAGTTTTCATAGAAAATCTTAAATGAATGCTTTGAGTTATTTTTAGATTTCTTGGCTGCAGAGGGCAATGACTGAATAACATTGAAATGCTAATAATGTGCTTGCAGTTTACAATTCAATACAAACAATGGTCTGAGCCAGATTATAATTCAATAAAACAATGGTCTGAGCCTTAGTAACCTCTGAGTACCAAGGATCAATATAGAGTTGAATCTGGGTTCAAAGCAATGATCAGTGGAAACAGACAAACTGACAGTAACATATGTAGTATTTGGGTTTACACTTCTAGTAATTCTAGTAGAGTGAGTTAGATGGCTGACTTTGGGTGCTGGCTGTAAGTGTGGGTTCAAATCCCAGCATGGACATAACCTGCAAGTACTAGAATCTGTACTTTACTGTGAAAGCGTAATCCAAATATATAATATGTTTCATCTGACCACTTTCTAAGTGGCTCTGCATATTCATGAGCTTGGGAGCTCCAATTTTTTTTGCCATAGCCTCCCTTCCCCTCCCCAATAAAAGACGGTTGAGTTTCATCATTGTTTAAATATTTCTTGAAATTTGAACATTTTGAGCATTTTATTCAACGAACCTGTGGTTGATGTATAGTCGCCATCATCACATGGAACAGGACCCTGGTCTTTGGCAACACACTTTGATCCAATTGGACAAGGTGTGCAGCCTGTGCTGCCCCCTAGTGAGTACTGGCCATTGCCGCAGTCTGCCGGAGTTGAGGTCTTGATGGTGGGGCAGGACTTTCCAGCAGGGCAGGATTTGCAGCTTGTTGAACCAGCAACATCTGTGTACTTCCCTTGTGGACAGTCCTACATGAAGAATGTCAGAGAAGAAAAGTGTTACGAAATAGAATGGGTGAGTGAGTAAGCATGTTTTTATGCCGCTTTTAGCAATATTCCAACAACATCACAGTGGGGGACACCAGAAATGGGCTTCACATATTGTACCCATGTTGGGAATTGAACAAGGTCTTCAGCGTGACGAGCAGATGCTTAACTCATTAGACAACCCCACCGCTCCCAAACAGAATGAATATAGCTGGACAGGTATATCGTCAAAAAGAGAGGAAATGTAAGACAATGTTGTATGGACAATGGTCAGCGCATGTTCTCTTTGGACAATTTGACAATAAAATAATATTTAAATCATAGACATAAATGTTACTTATCCATATGACTGGCAAATGGCTTTTCATTCTTTCATATACTATTAAGTTCAGGGCTTGATCAGGAACAGATCTCGGACTAAGGTGAGTAAAAGAGGTTGATTTTATAAAACTTGGGCCTAGTTCATCACTGCTCATGAGAGAAGATGAACTGTTAGTGTCATCTTGTTTAACCTCATCATTACGTCATCATTCATAAAATCATATTTAAACATATTGAACCTTACATCTACATGTCTAAAACATGGATGTGGGAAAAGGACAAACTATTATTATCATATTATAAAATATAATCCTTATCCCACCTTGACCTTGCTTTAAAGGGAGATAACTTCTCCGTATTACCTGACAGTCACTTTCTGCCTCCTTCCCAGTGCCATCGTTGAATGTTCCGGCAGGACACGCCTTAGCTGTACTACTTCCTGCTGGGCAGCTGACGAGGGGAACAAGTACATGTGATGAGTGAGTGAGTGAGTGAGTGAGTGAGTTGGGTTTTATGCTGCTTTTAGCAACATTCCAGCAATTTCTAGACAGGGACACCAGAAAATGGGCTTCATACATTGTACTCATGTGGGGAATCCAGGCCTTTGGCGTGACAATCGAACGCTTAAGCCACTAGGCTATCCACCGTCCTTCATGTGATGAACAAAGGTTCTGGTCAAATGCGTTGTAAATAATTCAGCTATTGCAAAAACCTAAGAAAGACAAGACCTGGTATAGTAAAGTGCTGCCTATTCAGATCAAAAACACCTATTATGAATTTTTAAAGAACTATCTTTAACTTGGCAATAGTTCACTGAAGCATGAACCTTCTTGGCCTAAGGGCCAAAATGTAAACAGGAGTTGTTCCTACACATATGAACACTGGTTTAACAGACAGACTACTGGAAATCTGTATCATGTGCAAACTCACAAAAAATATTACATGGTAGAGGACACTTTGGATGCTTTTGCAGACAAAACCGATAGCTTCTTGAATGGAAAAAACACAAAAATGTCTGATTGAAGGGTGTAAACCAAAATACAACCTTTTCATCAACTAATGTATTATACAATGAGTGAGTGAGTGAGTTTGGTTTTACGCCGCTTTTATCAATATTCCAGCAACATCAGGTGGGCGACACCAGAAATGGGCTTCACACATTGTACCCATGTGGGGAATCGAACCCGGGTCTTTGGCGTGACGAGCCAACGTTTTACCCACTATGCTACCCCACCGCTCCTATTATACAATGAAATGTAATTATTTATAACAGATTACAAATATTGTTTGTAGAACCCATGTGCACATTAATGTACCTTTATATTTTAGAACCCATGTGTGCATAAATGTACCTTTATAACCAGACCCATTTTTATCAAAGAGATATCATGAATATAGAATTAAAGTCTTGCTACTGAAGCAATGTTCTGCTGAACGACATAATAAATATTCATATACACAACATATTTTCATTTCAGACCAGTCAAGTTATTAATCAGAACAGACATACTAAATTATATATACTAATTCCACATACTAGGTGAAGTGAAATTGGGTGTAACGTCGTCCTCGAGAATATTTCGCTCATATGACGACATGCATGCGTGTGTATGTGTATGTGCGGCTGCTTGTACTAGCCCAGACTTAAGCAGGTTTTATAGTGCTAGCCCACGGAGAATACCATGCCGCGGTGAAGCATGAATACCCCCTCAGACACATTATACTGACTCCGAGCCGACCAGTCCTTGTTGTACCCATTAATGCGAGTGCCAGGCAGGGACCAACTCCACATACTAAATTATATATACTAATTACTGATAAACAAAAACATGGAAAATGGTCACCCTCAACACCTGCACCAGCAACACATTCCAATCTCTCATCTTGTATGTGTATTTTGTACAGAACCACATAACAACATCAAGTGAAATGGCAATGATGAAGAAATAGTTCACAGTGAAGACTAATGCATAAACTACGAGAGTACTTTGATTAATCAGGGCTGATAGTAAGGCTATCAGACAGAAGAAACACGCACTCTGACATAATGAAGACTTCACATCTGTTGAGGAATGAAAGAATGTGTATGTCAATTAACTAAGTGTTGACAAGGAATCAATAAGTTGTCTTATGCAATGAGGCAACATGGGAGACATCAGAAATTCAGTTCTGAAGTAACACCAGGGAAAGAAACCTTTCAATATTTCACACTAGACCACAGGACCAGTGCGTGGACAATAATTAGTGGTCCTGTCTGTACTTCACTGGTCGAACATAACATTCGTAGATTTACTTAACTACCAATACAAAATTCACTGGCCACCAGGACCACTGCAAATGTATCATTTAGTGGTCCTGATGAATTTGTACTAGCCAGGGACCACAGGACCAGCATAAATTTTGCACAATGAACACACAGACTGCTTTGACAGGTAGAGGTTATCAAAGGATCAGTTTTGAGGTTAAAAAGCTTCATAAAACTGACTGACTGACTGAGTTTAGTTTTACGCCGCTTTTAGCAATATTCCAGCAACATCACGGCGGGGGACACCAGAAATGGGCTTCACACAATGTATCCATCAGGGGATTCGAACCCGGGTCTTCGGCGTGACGAGCCAACGCTTTAACCACTAGGTTACCCCACCGCCCTTCATAAAACAATCTGGCAAGGTAATGCTAGAATCAGCTTTGAATTAACATCAGTTCTCTGCTTTGAGTACAGCAGAATTAGATCTGCACCAATGGATTTAGTGCACTTTTATACATTTATTAACACAACAGCATTGCAAATGGCATGCCAACATACTATTCCTCATGAACAGGAAATCGGTGGCGAATTGAAAATATTGCCCTATACTCATGTTTCTCTATATATGCTATGCAAAGTCACATAGATATATTTAAATCATTGAAATATAAAATCAAAGAAATTGTGAGTGAGTAAGTTGGGTTTAATGCTGCTTTGACCAAATATATCCAGTGTGTAGTGCTAGACCTACTACTTTGGTTCAAGATAAGCCAAATAAGGTGCTGACCAAAAAAACTAAAAAACTAATTTGGGTGAATCAAGATTCAAACCTATGATCATAGATATCTGGTGTGCCCAACGGACAAAATTGTGCGCAGCAAAATGAAGCACCTCTTGTGGTTGGGCCACCCATGCCCCTTATTCACAATAGGTGACGCTCTCTTGGTCATCCTAAATTACATTTACATGACCTCAAGACTGATACTGATAAGGTTATATTGACAGTGCCAAGGACAGGTAAATAAACCTACTCTCCAGGACAATAACTTGATATACACATTATTCTTGTGTTACTGTAACGTTTCATGGTCTAGAAAGTTTATTGGCCTGTTTACCCTACTAAAACAGGCAACCAGCTCCAGGCAGACAAACTTGAAGGTTGTTAAGCATGTCATAAATACACAGTCAGACTATTTGATTTGTAAAGCAATCATCTTATTTCAGCAGGATGAGCTGACTTCGATTACATAACCTGGAAGCAACACCTTTTCAAGGTTTAAAGTTCCTTGAAATAGAGTGCCAAGGTCATGGGTAAACTTGTAATGGGAAGCTTCTGGGGCCAGGAGGAAAGCTTTCAAATCACATTTTTTTTAAAATATACAAAACAAATATGTGACTATGTTAAACCACATTTGGAAGAAGTCATCAATATCTGGCAAAAATACTCTTCATGATTATGACGGGTTATGATTATGTCAAATTTATAGAAAAGTGGCAGGAGAGTATTGAAAGGTTTTTAAAGTTCATTGCTCCAAAAATAGCACTATCACCAAAGTCAAATGAAACTTGTTGATCTATCTGCCAAGTTTGTGATGAAATAAACGGTTTTAGACCTTTAAAAGTGCACGGACGGAGTCCATTTTAATATGGCATGATGATGAAATATGCATCATGATGATGATATGTTTTATGATTAGCACCTGAGGAATGTTTTAATTTCAGCAAACATGAGAAATGAACACTGACTGAACTTTTAGCAATATTCCAGCAACATACCAGCATCAGAAACTGGCCTAATTGTGCCCATGTGGGGAATTAGAAATTGAATATGAAATGTTATCAAACATGTTTAACTACCAGCATCATTAACCTGTGGAATTAGAAATTGAATATGATGTAATCAATCTCTATGCAAAAGGTAAAAAACTTGACAAACATAACTGTGTTACATGCCAATGCTTAAATGCACCCATTTCTTCTCAATCCCCCATTAAACTTTGAATCCCAAGTGACCTACTCATGTCCAACCCTAATTCGACAAAAGTAACACTGTATATATTGATCCTTCAACAAGTCTGTGTTATAGAATGTTACAATTAGCAATGAGTGTATTTCAAAACACATTATCAAACCAATAGCCCCATCTGCATGTGATGCTAATACAGTTAAACAATGGTATAATCAGTAAGTGGGCAATAACTGCTGTTATTACTAGGGCTGTAACGATACATCGAACTATCGATGCATCGCAATTGTTGAGTCTCCGATAGCAATTAATCGATGGTAGAAACGAATAACTATTGATGCATCGATAGTATGTGTGACTATAGATAACTTAGTAATTGACTTCCAATGTTAAATGCGCAGTGCAAATTACAGGAAGTACTAGATTTGTTCACTTTGATTTAGATTGCAGACTTGCAGCTTCACTGAGTTTATGTTTTAACTGTTTACCTAATCTGGGTTTCAAGCTTCTTGTCAGTTATTAAATTGACTGAAACTACTTTAACTTGTTTTTAGTTCATATATACTATACGTTCATTTGGGAAATGACCTCAAATGAGACAATTCAAGGAGAAAAAACTATTGTTGGTCGCAATAGACTATCGCAATAGTTGTTTCACCCTCAATAGTCACCTCTAGTTATTACTATGTGCTGATGAAAACAGGTCTGTCAGTGTCTCATGTATATAAGCCTGATATCTGACTGATTCAGTTACAACACTGTGATATACTGGTGCTGTAACACCTTGTAACACTTTGTAACACATTGTAAAACCATGCCAAAAGAGCAAAGTGTACTTACTATGAGCCCTGTGGACAGGTTACGCATGTTCCCGAGACATGATAGTATTGTCCTGCTGCACAGCTGGCTGCACATTCTGTTGGACAATCACATTGTCCTGAAACATAATAGACATGGTTAGAAAATGGCATTGGCAGATTACCATCAAAAGATTTTAAAGATATTACTAACAGTAATATGTAGCTAACAATACCTCTATGCCACCCCGATCTGTGCCTTCTACAACAGCAAACACATCCAGGACTTATACACAGGAGACAGGGACATGGGCTTTTATGTGAATAATAGGGACATTGGCTTACACCAGAGACCATATAATATAATATCTATTATATGGTCTCTGTTTACATATGGGAAAACAAGCATATGGCCTGTGGATGCACAGGCTTATAAATGGAAAATGGCATATTGGCTTACAAAAAAACCCAAGAGTCATCAGAAGATGACATATCCCCCCGGCCCCTACATTTCTGAAAGAACAAATCATCTGACAGTTACTTAAAGTCCAGCTTGATTGTAGACTAAGTGCAAATCGTTTCCATGGAAATGATGAAAAACATAAATGACAAAAATCTGCAAATAGCAAAAGGCACCACCTCAAGATTTGCCTCACATATCTGCCAAGTTTTACTGAAAGATATTAAGAAGTTTTTGAGTTGTGCTCCGGAAACGAAACCAACCCCTCCCTTTTGAGACTAAGTCCAAATTGTTTCCATGGAAACAGAGAAAAATAAAAATGACAAAAATCTGTAAATAGCAAAAGGCACCACTTCAAGATCTGTCTCATATATCTGCCAAGTTCTGTTGAAAGATATTGAACGCTTTTCAAGTTGTGCTCTGGAAACGAAACCCACCCCTAATTTTTTAGACTAAGTCCGAATTGTTTCCATGGAAACCAAGAAAATAATAAATCACAAAATTCTGTAAATAGCAAAAGGCACCACTTTAGGTTCTGTTTGATACATCTACCAAGTTTTGCAGAAAACTACAGAACGGTTTCTGAGTTATGCTCCGGAAACGAAGCCCACCCCTCCCTTTAAGACGTAAGTCCAAAACGTTTCCATGGTAACCGAGAAAAATAAAAATGACAAAAATCTGTAAATAGCAAAAGGCACCACATTAGGTTTTGTTTGATATATCTCCCAAATTTTGTTCAAAAATATTGAACGGTGTTGGAGTTATGCTCCGGAAACAAAATGTTTACGGACGGACGGACAGACAGACGGCTTATCCATTGGAAACAGAACCATGGGTATATATGTTGGGAAATAATAATAGGCTTATAAATTGGTAAATAGTCACAGGCTTCACAGAGAAAAAAAGAGCCCATGGAAATATGCATGAAGAAAAAGTATTAGCTTTCTCTATCCTGTGTATAACATGTTAACTGAATGTATAATTTAATGTCTGCTACTAAACACCATACCCGTTGAGACAAGCTCCTTTTTAATCTCTGAGCTACAGGATTGTGTATGTCCACTAGAGAATTGTCTTCACAGATTGTTATCATATGGGTAAATAAACCTGTCTTTCAGTGTGATGAACAAACATTTATTGAAGCTCATTTCTGGTGTCACCTGCCGTGATATTGCTCCTATATTGCTAAAAGCAGTGTACAACCCAACTCACTCACTCACTCACTGATAAATCAAGGATTTAAATCCATGGCCACATAATCATGGAGTGAGTGAGTGAGTTTCAGCTATATGGCAGCGGTCTGTAAATAATCGTGTCTGGACCAGACAATCCAGTGATCAGCATGATCATCGATCTGCGCAATTGGGAACCGATGATATGTGTCAACCAAGTCAGCGAGCCTGACCACCCCATCCTGTTAGTCACCTCTTACGACAAGCATAGTCGCCTTTTGTGGCAAGCATGGGTTGCTGAAGACCTATTCTACCCCGGATCTTCATGGTTCTCACAGAATCATGGAGGAAATGGGATAAAATTAATTGATTTGCAATGCCAACAACAATTGATCAACTCATGATCCAGAGCGAATACATGTTGCTTTGTGTCAGCAACCCCTGCTAATACAAGCACTTCATCAAAACAATCTGTAAATGTTGAATCTGAAGAAGACAAATTGGGGGTCTAAAGCGGAGAAAGGCTAGAGGTCCTAAATGTCCATCAACATTTGCATTCAGTAATATCAGTCCAGGACATTAGTTGTTATCATAAACGGGTATTTAACTAGACCTGATCAGAGGCCAATATTCTGCTCCAAAGGCTGCAACAAGAGTTGTCAAACTTAAAAATAATAAATTATAATTAATGCGAAAGCTTGGTCAAGGTGACTAGTATTTCAATGATAACAGTATCAAGGAAGTGGAAGAGGTTTTAATGGTTAGTTTAACTTTACTGTATTGGCAGGTATGCTAAAAAATGCATGAACACACTTTTGAATTTAGATAAGAGCTTTAATATGCCAGTTTTGAACAAGCCTACATCTTTTATCAGTTGCCTGTCAAGGGAACTTAGTTTGAAATCTTAGATAAATCCTTGTTTCAGAGTAAGAAATACAACCCCACCTGACTATTTTCCTGTGTAATCCAGTCAAGAAATGCATGTATGATACGAGATATAAAGGTTTTCTGGTGTCTCACAAAGTGGTGAGAGAGCTATTTCAATATTAATTTTGATACTGAAAGCCTTGTCAGCATCACTGTTTACACAACCTGTAAATAATAGAACTGTACACTGAGAAAATTAAATTTATTCATATACAGCAAGCATCAAAAACAACTGAAAATGTGGCAGCAAATAACAGTCAGGGAGTTAGGGTAATTTGTACACATTGAAAAACTATTTATGAGTACTCTTGTATATCCTTTAAAGAATATCAACATTTCATGATAACCATGATAACAGCTGCATAAGGCACATGTTACTGCCTATTGGGTAGCATTTGACATAATATGGTAGCTCACAAGATTTTCATCAATCAGGAAGAAAGCAGCCCTTATTGGCCACACGGCCCTTGCTGACCACACAGATCATATTACACTGCTTTTATAGACCATACAACCATTATATATACACTTTATGACAACCCTTATCTAGCCTGCTCATATAACACGGCCCTTATAGACTAAACTGCTCATATAATACGAAGCCCTTATAGACTAAACTGCTCACATAACACCGACCCTTATAGACTAAACTGCTCATATAACATGGCCCTTATAGGCTAAACTGCTCATATAACACGACCCTTATAGGCTAAACTGCTCATATAACACAGCCCTTATAGACCAAACTGCTCATATAACGACCCTTATAGACCAAACTGCTCATATAACACGGCCCTTATAGGCTAAACTGCTCATATAACACGACCCTTATAGGCTAAACTGCTCATATAACACAGCCCTTATAGACCATACAACCTTTATAGACCTAATTATTGACCACATGGCCCTTATTGACCAAACTGTTCATATTACACTGCCCTTATTGACCATACAGGTCTTATAATATATCATATTACACTGCCCTTATAGGCTGACTGCACACACCCTTTATAGACCATAACTGCCTATTCTAAAAAAAACCTTTTTGACCACATGCCCTTATTGACCAAACTGTTCATATTACATGCCCTTATTGATACACATCTCTTATAACCACTGCTCATATTACAATGCCCTTATTGACCACACAGGTCTTATAGACTATATCATATTACACTGCCCTTATTGACCACACAGGTCTTATACTATATCATTACTGCCCTTATGATACATGCTGCCTATTCAAAAATAGAGACCTATACACTGCCCTTTTTACACAGGTCTTACAGACTAAACTGCTCATATTACACTGCCATTATTATGATAATGCCCAGACCACAACTGCCCTTACTGGCCACACAGGAAAGGTAGAATCCATCACAAATCATATATGCCAAAATGTTCCGCTGCTTGCTGTCAGTAAAGTTATTGAATGTCTTAAGTGAAAAAATGAAACAAATTGTTCAGCATTTGTACTGAAAGAAAATTCCAGGAAATCTTGAAAGCAAAATGTCGGGTTCCTCAGGGTACTGTCAATTACCAAATCACTAGGCAGGTTAATAATTTACCAAGCAATTATTACCGTAGGCATATCATCAATAGTTTTCATTATCCTGTCAATTTTATTTCACATGGCTGACACAGTGCGTGTCCTTAACATCAATCCAGTGTTAAGATATTCGGTGCTCGATATTGATAGTACTCACTATCAACTGGTGCATAAAATATTACCTTGCATTTGTCTTGGACAAAAACTCTTTACTGAAGATATGCTGGAGTGAATTGGAAATGAATTAAACATTTTCACATTTGGGCCAGACCAATTTTATTTCTTGTTTTATGGATTTTTGTCCTCAGAAAACCTAAAGGCAGGAGGGAAAAAATAAAAATAAAATCACCAGTCAAAGTAATATTCCTTCTAAATACTCAAAGTAGTGTTACAATTTTGGCAAAATTTATAGTATGTGTATATGGGGCATAAAAAACAATCTAAAACAGGAAAATTTCTTGTATGTTTACATATTTTGGACAATACAAAACATTAGGATAAAATTGGTCTTTTGATATTTATGAAAATTATTACAGTTTTATATGAGCTATTAGTAGTTTTGAAATTCATGTGGGGTAGTTTTAGCAGTGGCATGTCATTTTGATTTCGAATGTCTGACCAAAATCGGATGTTTTTCAAAGTCATGGTTGATTAAAAAAACTAACTTTACTTATTTCTAGAATCCTATTATAAGTAATGTTGCTATATTTCAGAATAAAACAAAAAGAATGCTCTTCAAAATGAAAATCAGATGTTCATATTTACATAATGTATATGTGTAGTGATACTGCATAAGACAGATGACTCATTGTCAAACTAGGTTTTGTACAGTATTTACATTTATTTAGAAAGTTTGTAGTGTTTCGCAATGTTTATACCATGGATAGACACATGCTAGAATCGTGCTCATGTATATTTTCTGATGGGATAGCCTTGTTTGCTTGTCGCAACGAAGACCCAAGTTTCGATTCCCCACATGGGTACAATGTGTGAAGCCCATTTCTGGTGTCCCCCGCCATGATATTGCTGGAA